GACCATAGTGTCAACGTGAGGGGGTTCTTGGCTGCCCTCTCAATGCCACCTAGACGACGTTGAGCCCATCTCGGGCCTTGTGAGAAATACGTCAAAAAGGCTCAATCTACCCCGTTTCACCTGGCAGAAGAATATATGGAGCATGAGAAGGGCCAGACCCTTGGTCTTTTGGCCAGCAAGCGCCTGATTTTGCCGAGTTATTGTACGTTGCTGAGATGTCCGCAGAGCATGAACTGATGCAGACCAGGCAAGCCTTGCTGACCGGCCTTTCGCTTCATCTGCGTGCTTGTTCAGAGACATTTTCCTTGGGTCCAAGCCATGCAGCCAAAACAGACATCAGCTAAACACTCGGCAAAGCAATTGCGAAAGGGCTGGGTCGACACTTGTCCCTTCGTTGTCGCACGGCAAAATAGGCGGCCAGGATAAACACATTGTGTACCCCGACAGATCCTGCTGGTTTCAACATCGTTTGTCTCATTAGTCGCAGATCACATCCTACAGGGTACTCCTACACGACAGCCCCTGAATTCTGATATTAGCCGATGAGAGACCATCAGGGATCGGAATTTTCCGCAGTTCCGTGAGAGCCAATTTCTATTCCTGCAGCAGCAGCAACAGCAAGCGAAATGCAGCCCTGTGGTCTAAACTCGCTAACGTCGGCGAGCCCGGTGCGGTTCAGGTACAGACAGGCCCAGAAGCAGGTGCAATGAATTAAACTTCGACCTGTCTCAATCTAAGCGTGTCCAAGACGCGGTGAACTCCACCCCGGGGGATTGAAGTTCACTAGCGCAGTTCTGTCTTACGCAACGTTTGCAAGCTCAATTTGTGCCATGGGACAGGGCGAATCACGTTCGAACATGATGAAGCTGCCTGTTGGAGTGGAGTCGACTCCAGACTCCATGAGTGGGTTATCACGGATGATGGCCGATACCTGTGACAAATTGGTTTGTCTAACGGAAGCTGGGGCTTCCCGGGTGATCTGTGCTCCAGGGGTCCGGACCGGATGCGGTCCTCGTTGCTTAGCTGGCGTGGTCCACGGCTGGCTAGATGGGACTCCATACGGCATACACCATCAGTCGAATGTGCGGTGCTGAGGCAGTTGAAACCGAACGGCCGAGGATGAGCTGACATGAGACATTGTTGCGGGCGGGACTTCCGGGTACGTAGTTTGAGTTGGCTGTGGGAACCGCCCGATCTTTTGCCTCTAGTTTTATAGTTAGCTTTGCGTCAAATTAATTAGGTTCACTATAAGCTTGATTGATTTACTTGGCAATCCGAGGTCAATAAATATACCACGATCGAAGATGAAGCGATTGTTCTCTCGGAAATTATTACTCATATCTGATAAAGCAGAATGATAATGAGTAAATCTCAGGCCTGTAGCGGAGAGGAGCCCTTGGCCACCCCGAAAAGCAGTGGCAATGTCATGGTGGCGAGCATGCGGTGTCTGGGACTGCCAGGTCCAGTAGGCCAGAAACCAGGGGCAGGACGGCTCAACGAACGATGCAACATGGATGACGATCATTCGGTAGAAAAGCTGGGACGATTCGGTCGTGCGGCTAGCATTTCCGTGCCCATCTCGGAATGATAACCAGACGCCTCTACCTCGGGGTTATGGAATGTTGCCTGCTTTAGAAGCTGACGTGATCGAGACACCCAATAAGAGATCAGCAAGGGATGGCAACGGAAATCGCAGAAGAATAGAAACTGGAATTGTGAACGGACGGCATGGTTCCCTGTCTGCTCAAACAAGTGGTGCCCATTTTCTGGTCAAGCTTCCACGGTTCAGTCTGGGGTCGGGTGAAGGTTGGAGTCGAGCCACCAGACGATCGCATACCACAAGCTCAGTGTCAGTGAAGTGTAAGTGGGTTGACGTCTAATTAAGAGTTGCGGGGTGATTATCATGAAGATATCAGTTCTTCATGCAAGCAAGATCGCGAGATCCTGGCCCTGGTGCATCCTCCAGGGCCATCGATAAGGTCCCTTGCTCCGTATAATCGTAGTATCTGGTTCTGGGACATGCGTGCCGAACACCGGGGAACGATGGATGCTGTCGATCCCTGCTCTCCTCGACCGGGCAAAGTCCATATCCATGCAATTTCCATCGCACGAATAAACTTTCAACTCCGACGACTAGAGAAGAACTAGACAGGAACTAAAAAGCCGGCCCATCCACGATCCGATATTCTCACCCGTCGTTTGCACCGGTCCTCTTGGCCTCCGATCGCGCGGTGTTAGCGACAAGCGGACACGCCGTCCTTGCTCCTTGGTCGTACGATCGAGACAGCGTCGCCAATAAACCGCCAGAATCCCTGAACTCATTTAATTGATGGGTTAGGTTCTGAGGCGAGCATTTAATCGTGCCTTAGCTCGGAAAATTTCGACCGGCGCTCCTGGCCGATCTTTAATAGTCCCTCCACCCCTCCTTGCTATCGATCTATGCGTTTCTGCTGAAGGTTGAAACGACAGCACGATGGAGTTCCAGCACGAGCCCAAGCAACATGTCGATCCCGTCGTGGCCGACTCACATTCGGACAGTCCGTCATCAGTGACGGCGCCTATCAACGCCTCCGGCCACAAGCAGGAGCTTGATCGCAATTTTGGCTTTATCAACATCTGTGGCTTGGCCCTGACTAGTGGAAATACCTGGATCGCTCTAGGTGGAAGTATCGTGAGTTCCCGAGTTGTCACATAGTGTTTGCCACCCGTGACATCCAATCACTGACATTTGCTAGGTCACGGCCATCTATGATGGAGGCCCGCCAGGTGTGATCTATGAGATGTACGTCAATACCCTGTGTGCAAGGATTGGTGCTGATAATATCATAGGATCGCAGCCTCAGTCTTCTACTGGTTCATCGCGGCGTCCCTCGCTGAGCTGGCCTCATCCATGCCATCGTCTGGTGGAGGTACGTCTTCTTGTTCATAAGTTCCAGGACATGACTGATTCACAATTGCAGTGTATCACTGGGCTTCTATCACGGCAGGAAAATATGGTCGTGTCTGCGGCTTCTTCGCCGGCTGGTGGAACTTCCTGGCTTGGATCTTCGGTGCTGCCTCGACGACTCAGATTCTCGGCACGCAGGTCGTATCTGCATACGCTCTGTTTCATCCTGAATATGTCATTGAGCGCTGGCATGTGTTCATTGCCTACCTGATTTGCTCCATCGCCTGTTGCTTGTTGGTCGCATTCGCCAACCGCGCCCTGCCTATGGTGGAATCCCTAGGCGGATTCCTGGTCGTCGGCGGCTTTCTTGTCACCGTCATCGTCTGTGCCGTGATGCCCCATGTCAACGGACAGCCCTACGCCTCCAACGATTTTGTCTGGCGCGATTGGCTCAACGAGGCTGGATATAGCAGCGATGGCTTCGTCTTTTGCCTGGGAATGCTCAATGGCGCCTTTGCCGTCGGCACGCCTGATGTCATCTCTCATCTGGCCGAGGAGGTTCCCAACCCGGGAAAGAACATTCCCCTGGGCATGCTGGCCCAATATGTCATGGGTTTCTTCACTGCTCTTCTTTACTGCATCGTGATCTTCTACGGCATCACGGACCTGGATGCCGTTCTCGAAGCCCCCTACCTCTTCCCTCTGACCGAGATCTACCTCCAGATCACCGGCTCTCGGGGTGGCTCTCTCGGTCTGATCATCGTCTCCATACTGCCTCTCTTTGTTGCCATTGTCGGCTGCTATCTCACCTCGAGTCGTGTGCTGTGGACGCTGGCCCGTGACGGTGCCACGCCCTTCAGCCGCTCCCTGGGTCAGGTCAACCATACATTCAAGAACCCCCTCAACTCCGTCCTTTTCTGCGGCGTCATTGTTATCGTCCTTGGCTGCATTTACGTCGGCAACTCGACCGCATTCAGCGCCTTTGTCAGCTCCTTTGTCGTTCTGACCACCCTCTCCTACCTCACTGCCGTTCTCCCACACTTGCTTCGTGGCCGACAGGGCGTCCGCCGGGGCTGGTTCTGGATGGGTGGCATCACTGGGTACATTGTCAACATCATCACCTGTCTGTACATGATCGTATTCATCGTGATCTTTGTTTTCCCCTTTTCGATGCCCGTGGATGCGGAAACGATGAACTACACGTGTCTGATCACGGGTGGCTTCACCATCTTCATCACGCTGTTCTGGTTCATTCGTCAGGGCAGCTATACCGGGCCGAAGGCGGTTGAGCTCGAGAGTAATGTGTTGGCGAAGGATGCGATGTAATGCATTGCCGAATGGTGTTCGTATAGTATATGGCAGTGATCTAATAGCCATGCCTAATGGTATTGTTTAGTGTTAGTATAGATACTCAAAAGCATTTGTTATACCCTTTCACGATCGCCAATCATACCGTAAATAAACCTTGGTGAGACTAACATGATAACCCCCATCCAGTATGTAACTCTGCAGCGAACTGAAGAATCGTCGAAATCGCTTATTCTAAATAGACGGTCTGAAGTCAGGCGATGCATATGTGGTAAGACTGCTTCAGAAGTTACCAAAGATGGGCTGTCATGCTTGTGGTGGCTCACGCGGTGAGAACATGCTTTGCTTTCTTTGTTATGCTCAGTAGCTTTCTTTGTCTTCGGAAAGGAGAGGACCTAAGATTTGGATTTTCCCGCTATACCATGCCTTTCGATCACAGCACCACTAGAATTGTTCTGGTGTGTGCAACGATGCTAATCCTGATGTCGGACTGCCCAACCCTGGGATAAATCGGGGGACCTGGTTGGAGGAGCGCCTGGGTCTGTTCGCTCGTCCAGAGTGGAGGTGCATTTGACCAGGCGTGGTAAAGGGGCTGCTGAGGTGGGCATTTAAAGGTAGCTTGGTAAGACTAGAGAAACTAAAGCGGCTCGAGTCTAGATAACTATCAGTGTATAAAGTAAAGAGCTGAGAGAGTTGTAGGTAGAATGGGGTGTCTGGATGAGAGTGGCTGCCTTTGCCGCCGGGCCGCCATCGCTAACGCATAGCGTAAGCAGACCAACGAATCTGGAGCCCAAGTTAGAGTAGAGAAACTTGAAAAGTGTCATAATCCAATGTCTAAGCATCAGATATGACACCTATCAATCACATATGATCTTGTAGATAACATCCACGCTATATCATAGCCGATCTAAGAAAGAATACCCGATACCATCTCTTGTCTTTACGACTATAGCTCATCGTGTCCTCCAAGATCAAAAAGATTATCATCTTCACGCTGGAAAGCCGGATCATCAAGCTGTAGCTTGGCTCTCCGCGCGGTCCCGATGGCGGCCACATAAAATGGGTCAATCTCAGCCCGAAGCAGTGACCTCCAGTTCTCCGGGAGAGCATGGTACACAGCCTGTTCCAGCGCGAACATCTCTGTCTCGGATGCTTCTCCGCTCAAAATGACTGCTCGGAGATCCTCGCCCATGGAGGATGGGATTTTCTTCTCGATAAATTTTTGAAAGAATTCTGATAATTCCTGAGAGTCGGACTAGCCACCGGATCAGCTGAAGTTCACGAGAAACACAGTGTATCAGTGGATGGGCTGTTTACCTGTCCTCCACCTTCACCATGCGCGTAAGCACTCATGTTGTACGTCGCATGTTGCTCTTCATTAATATCAACCGCATAGTCAGCGACATAACTCACCCATAGGTTTACTAGACCGTCGCAATTGAGGTCCACAAAAAAGATACAATTATCTTCGTTGAGCAAAATACAGCCTTCAGGGTGACCGAACGCTGCACACGTGTTCAGCCCATATGCACGACGTACAGCATCAAGATAACGGCTAGCGTGCCAGATAAATTGCATTGAGGTCGCTTCAAGGGCTGTGTGTTTGAGGTGATATTCGGCGATGGAGTCGAGACCAACTGGGATCCCCAGCGCTGTGATATTGATAGGTCGATGGAGATACTGAGCTGCTTGGTCCTGCGCCTGTTGAAGAAGAGATGTGATCAAATCTGCCTTGTCGGACGGGTAGCTAAGCGCACTCTCAGGAGCTGGCACCCAAGTATCATCCTCCTTAATATGCAGTCTACCTGCAATATAGCTACCACCAATTATTTTATGTCAGTGTCCATATGCTGCGCTAGGTGATGTCGTTACTAACGCCCTTCTCGCAGAATCAGCGAGTAGCTGCTTCATATGCTCCTGGTATGCTGAAGGTCCTTCTATCTTGACGAGCGGTATTGCTTGATCGTCTCCATTTACATAGGCTGCTGTGCTGCTCAAGGTGTTAGATCTGCTTGATTCGCTGAGGCTGGCCTGCGTACCTACATATACGTTGGTCCGAGGTTGACTCCTAAGGCTGCGTTGTCGCCGATTGTCAGTTTCTCAATAAGGTGACTGAAGAGATAGCATTACTCACGATATCCATTAGAGGCCACACTGCAGACTACCAACTGCAGAACAAGACATAGCAGAGTCACCAACTCAAGACATTCTACCATCTTTGCCGGCTAATAAAATATGCCAGATGCCGAAGTACGAGAATGTCGATAATACTCGGGAAAGAGTACAGGACATAGAAACATAAGACCAAGGTAGGTGAGGTGGATGGTAGGCAGAAGTGACTGGTGTGGAGACGAACCAGGCCAGTGATTCCAAATCTTCCACAGCTTTGTTGACACCTGACCAGGGGTAACGGCCATGGCCGGAATTTGAGCCAGGCTTCGGAATGAGTTTCTGGACTAGTCACACAGAAGTCTTCGGAAGCTGCTGCTATACCACCAGCCTCACTTCTGTCATACCGTAGTACCTGAATCCGCCTAGCCGCAGGTTCGTGCTCCATGCACTCCGGAATAAAACCAGCTGGTTCCTGGCATAACTGCATACTGACGGGGATGCAACACCTTGGAACTTGGAAGACTGAAATCCAAGCTCAGGGGTTTGTGCCAGCCTACACCCTTCTTTGTTCCGCGCGGCCCTTTTCGGACTAGTTGCTTATAGGTACTTAGAGGTATAGAGCGGAAAACTACACCTGATTCCACAAAACACTTGATTTAACAACGGATGGATGTGGAATGACCAAGGGGAACCCTCTACGAATTCCTTGCAGATACTGAACCCTGCCAGCCAACGCAATTGATCAGAGCATTCGAACAATATCACTTTGGGCTGCAACCGGGATATAAATACTACCGCATATCAGTCAAAAGACGACTCAGCTCTGCATGAGACCGGAAGGTATGATCATGTCAATTGCTACTGTGAAGATGACTTGGAAGGTGTTATCTGTGAATAGAAGATGCAAACCGGCCGAGATTATCGACTTGCAAGAAAGCTAATGCTCCGTAGATTAATATCGTATGTGTACCAACCCCTTATCTTCAGCATCCAAGAGCATCATATATCCTAGTGAACTCCACTACAACCTCACCGGCTCCTTATCCCCCTCGACCAACAAATGCCCCTCCCTCACCAACGAATTCCGACACGACCTCTTTTTCACAAAATCCTCCAAATTCCCCAACGTCACCTGGGCAATCTCACTCAACGCCTCCCGTGTAAAAAACGCCTGATGCCCACACACCAACACATTCGGAAACGTCATCAACCGCATCAACGTATCATCATGAATAATCTCCGCCGAATGATCATTATAAAACAGATCCCCTTCCTCCTCATACACATCCAACGCCAACCCCCCCAACCGCCCCTCCTTCAACGCCTCCACCGCATCCCGGGTATGCACCAAACCACCCCGGGAGGTATTCACCACCAACGCCCCCCTCTTCAACTTTCCCAAACTCCCCTTGTTGATAATATGCCTCGTCCCCTCCGTCAACGGACAATGCAAACTCACAATATCACTCCGTCCCAACAACTCCTCCAACCCCACATACTCGCCCCCTAACTCCGTGAACTCGACACCCCCATACGGGTCCGACCCCAACAGCGTACATCCAAAACCCTTCATAATCCTCGCAAACGCCATCCCGATCCGTCCCAGCCCAACCACCCCCACCGTCTTCTTATAGAGCGTGGCGCCGAGAAACCCCTCGAGATTGAAATTGCCCTCCCGGACGCGGTTGTATGCGCGGTGGGTTTTCCGATTCAGGGTTTGGATCAGGGCGACGGCGAACTCGGCGACCGCTTCGGGGGAATAGCTGGGGACATTGGCGACGAAGAACCCGAGGGATTCGGCCAGCGGGAGGTCGATGTTGTTGTAGCCGGCGCAGCGGAGGAGGATGGCGCGGACGCCGTAGCCGTGCAGGGCGTGCAGGACGGGAGCGTCGAGTGTGTCGTTGACGAAGACGCAGATGGCGGTGCTGGTGCGGGCGAGGGAGACGGTCGTGGAGGTGAGGGCGAAGGGGTGGGTGGTGATGGTGCAGAGGGGGGGGTTGAAGGTTTGGAGGGTTTGAGTGAAGTAGTGTGCGTCGTAGGATTTGGCGGAGAAGAGGGTGAGTTCCATTTTGGTAATGATTATGCTTTGGCTGGTGGAAGAGAAGTTGGCATGTGAGGTGATGTGAGGTTGATGAGGGGTGATACATGTAGGACTGAGGGGATGGATGACGTAGTAGATCTGGGGTGTAACTTTGTCGGAGCATCTGAGGTTGGTCGTACATTTCCTCCGGGACTGTGTACGGGAATTTACCGGGCCAATTAATTGAAGTAGGAGTGATTGGTGCAGGCTTGATATCGATGCAATGGTAGGTTGTGTGCATGTCATGCTCGGGATCAGTCAGGCAGAATTCAAATCGGTGGTTTGACTGTTATATTGTTTCAGGGGAAACCCCGTGAGTGAGCTTAATTCAGCCCTAACGCATATTCCAACCGTGTCAAATGATTCCTGTAGTGGAAGTTCGATTGTATCGCTGGTCTTGATTTGGACCTTTCATGATGCTGTTCAATCATAGTGATGTTCTGCTAATTTGCCCGGAGAGCTTGCAGTATCATCTAGGCTTCCTGCAATTCAACTATTTTCACCACGATCATGCACTACTACATTGTCTGATCGCACATTGGATCCTCTGAATGGAACAGGACTCGTAGTCCTAGTAGAGTATGTAGATGAGCTGTACGGAGTAGCCGGCCAATGATCGGCCGGACAAGCTATATCGGGACTTGCCGGTTTCGGAAAAGTGACGCCCGTTCCCGCGCCAAGTGGGCATCTCCAATGCCTGGAATCTGGAGTCCTGTCCCTGAGGATGGATCGAGTATTGTACTTACATAGTGGTATTCGGGCTGAAAACGCTCAAGAAATAATGATCTGAATTCTGAAGGTAGCGAGATCTGATCGTGGATGCTACTCGTCACCGATCGGCCACCCCACCAAAGTCTCTGCACCGTCAGAACATCAGAACCACGCAGCGATTACGATATCAGCGCACTAAGCGACCGTGGAAGTCAGCATGGCCTGATACCTCGACCTGCAGCCGTTGCGGAAGTCCGGATGCTTGACCTCAGGCTTTGGAGGCTGGAGCTGCCTGAAGTGGACACCTCGACTGTCAGCGAGACAGCGACCGGTCCCACCCCCTTTTCTCCGGTTCGTTAAAGCTTGTTCGATTGTCACCTCCAACAGGATTTTGGGCCAGAACCTCATTCGTTTCCCGTCGTCTGCCCTCCTCTCGCCATGGACCCCTCCACATTTATCGATCCGTACCTGACACCGCCCGATCGGCTGGTGCTCGATAACCTGCTGAAAGATAGCCAGGCACCCCCCAAAAAGGGGAGATCAAGTAGATACCCACCGCCTTACCGCGCCGCTGCTTTTCCGAGATCATGCTAACAGCTCTCAGCGGCTGGGACACAAACAAGCTCCGATGCCGATGCGACCATCAGCCAACTGGAGGCCTTCAATGACCCCCAGCATGCCGAGTTTGTCCCCACGGTCTGGTTCTTCTGGGACCTGAAAGATGTCAAGCTGCATCCTCTCCTGGATCAATGGGTGCTGCAGCCCTATATCAAAGCTGCACGGTCCATCGTCCGCGTGGAAACCGACGTGGTCATGCTCACGCATCTCCTCCTCTACTTTGCCACCTCGATCCCCAGTGCGATTTATCTCTACCGCAACTTCCACTGGGTCCATGGCGTCCTCCACTGGCTCATGCAATCCTGGTACGTGGGTACCTATACCCTGATGATGCACCAGCACATCCACATGGGTGGCATCCTGAAAAAGCGCCTCTGGTGGTGGTTCGACCTGCTGTTCCCCTACATCACGGACCCGTTGATGGGCCACACCTGGAACTCCTATTACTACCACCACGTCAAGCACCATCACGTCGAAGGCAACGGACCCGAGGACCTGTCCTCGACCATCCGGTATCAGCGCGACAGCCTAGCCGATTTCGCCTGCTACGTCGGCCGCTTCTACCTCTTCATCTGGCTGGAGCTGCCCACCTACTTCCTACGCAAGGGCAAGGTCTACTTTGCCCTCAAGGCCGCGTTCTGGGAGATTGGCAGCTACGTGATGATGTACCTGATGTGGAACTACGTCAGCTGGCGGGCCACGCTGTTCGTGTTCCTTCTTCCGTTCCTGCAGCTACGCGTCGGCCTCATGGTGGGCAACTGGGGCCAGCATGCCTTTGTCGATGAGACGGACCCGAACTCGGACTTTCGCTCGAGTATCACCCTGATTGATGTAGCGGTATGCCTTTCCTCCCCTCCCTTTTTACCCCTTCTGTTATTTTATCTCTGCTGTTCCACCGCACCTCTTTATCTATCTCTAAACTTACCATTGGCAAATTAGAGCAACCGCTTCTGCTACAACGACGGCTACCACACCTCCCACCACCTGAACCCCCGTCGCCACTGGCGCGACCACCCCGTGGCCTTCCTCCGTCAAAAAGACCGCTACGCCACGGAACACGCCCTCGTGTTCCGCAACATCGACTACATCATGATCACGGTGCGTCTGATGCGCAAGGACTATCGCTACCTAGCCAAGTGTCTGGTCCCGATGGGTGACCAGATCGGCATGACGGAGGATGAGTTGGCGGAGATGTTGCGGCGGAAGACTCGCCGGTTTAGTGAGGAGGAGATTCAGCGGAAGTTTAGTTGAGGGGGGGTGATATAGTATGTTTTGTTTGCTGATGGTGTTGGTTGATACTATCGTGGCTGATGAGTCTAATGGTGGTTTTTTTAGATAAATATCTTGTCTTGCATATAGATGCGCGCGCGTGTGGAGATAGACAGACAGCGGCGCTGTTGCAGATGCATATACGCTAATCTATACCTCATCTAATCTCGTCTATGCCACGCCCGAAAACAAACAATACTAAAAACAGGAAGCAGATCTAGGGAGAAGGACTAAGCAGGAATCAACCGTCCGAGGAGGGGAATCCTCCGCAACAACCTCGGCACCATGCGCTGCCCATGCACAATCAACGGCACCACCGCCACCACCCACATGGCATACACGACCCCCACCGCAAGCCCCAGTCGAATCCTCTCCCCGATTGACACTCTTCCACCACCACCACCACCACCACCACCACCACCACCACCACGCCCCTCCAACAACGCCGTCTCACTCCCCACCTCCCCCTCCCTCTCCACCACGCTCCTCTCCACCGCCTCCGCCATCCGCCCCGCCACCCGCCGATGAATCTTCTCCCAGGTCATCTCCTCCGCATACTGGCGCGCCCCAACCCCCAACTTGGCCCTCAACCGCTCATCCCTCACCACTTCCCCCACCAACCCCGCAAACACCTCCACCTCTCCCGGCGGCACCAAATACCCCGTTTCCTGATTCCGGACGATATCCGACGGACCGCCCTGATCGCGCGCGATGACGGGTAATCCACTCGCCATGGCCTCCAGCACGACTAACCCGAACGTCTCGGTGATCGAGCAATGCAGGAATACGTCCGCGGAGGCGTATGCGCGGGCGAGATCGATCCCTGTTAAGAAGCCGAGGAATATGACGTGGTCTTTGAGGATTGGGGTGGAGAAGAGGGTTTGGATGCGGGATGTGACGGTTGGGTTGGGGTTGCCGCCGACGATGATTAGTTTGAAGGGGGGTGGTTTGCTGTTGGTGGTGGTGGTGGTGGTGGTGGTGGTGAGAAGGGCAGTGATGGTGGCGGCGAGGAATTCGAAGCCCTTCTCTGGGGCGAGACGGCAGACGGTGAGGAGGATGGTTTCGCCGTTGGGGGCGAGGGATTGGCGGAGGGATGGGGCGCGGTGGGAGGGGTGGAAGAGGGTGGTGTCGACGCCGCGGCCGAGTCGGTAGGTGCGGGAGAGGGGCGTGTGGGTGGTTTGGAGGTAGGTGAGGACGGCGCTGCAGGGGTAGAAGATGGTGTGGATGGCCGGGTGGGTGAAGAGGTAGCCTTGGACGGTGGCGAGGAGCCAGACGGCGAAGTTGGCCAGGAAGGGTGGGAAGATGATCTCGCTGTAGGAGGAGAGGTCGGTTTGGAAGTTCAAGAGGGTGGGTGGGGGGTGGTGCAGTTGGCGGAGCTGGAGGAGGACTTGGAAGCCTAATGAGGCGGGGCTGGCGATGTAGATCAGGTCCGGTTGGAAGGTGGGCATGAAGATGTCGTTGACCAGGTGGAAGGGGTAGACCAGGGAGAGGTCGGGGTTGTAGGGCAGGGGATAGCCTGGCAGACGGAGGGTTTGTTGTTCACTTGGTGGTGGTGATGATGATGATGATGATGAGGATGCACCAGCAAAGTCCGGCGCAACCACGACCAGGTCGACGCCATTGCGGCGGAGATATTCGATCAGTTTGCCCGTGGTGCGACTGACGCCATTGACGGGCCCCAGTGACTCGGTGGTCAGGAGAATCCTCTTGCCTTTGAGGATGCTGGGAAAGTCCTCCGATGGGGGATTGAAGGGCGGCATGGCGATGATCGATGGCAGCCATGGCCGACACTGCGCCAACGCACGTACTTATGCTGCTACATGATGACTGTAAATGAAACGGTCTGGCTGTGTGTGCATCTCAAATGACCCATGGTGAAGGTGCCGCAACGCAGAAATGAGAGTTGCAGGGTAATTCGTGTCGCAAAGCTGGACGGAGGCACGTGGGCCGGGCAGAATGTCTCTGTCGTCGACGGGAGGGCAACACAAACCTCCTGCATCCCCCGAGACTTGACCCAGTGGCAGTCCGTGCCGCCCCCCGCGTGCATCAACCCATGCAGCTCTGTGGCATCCGATTGCTGGCCGTGGCGATCCCGAGCTCATGGGTTGCTTATCACGTTTGCTCAACGGCATGCGGGCAGGGCGCGCGACCCCCAGCGCTTATCTGGTGCGGTGCCAGGTACGGAGCAGAGGCTTATACCCCCCTCTTCCCTGCCCCTCCGGCACCTATGTGTGAGTTGAATTTGCCCGGACGGTTACACGAGTAGGTCTGTCGCTATGGATCTCGCTTCTTCGCCACGGAGTTCTCTTGAATGGAGTCTGGATGACAGTTCAACATGTCCGACCACCCCTGCGTCGAGTCCGCTGTTTCGCGCCGCGAAGGTGGACGATGTATCGCATTCCTCACCTGATGCAGTGTTCTCAGACGACCGCGTGAAGAGCATTTGTGTAGTGGGTGCAGGATATGTCGGTAGGTTTGGATGCATACTTCAGCTTCGCACTACTAACTCTACAGGCGGACCGACGGCTGCGATTCTCGCCCTGTACAATCCATCGGTTGAAGTGACCGTGCTGGACCGGGATCCGCGTCGTATTCAGGGCTGGAAATCGTCCCATCTGCCGGTGCATGAGCCGAGCTTGTACAATGTGGTACGGGCTACGCGCGATGGTTCGGACATGGCGAATGCAAACGAGGCATTTTCGAAGCGACAGCCCAATCTGTTCTTCACGTGCGACTCGATGACCATCGCCCAGGCCGACATGGTCTTTCTAGCGGTGAACACGCCCACCAAGACATTCGGTCTGGGCGCGGGCAGAGCCACCGACATGACTGCGGTCGACGGAGCCGTGCAGGAGATCGCCCTGCACGCGAAGCCAGGGGCGATTATCGTCGAGAAGAGCACCGTGCCGTGTGGGACGGCTGAGAGGGTGCGACAAACGGTATGCTGTGCCATGTTTACACCTGATCCGTTCTGACGGTCTAGCTATCTACCCTGCGCCCCGGCGTCCCGTTCGAAGTCCTCTCGAACCCCGAGTTTCTGTCCGAAGGCTCGGCTATTGAGAACCTCGTCAGCCCAGACCGCGTCCTCATCGGGTCCTCTGGGACCGCGTCGGGTCGTCGTGCTGCCCGCATGCTGGCGCATCTGTACACCTGGGTGCCACCCGCGCGGATCCTCCAGGTCAACGCCTGGTCATCGGAGCTGGCGAAACTCGTGGCCAACGCAATGCTGGCCCAGCGCATCAGCAGCATCAACTCGATCAGCGCCATCTGCGAGAAGACCGGCGCGGAAGTCGACCAGGTCGCGCGCGCCATCGGCATGGATGCACGGATCGGCTCGCAGTTCCTGAAAGCGGGAGTCGGATTCGGAGGGTCCTGTTTCCGCAAGGACATTGCCAGCCTAACCTACCTCGCCGAGTCGTTAGGCTTGGAGGAAGTCGCACACTACTGGCGCCAGGTCAACACGATGAACGAGTACCAGCGCGTACGGTTCGCGCGACGAGTCATCCAGCGCTTCGACGGCAACCTGACGGGCCGCAAGATCGCCGTGTTAGGGTTTGCATTCAAAAAAGACACCGGGGATACGCGCGAATCCCCCGTCGTCGACGTCATCCGACTCCTACTCGAGGAACGACCCGCGGAGATTGCCATCTTCGATCTCTACTGCCACGAGGAGGACATCCTCCGCGAACTCGAATCGGCCTGCGGCGCCGAGCTCGTCTCTACCAAGGTCACGATCCTCTCCGACCCGTACCTGGCTTGCTCGCAAGCCCACGCAGTCCTCGTGATGACAGACTGCGACCAGTTCAAGAACGGGCGCAAGCGAACCAGCTCCCGGTCTGATTCGGAGACGTACGAGAGTCTCGACGAGATGGTTTCCGCGCGCAAGGACGCGACGTGGGCGTTCCACGGGATGACCTTTCGACTGGCCCCGCAGGATGTCTGTGCGGGGGACTGCGCGGCGTGTCGGTCGTGGAGTCCACGAGTGGCTAGTGAGCCATTGGAATGGGCGCGGATTGCGTACCATCTGCAGGATCCGAAATGGGTGTTTGATGGGCGGGGATGTTTGGATGGGGGGGAATTGGAGAAGTTGGGGGTGGAGGTGGAGGCGATTGGAAGATGATACCCGATACAGTTGCATATTCAGTCTTTCTTCAGACATACTAAACGAATTAATACTATCACCATTCATACATACAGCATAACACGACACCACCCCCCTTCCCCCCAACACCCTCTTAAAATAGTACATAAAAAAAAAAGAATCACAAAGAAGCCTCAAACCCCCCATCCACCTCCTCCACCTTCCTCACCGCCCTCACATACGCCTCCTCCCCCTGCAACCGCTCCGCATACCCCTTCAGCAACGGAAACGTCTTCAAATCCACCCTCCCCGCCATGGCAATCACCGGAAAACTCATCATAATATCCGCGGCCGTCAACTCCGTCCCGCAGATATATTTGCCCCCACCGGGACTGGAACTGAGTTGTTGTTCCAGGAACTCTAGATGCGCGGTGATGTTGCGCGTGAGGAAGGCGGATTCGATTTGGCCTGCCACGAGACGAGGCAGGGGTTTGATGAAGAAGGGCATGCCGGGGGGGTTTTTCACCGCTATTATCGATAGTCATTAGTTCTCAATGGGATAATCAAGGGGAAAGGGAGGATAATGGGAGGGGGGAACGTACTATCCACAACCAACTGCATCACCAAAAACGGCATGAGACTCCCCTCCGCATAATGCATATAATACCGATACCGCATCCATTCCTCCGTCTCGCCGCCCACGACCCCCTCCTGGCCAGACTTATACCGCTCCGGGATCAGTGGTGTACTGGCGTTCGACCCGAAGTGGTCGAGGAGGTATTCAATAATCACGCCGGATTCGGCCAGGACCATGGGCTCGGTGGAGTTGGGGGCGTGGACGGTGAGCAGCGGGGATTTTCCTAATGGATGGATGGATTTTAGTTCCGGAGGGGCGAGCTTGTCGGGCCCGCGGTGGTAGATTTTCAGGTCGTAGGTTAGGTGGAGGGCTTCGAGGAGGAAGAGGATCCGGTGGGAGCGGGATTGGGAGAGCCTATTCCTTTTCTTAGTTTTGGAGATGGGGAGGGGGAGGGGGGGGGAGGGTACCAGTAGAGGGTCAGCTTGGTGCCTTTGTTGGGGTCGGTCATGGTGGTGATGTTCTTCTTCGTACGGAGTAGTGGTGGTGGTGTGGTGGTTGTAATGAGGGATGAGTTGGTGGATAAGATGGGTTGAACAGGTTGATAAGGTATAGGGGCAGTTAACCTAGGTATACGAGCCTAGACTGAATGTGATTGTGAGTTCTGCTCGCAACCTCGGATGTCTGAACGTGACGCCATGGTGGGGCGCCCATTTTTGCGATAGCACTGTAGTAAGTCAACTGAACGCAGAATTATGATGGATTATATGCGTGCAATGCTACCACAGTATAACTTGTTATCTTATCTGGTATCTAGCCGGTGTCTGGTTGTATCGCTGATGATGCATGTAGCATAACGCATAACTGCACTGTATAAATATGTAATGCATTGCTGACTCATCAATGCCATCAATGCCATCAAGGTCAATGTCGTATATCACCTGACAACCTCACTTCACATCCGCTCACCACCACATCAACCATCCACAACCGCAGCCATGGCCGGTCCCAGCAAGTGTACGTCCCCTCCCCAATGCTTCTCTGCAACAATACTAACCATCCCAGCCCTGATCCTTGATCCGGCCCTCCAGAAATACTACGGTCCGTCCTGATCCACCAATGAGACTCGTCGCATTCCTCGAAACTAATCCCAGCAGACCTCACTGCCAACCGCTACAAGTACTTTCGCTGGATGCCGCGTCATGCCTGGTTCTCGTTCCTCTATATGGCTTTGATCCCGGGTACGCTGGGCTATGTGGCGTACAAGACTGATGTATGTATCCCCTGGGTTCGTGGGCAGTCGAGGTGGCTAGGCTAACCATGTAGGGTCTGTACAACTTGCGCGGAAAGCGTAGAGGCGATCCCATCGTGGAGTTTTAGTCTCTCTGATCCTGCAGGAAGAAAGGTTCAGGGTGATGGATCAGGCTGAATATGTACCTACTACTACTACCACCATTATACCGCGGAAGTTTCGTTCATTTACCATTTTCATTGTCGAGCCGTTTCACTCTACCGGTACATTCATCGTAGGTAGCTGCCGGGTATCCTCAACTCCTAACATAACAACAACAACAACAAAAGGAAGAAGGGGAGACATGTAAACTAATACGGCGCCCATCCCCTCCTCCCCCCTCTCCCTCCACCACCACCAGCTCTATCCCCTCCACTCCCCTCCGGCACACGTTCCCCCCGTCTCCAATCCCCCGGCGGAATCCTCTCCCCCCTCCCCCCTCTCATCCCCCCACGAAACCGTCCCCCTCCCTCCCCTCTCTCCCTCATATCCCCCGGAAACGCCCTCATCCCACCACCCATCGCCATCCCCCGTCCGGCATTCACCGGCGGCGCCACCGACCCATCCTCCAACGGAGGCAAAACCGCACAATCGACATAATCCCCAATAACGAACCTCGCCTCCTGCAACGTCTTCTCTGCATCATTTCCCTGAATCCGTATGCCCTTCCCTCCGCCCTGTGTCTCCTCGTCACCCTCATTCCCATACGAGGATCCTCCCCGCGGCCCAACAACTACACTCCCCAACTCCTTAGCCAAATACCGACCCCTCGCGTCGGGCCCCATCGTCGCGGCGCCCTTCGTGTCCGGGTAAATCAGCCGGAAGCACAGTCTCGTTCCGATCGGCGGATCGGGGAGAAGATTCGGCAGTGCGGAGGTCAAGAGCTGGGAGAGTTCGCGGAGGGTGCAGGATTGCCAGGTGTAGATTTGGAGGTGCGAGGGGAGGGTGTTGGTGGTGGTGGAGGGGGGTGGACTGCGCGTGCGGATCGCGTTGGGGCCGCTGGTAGGGCCGTTGTAGTGGCTGCCATAGGAGGAGGAGGAGGATTGAGGTGCAAAGTCGGAGAGGTGGTGGTAGTTGTTTAGGCGGTAGAAGAGCTTGAGGTGGAAGGGGGTGGTGGATTGGCGGTCGATCGTGGGGGGTGTTTTGGGAGGCATTTTGATAATTCTTGGAGGTAAGTAAGGGTCGTTTGGATTGAGTGAGGTGTGGTGTTAGTTCATTGCGGTGAGGTGGGGAGGGTGGTGGTTGATGTGAGATGGCGAGGGAGCTGGAGCAAGCTATGATTGGAATGGAGTGTTGGTTGATGCCGCAGGCGGAGGCGGCGCGGCAAGTTTGCCGGTCCGGACCTCGCTTTGCGACGTTGTTTCTAAACTCACTTGACACAACGACGCTATCGACTACTTTGTGTTCTTTTACTGAAAAGGGAGGGGGGAAATAGGAAAATGGATTTCGCTGCGTTAATGTCCAAGGAGATTTCCAAGGCAAAGCCCAAAGCTGACGCCCAGGATCCCTCCAAATCCAAATACACCCGTCGCGGCGACCTCGAGGCCGCCCGCATAGCTGCCTACAATGAAGAACAGGAGCGACTCAGTCGCGAACGCGAAGAACGGCTCGCTCAGAAACGCAAGCTCGAGGACGAAGAGGCTGAGCGCCGTCGAGAGCGTGAGGATAAGAAGCGCAAACTGGCTGAGGAGTCGCGGAAGAAGCGTGAAGAGGAGGAAGCAGCCCGTGAGCGAGAGCGAAGGAAGAGACTGGGATTGCCGGAATTGCCACCGACTGAGGCAGGAGATGATAAAGATGCGGACAAAGACGACGAGGAGGATATCCCTGAGGAGGACTTGTTGCAAAAGTTGCGCGAGTTGGAGGAGCCGGCCATATTATTCGGGGAGACACACAAGGGACGTCTACGACGGTATCGTCGATTGGTACAGCGGGCGTTGACACCGCAGCAGCAGTTGTCAGATGGTCCGATTCCCACGACGTTGGAGCTGGTGCCAGAGGTCGAGATGAAGATCCCCGAGAAGATGCCCAAGGACCTGGAGGGGAAGAAGTTCCTCTTCCGGCAGCTGGCGTCGTACTTTAACATGGTGCTGCGGGAGTGGGAGCTGGCCCTGGCGAAGCGAGATGTGTCGGTCAAGCAGAGCTTGCAGGGACGACAGGCCTACAATGCCATGGTGCAGTCGCGGGAGAATATGAAGCCGCTGTTTCGCAAGTTCGAAAAGGTCGAGATCGATGACGGAGTGCTGGAACATGTGGTGGAGATTGTGTCCAAGGCGCAGCAACGGCGATATGTCGATGCCAATGATGCTTATTTACGTTTGAGTATTGGAAAAGCGTATGTATCCTCCCTCATTTCTACCTGACCCAGCTAACATTCACAGTGCATGGCCCATTGGTGTAACCATGGTGGGTATCCACGAGCGATCCGCACGAGAGAAGCTGCATCAGAGCGATCAGCAGGCCCATATTCTGAGCGACGAGATTACTCGAAAGTACCTGCAGAGCATCAAGAGATGTCTGAGCTTTGCGCAGACGCGGTGGCCTCCAGATGACCAGTTGCAGATTATGGGCTAGTCAGGAAGTGGGGGGAAGTGTACGATTATGGCAGCTACCCTATACCCTTGTCCATGAAGACTGTGACAGCTCCTATTCTTTATATAGGCTATATTTCTGAAACTTGAACCTATTCAAGGAATGTCGCAATGCGCGTAAGGGGTCGAACCCTGTCCACACGAGTGAGAATCGTACCAAAGGTTGGAGAGTTGACTTGCTCGCGAAATCTATATCTTATGGTCACTCGGGCTTCCTCCCATGCCCCTCACCCCAGAACGATTACTCAACGCGTGCAAACCAAGGATGCTCCAAGGCCTCCTTCGCCGTGATCCGTTTCATCGGATTAATGTATGTCATCTTAGCCACCAAGTCCCTCAACTCGGGCTCCAGCCACATCCACTTCTCAACCGGCTCTCTAGGACTCTTCCCCCCAAAAGTGGTTAGTAATTCTAACAGGCGTTAAAAGTACGGGTTCTCATCGCCTAGATGCTCCAGAAACCGCTCTATGCCGTCGATATCTGCGAAATATGATAGATGGAGGCGGAGAATGTGACGCCACGAGTCGTCCGCGTTTAGTTGGTCGTCGGGCACGCGCAAGACAATCCGCTTGGTCATCACGTAGACGATCTGCGCACGGTATTAGCCAACGGAAACAGGTAAACAGGTGGTGTTATTTCAAAGGGGCGATCCAGCTGTACTGACCACGAGACCAAAAGAAAACACATCGGAGGTCTGGTTTTGAAAGGACCGCGCCCAGCTCTCGGGGCTTCGCCACATCGCATTGCCGCAGAGAGGTCCCTCTAGCCAACTTCCAGGCGGGACGACGACTGTATCCTCCAGGTCGGCAATCCGGACTTGATTGATGGCGAACTCTTGGCCTTCCGCAGCAGGCTCTGTGTAGTCGATGAGGATGTTGTTGGGCTTGATGTCTGTGCATGGGGTTAGCATGGGGGAGATTGCACGTAGGTGCGGCCAAACTTCCCATTATGTTGCATATCAATAGCGTGCATGTCGACGAGCCCTTGTAGTGCGCGCCGGAGGATCTGCTTCCTTGTGGCTATGGAGAGGCGTTTCTGGGCGAATTGGAGGAGATTGGTGTCGAGGAAGGGGTAGATGAATGCCTCAGACTCCCGGGCGGAATCAATGGCCGTGCGGATGTTGGGGGACGAAGCTAATTGTCTCTGCAGATCGAGCTGATAGTCCAATTCGCCGGGGACCATGTTCTTGATGACGTATTGCTTGCCCTCGGCGCTGGATGCAGGGTGATTATTTCATATTAGTATAACAACAGCTCCCGGGCCTTGGTAACCAGTGATCGCACCTCGCTCGATATACGTGTAACCCAGTCTGCCTCGCCTCCGTGAGCAGTTCTTCAATCCGGTAAGTCTGCCCGGAGTCCCCTTTGACGCTGGCGCCTTGAGTGAGTGGCACCTGGCGTAACTCGGCGAGGGTGGATGTCATGGATTGCTATCTAGGTTGGCGTGGAAGATATGAGTTTCGGACTGTAGAGAATGACAGTCTTAGCAACCATGATGGCCGCATTGATAGAAGACTTGAAATGTCGATGAGCTTTATGGGAGACTCAATCAGTTCATGCTCTCGATTCACTTCACGTCACGCCGCGCGCGCCTGGGCGGCCCATTGTACTACTCCGAGAACGGCTGAGTTACTGTCCAGTCACTGGCAAGGGCCTATATAATTGCAATAACCTCCGGTACGGGTAGATACAAACAAGTCTCAACAACAACAACAACAACAACAACAACAACAACAACAACAACAACAACAACAACAACAACAACAACCCCTATATCAAGACATGTACAGTTAGTTGCAGTGGCAGAGAGAGGAGAGGAGGTAAAGCAATGATTTAAGCACTGCGCTGCGCTGCCCGCCCGGGGCGATCCCCCGGCTGACTCGGGTACCTGGCCGCCGAGGCGCGCGGCGTGATGTGACGTGACATAGATAGAGCAAGATGAATCGAGGACAGACAGACCCAATTAATTGCCCCTCTCCCATAAAGATGGTCGCTGCAGTTGTCCCCGGCATCCGCTGTTTTACTTCCATGCGACCACCGTTCTGGTTGAGAGAGTCGTTTTCCGTGGCCCGAAACTCTTGTCGTCAACGCCTACCTTTGCAGCGATCCCTGATGTCGGCCCTCACCCAGTCGCGCCAGGTGCCTCTCACCCAGGGCACAAGCATCAAGAGCGACTCCGGGCAGACCTACCGCATCGAGGAGCTACTCACCCACGGGGGTAAGACCGCGTTGCATGTCTATCGAGCGAGGTGCGTTCCATGGGTCGAAACCACTCATCCGTTGCGACTGACCTGCTGGCAAGCGCGGAGGGCAAGCAATACGTCGTCAAGAACTTGATTCCAGGCGAATTTGATTATCAATTCGACCTGCAGAAATCGCTCTCTCCTTACCCCAACATCCGAACCGTAACTGATACCGTTCGGGAGACGGAGGTGTTCATTTACCCCTTCCTGCGTGGCGACTTGCTTCGCTTCAGTCAGAAGAATCTATCCCAAGAGACCAGGAGGAGAATCCTCCGAAGCGCACTGCAAGGACTGGTCAATATGCATGCTAATGATATCGTTCATAATGGGAAGCCTGCCTGCTCCTTGGCGGACTGGGAAGGACCGTCAATGCTGACTATCCACAGACATCAAACCCAACAACATCCTCGTCGACTACACGGAACCTGCCACCGAGGGTCAAGAGATCATTGTGAACCAAGTACAGATCTCTGATCTGGATGCCACTGTCATAGTTCCACCAGGACGATGGCTCCGCGGCCCTCTGTGCGGAAACGCCATGTGGCGAAGCGCCGAGAGCTGGGCGCGGTCCCGTCAGAACCAATCATCCGATGTCTTCTCGTTTGCTCTTGTGGTATGTGCAGCCATTCGGTCCTCTTCTCATCGAACCATGTGCTTCTGACCCGCTAATACCCCCGGCTAGATGGTCTACGTAATGGCCAACCGGATGGTCTTGCGCGTTCCCGACGATCAGCTCAATGCGGAAGACGCATGGCGCCATATTCTGCCCCTTCATCTATCGTACTTTGCCAACATCGATGGTTTAGAGCAGTTCCTGGACCATATCGGGGAAGAGAATCCGTACTTTCAACGCATGTTGGAGTTGGTTAGTACATTTGGGCCGGAGAATCCGCTACTACCGGTCAAGGGGTGGACGTTTCTAGAGCCGGAGCTGAGGGATTTGGTGGAGAAGATGACGCCGCTGGATCCAAGGAGAAGGATAACATCGAAGGAGGCGCTGGAACATCCGTGGTTCAAACGGACGGAATAAGTGATGGAAATGTTGTGGAAAGAGCACCTCGAGATTGTCCGGGTACTCTGAGTGATGATGCCTTTGGCTCCCCGTGTCTGGCTATCGTGAGCGATAACCATACTAGTACTGTCAAGCTGGCCGGGATCTATGAATATAATTTCAGTGAACATAAACTCAGTCTTCTGGGGGGGGGGGGGGGTTGTATTCAATGGTTTGGATTAATTGCACCTGTAGGTCGGGCAGGTTAGGCATCATAGGGTACTAGTCATCCTGCCAGTGCTGCGGTAGGTGATCCTGTAAGCTAAACTCCCTCTACTCATCGTTAGATTAGTATACTACTTAATCAAGAAGAAATATCAATGCAATGCATAACAACAAGTTCAGTGATATGTAGATGAGCTTAGACCCCGACCGCAAACTGCGACACTAGAGCACTAAAAAAGGAAGAGAGAATAACCACCCCAAACAGCTATCAGACGCACCACCGAGCATGCGATATATACACATCTATCTCTATCATGTATGCTACAATCACCGAACGTCAAACCATCTCCACAGCCATCGCCACAGGCCATTCGGCATCACTCTCTGCGGCAACGTAGACGCCATGCGGTCGTTATCGACAACACGGGTCTCGCTGGGAGGCGTAATGTCGTGTCCGTCAATCCCGCGCATCACGCCTAACGACGACTGCGGTCGGGAAGTATTGTTCGATCCACTGCGGACGCGTTCTTTACCGGTACGCGCGTCGATCAGTTTCCCCGCGGCCTGGACACAGCTCCCGTATGCGAACCGGATTAAGGAGTCACCGGTGAGGCTGCCGATGATGAATACGTTGGGTGCAACCTCGGTGTCCTCACAGGCTTTGCTGCGCAGGGTCCGCGCGGAGATAATCGGACTTATGTCAGTGGCATCACCAACGACCTCGCTCAGGAGAGACCGGTCGAGGTACTCGAGACTACCCCGTCGGCCGGTAGCGTAGACCATTCCACGCACAGCCCGAGTAAGCGTACTCCCGTCGGGTTGGCGGAATGTGATAATGGCCTGTTTCTCTTGCATCTCGACGCCAACGATTTCGGTGTTGGGAAGTCCTTCGTAAACCTCATCCCAAGACCGAGTCTCCAGGAAAGGTGTCGACGTGGTCCGTCGCATCTTCACCCGCTTCTTGCTGGGATCTGCTGCAACCGCCGCTCGTTTCATCAGGCGGTAGACTCCCGCGTACTCGGGATAGGCTTGGTGGTGGCACCCACGCAGGGGCGACGACCGACCTTCCGGGTCCCATTTGAAAACATGAATGATCTTCTGGTCTTTGGGGGCAGAAATGATGATATCCGCGGCGGAGAACCCGGACCCAATGACCAAGAGCGGAGTCTCCGGAACGGGCTGCAGCGCCGCCATGGGCTGCAACATCGGGCTTGGCTGTAGCACTTGGGTGAAGATCCCGCTGGCCAGGACCAGATGCTTGCAATGGATGTCATGTGAGCGGATATAAAATCCGTTCTCTGTCCGCGATATGCCGGACAGTGTTTCATGGAACCGGAAAACGTCATTGATCTGAACCGCCTCAGGGTAGGTACGGAAGTAGCTGGCCGTCTCTTCCCGACTGGGTCGGGTATACGCAGGGAGATCCTTGCCCGTCACCTTCCGGTAGTGCTCGGCAAACGAGTAGCCAGGCAGAGACAACATCGACGCATAGCTCAGGGTCTGAATGTCCCAGCTGGCCGGCATGAGATTATCAGTCCATTGGCCGCCGGCATGCACGGCATCTCCAAAGACCAAATGGGGCACGGCCTTTTCGGGCACAAACCGCCATTCGACATTAGTGCTGCTTTCAAGCTCATCGACGTCCACACTAGTGCGCACCAGCGTGTCGAGGAGCACATTCACCGGCAAAGCCTGCGTGGAGTAGGAGAGCCTCGAGGCGGCAAAATGATCCGTCAACGCGGACACATCCACATTGATCAGCTCTGGGGAATCTCGGAGCTTCGCATGCAACAGCGGATCTGGATGTGGTGGATTGGCCGAATAGTAAGGAATATGACCATGAAGCAGATACGACAAGATCATGGCCGACGGCCCGTTCCCTGTGGGGGGCTCGTCAGCACGATAACACGGACCAGGGGAAGTGAAAAATCCAGCCTCTCCGATAACAGGCAGATGGCGACATACCGACGATGATGGTGTCAGTCTCCATGGAAGGCATATCTGGTGCCTCCGATCGCCCATCCCCCACGGGGCATGCCGTTTGCGACATGCGATAGAGGCGATAAAGTTCCAATCACAGGATGGCAGAAATACGCAGAGAAGCCACTACCTCCAGCCGCAGGAGAGAGAACCGGAGGGCCATCGAGTGGCCGTTACATTGACGAGGAGGAAGAAAATAAACTTGAAGGCAACCATAGAAAAGAAGGCAAGAGGAGGGGGGGGGGATGCCGATTCCGCGAACGGACAAGGCCTGGGGAATTCGCTGACAAACTCGCCGCTGCTGGCAAGCTTAGCAAGACGATGTAATCGTTACTTAGTCCCTGGGACGTGGGGGCAAATGCCGTGCCAGCCTCCAATGATGGTCGTGGCTCCGTGCCACCGGCGCATCCGGGGTCGTAAAGGGTCTGTTTCAGTGTCTGGCGGGTGATCCAGTCGGCCGAAATGAATTACTTGAATGAATCCATTCCAATTATCAAAATACGAACAGCATCTGCCTTTGTGGCTGGCTTGCTGTCCAGTCTTATCAACTGGTAACTGCATTGATGGGAGATCGACGGTGCATGAATCCCAACTGCGACGTTGCGGGGTCTGCCCATTGCGGAAGGTAGGGCTCAGGGCGAGCAGTCTCACTACCCTATGCCCTACCTTCCCGATCGAGACGCGGCTGACGCGTGGACCCTCGGCGACTATCGCCATCAGCGCCGGCAAGAGACCGGATCGCAGCAGACGACGAAGCCGCAAGTGCAATCCGAGGATCCGGGCTATTCTGCTGCTGCCATGATTCTCTTATCGGATCTGCCGTCCCGCCGGTTCTAATTGGAATTCGAGGCTGCGTCTGCCTCTGCCGGGGAGGACTCCACCCTCCGTCACGCAACCATGTATCATCTGGCCAAGTCGCTGTATATGTACGCTACCAGCAAGGAGGGTGAGTTCCCTCCTCCTATCACCATCCCCCTTCTGCTAATTGTAATAGAATACTCCGTCCTCCTCCTCGGACTCGACAACGCCGGTAAAACCACACTCCTCTCCCAAATCAAAGCCCTCTACCAACCCCGCCCCGATGGCGTCCCCGCCCCCAACCCCGGGAAAACCGTTCCCACGGTCGGCCAGAACGTCGCGACCATCTCCCTCCCGGACATGTACCTGAAGATCTGGGACGTAGGGGGACAAATCTCCATGCGGAACCTCTGGCAGAGTTACTACTCCAGCTGTCACGCCATTATCTTCGTCGTGGACAGTGCCGACGTCGGCCAAGACCCCGACATCACCCGGCTTCCCAGTCGACGTCCCAGCTCGGCCTCCGGGCCATCGGGCACCCATCCTAGCGTCTTTACGGAGGAAATGGTGGGGATTAATGCCCCCGGGAGCGATTTCGGTCGTTTGGATGAATGTCGGCAGGTGTTGGAGTCGGTGTTGCAGAGTGCGGATGTCGCGGGGGTGCCGATTCTGGTGCTGGCGAATAAACAGGATCGGGAGGATTCGGTCGAGGTGGTGCGTATTAAGGAGGGGTTTGTGCGAAAGGTTTTTGAGGGGGAGACCGGGGCGGGCGTTCGGGATAGTCGTGTCTTGCCGGTTAGTGCTCTGATGGGTTCGGGGGTGCAGGAGGCGGTGGAATGGGTGCAGACTAGAGTTAAGTGGAATAAGGAGGGTCGGCCGCCGTTGATGAAGTGATGGTATGACTATAGACTTGCGATGATTGAGTTGCGATGGATTCTCCCGTTTGTTGTTGGGTTGTTTCTGGCGTCATGAGGTTATGTGAATATCGGAAGATACCTGGTCATTGCATTTATTCTATTTCCATCTGATTTCCGTTGCTATGGTGTATGATGTAGATACCATCCAGCCATGTTTAGAAAGATCATAACGAAAACTGTTACTACATAGTAGTGATATTTTGTGTAGTACTGTGTATGGAGCACATATCCGACCCGAGACTGACCCCAACACAGCATCTAGAAACTTCCGACAACCACAACGCATCCATGGAAGCACGCGATCAGAAACCGGGCCGATGGACATTCGAGATGCCAGTGCATGACGTCTTGGGTTGCCCAGCATTGCACCACCGGTCCCTCCATGAAGTCAACGTCGGTCACTTTGACGTCATACCCGTGAAGCCCTAACTGGGTAGCACGTATATAAGTCGGGCCAGTTACTGTCGTTGATTCTTCACAACAGAGTTAGTTAATCTGACAATTTTATAAATCATCTACCTTACAACCAAATTCTTTCGACCACATCACAACCAACACATTCACCATGAGCCACTTCGAGAACGTCGACGCCGTCGCCAACCCCCAGCAGGGCGAGTTCAAGCCCTCCGTCAAGCCGACCGGTCCTCTTGAAGAGGGTGGTGTATGTTTTCTGTCACATCCAGGAATGATGGATGTACTAACAGCATCCAGCACCAAATAGGCAGAAAGGTCGCCCCCGCTGATTTCGTCCCCGAATTCCGCGCTGAGACGCATCCCCCCGGCACGGCGCCCGCCAGCAGCTCCTACCAGCCTAACCCCGTCGGCGAATCCGGTAGCCAGGCCCTGAACCCTAATGTCGAGCGTGCTCATGGCAAGGAGTCGGTGAAGACTTCCGCGGGTGATACTTTGGGGGGCGCTACTTCACAGGACGTGCACACCGGGTTGGGCCATCCCGGTTCGGGCCAGACGAGCAGCGAGCTTCGCCATGACGGACAATCTGGTCGCAAGGGCCAGAGCGCGGGTCTGGAGCAGGTCGGCGCTTCCGGGAGTGACAAGTTTGAGAGGCAAATCCCGGGCCAGCGCGGGCTGGAACGCGACGAGGCTCAGGCTGGTCAGCGCGGAGACAAGGGCGCGTTGGCAGCTGAGGACAGGGACCCCGAGCCCGCCGAGACGGCGGCGGCGGAGTGGAAGTATGAGCCTTCGACTAAGAGGGCATAAGCGGAGCATCACCGGGCTGGACCTTGGTTGGATTCTGAACTGAAGATGCTTATGCTATTTAACGAATCATTGTATTAATAAAACTGCGTCTATCGGTATGGGTATCGTGTGTATACATAGCGAATCAAATTGCAATGAAGATGGCCGTGATCGAGCATGCGAATGTAGACGCCGTTGGATCATGACGCAAGTCCTAGACGGTCGCCTTTATCTGGATTCCCCAGTCGTTTGTTCTCCTGGTGAATTTTCTTAGGCCAGCTGCGTGCTATATCAATGTTCGCCCGCGGGAACCACATCTCTAAGAAGACGTAAAGCAAAAAGTCAATCACCACGCAGAGGCAAAATAACTTGCCCGCCCACACGCCACACCCATAGTACCGTTTCAGACGGTCAATGAGTGCAAAGCTTCGCACGCGGTCGCGGCCGGCCTCCCAGCCCTGTCCCGGGTAGTAGCCGTAGAATTCCTCCGGGCTAATGTCACCGGAGATGCCCTTGTAGACACGTTCCGTACGGTGGGCCACATCCGTCCAGGAATACATCATCTTCACCTGGTCATGGAAGCGATCCGTCCGCACTTTGTTCGAACGCAATGCCGCGATGGCTTTGCCAGTGGCAAGCACAATGTCGTCCTCTTCAGGCTTGGCAAAGGTCGTCATGTGCTGAGGAAGCACTTCGGGGATACCTCCCACGCGAGTGCACACCACGTACAGACCACAGCTCGCCGCTTCTACCAAAACCGTTCCGAACGCTTCAGTCAAGCTAGGGTGTAGATAAATGTGACCTCGAACCATCACATCGCGGACTTCTTCATGCCGGACAGAACCAAGCATTTCCACCTTATCCTGAAGCACATTTCTTTCCAACATTTGCTCGAGATCAATGGCTTTGGGCCCGGACCCGGCAATGATGAACCGAACGTTCGGGTGGGACGCAAGGATCCGAGGAATGGCGGCGATGAGCAGATCCGTTCCTTTGTTATAGAATAGACGGGAGATGACAACGATCGTGATGATATCGTTGGGTGCTATGGGTCTCGGCATAGGTCGCGGCTCGGGGGGTCGGAAGTTCTCTGCCACCACCGCATTCGGGATGACCGAGACCATCAACGGGTCTAAGGAGGCTCGAAGCACCGTGTTTTCTTTGCTACTCACAATCAGCCTAATCCGATATATGTCCAGTAAGTGACCTACCATGTATGACTGACACAAATAACATGGTCCACGTCGCTCAGAATGAATTTGAGCAACTTATTGGTGAGGATGGACGCCGCGTCAGCAAATCCAAATAGCGAATGGTCGGTGAATACCGTCCGAAGGCCCATGGTGCGAGCATGAAGGATAGCCTCGTGACAGAAGCTGCTCAAACTTGCATGCCCATGCACGATCTGGATTTGCTCACGAATGACGATGTTTCGGAATATAGGGAAGAACGAGAAGACCGTCGGCATTGTCGATTCCCGGTAAATCACGAAGAATGGTACATGGTACACCTTGAGCCCATTTGTGAGGTACCGAACACCAGTGCGACCTTTGTAGGCATGTGTGATGATGATGACTTTATGACCGCGATCGATAAGCTTCTATAGTTCGATGAGATGCTGAAATTGGAGGAGAGAGGTTCGGCAATCTTACGGTCGACAATTGGTAGATGTGACTTTCAATTCCGCCTACAAATATCAGCAATGACGGGGAGATACCATTGTAGCATAAGACCAACCTGGCTGGGGAAAGAAAAAGTCACTGACCATACTGTGGACTGATTAGTTTGTATCATCCCGACCGCAACAGACACTCACGCAATGTTATATGGCATGATGACGGTCAGTTATCTCTAATCTAGCCAAATGACACCTTATCAAATTGCCATGAGATAGTCACGTCCAGCTTGTCCATGTCGGACCAGTTCAGCATCAACTCAGGGAGGCTGTCAGGGGTGCAGTTGGCGTCGATCGAGATGCGGCGCTGGACGCGATGAACCCCGGATTGGTCCAGACCCGGGCGGCAAGACGGGCGGTGGGGTTCTGCCGAGCAAAGATTCCCCGCTGGAAAAAGAAATATTCGGAGCTGTTCTGGCAACACCGACTGTTCAGCAGTCACGCCTCCCTTATCGACTCCGCGCTGGCCCTGCGCTCACCCTGCGATCATGGCCGGTGGTCACTCCGCACAGAATGACGCTACTCGGATAAGCTCAGGAACCCCGTCGAGTGCTAAGAAATCCCACAAGAGAAAGAGAGACATCGATGGCTCCGCCGTCGCTCAGTCGACACCCACACCGACCAAGAAATCCAAGAAGAATCAGCGTTCTCCGTCCAGATCTACGACACCCGACGAACGCCGGAAGAAGAGAAGCAGTGCTGTTCAGGAGACATCGCCCCAAAAAGAGAGTGCTGTCTCGCCGGTCGGCAGCAAGACGGCTCGTCCAGACAAAGACGACAACCTCACTAAGAAGAAGAAGAAATCGAAGGATGGGAAACGACGAACCGCAACGGTTAGCGACACGGCTGAAGATGATGTCGATATGAAGGACGTGGCCTATGATGCGGACGACACTGACGTTAAAGAAAAGGGGGTCAAAAACTCGAAGAAAAGCAGGAAAAGTCCGGAACCCGCATCGGCCGATGACGACGCCAAACCCGTCAAGAATAAATTTGCCGGCATTTTGTCCAAGTTCGAAAAGTCCAAGAAGTCACGGGAACTGGAAAAGGCAAGGGAGAGCGAGAAAGATGCAGAGGTCACGGGGCCTACGACAGCAGAGCCAGTTGTAGCGCAGGGTCTGGAGCCGCTACCACAGCCAGAAGCCGCCCCGGAGCAGGATGAAAAGCCAACATACTCCTCGCTGCCGCAGTGGCTGGCCAATCCTCTGCGCGCATCGGCCCAGGACCGAAGCAAATTCGCTGATCTGGGAATCGACTCCAACCTCCTCCGAGTTCTGGGTAGCAATGGCTATAAGGAAGCATTCGCTGTGCAGTCAACGGTCATTCCGCTACTCTTGCAGGGTCCCAAGAACCATCCGGGAGACCTCTGCATTTCCGCCGCCACGGGTTCGGGCAAAACGTTGTCCTACGTTCTACCGCTGGTTACGGCGTTAGAAGCGCTCCCTGCTCCTCGTTTACGAGGCCTCATCGTGGTGCCTACTCGAGAGCTGGTGAAACAGGCCCGAGAGGCTTGTGAGCTCTGTGCCGCTGGATCTGGGCTCCGCGTGGCATCCGCGGTGGGAAACGTGGCGATCAAAGACGAGCAGCGTTCGTTGATGCGGGTTGATCAGGTCTACGGCCCGGCGACGTTCAAGCTCCGCCAGAACGTGAAGTTGACCGGAGACGATTGGACCAACTTTAGTCTGCAGGACTACATCTCCGACGCCGGGGATCTAAGCGAGTCTTTGCCTGGCTACGTTCACCGGTCGGAGCCTAATGTTGACATTCTCATCTGCACGCCCGGCCGTCTGGTCGATCATCTTCGCTACACCAAGGGGTTTACGCTGAAGAATCTTGAATGGCTTGTCATTGATGAGGCGGATCGACTGCTGAACGAGAGTTTCCAGGAATGGGTCGACGTCGTGATGGGCTCTTTGGACGCACGAAAGACCCCCGAGGCCTTTGGCTTTACCGGAAACTTTCTGTCTGGGCTCGGCCTGCCGATCCAGAGCAAGGAACCGAGAAAGGTGATTCTGAGTGCCACCATGACCCGAGATGTGACGAAACTGAATACGCTGCGCCTCGCCAACCCCAAGCTGGTCGTTATTGGATCGGATGCTGCAGTCGATGAGGACGAGAGCGGTGTGGTTGCGCCCTCGGACGAACAGTTCACTCTGCCGCCTACCTTGAAGGAGCACATCCTCTCGGTTGGAGACGGGTCACAGAAGCCACTTTATCTCCTACGTCTTTTGCTGTCACAGATCAAGGTTGAGGCCAAGAGCGTCAAACCTTCTGTCTCTTATTCGGAAGAATCAAGCTCCGAGTCAGATTCCGATGACACTTCGGACTCAAGCTCTGACGAGTCGGACTCAGAGTCAGAGTCAGACTCGGATTCTGAATCGGATACCAGTTCGGACTCTGACGACTCCGATGATACGTCCGAGGACGAGTCCAGCGACGAGTCGGAATCTGACAGCGACTCGGAGCCGGAGGACGAGAAACCACAAAGCCCCGCACAGACAACAGTCCTGGTCTTTACTAAATCGTCTGAATCTGCCTCACGACTGGCTCGCCTGCTGGCACTGGTGGAACCCTCGCTGGCGGACCGCATAGGCACGATCATCAAGTCCAACAAGTCGTCTGCCTCGCGTAAGACACTCACGGCGTACCGCCGAGGCAAGGTCTCCGTTATCATTGCTACCGACCGTGCGTCGCGCGGTCTGGACCTACGGTCGTTGACGCATGTTGTCAACTATGATGTGCCCGCCAGTATTACCACGTACGTGCACCGGGTTGGTCGCACCGCTCGGGCTGGCCAGGAAGGATCCGCGTGGACGCTAGTGGCACACCGGGAGGGCAAGTGGTTCGCGAGCCAGATCGCTAAGGGAGTGGATGGGAAGATCACTCGGTCTACCAAGGTAGGCAAGGTACAAATCAAATTGGATAACATGAAGGAGGTCAAGGCGCGATATGCATCCGCATTGGACGCATTGGAGAAGGAGGTGAAGACGGGTGGGACGAAGTCCAAGTCCAAGACCAAGTCCTAATGACGGTGCATCAGCCATTTGATTCCGGGTAGGCGTTAGTTATCAGACGAGTGTATATAGTTAACCCGGATCACAAAAGTCCAGCTGACCTTTGTCCTGGCTGAATAACAAAATGCCCGCCAGACCAAGTCTATAGAGCCATGAAGTATAGACATCTTTTGTGCAGGGGTGCCCGGAGCGGCCTAGCGTGGTCAGGTGCATTCCTCGATCCCTTCACTTCACTTCCAATGTTCTTGAACCCATAAATTTTCATACCCATCTATTTGTCCTCTATCCTGGAAAGATATGGTACACTATGTCTATCACCCGATACTGCCAGACCACAATGATCTATAGTCAGGTCTACGCAGCAAAACACCCCACCTGCGCGCCGTACCGACTCGACAGCGTGATGGTCAGATCCTCTTCATACGGTCTGGTGTCTCTCGACTCAAGCCGTTCGAATCTCTGCGCCAGCCGAACGGTCGTGTAGGCCACTTGTGTCAGTGCAAATTGCTGTCCGATGCATTTCCGCGGCCCACCTCCGAATGGCAGATACATCCACCCTGGCCGCAGATTCTCCCATCGTTCAGGCTTGTATTCCGCCGCATCGGGGCCATAGAGGTCCTGCCGTCGGTGGAGCGTGTATACATCAAATGTGACGTTCATGCCTTTAGACACGAAAATAGGGGACTGCCCATCCGGGCCACCACCGGTCGGAAGCACGGTGTCGTTGACGGCCTTGCGGACGTTACGGGGGATAATCGGGTAGAGGCGGAGCGCTGGCCAATTTGTTAGTATGAATGTCTTCGGGGAAGACAGGCAGAACACGCACTCTCGTTAATCACCCAAGACACATATTTCAAATCGCGCAGTTCGCGGAATGATGGCTGTCTGCCCTCCAGGCTGGAGACATTCTCCCGCACCTTGGCCCAGACGTCTGGTCGGCGGGCGAGGATGTGGAATTGAATCGACAGCAGACCGGCAGTGGTGTCTCGACCGGCAAGGAGGACATTGAGTAGCTGGTCAGTGATCTCGGTCTCATTGCTGGTAAGCTCGACCAGTTGGGTTAGAAAACAGTCCGGAGGTTGGACCTTCTTTTCGCCGGGCCTGTTATGGGCCTGGACGGCTTCCTGCACGATTCGGTGCACATAGGCCCTGGATCCAGCGACAGCTCGCTGAAACTCGCGTTTGAAACTGGGCTGCAGGTGAATAAGCGACCCCAGTCGTGCGCGAGTGATCACGCCGTCCTGGGCCTTGTGGTAGTCGTGAGAGAATTGGGTTGCAACTGGGGACCGTTCGGTCTGAAGAGTCCCGACCGTCTGGCCAAAAAGAAAGTCCGTGGCAGAGTCAATAGTCTGCCTGTCAGTCAGCAACGCTATTGCTGCAAGGGGAATTCTCAGGAAAAACTAACCATGCGGAAGAAAAGGTCCTGCAGATTCACCGTTTTGCCATCTGCAGGGATCCAGGTGAGTAATTGGCCGACATGCCGTTCGAAGATGTCTAGATCCGCGATGTTATCGCGGGTGAAGCTCGGACGGAGCAGGCCACGCGACTTTTCCCACTGCTTCCCATCGGCCGCAAAGATGCCGTGACCGAGCAACGGCTGGAAGGCCGTCACCCTACGCTTCCCGATGGAAAAGTCTTTGGCGTTGGTGGCCAGAATGGCCTGCAGATTCTTGGGGTCGGCGGTATGCAGCACCTCATTTCGCAGGGTACGCGATTCGAATGTGTATCCCATCTCAAGAAAGCGGGACTGCATATAGGTCAGCAGACGGTGCTCGCGCACAGCCCTGACCGTCTTGCGGAGAGAGTCGAGCCCCAGCACAGGGTCCAGATGTTTCTCCTGTGGGGTTGGGAGGCAGCCATGGCGGCGCGATTGAGTGCGGTCTGGTCCAGGTCAGATTGGTTTCGCTGCAAGGGGAACGGACTTACTGTGTAACCGCGTGGAGATTTTTTTGATGACCAGCACCAGGACTAACAGCGCACTAACGAGAGGGAAAAGCATTTTGTCCGGTGTCAGAACAAAGCGTGGAAAATGGAGCCGGAGAACATGCGCCAGTCGGGCACATTTGAATGGTCTTCGGCCCTTTCAATGGACGTACAGGGGCTCGCCAGCCCTTCGGCTTGGTCGGAGTAATTCTCGCCGTGCAGTAAGACCGCGCCTGGGAATCTAATGATATATTGTCTCTGGAGAGCTGAAAACAAGGCTCGGCGGCGCAAAACCCAGGCAGGACGCGACCAGGCCAAAGCTAAAGGCTTCGTGAAAAGACGGCCGACGTAATGAGGGTGTTGATCAGTTGTGACAGCCCATGGAGCCGCTTGGAGGCACTTTACTCCGAGGTAGTTGGAAGCTATTTCCGGGCGACGGAAGATCAGACATGTCGGACGCCGTCGTGGAAAACACTGATTGGCGGCATCCCTTGCTCACAATTTAAGTTGCATACGAGGTTCATTACTTGACAGATCTGACAGCTTATCGCAGAACCACACATCGCATTCAATAGTCCGTCCCACTGCGGTGGAAACTGTACTCGGATTCCCTATCTATCGCGCGCTATACACAGTTGGTCCCAAAATTCGGGTTGCCCTAAAGTTACTACTGCAGAATTATCAAGCTTCCCCCCACACTTTGCTCTAGCGCGACGATCACCGACCCAGCAGGTCAACCAATCGATGCACTGGCAGCCTATCTTGATGGATCGCGTCGATCACTCGGCTAATTTCCTCCGTCGTGAACATACCCTGCATATTGCGCTCAAACTTGGCGCGCACCTTGGGCAAAGTATCGGCGTGCATCGGGTGCCCGATCGGGTATTCGACCACCACCTCGTCCAGCTGCTCGCCATTCGTGAGAAAGACGGTGAGTCCGCTGGCGCCCGACTTCTTGTGGTGATAATCGTAGGTGAACTGTGGGTCTTCGGCCATCTGGATCCGCTGGCGCAGGGCCTCGACGCGCGGGTCGTGGGCCCACGCACTCGTATCGTGGTAGTCGTCCGCCTCGATGACCGCGTTCTTCAGCAGGACGACCGACACCATGTACCGCATGCAGTGATCCCGGTCAGCGGCATTCGTGAGCGGACCTTGCTTGTCGATGATGCGGACGGCCGCCTCATGGGTGCGAATATCGATCCGCTCAATCTGCGTGGCGGGGTCGATACCCCGGCTGGCCATTGTCTCGGCCAGCGACATGGCCGCCTGCACGGCGGAAATGCCATGGCCCTCGGCTGTGATCAGCTTGAAGAACACCTCCTCCATCACCCGCGTCTTGAACGGCCGTGGCAGCTGCAGTTCCCTGCCCCCAAAGCTGACGGCCAGGAAGCCCCAATTGGGCTCGGTTAGCGCGCTAGGGAGGCCGGGCTGACCGGCGCGCGCCAGCAGACACAGATGGACGGCACGCATGGCAGCGTCGCCGGCGGCCCAGCCCTTGCGTGGGCCGGCATTGGGACTCTGACGGAAGATGCGCAGAGGGTGGCCATCGGCCCAGGCATGGGAGAGGGCAACGGCGGCTTGTTCCTCCGTCAGACCCATCAGCCACGCCACGACGGCGGTGGAGGCAATCTTGACGAGCAGGGTGTGATCCAGCCCCACTTTGTTGAAGGCATTCCGAACTTGGTAGCAACCCTGGATCTCGTAGGCCTTGATCATGGCGATCAGGACCGTCCGGACGGTTAGTGGCTGGTTGGTGGCGCCCGTGCGGCTTAGCCAGTCAGCTACCGCCAAGATGGCGCCCAAGTTATCTGTGTCGATCCGTTAGCTCTTAATCCACCCCAGCTTCTGGGACTGCACATCCTCGAGGGAGAGGGTGTGGGCGGCGCGGAGCGGACATACCCGACGGGTGACCCCATTCAGCGCCGGGGTATGCATCATTGTGATCCAAGAACCGAATCAGGGTGGCCATGTCGAAGGCTCCTTTAACCGGATCGAGCTGGTGGCAGGTGCCCGGCAGCTTGAAGCCATAGGGGGCGACCAGGCCAGGGGTGTAGGGACCGATCAAGGCACGGCACTCGGGACTCTGCTGAAGGGTCTCCAGCGCGCAGCCGAGCGCATCCATGAGGGCATGGCGGGCCCGGAGGATGGCCAAATCACTGGTCACCTCATAGTGGTACACATACTCGACGAGGCGAGTAATGGCCTCGTCATATTGCCGATCGGAAGAAGACATGGTGCCAAAAGCGCACGGGGAGGGTTTTTCCAGGGTGATAGGGTTTGACGGAAATATTTGGATTGGCTCAGCGAGGGACGAGGGAAGGATGGCGAACAAGACGGACTGAACAGGAACCGCCTTTTATGCCAGTCGGGCAGATCGTGTCGGACCGCGGTCCTTTGATCTACCGTGATAGTTGCTGCAGGCCGTCACTAGTGGATGGATCGAAGCTTAACTGTCGATCTCGGGCTATCCAGTCGTCCTTGTGAACTATTCCGGCCGCGACTGTGGATTCTCGGACAGACGGCAGCTGGCAGGACGAGGTACAAATAAGAGCTTCAGATCCGATCCAGACAGAACAGGAGCAACAGCGGCAACCTTCCTTTGCAATCCATCCAATCCTTCTTCTCCCTCTTTCATCATGGCATACACACTGGCATCCTGGCTGGGCCGGCTCTTCGACGCCGGCAAGAGTCTGCTGCCGCTTCAAGGCAACTACATCAATGCCTTGCTGGAGCAGGAGCTGTCGGGGGAGCGTGAGGGCACGCTGACCGTGCGGGACAATCGCACGGGGTCCAAGTACACGATTCCCATCGTGCGCAACGCGGTGCCCGCCATGGGCTTCCGTCAGATCTGCGTGGACCGGGCCGGCAAGAGCCCGCGACAGCAGTTTGAGGATGGCCTCCGGGTGATTGACCCTGGCTACCGCAACACGGCGGTGAAGATGTCCAGCATCACCTACATGTGCGTTCTGTCTGCCTTCTGATAGCTTACACCGAGTACTGACTTTGCTAGCAATGGTAACGAGGGCGTCATTCTGTACCGCGGACATCCTCTGGCCTCCCTCATCGGCAAGAGTTACGAGGAGATCACCCACCTGCTCATCTGGGGCTCGCTCCCTACGCCGGAGCAGCGCTTGCGATTCCAGCGCCGGATCGCGCAGGCCATGCTGGTGGTGCCGGAGAACGTGAAGCAGCTTGTGGCCACCTTCCCGTGAGATGCCTCCTTGATATCTTGACGCATGCAGCTAACCTCTGGCAGGCGTACGACCCCACCCATGGTGATGCTTGGGGCCGTCCTGACGGGCTACTTGGCGGATCAGCCCGAGCTCATCCCGGCGCACGCGGGTGCCAACCTTTACAACCGGCGGCCGGAGATGGTCGACGAGGAGATCATCCGCACCTTGGCGATCACCGCGGTGGCTTCCTCGCTGGTGCACTGTCACATGACGGGGCAGACCTACCGGGGGGCAGACCCGAACCTGACGTACATTGAGAACATCCTGTACATGGGCCGGTTCGTGGACAACAACCCGGCCGTGACGCGGGAGAAGGCGGCGGAGATCCTGACCAAGGCGTGGTCACTGTACGCCGACCACGAGATGACCAACTCGACGTCGGCCTTCCTACACACCTCGTCGACGCTGACGGATCCGCTGTCGTCGATGGTGTCGTGCGCGATGGCGGGCTACGGCCTGCTGCACGGAGGCGCGATCGACGCAGCCTACCGGGGGATGCGGGAGATTGGCGGGCCGGAGAATGTGCCCAAGCTGATCGAGAAGGTGGTGAACAAGGAGTGCCGGCTGTCGGGGTACGGACACCGGATCTACAAGCAGGTGGACCCGCGGGCCAAGTACGTGCGCGAGATGCTGGACGAGCTGACGCGGGACCGGGACATTCGCGACATGGATCCGGTGCTGCAGGTGGCGATGGAGATCGACCGGATTGCCAGCACGCACGAGTACTTTGTGAAGCGCAATCTGCAGGCGAACGCGGACTTGTACGGCAGCTTTGTGTACACGGCGCTGGGCATCCACTCGCAGTTTGCGACGGTGTTGGCGGCGTGCTCGCGGGTGTCGGGCGTGATGGCACACTGGAAGGAACAGACGGGTAAGTGATGCCGCATTCTGGGTATACGATGATACTAACTTTCCTCTAGAACGGGCTCCGGATTTGTGGCGGCCCTTGCAGGTGTATGTGCCCAACTGAGGGATTGACGGATGGAATTGTACAGGGATGGGTCATTGTTCGGAGTAATTTGTTTGCTAGGGGTTTTTTTAGGTACATCTCTCATACTCGGGAATAATCGATGCGCTTTGTGCTTTTGCTTAATGTGATCGGAGATAGAAGCGCCGCGGATCGACGCATCGACGCAATAATGGGGATCGAATTGTCAGGCGTAACTAGTGGCGGGGGCTGAAGGATCGGCAGTGTTGATGAATGTAGATCAGGTCGGACGTGATAGCTTGCTTCTAGAACAGCTGACCGCGATGCAGCCAGCTATAAAGCGGCGTCCTGCCACCTCTCCTTCTCTCACTCATCACATCACATCCATTCCATCACATCTACCATGCACTCTGCCCCCGCCACCTCGGACACTTCGGTGACACGCACCTTGGCCAGCTGGCTCGAGGAGCTGTCTCCGGCCACCATCCCGGAGGAGATCCGGACCCGGGCCAAGTACCTCATGCTGGATGGCTTGGGCTGTGCCTTGCTGGGCGCGCGGCTACCATGGTCCGTCAAGGCCCATGATGCCATCACCGCCATTGAAGGCACCGGCAAATGTACCATCATCGGATGGAACGAGGTATATCCCCCTCCCCCTCCTCAGCATTCCTTAGATCAACCCCAAGCTAATCAATCAGCATAGACCCTCCCCCCCAACGCAGCCGCCCTGCTGAACAGCACCTTCGTGCAAGCCTTCGACCTCGACGACGTGCACGTCGAAGCGCCCATCCACGCCAGCTCCGTGATCCTCCCCGCCGTGCTCGCCGCCGCGCAACAAGAGCACCCCGCGCAACCCATCACAGGCCACGACTTCCTAACTGCCATGGTCGCCGGCTACGAAGTGGGCCCCCGAGTCGGCTACGCCCTCGGCGGATCCCACATGCTCACGATCGGCTGGCACTCCGGCGCCATCTTCGGCCCCGCGGCCTCGGCGGCCGCCGTATCCAAGCTCCTGCATCTACCCGCGGCGCAAATCGAAGACGCGCTCGGGATGGCGTGCACGCAGGCATGCGGACTGATGTCGGCGCAGTTCGAGAGCATGGTGAAGCGGATGCAGCATGGGTTTGCGGCCCGGAGCGGCGTGCTGGCCTCGTATCTGGCCCGACAAGGGTTCACGGGGATCAAGGAGATCTTTGATCGGTCGTATGGGGGGTTCTTGCCGATGTTTACGCTCGGGGCGGAACACGAGCCGCGGTGTTTTCCGGAGGAGGTGAGTCGGGGACTCGGGGAGACGTGGCAGATGGAGAAGATTCGACAGAAGCCGTATGCGTTGATGGCGGGGACGCATTGCACGGTGGATTGTATTCGGGAGTTGCAGCGGAGGTATCCCGAGCGGATGGCGGGGTGGCCGCAGATGGTGAAGATTGAGGCGGAGATGGCGCGCGCGGCGATGAAGAAGGGGGGATGGGCGCCGCAGAAGCCGGCCACGGTCACGGCGGCGCAGATGTGTGTGCCGTATGCGGTGGCGTTGCAGGTGGTGGATGGGGAGATTGTGCCGGGGCAGTTTGCGCCGGGGCAGTTGAATCGCGAGGCCCTGTGGGAGGTCATGGAGAAGGTCGAGTGTCGGGAGGTGCCGGAATTTGATCATTCCTGGGCGCAGCGCGTGAAGATCACGTTTGCGGATGGCGAGGTCATTGAGACGGTGGTCAAGGCGCCGCGGGGGGTCAATCCGGCGTTGTCGAACGAGGAAGTGTTGGCCAAGTGGCGGGCTGTGACAAGAGGAGTCATTAGTGAGGAGCGACAGCGTGAGATTGAAGCGGTGGTGTTGCACCTGGAGGAGGTGGATGATGTGGTGGGCCGATTGGGGGCGTTGTTAGGGCCGGACACGGTGAATGTGCTGCAGTGATGCCAGCGAGGCAGAGCTGCCGCCGGTTGAGATGGCCGATTGATCAGATGGGATTTAGCCGTGATCTGCATAATACATATACTAATCATCAATAATGGAATTGCTTTCATGCTGGCTAAACCCCAGATCCGGGGATTCAGGCTAAAACCCCGCGCGGAGATCCTCCGGAACCCTATAAAGCCTCGGATGGATGCAGCAGCAGCACCACCACCACCACCAGCAGACGATATGGCCGCTCTTTTGGCATTGGCGGCGCTGCTGCCCTCCGCACTGGGACAGGCCAACACCAGCTATGTCAATTACTCCATTGAAGCCAACCCCGACCTGTGGCCGCTGTGTGTGGCTACGCTGCCGCTGTCGTTTCCCAATTGCAGCACCGGGCCCTTGAGTTCGCAGCTCATCTGTGATCAATCGGCCACACCGCATGAACGGGCCGCCAACCTCATCTCGCTGCTCACGCTCGAGGAACTGATTGCCAACACGGGCAACTCTGGTTTGGGGGTACCCCGACTCGGCCTCCCCCCGTACCAGGTCTGGAGTGAAGCCTTGCATGGCCTGGACCGAGCCAACTTTACCGATGATGGGGCCTACGAATGGGCGACCTCCTTCCCGCAGCCGATTTTGACTACGGCAGCTCTCAACCGCACGCTCATCCATCAGATCGCCTCGATCATCTCCACGCAGGGTCGCGCGTTCAACAACGCGGGTCGCTACGGCCTGGATGTCTACGCCCCGAACATCAACGCCTTTCGCCATCCGGTCTGGGGTCGTGGGCAGGAGACTCCGGGAGAGGATGTAACGTTGGCCGCGGCGTATGCCTACGAGTACATCACCGGCATCCAAGGCGATGAATCCCATCTGAAGCTAGCCGCCACGGCGAAACACTTTGCGGGCTACGATCTGGAGAACTGGCACAATCATTCCCGACTGGGCAATGATGTGACCATCTCGGCGCAAGATCTGTCGGAATATTACACGCCGCAGTTTCATGTGGCGGCTCGCGATGCTCACGTCCACAGCGTCATGTGTTCGTACAATGCTGTCAACGGGGTGCCCACTTGTGCCAGCTCGTATCTCCTTCAAACCTTGCTTCGTGACACGTTCTCCTTTGTGCCCGATGGCTATGTCTCGAGTGACTGTGACGCCGTGTATAACATCTACAACCCCCACGCTTATGCTGCCTCCGAAGCCCAAGCCGCCGCGGATGCTCTCCGCGCCGGGACCGACATCGACTGCGGCACGACGTACCAATGGCACTTTAACGAGTCCATCGCGGCGGGGGAGATCTCCCGTTCAGAGATCGAGTCCGGACTCATCCGACTATACACGACCCTCGTCCAACTCGGCTACTTCGACCCGACCCCCTCCCCCTACCGCAGCCTCTCCTGGACGGACGTCCGCACCACCGACGCCTGGAACATCTCCTACGAAGCCGCCGTGCAAGGCATCGTCCTCCTCAAAAACACCCACGCCACCCTCCCCCTGACCACCCCCCCCACCAACACCTCCCTCGCCCTCATCGGCCCCTGGGCCAACGCCACCACCCAACTCCAAGGCAACTACTACGGCACCGCGCCCTACCTCATCAGCCCCCTCACGGCCTTCCAATCCGCCGGGTACCCCGTCCACTTCGCCCCGGGCACCGCCATCGCCACCACCAACACGACGGGCTTCCCCGCCGCCCTGGCCGCCGCCCACGCCGCCGACGTGATCATCTACGCCGGCGGCATCGACAACACCATCGAAGCGGAAGCCCTCGACCGCGAATCCCTCGGCTGGCCGGGCAACCAACTCACTCTGATCCAGGAACTCGCCACCTACGCGGGTGCCGCCCGGAAACCCCTCATCGTGCTGCAAATGGGCGGCGGACAGGTCGATTCCTCCGCCTTGAAACAGAACCCGAATGTCTCCGCTCTCCTTTGGGGCGGATATCCGGGCCAATCGGGGGGGGCCGCGTTACGGGATATTCTCACGGGGGTGCGAGCCCCGGCGGGGCGATTGGTCACGACGCAGTATCCGGCGGAGTATGCGGAATCCTTTTCGGCCTTGGAGATGAGTCTGCGCCCGGATCGTGCGACGGGGAATCCCGGGCAGACGTATAAGTGGTATACCGGGGAGGCGGTGTATCCGTTTGGGTATGGGTTGTTTTATACGAGTTTTGAGGAATCCTCCTCTTCTTCTTCTTCTTCTTCTTCTTCTTCTTCTTCTTCCTCCTCCACGAACGAAACGCAGACACGGAGGTATCATATCCCGGATATCTTGGCCACTCCCCATCCGGAGACGGTGAGTATCACCCAAAAAGGCCTCTTCAACTTCACCGCCCACATCACCAACACTGGAAGTATGGCAAGTGATTACACCGCCATGCTCTTCGCCACGACAAGGGATGCCGGCCCGGCGCCATATCCTGAGAAATGGCTCGTCGGGTGGGATAGGCTAGGGGGGGTGGAAGTAGGGGAAACGAGGGAGTTGCGCGTGGAAGTGCCAATCGGGGCATTGGCCCGCGTGGATACGAATGGCGATTGGGTGGTGTATCCGGGGCGGTATGAGGTGGGGTTGAATCTGGAGCGGAGGGTCGTGGTGGAGGTAGTGTTGGAGGGGGGGGAGGGGGTGGTGCTGAGGTGGCCTGTTGCAGAGGGTGCAGAGGGTGCAGAGTAGTTGTGATCGTTCATATATACGAGAGTATACGAGATATCACCTCTATCGAAGAGCGAGTTGCGGGTTCTGCAGAAGCAGGAGTACTCCGATCTATCAAGATGGAAGGATATAATGCTGGTGTCTTCTAGATTACCAAGGATCGTATCTGAGACAGACAGAATACCCAATCCATACCAATCACCCTGACAACTACAAAATCCATCGATCAGTACACACATCCCCCTCCGCCTCAAACCTCCCCTCCTCCGAACTCGACCGCGACAGCCCCCAGCCCATCCACACCCGCGGACTCCAGTGGGTCTGAATGCCCTCGGCCGTGTCACAGTCGAAGAAGCCAACGAAGTACCTATCCCACCAACCTCAATTAGCATGTTCCATTGTCATATTGCAGTGGGGATACTGGATACTGACAGGGTCCCACTCTCCCGATGCCAGATTAGATTCTTACACGTCCCAGGACGGGGATAGTAGATCCCTCGACGAAAAAGGTTCCTATACACCTCGCACAGCTGCGTGTTAGCCGAATACCAAACTACCAGAGTAGGCGGGAGGGAGTCACATACATCAACCCCACTCTGAACTTCTCCCGAATCAACACCCGCTCCTCGTCCGGGAGACCCCAGAACATCGACTCCCCGTATCCCAGTCCCAGCCTCTCCCCCGGGACAATCTCCCACACCAGCCGAAGAAGAAACCCACCCGGCACGACGCCCCACGGCTCCTGCCGATCTAACTTCTTATCGAGCAGACGGGGCGTAATCCCCGAGTCGTGATACTGTTCCAGTGCGCCCTGTTCGCGGGGACGAAATTCCGACCTGGCTTGCTGGGCTCGGATCAAGGGTGGCTCGGCCTCGGTGCCTTCCAGGGGCACCTGGATGTATATCCGCATGAGGGCGCGGACGGCCGGACGGGCCCCCTGTTTGTCGACCAGGAAGCGAGCACAGGCGTAGCTGGGCCACGACACCCCGGGGGGGATGTCGTCGAAGGAGAGTTGGCAGTTATACTCGTTGATTTGCTCCCGGATCACCCACGCGTGGGATCTCAGTTGGACGACCGTGCCAGGCCGGGCCTGGCTTTGGGCAAACCAGGTTGTCGGGGCCATGATGATTTTGATAAGAGAGTGGTGTATCTGGATACTGGTTTGATGGAAAGTTAAATTCGGCGAGATGGAGGAAGGGAGAGAAAAAGAGGGATGGAGAGGAGGGAGAGGGGAAAATTTGTCTTTTATATGGAGATAGGTTGGGTGGTGGGGGAGGTGACGAGTGAATGACCGGTCTCCCCCCCCAAAAGTCATTCAATTTCAACCCATGTGCCCATTGCACTGGGATCCATGGTTATACATACAACATATTTTGTATTTTGGTTTCGACACAAGGCCTTCATGATTATTGATCATCATTCTACATACATTCGAGTCACTAGTGGTAGCTTCATGGCCTGTAAGCCCCAGTCCATCGTCTACGGCGACTCACCACCGTGGTATGGTGAGGGTTTTGTGCCGCCATGGCCCCCCAGGAAGTAGAAGCATTGCCGAAGGGTTACTGACTGCCCCGGATGGTAGGTATCTTTCCTACTGATGATGGGGGAGTATTTTAAGACCGATTGATGACCTCCCGGGGCGTCGTCCACTTGGAGAAAAACGGTTTCTTCAACGGTGGTATAGAAGCCATAGCTCAGACCCAGGTCCTTGAGGTAGGATGCAATCTGGCCTATAACCAGGTACATTGGTCATTGTTTTTCCCCTCTCCCCTCTCTCTTCCCCCCCCTCCCCCTTGTTGCACTCATAGAATGGGACATACCTAACAGATGGCGAAACCGATCTTCCTTCGCTAACTGACGAGAGGGGACATGGTCCTCTACCCAGGGTACCTTCAACTCCCCCACGGCGATGGGCATCCCGGCCGAAGTCCTCAAGACCGAATCGGGGACTTTTTTTATAGGGGGTGGTTATAGCACAAGACTTAAAAGTCTCCGAAGCTGACATCCATCTGCTCATGGCGAAATACTCCTCCCACGGCCTGCCCCACGAGCTGGTTGAACCTACCCTGTACACCAGTCTCATCACCAACAGCAACCAGCTCGTGGGACAGGCTATAGGGAGGTAACGGATGGCCGGCTGTGAAACTTAAGGGCTGGCCAGGGGAGGATGACTGCTGTACGGTGCTTGCATAGAACCTTTCCACATCTTGGGTAAAGGTCGTCCAACACGCGAGCATCCCTGTAAAGTATACTTTGTGGAGGGCGGAGGACTTGGTTGAACCTGGGCCTATTTCGAGGCACGGGGGTATCTCGAGCAGAATATCATTGGCGCTTTTAGCGCCACGGGACCAGTGGGAGGCTGGTTAGACATGGTGTGATTTCTGCTGGCTCTGAAGAAATAGCGAGGAGATACCTTGAGTGCAAACCTGGTGAAAAGGAAGAAGCTACAGAGCGCACGATGGTAGAAACCCTACGACGCACGTCAAAAACGGAAACCCTACATCGCACGTTGGCATATGCTCAATATTGCAGGTTGAAAGTGAGAATATATAATTGGAATTATATTACCCAGCAACTAGTATATCACAGTAGAGAAAATAAGTCCCTGCGACATATCAACAGTCATTGACCACTGCAGGATATACTAATATATACATTTAGCTGGATCAACATGGCAGATTGATGTAGTCAGCATAGATGAAGTTTACTACTATCCACCCCGCGACTTGTCAGATAGCACGGATATAATCACTAGAAGTATGAGCATCCACAGCCCACTACTTCATATTAGTCTACTCTGTACAGTTTATTTGAATTGCGAATCAATTGACTGCCAATGATTAATCAAAAATAACAGGAACATGGGGGGAGGAAAAAAACGACGACAGTCGGATTTGAACCGACGCCTCCGAAGAGAATAGATTTCTAGTCTATCGCCTTAGACCGCTCGGCCATATCGTCTTGATGAAATCTCCCATCTTATTTTTGCTTGATAAGCCAACAGCATCCATTGTTCAATACCACTATGGAATCCATTCAAGCATTGGCTGTCGGAATCTGTATCAGGCCAACTGGGAGAGACCGTGTAATCTCACTTTTCTATGTAATCTATCTATTTGAACTGTCATCTATTTTAAGATCTAGTCTCGGCATCCCCCATCATCTCGATCAACTCTTCATACTCTCCGGTATTCCGTAACATCTCCCAGAACACTCCTTTCTGGGAGACCAAGTTCTTCGGCGAATCATTCCTACCAAGTCAGCATCAAACAGAAAAAAAGGATAGTGGAGGGAGGTATACTCGATGATCTCTCCATCCCCCATCACAATCACCCGATCATAATCCATAATCGTCCGCAATCGATGCGCAATCGCAATAATCGTACAGTCGGAAAACATCGTCCGTAGCACCCGCTGCATGTGCATGTCTGTTTCGTGGTCCACCGATGCCGTCGCCTCGTCCAGCAACACCACCTTGGATCGGCGACACATTGCCCGCGCCAGACTCAGCACCTGGCGCTGGCCTTGGCTAAAGTTCTCGCCGTTGGCTGCGACAGGTGTGTCCAAGGACAGCGGTCGCAGCTTCCCTGGCTCGCCGGATACTTGGATCGTCGTGCATGCCGACAAGGCCGCGCGCAGCTCGGTCTCGCTTGACTCGCCAAATGGGTCCAGATTGGACTGCACGTCGCCGGAGAATAACACCGGCTCTTGTGGGATCAGCGTGACACTCGTGCGCAGCCGGTTCAGTCGGATCTGGTCGATGTTCACCCCGTCGATGGTCACCTGGCCACCGACAATGTCGACAAAGCGCAGCAGCGACAGCCCGAGCGTGGATTTGCCGCTTCCCGTCCGTCCGACGATGCCAACGCGCTCGCCAGGATAGGCCACGAACGACACCTTCCGCAGCACATCAGGCCCGTCAGCTTGATATCGAGCCGTGACCTCAGTAAACTCCACCCGGCCGGACGTGGGCCAGCTGGCAGGCAATGCTTCCGCCCTGCGCCGCTCCTCCACCCCCAGCGTCTCCTCCGGTTCAATCTCCGCATACTCCATCATTCGCTGGAACGAGTTCAGCTCCACCTCGAGCTCGTTCATCGTCCGCACCAGCGTCAGAATGGTCTGGCTCAGTCCGATCGCGTTCGTCAGCGAGAATCCCACCAGGCCGGCAGACCCCGACCAAAAGTACGCCACGCACCCAGCGGCCGCCGCGACCGACGCCGCACAGAAATCCGTGCGGACAGACACCCAGCGGTTGCAATTGTACTGTGCCTCCGACGAGCGGGCATGCACGGCCAGCTTCTCTGCCAGCAAGTTCTGGAACACCTGGTCCATGCCATCTCTCGCCCGGATCACGCTCAACCCGGACAACGAGTCGGTAAAGTGGGAAAAGACCGGAGAGTAATTCACCGAAGTCAGCCGCTTGATGGACACCTGCGCCCGCGTGTACATTTCCCCGATCAGAAAGCCGGCCGAGCAGATCACCGCCGCCGGGAGAGCAAAAATCGGCATGATAGATGCAACACTGGCAATCCGCAGCAAAAACCGCAGCATATTTTCGATCGACATCCGCAGCCACTCCACCAACACCGTGTCCAACGACCGGGTATCGTTGCCGAAGCGGTTGATGGCGCGCCCGATCGGGTTCTGATCGAACCAGGCAATCGGCGCCGACAGCACGGCCGTCACCAGCCGGTGGTGCGTCTTCTTGGCCGCCACCCAGCTGCCGTACTGATAGATCAGATTGTTGCACAGCTGCAACGACAGAAACGTGAGGATGCACGCGGCGTAGACCCCAAGATAGAACAACGTGTTTGGGTGCTCGTACTGCTCGTACGCCCCCGTCCAAATAGACAGCCAATACGTGATGGCAAAGTAGGCGAATTGCACCGAAATAGTGGCGACAACGACGAGCGGAACGTACGACGGACCGCCGAACAACAGCATATAGCGAAGCGCTGAAGAGTCAGCCATGAACTACCAGAACAATCCACAACGTACCTAGCGTGCGAGGCACTCGCCCCGTGGCAGACGTCTCCTTGGAGATGCGGGTCTCAGGCTCAGGAGCTGACTCGGGGGCAGCAGGCTCGGACGGCGCATTCAAAGCTTCGGTCACCGGCACGGGCACAGACACCGAGTCGGTATCAGTGCCCGGGGTGGTAGATCGGGACTGCGACAGAGACTGCGTCTTGAACGCCCGAGCCGGCACAATCTTGCCATGCTCCAAGCGGACCACCAGCTCGGCGTCCTGCAAGGCAGCCGGATAGTGAGTGATCAGCACCACCGTCCGGTCCTTGAGCAGCCCGCCGCGAAAGCACTTGTCATATACGAGACTCGTGGTGTGGGTGTCAAGCGCCGAGAAGATGTCATCAAGAAGGAGTGTACTCGACGGGGAGTACAAAGCCCTGGCCAAAGACACTCGCTGTTTCTGGCCGCCCGACAGTGAGGTTCCTCGCTCTCCCACCATGGTGAGGTCACCAGCCGGGAGCTGTCGGAGATCCTGCGCCAGACCACTGGCTTCGATGACCTGGGCATACCGCGCCTCATCGAACGGACTGTAAAAGATGATATTCTGGCGGATAGTGTCGTTCTGGAGCCACGGCGCCTGGGGCACATACGCCACATCCCGCGGGCATGTCGCAGCCCCCGATTCCAGCACCGTCTCGCCCAAAACCGACAGAAGCAGCGAGGTCTTGCCACCGCCAGTCGGGCCGGTCACCACATTGAGTGCATTCGGCTTAAAGCGGACCGTGAGATTCTGCAGCCGGAAGGCCGCAATCGGGGTGCGTCGAAAGGTCGCGTCCGTCAACTCCAACGGCCCGTCCGGATGCCGCTGGATCTCGCGGGCCGTATCGAAGAAGCGGTCGACACGGCGGAGCGACTCGGACCCTTGCGCGGCGTATCGGCTGATATTGGACAGCCAGATGAATTGAACCCGCAGCGTCTCCATGATGGACAAAGACGTAAAGGCAACCGGGGCCCGCAGCGGAAGATCAGTAAACAAAATGTACACCGAGAACATCACGAGCAGACTGAGCAGCGGCAACAGCTCGCCGGCCATGGAGATCAGCGCCACGAAAACGCTACGTCTCCACAGACGGCGCTGCTCCACGCGCCGGACGTCATTAATATTGCTCATCGCCGCATGCTCCCAGCCAAAGTACTTTAACGTGCGGATCGACTGCAAGTACTCGGAGATTTTGGCCAGTCGAGCATCCGTGGCCTGCATCACGGATCGTTGAATACGGGACACCTTGCGCGACGCCATCGCAGGCAACGGAGACAAACAGAGCAGCATCAGGACACCAAACAACGAGGGCCACCCCAGCATCTGGTACAGAAACACCAGAGCGAGCGTGGTAGAAATGGGGCCTGCAGTCGCGATATAGAAGATATCGCGCGAGCTGTAAATGGCGTCGACGTCGTACGACATCAAACTAGTCAGGTTGGCCTGGCTCGATTTCGAAGCCCCCTTGGACTCGGCCCGGTTCCGCGACTTGGCCTGTTTCCCTTCATCAGACTGCCCGACCGAATCATCGTAGATGAACGACCGCATGGCAGTCTGATACAACTCCTGCACGAGGGAAACATTCACACGGACCAGCAGCCGGGTAGCCGTAAAGATGTACTGCTGGTAACACAGCGAACGAGTCGCCGGCCCGGCAAACAATAGGGCAATCCACAGCGCCGGGTGGAGGATCGCACTCCGGGGATTCTCCAGGTAGGCCAACAGCCGCAGCATCGAGTACGGCGCGAGAAAGTCCACCACGGCCGTAAAGGCGGCCCAAAACATCATGGTTCGGATATCCTTCTTCAGCATCCGGCACAGCGTCCGGAAGGTCTTTCCCCCTTTCAGACGCTGCTTCTTGATCTTCTTCAGCCATTTCAATGGCTCATCGTATGTAGGTAGCGGAGGGAGGTCATCCAGGGTCAGATCCCTCTGACAGCCTCGCAGAATCACATACGTGATCCACTCATACGAGCAATAGTACGAGAATAGGGAGCACGTCTCTTCCGGCGACACTTTGGCTTCCACCAATTCATCCGTCTCGGTGTCACGCACCGAGCGTCGCGGACGGGGAGTAGCCAGTGCGATAGCCACCACTGCAGCCAAACAAGCTACAATCGCAGCTCCAACGGAGCTTGGCCGATACGTCGCGCCGATCACCGTCATGGGCGCTATATCCTGCGTCACCGCCAGTACCAACGCTCCCATCACCACCCCATTCATATGCCAATACATATGCTGCCGACCGCCATAGCTCTTACAGCAGAGCCGTCCAATCCCCAGGAGCACCACATAGGTCAGTAAAAGAGACCGTTTCCAACTCCCTCCCAGATGTATATCAGTCCCGGCCAGACAACAGGCCGCAATGGCGGCCGCCAGATGCGCAAACGCGTAGGGCAGCGATGCCACGATCTCGGGTTGCCCCTGCGGGGAGATCGGAGCCCGCGATTTCGCCCGGAAGTGTCGAACATAGCGCCGACTGACTGACAGCACAATCACCACCCAGGAAGACAGCAACAACGCCAGATGCAAATTTCCTGCGCCAACAAAAGCTGAGGCTTTTCGGGTTCGGTATTGCCAGATTTCTCTACCATCATTTAGCAATTGCCTATCACTGTCATGGAATCAACCTACCTCTGCACCAAACCAGGGTCAGGAACATCACCGATGTCTCCCGCCCCGCCCGGAGTCATTAAAGGCACCATGGGTACAGGCACGAGAGGCTCCATTGTGACGATGGAGCAAGGCGCGCAACAGCAAAAGCTCACTCATGAGCAGTTCGCATGCGTCATAACCAGCAAAGCTCTTGGAATGGAATGGGTCAGACAGCATGGGGCCCGGTCTCTTTTATCAGGATGGAGCGTGGGTCACGGCACAGCCCATGATCTAAGCTAGCTGCGATGCTGATTGCTGACACGCCGGCGCTGAGGAAGACCGGGAAGCGGTGTCAACGCCAGGGAATAATTTGACGGACATTGCCGATAGCGGTGGACCAGCTCATGGATCGGACGAATTCTGCCCCGGATGGAACCTTGGATCGCCTCGAGGCCTGCATCTGATAACACGGCTTAGTCAGGGCAGCAGGCAGTGAGGCAGCCTGAGGCAGAAATTGCTTGCATGAGACACTTTCAGTCCGATTGTATGTCAGTTCCATGTCAGTTGGATGCGGTTTGAGAGGAAACTTGCATTGTTCTTGGGATCCCCTATCTACTATGGTGTCGACAAGCACGGGGCCATCGGCAAACCCCTCCTTTCATTCCCTTCACGGGCCTCTCACTGGCTGTCGGCCAACACTAGCCCGTGCCCCGGCCACTTAGGGTCGGACTAATGCCGCTATCTAACGTGACACCCGCGATAGCCCATCGCTTAGCATATCGAATTCTATAACTATGAAGACATGGGAATACTCTGGTGACATACGGTACCCTACGACATCTGCCGATCTACAGACAGTACACATGGACGTGCCATATCACGCTTCAAAATTCTCAATCCTAGGGGAACCATCTGAATCAATCGTTCATGGTTCAGTGGCTAAAGCGGAATGTTTCACAACCGCGACCCAAGCATCACGGCAGGTCAGCCTATGGCCAGGAAAACGCCGTGTCCAAACCTTATTTATGCTACACTCAAACCCTGGCCTTGAAACTCCCCTTCCAGACAAACATTAACTGCCCCATTGCAACAACATGAATATGAACACAAAGAAACCTTCGCATATCTCCTTCAGATTAGTGAGGTACCGTCTCGTTTGGTCAAACTCCGGGACATGTCGCTTGGTGCAGTTTTGCAAGCTTCCCGTGTACGCCATGTCAATAAACTCGTGCAAGGGAGATTCCCTCTGGCAACACGCCGAGTGGCATATAAATGCCTCAGAAGTAGGCTGTCCAGAGCTATGCGGTCGTTGACATTGCAAGAAATCATTGGTAGACCACCATGCCGAAATTGCCGAATATACTCAAGTACCCCTTATCAATAACCGAACTCACCAAGGATGAACTGAAGTCCATCATCAGCGTCCTGGTCATGGGCGAAACTGGCGATGACGGTGGCGACAATAACATTGATGCCCCCGGTGAAATTTGCGCAGCATCCGACCCGATCAAAACGACCATCCGAGAACTTCCCTGCCGGCTGCGCCGAAGCATAGTCATGCAGCTGGTCCCCAAACGCAAGCTATGTCCCGCCGTCCTCTGCGATGCTCATCGAGAATTGAACCCGTGCATGATCAACAGCGCCTTTGAACTGCTCAAGCGCGAAGTCACACACCGCGTGGCCATCCTCAAGTGGTACGTAGAGTGTCTCACGGAGGATAACAAGGCCTTGATGCGCGCTCTCAACGCAATCACGGGCATGTGGGGAACCCCCCATTCCAAGCAAGAGCGCTCCAAGAAACTAGACGAATTCCAAGAAAATGAATGTGAGGCCTGTATGCTCGCAAGAATTGTGACGGCGCCACTCAGCTTGCAGAACCTCCGGGCCGCGATACTGAGTCGCGGGCGAACAAAACGGAGCCATCGTTACCCGAGGCTTCTCGCCTTCATTGAGGCGGGGATCGATCATCACGCGAATGCCTCCGATCTATATGCTTGCAGCGATGCTATGGCGTTAACTGCTAAAGCCGCCAGAAAAGCAGCATACAACCTGGCCAAAGCGCAAAGGCGGCGACTGCCAGGAAGAGCGAGCACGGAAAGGGAGATTCCCTATTCGATCCTCATTTACCGGAACGCAGGCGCCGCCCAGAAGCCCCCAAGCGAGCAAAAAGAGCTCCTGGAAGACCTGGCATGTCCGAAAATGGAGCGCCCCAAGAGCTATGACACCATTGCCGACAGTATTATCGCAAAGTACTGCTATGTCCCGGAAAAGGTCGATCCCGAGCCTGTCGTCGAGAACGTGCAAGTTACCCGTCCAGTGACGGTCGATCAAGGCGAAGACCTGCTGCTGTCGTTTACACCTAGCGTTTCTAGTGTACATTTGCATCATGAGTCGCAGGATCCTCCGATGCGAGTTGATATGTGGCAACACATTCTAACCGCGCCAACGGATAAATTACAGCCGCTGATGACCGACGTGTCAGACCTGTTGCTTGCAAGCGAGAGGGATGAATTGAGCGATGCACTAGTGGAAGGATATGAAGACCAGGACGGCGACAAGAACGGTGACTTCAAAGATGGTTGTCGCGAAGATGCCCACAACGATGTCCAGGAAGGAAGCAGCGAGGAGAGTAGCGATGATAGCAGCGAGGATAGTGAGGATAGCGACAGTCATATCGATGAAGACGGCGACCACGAAGACGACCACAGAGAGGACCACGAAGATGGCCACGAAGACGGCCACGAAGATGGCCATGAAGATGACCACGAAGATGACCACGAGGATAACCACAAAGATAGTCAGAAGGACGGCCTCGAAGAGAGCGACCATAAAGATGGCGACCGCGAAGGTGACAGTCGCGATGGTAGTGACGAAGATAGTGATGAGGATGGTGGTGAGGATAGCGACGAATATAGCGACGCAGATGAAGACCATGGGGGTGAAGACAAACAGTCTAACTCACCGCGTGGCCCACGCTCATGGGTTCCGTTTCTGGGTCTGTGATCGTTTCCACGAGGTGGAAAGCATCGTTGGCACACGACGAGAGAACAGGCGGCACTGGATCCAACAAAGAAAATCTGTTGGCAGTTGTCCTTATCTTTCATATGATAATGCTATTTCATAATGTGTTGACCTGCATATTACTCAGTTTCGAAGCGGGAATGTGAATATGTGAAATTTGTACAAATCGGTGAAGACAAGGTTGAGCGGAATAAAACAAAGAAAAGGCTCATCAATTTCCAATCTTCAGGTCATGCGGACTGCTCCGAGTAACTGATAAACCGAACAGTAGGAAAAAAGACATTGTACAGGTCCATAACAGGTTTCATCAACCGGACTATTAATACAGCGTAAAATTAGGCAATGAACAGACAGCAGCCGGAAGTAGGAGACGTCCCGCAACTCCAAAGACCCCCGTTGAGCGGCGAAGGCAGAAGGTGAAGATTATTATAAAGCAACAATGAACGAAGAAAGAAGGCATCCTATAGGACACTGCTAGCGACGGGGTGGTTCACGCCTTTGAAACCGTCAACATGAGGGGAAAGAGTAACAGTCTTTCTGCGCCGGGGGCGAGAGACTGATTCGGCCGGTGCTTCCGGGACAGTAGGAGTGGCACTCCCGGAAGCTGGAGTGTCGAAACCAGAATCGTTGTCCAGCTGCTTCTGAGCAGCTTCACGAGAGCGTTCATAACGGAGTTTCACGTCACCCTGCCACTGGGTACCGAACCAACGGTCCCAGAAAATGAAGAACGGCTGCGAAAAGTTGGTCTTGATGCCCCAGCTTTGATGGTGAATGTCATGGTACGCAGCATTGTTGGAAGTAAAGTGTTGCAGTGGGTCCCAAGGGAAAGCGTAGCCGCAGTGATCGTCAACCGTCTTAATGGTGGAGAAGGTGAAGAACCACATGCTCTGACGAATGGACATGCGAGCCGTCAAGAATGCGACGCCGGTGCCAGCAGTGTCAAGGAGGAATCCTTCGACTGGGTGGTTGTAGAGAGCGCCGAATGCGTACGGAACGTACAAGCGGTGATGGCGGGAGTGGAAGGTAACTAGAATCTATGAATCGGCTGTCCGGCTAATAGCGGGAAACTACTTACCATAGAGCCACCGGTTCAGGTGCATCGCGCGGTGCAGGAAATATTGCCAGGTATCAACGACACAGACGCCCCAAAGGAACTGAAGCGCCGGGATGAAAATCCAGTAGATGAAGCTGGCCGTCGAAAGTTCCCAACTCGTGAAAGCAGGAGCCACTGCTTCTGCGCCACTTTCCAGAATGATGGACTGAGTGAATGCAGGATAGTGCCCGCCTGCAATGGCGCCTCCGAGCATTGTCCAACCATTGTGCGACAGGTTCTTACCCAAACCCAGAGCATCGACTCCGAAGAGAGCCAACAGGTGAGGCAGACCCCTTTGCATAAGGCGGATGCGGCGAGCCCAGACAGCAACATCGTACTCTTCCTTGCCCAGACACTCGGGAGGATCAAAGCAGCTCACTGCATAGCCCGCGAGCGTCTGGATAACTTGTTGAAGTATGACATCTCGCACCACCTCCCAGCGCGTGACCCGGTTTCTTTTCAGCACCTCCACTGGTGTGTGAAGGCGATATTGAGGGAAGTAGTCATTGACATCGATGTAGTGATATACCATGGATAAGGCCCAGTAGGCTACGATGGGTAGCATCAAAGCCAGGATGTTGTCTGGGATGGGGGCGAGGACCGGAGGACGCGGAGTCAAGGTATAGGTCGGGAGGGGTGGGAGGTCAAAAATGACCGTATTATTGGCGGCCATGGTGTAGGAAAATCAGTCACCGGTGCTGCGCAAGTCTAGAAGTGAAGGATATTCGAGAATTACCGCATCGGCCGCGGAGATGGAAGGTTGCGAGAATCAGTTGGAGGGGAAGTATCCGGAGTAGGAATCAAGACTAGATGTAATGATGAAGTGGCTGCGGACGCAGACCAAAAGATGTAACAAAGGATTTAAGGCCGGTGAGACAGCAGAAATGGAACAGGTGATGGGGAGATATCTGATCGGGGATCCTGGCCGAGTAGGCCCACCAAAATCAGGGGACGCAATGGCACCAAGTGCCGAGGAACCGATGGGGTAGTGTGAGAGATTAATTAGGAAGAGGCAAAGAATGACCTAAAGCCTCAATGACCATCTACCGGGAGAGAAGAGGAAGGCAATGCAGCACGAAAGACAATAACAATAGAAGCAACCCAAGGAGTGTCAGCAGCGTGGTGAAGGTCAAGAGAAAGAGCAGAAAAGTCACGGGCGGAAAGGAAGAAGTGGCGCCACGGGCTACTGAGGCCGACCGATAGCTGCATGATGGTACCAGGCTGGTATGTTCCCAATCATACGGTATCACCGCACCGTATGACGGCAGCCAGTGCTGCAGCCAAGGGCTGTTTGGTATGTGAAATACGATCATGTAAGATACCGGAAGGAGGCCTTAGCCACAATGTGCTGCCTCAGGCAGAATGGGATCCGGGAGTAAGTTGGAAGATTGGAAGATCGACTAGCCACTTGGTGTACTACTAGGCCTGACCTGTCAGCCGAGCTGGAGCAACCCGCAAATTGCAACCCCTGAGCATTCATTTCCATTGTGTAGCTTTGCAAATTGCACAAGGCAATTCATTAGCTTTGGTCGTTCTTTTTTACCTTCTTATATTCTTGTTGTTTTCCCCTTCTGCCTGGATTTGCCATCGTTGCCCAGCAAAGAATTGGGCTTGGGCCAGACGAGTCGACCAGACCCAAAGGGGGCTAGCGCGGCGGTGCCCCTCGAGCGACGGAAAATCGACCGTGAAAAAAACCCCACCACGAGAAACTGGAAGGGAAAAGCGCCACTAAATATTAATCTTCAATTTTCCCCTCCTCCTCCTCCTTCCCCTTCTCCTCTTCCTCCGTCTCTCTCCTCATCGCCTTTTCCCTTTTATATCACCTACATCTTCATTCATCACCCGCCAAAATGATCATCTACACGGTCCGTTTTTTCCCATCGTCTTACCCCACTTGATGCGATCATCCACCGTTGCATAGTTCCTGCAGCCTGGTGGCTTCCCCTCTTACCTGTCATTTTCTCGCCGTTTGCGTTTCGGGTGTCGAACCCCTCGCTCTTCATCACAACTAACATGTCTTTGTGAATAGGATATCATCTCCGGCGACGAGGTTCTCGCCGATACCTACAACATCAAGACCGTCGACGGCGTTCTCTACGAGTGCGACTGCCGCAAGTACCTCAAGAAGGCCAACGAGGACTTCGAGCTTGAGGGTGCCAACCCCTCCGCTGAGGGTGGTGATGATGATGCCGGTGGTGAGGGTGAGGCCGTCATGGTCCACGACATTGAGGACCAGTTCCGCATGAACTGGCTCAAGACCGAGGAGGGTCTCAAGCCCTCCAAGGATGCCTTCAAGTCCCACCTCAAGAGTACGTTTTTGACTGCTTGCTCTGCTGCATTAATGCTGCTCATACTAACTGGCTCAAAGCCTACATGAAGAAGGTCCTGACCAAGCTCACCGAGAAGGGTGCTCCCCAGGAGACCATCGATGAGTTCAAGAAGGGTGCCCCCGCTGCCGTCAAGAAGATCCTTGCCAACTACGACAACTACGATGTTCTCATGGGCCAGTCCATGGACGGTGATGCTATGTATGTTACCTTCGCCTTTGACCTTCTGGATTCGAATCTAATAATCTACCAGGCACATCCTGATCGACTTCCGTGAGGACGGTGTCACCCCCTATGCCACCCTCTGGAAGCACGGTCTCGAGGAGATGAAGGTTTAAATTCTCCATACCAACTGTGGAGAATTGTTGTCATGAATCGAAAAGATAAGAAGAGATACACAGAATATGCGATCATCTTGAAGCGAGCATCCACGGGTCCCGGACGTCAGGGCGTGAAGATGGAGATATTCATCTCCACCAGAAGCGTTCCCGGTAAAACTTCTGGCTATTTCCTAATACCCCAACGATATAATATCGCTCCTGCGTCACATTTCTTGTTGCGTCCTTCTTGATTAAAGTCACGCCTCATGAAATCCATAACTACGTTTTTTTATTCATTTACATGATTATCGGCGGTATTATCCGTCTGGTCACATAATTCACCAAACCCTGCCTTCGCCGGAATTCAAGATTCCGTCTATCATGCGTAAATTGTAGTTTCTCAACCTAAAACTGACGATCTCGTTGATTGGAGGACACCCCTATACAAAGATGGACATCCCGTTCATGAAGTCAACACCAGATCATCAACACATAGATTATTACAAGAAACCCCAAGATTAGTATATACAAAACAAGGATATATCCAAGACCCCATCAACCAGATCAACAATACCCCACCCAATCAGAACCATGCACCTCACTCATCCCAGCCTCACTCCCCAGCAAACTACTCCCCGATCTCGCCCCTGACCCTGACCCCCTCACGACACTGCCCAGGTCCCCGAACTCGAAACCCGCGACCGGGTCCAGTTCCATCAACTCGTCCGCCACGGGCAGGTGTTGGCCGAAAACGGCGTCCCACTGGTCCCAGTCGAAGTTTAAGTTCGGGTCCACCATTGACGGCGGGGTGGGGACCCCCGTGATGGGCTGACTGGCTGGGGAGGCGGCCGCGGCGGTGGTGTCCAGGAATGAGGGGAGGGGCGCTGGGGGAGTGCTTATGGATGGGGGCGGTTGGGGTTGGGGGAAGGTATTGGCGAAGATGGTGGGGTTGAGAGGGGCGATGCTTTCGGGGGAGGAGATGGGGGAGACGGCGAGGGGGGAGGTGTCCATGGGGTGTTTGGGTGTTGGAGATCGGGGAATTTGATGATGAGGAGGAGGGATCATTTGGGAAGTGGGGAGGATGGAGGGAGGGGCTGGAGGGGGAAGTTGGTAGCGGAGAGGACTGCGGCGGAGGTTGGTGGCTGGGTTGGGGAGGAGATGAGAGCGGGTCATGTTGTAGAATGTCTTGGAGAAGTCGGCTAGTTGTCGTCGGGAGGTGAGGGTAGGGTATGTCGAGGGAGAGGCGGCGGTTGGGGTCCCGCTGGTGTAGCAGGGGTCGTTGGCATAATCATCGGGAATGGAAGTGACTCCGGCTTGGATTTGCGCCTGTTCGGACCATAGTTTGTGAGGGTCAAGGCCAGCTTTCTGCCATGCTTTTTGACGCAGTCGGCGGATCATGTCCCATGCTTCGCGGCCGCCGTCTTTCAGCGGCCGTTGGGTTGAGATACCATCTTCGCCACCGACAACGCCGCCGTCAGGCCCGGTCATTGAGAAGATTTTGTCGATGTATGCTCGAGATTTGGGAGCCTCAGGGCTATAGGGTCGTTCGTAGAGGTCGATGAGCATGATCATGGTCGCATGCATCGGTTGATGATTCCCGGGCCAACTCCATTGGAAGGGCTGGAAATCGGGGTCGGTCGCCAATGAGACGAACTTTTCCATGAAACCATGACAGTGGCGAAGTGCGCTGTGTCTGTTAGGCATGACGGTGTAGTCAAGATCAGTGATGGTTAATCTTACCTCTGTCTTGCAGCTGGCCAAATTCGACTTTTGGCGTTCTTAAGGAACGGTTGATAGGCAACGCAGAAAGCCTGGCGGACGTTAGCAGCAATTCTAGTACTTTGAAGGCTCACTTACTTTGTCAATGAAGAGAGACAAGAGAATCCGCGCCCACTTGTGGAATGATACAAGAACAGGCGAATGGTACTGCTCTGAACAGCCGTTGGGCCCATCTGCCGGCAGTTCTGTGTGGACCTCTGTGGGTGAGGATAGAGACCATGATCTCGTAGATGACACAGAAGGCGTATCCAGAGACTTGGCCTCTGGAATTCGGTTGATAATCGAGTTTAGCTTATATTGCAAATCGACCAAGATCGACCTCAGTTCCTCCATATCTCTTCTCGTGACAGGTTTCGTGCCAAGCTGGATCTTCATAATCCGGCGGACAGCGCCTGCAGTGCTCGTTAGATACTAGAGCCGATAGAGTTCCATAAAGCACTTACGAGCCATTGTATACTTTCCACGGGCCGAGAGGTAGTATACGTTCACCATAGAAGGTCCTCCACAAATAGTCGGATCATCGGGATTATCCGGTGGCCTCATGCCTGTCATTACCAGTCTCTCATATTTCTCCGCAGCAGGACTACCAAGTAGCGTGTCCTTCACTTCACTGGTCTCGCGAACATCCCAATAGTTCTCCTCACTAACCAACGGAGGCAGACCGCTAGACATGGCCACAACGCCATCCATGTGCACGATATGCCACCAGATCCGACGGCGATTCTCTGCGTCGCAGGGACCAATGCCAAACTTCGCAGGGTCTCGATGCAGACCCATGGTCTGTGCGACTCGCATGGCCAGACTGACGAAGAGACTGCTTGTTAAAGGCTCTTCTTCCTTGGAAAGAATCGTCTGAACCAGAAGATATGCAGCCAGTCCTTGCAGGGACGGACTCCGAGGGAAAGAGATCTTGGACAGCCATCGGGTTACCTCCTCGCTGTAGGCCTTGGACAACCCCGAGCGAGAGGGAACGTTGAATTCTGCCCTGATCGTCCGGATTGATATTGTGACAGATCCGCCATACCAGATGGCATAGAGTAACGGGATAAAGGATGGGTCAGGGCAAGGCTCCCCCGAGTAACTGCTGGAATCATACCAATCCCAGAAGGAGTTGTACACTCTGAGGACAGTGGGGGGATGGATAACAGGAGTAATGGCATGAATTCCAGACATGAACCCTTTGTACAATATATGGCTTTGACGTTTCGTGGGCATATTCTCCAGCATCTCTGGCTCAACGACCTTGTCATTAACAGACGGCGATTCGCTTGAGGGAAACAGCACAGACTTCTGGAACGTTTGTCCTCTGGTAAGCTTCGCGTCAGAAGATTCACCAATACCATCAGATGGTGCTTTCCATTGACGACTCGACGTGGAAGACGTAGGTTCCGCCGCCGTATCGTCCGCGGGGCTCTGATTGAATGGAGGCTCATTGTGTGAGCGAGTTTGATCTCGGAGCAATTGATTGAGTTCGTTGATCTGATGAACTTAGCATAAGTCCAAAGAAATTGCTTGTACATGTTCACATACCTCATCTGAGATATAAGCCCAATAAGTCGTCCCGACGTATCTATACCACAGTTACGAGACTTATCTTCCCCTGAGCACACAAAACATACCTGGACCTCCCTCCATCCTCCAAACTCAAGTGGCCGAGATTCAGACTCCCCACTGGATCCACCAAGTCCGTCGCGTGGCCAGCAGGAATCGGGAACTCATCGCCAATCGCCTCCGCCGCGCGACGCGGACTATCCGAACGAGAGTCACCGGGCGGCTTCAAGGTCGGACCGTTGCCCGACCGAGGATCTCCTTTCGGCTGATCAAGATTGATATTATGCGCCAGCAATTGCCGTTTTGCGGGATCCAACGGCTGATTCGATTTGCTGAGCCTCTCGATCATCGACGTAAGTTTATCCAAACGCGCTTCGATCGCTTGCGACCGCTGCTCGGAAGCCCCATTCTGTCTCAAATGGCCGTAAATGGTTTGTAAGTCGTCGATGTCGTCCTCGAGTGGTCGCGAGGATTCTCTCCTCCGTTTCACGCCATGTCCGTTCTTCGGCTGACCGGTGCGCGACTCGACGTTCTTCTGGGGCGCCGTATCGTAGACACATTCGGTTCCGTTTTTCACGCAGTTGCCGCAAATCGGATGTACCTAGTGTTCCTGTCCTCAGTCCAGTCCAATCAATTTATTAGACATCCGGTGCATGTACCTTGTCGCATTTAACCTTCCGCCTCCGACAGGTATGACAGCTGTAGCTGGCGCGATTGCGGGTGATCTGACGACTCCCCGGTTTCCCGATCCTGGGCGTAGTGGAGGGTGGAGCCGATGGAGGCGTGGAGTCGTAGTTCAGCAGAAATTTCGGTTTGATGTCTTCATTTTTCTGCCCGTAGCCGGACAGAATGCTCGATGCGCTGGTGTTCATGGTCCGTCGGTCGCAGTGGCGGGGTTCTGTAATCCATCGACAGGGCTAAGCGGGCGGTTCATGGGGAAGTGCGCATGAATGTCAGCCCATGTGGGGAGGCTAATCAGGGAGGGTCTTGATCGGATGATGTGTCACTTTGAGGGAGCGAAACGCAGCAACTGCGCCGTGGGTGAGGGGAAGTGAAGCCGAAGTGAGCATCGGCTGAGGTGATTCTGGGGTAAAACAGCGTTACTTATCGCGCGATGGTTCCGCCTCGGCCAATGACAGCGACCATATACGCAAGCCGAGCAATGCAGATCGATTGGATAAAACACAGCGATTCCTAGTAATACTGTTCCTCCTGTTGGGGTTTACATATTTCTAGGAGGCTATGGCTGCTATCGACTAAGCATTACTTCAACACAAAGCCTTCAAATATCATTTCATTCGACTTGGTATCCAGAGAACAGCAGTGCCCTCGATATAGGAAGCAACAAACGCCTTTCGCCCATGCCAATGCAATCAGAAGCCTATGTACCACATGAACAGATGTCAAGAAGCGCTTTATTTGCCCTTCTTCTTATCCTTCTTCTTCTTTTCAGCAGGTGCCGCAGAAGGACCTCCTCCCATCAAGCCAGCCAGATCCGGCATTCCAGGTATCTGGGGCATGCCGGGCATACCCTGCATGTTCTGCATTTCGGCCATGGCGTCCTTGAGCGGGTTATCGCTGACTCCGCCACCACTGTACGCCGGAGAGTGTATCGGGAGGATGCTTCCAATCTTCCATCCACGAGGAGCCGAAGGCGCGGCAGGCAATTTCTCAGGCATGGGGAGTCCTCTGATTCTTAGACGGTAGGGGGATTCTTCGGTAGTGGGGTGGGCTTTGAGGTATTGGGCCACGAGGATGTAGAGGTGGTGTTCTGCAATTGTTAGACAGGGCTCTCAATGAAGTCACATCAAAGCTAGCGACTCCGTGTGAAATAGAGGGCAAGTAAACATACTGTTCTTAATCCTCGGGTTCACCAAGTTGCCCTCCTCATTCTTCAACAACACCCGCACACGTCCGGGATTCGCCCAATCCTTCGGATGCAGCTTCTCCGGCTCGAACCCAACATTCAGCCCCAGCATCTGCACCGCATCGACAATATCCCTAGCCAACGGGTTCTCAACCGCCAGCTCACTTCCGACCTTGCGACCCTCAGCGCGGGATCGCGTCTTGTCGAAATATACCGGGTACAAGCACTGATAATGTTTGGGGATTTCGCGCTGAGGTTCAGGAGCCGGTCTCATGGGCAATGAGCCCGACATGGGAATTCCGGCCCCAGAGAGGATGGATTCGTTGGGGAAGTTGGCGGGCGTGGAGTCGGAGGGAGCAACTTCCTCGGGGTCGGAGTCGTAGACCTCCTCGACTTGGGCGTGTCGTGACATGGTGATGGTTCAATGGGTGTGATGTGACCGGAGGGGAGGTATGATGCACGGCAATGAGCCTGGAAAGTGGGAGGCTGTTCTGGTGAAGCAGTCTGGCCTTTCTGTGCGGAATGGAGTTTTAGTGGCCAACCATTGCGGAGCGGAGAGCTGCCCGCCCACCGCCCGCTTGCTCTACATGTTGACATGACGGAGTTCTCCAGACATACAACGATCATGTATCTTGTAAATAAGAAATAGCAAGCTGCGTCTTGACTGACTGAAGAGATGAATAAGTTCTTTTTTAGCCTCATTCTTAGATTTGACCTTATCACCTAAATCCGAGAATAGTATACATTGCCAATTCGGAAGAACAACCCCGATATGTAAGGGCACCACATTCTATTCTGCCCCTTATGCCTATTCTCCAAATAGAATGCGGATGGTCAGGAGAAGCCTATCTACCCTCTTTGAAAAGGTCGGAACAATACTCCGTACACTCACCGGTAAGAAGTAGAACGATCATGCGTAGTCTCCAAATAACATATACTCCTTAAGCTAACAATCGAACAAACAATACTCCCTACTCTATCTCTATAGCTAAAAGACATCCAGCCCCAAACAACTGACCGACACTCCGTAGCCAAATAGCACACGATAGGCCACAACAATGAGTCACCACCATAATCTAACTATGCATAGCACACGCCAAGATGTCACATCACCCTTCCCAACGATAATCACCTCCAGATGATACGACAAATCGACCGACCTCCTCTGCTGTCTCCTGTACCAACAAACCAAAGGCAGATAATGCGGTCGTCCTGGACGAGTCAAGCCGCCGCGATAACCACGACACGATGACTCCACGTCGGCCCCGTCGGCGGAGACAGCCAACCAGTCGCTCGTAAATCTCCATCGGCATGCCGGTTCCCCGCCGCTCCCCCACATGTAAGTCACAGGTCAGGATGATGTCTGGGGATGGAGCGAGAGGAGGTGTTGGTGCTTATCGTGGGTTTAAATAGCATGTTCTGCTGTATTTTGGATTTTAACCAGCAGACCCAGTTTTGTGTTCTTGACTTGAACTGAACAGCTCCACCTAAGAACTAAGCATATTTAATATTGTCCAACATGACCATTACAGGTAAGCCCTAACCCCCAGCACAGACACCGATACGATCACCCAAGCAGCTAACTCAGAAGCAGACTCCGTCACCAGCAGTTCCGTCCTGCATCGCAACACGCGCTTTGTCCCCAAGAAAGCCATCGGCGGTAAAGGCAGCTACATCTTCCTCGAAGATGGCACCAAGTTTCTCGATTCGACCGGCGGTGCCGCCGTATCCTGTCTCGGTCATGGCCACGAGGAAGTCAAGCAGGCTGTGATCGACCAGATCAATCAGCTCTCGTACTGTCATACGACTTTCTTTGGGACCGAGGCATCTGAAGAGCTCGCTCGTCTGCTCACTGAGTCGACGGGAGGCAAGATGTCGAAGTTGTTTGTTGTGAGTTCTGGTACGTATACCCCTCATTCCCAACTAAACTATTTCATCAATAGATCGACCTACATACTAATAGTATCCATATGATGCAGGCTCCGAAGCCGTCGAAGCCGCCCTCAAACTCGCCCGTCAATACTTCCTCGAACTCCCCACCCCCCAGCCCCAACGCACCCGATTCATCGCCCGAAAGCCCTCCTACCACGGCGTCACTCTCGGAGCACTCTCCGTCGGCGGACACATGATCCGTCGAGAAGCGTTCGAACCCCTCCTCTCAAGCAACACATCCCATGTCTCTCCTTGCTATCCCTACCGAGGTCAAGCAAAGGACGAGTCCGATGAAGATTACATCGCCCGACTAGCAACAGAACTCGACGAGGAGTTCCAGCGCGTCGGCCCAGAGAATGTCTGCGCGTTTGTCGCGGAGCCGGTTGTTGGAGCGGTGCGTTAGCTTCCCTTCCACCATATCCATAACACATGGATACCCTACCCAAGCTCAAGCGACTGATCCGAGAATAATTTATAGGCCCTCGGCGCCGTCCCCGCCCTCCCAGGCTACTTTCCCGCCATGAAGTCCATCTGCGAGAAATACGGAGCGCTATTCATCCTCGATGAGGTAATGAGCGGAATGGGACGTTGTGGGACCGTCCACGCCTGGGAACAAGAGAACGTAGTACCCGATCTGCAAACCATCGGCAAGGGACTTGGGGGCGGGTACGCGCCCGTCTCGGGACTCTTAATCTCAGAGAAAGTCGTGGACGTAATGGACAACGGCACGGGCGTGTTCCGCCACGGCCAGACGTACCAGGGTCATCCGGTGGCTTGTGCTGCTGCGTTGGCGGTGCAGAGGGTCATTAAGCGGGATAATCTGTTGGAGAATGTGAGGACGATGGGAAAGTATTTGGAGGAGGAGTTGAGGAGTCGGCTGGGGGGACATCCAAATGTGGGTGATATTCGGGGAAGGGGTTTGTTTTGGGGGGTAAGTTTGATATTCATACTCGTTTTCTTGTTTGATGGGATGGGTTCGATGGGTTTGGCTAACGATGTTACAGATTGAGTTCGTCAGCGATAGGGAGACGAAGGAGCCGTTTGCGCCGGAGTTGGGCGTGGCGTTCCAGGTTCAGGAGACGGGGCTGGGGCCAGAGTTTGGTGTCTCGTTGTATGCTGCCAATGGGTCAGTGGATTGTATGCGTGGGGATCATATTATTCTAGCGCCGCCGTATAATGTCTCCAAGGAGGAGATTGATATCATTGTGGATACGGCGGCCAGGGTGATTGATGTGGTGTTTGCCAAGTTGGAGACGGCATAGATGGGGTGGATTTCTAGGGTGCTTGGAGCACGGGTTGTTCTTATTTGGTTTTTGATGGCAGTAGCAACGAATATTCATTAAATGTCTTGATGTGCATGCCGAAAAACCGGGTATAGTATTGTATTCGCCTTATGGAAAGTATGACTCGATAAGTGGGAAGACGGGAGTATTGTTACACATTGCAGTTTCGTTCAAGCTTTGGCCTCAATCGCAGCAGTAGCATCCTTGGCTTGCACTTTGCTCTCTCCGTTCGTGACGGTCGCAGGCGGGGGTCCCTCCGTCCACATGCTTGCCACAGTTTCCACGGCTCTCTCAATGACGACTCGGATCCGATCCCTCAGCACTGGATTAGCACATTCCACGTCTAGATTTTCCAGCCAGACACGGGCAACGTGTTTGTCGACCTTGATCTCGAGTCCAGGGAATGGAATGCCAAGTGCTTGGAGACGAGAAATCTCAACCGCTTCCAGTTCCGTCAAGTCTTCCTCATCCTCTTCCTTGATAGGGGTATTTTCATCAGACTCAACTTTCGTGTCATTGCCGTTTGCGATGTCTGAGGGCAGTCGTGGACGCTCAATGGCAACGATTTCGGACCCGAACTGTGCTTGGAGCATCATGAGAAGACGTCTAAAACGCTCTTCCGGTCCTAGGTGTGAGTGAGGGTTAGGGGGTTGTATGGAGTTGTCATGATGGTGGTGGTGGTGGTGCTTGGCAGACTCTGTAAAATTCGTTAGCAAATAGTACGTAGATGCAATCTAGAAGGCACGTACGCTTCACTGACGCAGGGCTACTCTCAACGGTCAGAAGGACCGCCATGACTGCGTCAGCTACTCCATCATTCATCATATTTCCTTCCCATTCAAGCTCAACCTCACGAGTGCGAGGATAGTATCGGATGAAAACGCAGCCCATGACAAGGTAGGTTTGCGTATCTGCGATGGGGATCTCTTCATCAGCAGCCTCCTCTTTCAGCCCCTCCCCGTTAAGCTTCTTAGAGCTGCCCTCGGGTTCTTTCTTGATAAGTTCCTGTTGGGCGTTGCCAACCTCCTCGATAGCACCAAAGGTGCCCTCGAGGGCCCATTTGATCAGATCCATGCTTGCAGAGCTCAACGTGATATGCTGCTTGCATGTAATGGCAGTGGTTGTCAAACCCGCATACTCGCGGAGATCATCCGGCGCCATTAACGACAGGTTGAACCCATTCTGTACCAGGACACCAGCCATGAGGTGGCCATCGTCTTGCTCCGACGGAGGTGCAATTTGAGCCAGTCTGCCGACAACTTTCGCGATCTTGTCCTTCTTAAAGGGAATGCGAACTTCTTCGCAGTTTGCGGGGGTGTAAACCTTGACCTTGACGGTCTTCTCAGCGTTTAGACTGAGCAGTTTCGATTTGAGTCGCATCATCTGGTGTTTTTCGCCGTGGACAAGGATCTAGGGGGGTAAGTGAACTGGGTATACTATGGGAACACCTAATAGGGCTACATACCACGACCGGAGCGGAGACTTCCTCGATGAAATTTCTGTTCTCAACGCCATCTACATGGGCTGCAAAACTGACCTCGTCCACAGTACACCTCCTGGGAATCATGACCTTCTGCTCCTCTTCATTCCCAGTCATGCCGCGTCTCACCAATCCCGCCGTTGCTCTTGACATCACTGCAGGAATCTGCTCCGGCTCATTCAGGATCTGCTTGGCCATCGTGCCCTCGACACTGTAGCCGGTCATGACAACGCCATTGCGTTCATTGGGAGCCCACCGCTCCAGGAGCTCCCTACTTGTCCCTGTCTGCAGCATACCCGGCGATGCTAACATCACACATCCTCCTACATCGTCGAACCGTTCCAGACTGCGCAGACTTCTGACAAATCTGAAGTCCCAGGGTCCTGCACTGACACTTTTGTCACCACTAGCTTCCGCCTCCGCCATACGTTGACGGAAGAGTCGCTTTATGTTATCGTTCATTGCACCTATATATGTTTGATACACGACCATACATCTGCGAGCCGTATTTCCGATATAGTAAATGGGGATCTTCTGAAGTTCGGGATGGGTCTCCCAATATTCATCAAGGATGAGCAACAACTCCTGGGCGCGACCTAGGGCAAACACCGGCATCAAGACTCTGCCTCCGCGATTCAGGACGCCGGTAATCGCTTTCATCAGGGCCGCTTCACGTTCCAGGCGGGGCGGATTCGATGATATACCGAACGTCGACTCGGTGATAAGCACATCGATTTTAATGCCCTTGGGAACTTCGGCCGGGATCAGATGCCGGTCTTCCTCACGCGAGTAGTCACCGGTAAAGAGGATGTTCAAGCCGGCTATCGAAATCAGGAACATCGCGGCACCGAGGACGTGACCAGCCGGGAAGGGAGTAATCCGAATGCTGTTGATCGTATGTGTGGTGTTGAAGTCGATGGTCTCAATCAACGGCAGCGTAGACAAATGATCATGTTCGGTATAAAGCGTGGTGCGTTGATCGGATGACGAGGCCGTATTGCTCACGCGTACATTATCCTGGATCAGCCATTTGTAGATGGCCTTGGTGGCGTGCGTCATAAACACGCGACCCTTGAAATTGGTCTTGCTGAGCACATAAGGGAGCGCAGAAGAATGATCAACGTGGAAACTATGGGTCGAGGAGAGTTTCTATCAGCCGACTGTCTGATAAGATCGCCGAGCAAGAGTTGAAATGCAACGGCGGAGCAGACTGCATGGATACAACGATACAACGCATAAAACAGGATGGATAGCTAGCATATATTGTATTGTGTTTCTCAGTACATGAGCGAGTATAGGGGTTATATCGGCAATGAACAGCATTGCTTCCATGGAGGTAAAGTGAAACAAGGTGTGGTATAAGGGCGCGGCCGAGAACGAAAGTGGCTTGCTCAGGAGGGACGGAGGGGTGACTCGGAGAACACAAAGGAGAGACGGTCCCACATACTGGCTTATCAAGAGGATATCTACCGTGCTCAGATCGAACTCGTCAAAGAAGGGCAGAGCTGAGAACCCTTCTTTCGCAGGATGCATACCGGCGTCAAGCTAAAGAGGCCGAGTCAGCGGGGTTCCCATCTAGACCAGAAAGGACCAAAGTTCACACACCATGACCGTTTTCCCTTTGTATTGGATAATATGGCATGAGCGTCCAACCTCGTTTCCACCTCCTAAACAATAGAAGGCCAATTCATCGGTTGGATCGACCGGTTCGTCATCCAGGGCGGCATTCAAAGCCGATGCCTTCCGTTTCGTTGCCATGATGTAGAGTTCCAGTCGATTTACAACTAGCAAGATATTATATCTTTCGGGATCAGAAAGAAAGCGCAGTGGCGCACGTAAGGGTCAGTCAGTAGAAAAGCACGGGTGCTCTGTTCTATATGGTGTCTGTTAGTTGACGCGGGATCAGCTGCCCATGACATGCGCAGGGCACAATCCGAGGGTTGATAGGAAATCGGCGAGCCGGCCAAAAAGCACCAAAGCAGTGCCTGTAGCGACAGTCCAGACCGAGTGAAATCTCTGCTTCTAACACAATCCCGGTGAATGAGCGCAACCACAACAATAACACGGAGATCGATCGAAAAAGAAGAAGCGCAGGTCCGCCATGGCGGCGCGGCCTTACCTAAGCCCGCCACGTGATGTTCCCGAGCGGATCGCCCGCGACGAGCAAACCTCGAAGCTCCCCTTCCCGTTCGCGAGAGCAACACCGTTGGCCCCGTCAACTTCACTCGCTCCCACTCGCGCTCGACGCTTCGCCAGGACATCCCGAACGACCTCGCATCCGGTTTCCATGTCGAACCCGATGTCCTGACATGGTTCCAGTTGGTGGCGGTGGCGGTTAAAGTAGTCCGCCCGGTTCTATACATACATACAACGCGAAACTCCTCCGTCCGGCGTCCAGAGCCGTGACTTGACTCGGCCGTCAATATCCTAAATTCGACCTTGTATTGAAGCTGCGAATTCCAGCCATCATGGCGCAACCACAGCCACAACATCTGACTCAGTCCTTCTCTCCGCCGGGTTCCTCCCCTTCACCTGGCGCTCCATCGCCAGTGAATGGAGGTGTCCCACCACCTTTCAAGCGCCAACGCCTTTCACCTCTCCCTCAGTCCCAGTCTCCTTACGCCTCACCTAGCTTTGGGACTCTGCAACTGCCACAACACCAGCCCACTCCTCTGAATGGAGCCAATCTGGGCATGAATGGCATGCCTCAAAGTCCGGCTCCTCCACCTCCACCTCCAGGCGCAATGGGTCCTCCATCTCGACCGGCAGAAAAGGCGACGGATGCTGCTGAGCTGACTGACGTGCTGGCGTCATCGGGTATTGATGTTCGGGAAGAAGAAGCCTACCTGACCAGCAGCTATTCAGGCCCTGGCGTGCAGGCTCAACAACCGCCTCGCCCTCAACAGCCACCAATCCCGCAACAGCAGCCGCCACCACCCGCTGTGAACACCTCTTTCGCTTCACAAGCATCGACTGGAACAGTTTCTACGGCCCCTAGTTTCGGCGAACCGTCGCCATACAAACCGCCGACGACACAGGATTCCTTCTACGCGGAGCCGTCAACCCAGCCTCCTGCTCCTTTCAAAGATCCCAACGAACCGACTCGCGAGGACACCGAAGCAGCTAGGCGCGCACAATATCATCTACAACACTCATTCCTATTGACCAAGGTCCTGGAGCAAAAGTTGCAGAAGCGTGGATTTGAACTGGGTGTTCGGATTCCGGCCGAGGGTCTGTACCATCCCGTACCCGGCCGCCAACAGCCTATCGAAGTTACTGGACCAGATGGGTCATCGATCATACGTTCTGGTCAGACCATCTTGAATCAGACTGGCGCACCTTTGTTAGACATACTTAGTTTGATGTCTATCTCGTGTGAGGAACGGCTGCGAACGGTGGTCGATTATTCTTCAACACTTGCTAGAAGCCGACGCGCACATTCGCACGGAGTTGTTCCCGCTGACTGGGAGGACATGGCGGCTTCGGCTAATGCTGTCAATGGGAGTGTTGGGACCCCCAGCACCCCAGCCAAGCGTAAGCATCTTCATTGTACTTGCAGTGTGCTCCAGACCAGCTGACCAAATGTAGGGCCTTTGTCGGCAACTGAGCAACAGGGTACCAGATCAATGTCTGAAAAGTATCGCTTGCTTATGGACAAGGACAACTCGAGCGAAGATGCCCGGGCAGCGAAACGGGCTAAGCGCAGTGCAAGTGCCATTCTGGGAGAAGGTGGAGCAATCCGGGCGGAATCCGTCGATATCCCTGGCTCTGGTGCTTCGACACCGATCGGGGAGAGAGCTCCTAGTCTCGACAAGAAGGGGATGTCGAAGAAGGAGGCTCGGAAGCTGATGGATGCCAAAGCCAGCGAGGCCCAGCAACATCAGCAGTCGGTGGAGACCGCACGACTGGCTACTAATAGCATGCTGTCTGGTCGCATGTTTGGTACTAAGAAATCTTACTCCTGGCTGAATCGCGGCCCAGCAACTGGCAGTGGATTCTCTACGCCATCACGTGTCAACACCGCCACGCCGCCTGCCAGCACTGACAAACCTGGACGCTCCGGGGAGCCCGCAGCCGCGCCCGCGAAACGTCTAGGGACCTGGCGAGAGGATAAGGACAAGGGCGCCGGCATCCAGGTTCGGGACGTCCTGTTTATGCTTGAGCTGGATGGCAGAGGCCCTCGGCACGTACAAAAAGCGTACTCGAAGGATGTGAAGGAGGACCGAGCGGAATAAGATGATGTGGTATCTCTCGTTTCAGCGTTTCGAGGTTCCATTTGGTTTCCGTACTGTAACTGCGCAGGATCGTGGTTATTTGGCAAGGTGGCATACTCAGCAGTGCTCAATTCGTTGTGACTACTATTCATTGTATGTGCATTTGCTCGTTTCTTCGCATGCGACGAGAGGCTCCCAGATCATCATCGGAGTCATTCCTTTGCATATGATGCCATTTGCTCTCTTTTCACTAACCTGTTTAATTGCCATGGGTCGGCACGATTCTCGCCTTGGATGTATTACTTTTCATACCCCTGTGTTACGGAGGGAACTCTGGACTGAGCCACAAGGCAGAAGAAATGAAACGGACGGAAATGAAAGAAACGATATGGAAACCACCCTGCTCCGTGCTGTGCCGTCACGGCATCGGATCCTCTCAGATGGCATGACATGGCCTCCTCCTTCGTAGTGATAGATATCGAACGGGTTCGTACCTGAGGCCATCAGGCTGCACGCCAAGGCTGACTTTCCCCGGTCTGGTTAGGGTTGACGCTAAAGCAGTCCGGGAGTCGGGTGGAACCAAATCCGCAGGCGTCCTTCAGCCGGACTGGATGACGACTTGTCGAGTTGGGCGGTGTTGCCAATAAGATTCCTACCAGACCTCACGACCGGGTGCCCGTCACATCCATGTCGCCCCTCCTTACCTATCGAGTCCCAGTGATGACCTTCTGCAGTCCAGAGCAGCAAAGCGGGGTTCGGGCGAGCATGATCATCTCCGCCGGAATACCACCCCAAGTTCAAGGCCGGAAGGATGAACTTCGGGAAATGATGTCAGAGATCAGGGACTAAAGAATAGGAAAGGAAGGGGGAAATGGCCGAAAAGCGGAGATTCACCGCAGCCAATCCAATCACACGCCCCCGCGGCGTCATCACCCAGAGCCATCGTCCACCGGGTTATTATTAAACCTTTTCCCAGTGCAAATGGGGCGGTACGAGCATCTCCCACTGCGACGAGGTGGGAAATGCATGTCATGCAGCAGCCCTCTCCGGCCGTCGGCAGGTGCCCAAGGCGCAACTTTGGCCACGACTTGCCACCAGTCCACCACATCCCCTCCGGACAAGTCGACAAAATGATAGGGAGGGTTGGACACCACGGCAGTGCCCCCCTCCTCCTCCTCCTCCTCATCATACCCTTAGAGGAGTGTGCACCGCGTTTCACATTCTGACATTTCGGTTCGCGGAAGAAAGGACTGAACCGGTGGGCGTCATCCAGAGCTTGGAAGCCTAGACTCGCCCCAACTCCGGCGCTATGTTTTGCCTCCGGGGCTGGTTGGGTTAGATGAGCCTTGCGATCTGCGCCTACGAAAACCGTGCCAGATCGTTGTTTGGGATTGGAATTACTATTGATTATTATGAACCACCCTCAATAAGATGATCCCGCTCACTTGGATCACCAGACGGACCGGAAAAGGGGGACTGTCCAGAGGGCGAGAGACTGACACAGTCGAGAGGGTGTTCAGCCGAAAGACAGGCTCGGAGGATTGATTGATCCAGCAGGCCCAATGACACCGACTGAATGGATGATGAAGAGGTGTGTGTGTCGTAACCGAACGAACCTTCTCTGGTGCTCGTGCGGCGAGGCGCCATCATCCACCATGACCCTGGCTGGAGAGGAGGGCCACCGGTTTGGCTGCTGTCTGGCAGTCGGTGTCTGGCTGTGCTTGCCTCTCGCAGTCATCGTGCAAGCAGGATGTGCGCTGCCATCGATCTCGGATCTCCTGGTAGGGGATCAATCATCTCCAAGTGTTATACTGCTCGTAGACTCTTTGCTGTAGGCCAACACAATCCAATTCAGTAAAGGATTTCTGATTATTGCCGCACCTCATCCTGTTACTTTGTCCCTCTCCCGCTTTCGTTTGTTATTATTATTATTACTTGCGTTCTCCGGCATCTTCCTATCCATCTGGCTGTCTCTTGTCGGATAGTCACCAGGCCTTGTCGTCTCTGCCCATTGCAAATTCCAGGCTCGCACCACCACCACGGCGACCACCCCTTTCCTTGATGCTCCCCATTCTTTGATCTCCTCTAGGCCGATGTCCTCCATCCGGCAACTCAATGGTTCTTATTTTGGTTCGACCGGTGACCCAATGAGACCTTCGTGAGCTCCTCCGTACCGTACTGGGCGTACCGTACCCCGACCGACCGCCTCGCCATCCATCTTCGCACGCTGCCTCCTCCTCCTTTCCCTCCTCTTCCTTCCTTTCTCTCGACTCGTCTCATTCTTGATTGCAATCAATCCGTTTTCTTCGGTTGAAAACTCGTCATCAATTTCTTCAATCCCCGGTGGCCATTCTGCTGGGATCGACGCGAGAATCTTCGGGGGTCCGACCTGGCTTGGCTCGAGTCCCCTGCTCCCAGGTAGAGAGATTACTACTCCGTACTCCAACAATCTGCCCGCTGTTTCTACGACAATTCGGACGGCCGACTACCAGCCGGGGCGACTGTGAACCTCCTCCTCCTCTTCCCTCCACTTCCTTCTCTCCCTCCTCCTCCTCCTCTACTTTCCCTCCCTCTTCCTTCCTCTCCTCCTCGCCGCATCCGCCGTCAGTCCCCGCGGCTGGATTATACTTTTTCTTTGCATCATGTCCACCCCTTCCACGGCTACCGCGACGCATCCGCATCAGCAACACTACGGATACCCCCATCATCAACCCTACCAACCGAACGCATCGTATCCGACCACGTCCGCTGCAGGCACCACTTGCCTCGTCACCTCCTCATATCCTTACGCCGTTCCCGTACCGACACCTACCCTTCCTTTCACTCAGTCCCCCAAGATTATGCCTGCCGCACCCATCCCGACAACGACGACAACAACTACTACGACGACCACGACAATGCCCCCGACCCACAACGCCGTGGGCGCTGGGCCCACAGCGCAGACGAGCCGGAGGAGAAAGCCAAACTGGGGCGAGTTCTACAAGAATGGGATCCCAAAGGAGGTGATTGTCATCGACGACACACCTCCTCCGGAACAGTCCAAAGCCCCCTCGCGCAGTCTCGCGACAGCATCCACGGTCACGGCAACCACCGGCACCGTGCCTCAGCCCGCTGGCAAGAGGCGGCGCACCGGCATCGATACGGCGTACGATCTGGGGTACTATGATCGCCCATCGTATTCGATCAACCCCCAGCAGTATGGGGAAGAGTCCTCGGCCGCTTCCCTCTCGACTGATCGGACGACGTCTCTGCACACCACCGCGCCTACCTCCCTCTCGCAGGGCAGTTCGGGGGCCAGCAATGGTATCATCTATGAAGATGCCAATGTCGGCCAGAAACGGAAGCGCGTCACCACCCGGAAGTCCGCTCGCGATGAGCAGAAGCGACGAGAGTTGGAGAACGCGGGTGATGCGTTCTTGAGCTACATCCCGCCTCCCAAGCCGCCCATCAAAGCCAAGGACGTCCCAGTGCCTGTGATACGCGATGTAAGTAATCGTCCATCAGCCCGCTTGTGTGTTGCTTTCTAACCTGCGAGTGCAGTATGCTAGCCGGGGCGAGAAGTTCGATGATGACGATGGCCATTATATCGTCACCCCGAATACGGCCTTGACTGATCGATGTAAGTGATATCTTGTCCACTTCATCGGGCTGACGCTAACGTGCTTGCAGACTCCATCATCAAACTCTTGGGACAAGGTACCTTTGGTAAAGTGGTTGAGGCGTTTGACAAGCAGCGCAAGACCCGCTGCGCAGTCAAGATCATCCGCTCCATCCAGAAGTACCGAGATGCATCGCGGATTGAACTGCGAGTGCTGTCCACACTGGCCTCAAACGACAAACAGAACCGAAACAAGTGCATCCATTTGCGAGACTGCTTTGACTATCGAAACCATATCTGCATCGTAACCGATCTGCTTGGGCAGAGTGTATTTGATTTCCTCAAGGGTAACGGCTTCGTGCCCTTTCCCAGCAGCCAGATTCAAAACTTTGCCCGGCAGTTGTTTACCAGTGTAGCCTGTGAGTGCTTCGCTTTGCCTGCTTTGAGTTCTCTTCTAACCGATGCAGTCCTTCACGACCTGAACCTCATCCACACAGACTTGAAACCCGAAAATATCCTCCTTGTCAGCAACGCTTACCAAACTTTCACCTATAATCGCACGATTCCGTCCTCTTCGCATGCTATTTCTCGGAGCGCTCGTCAAAGACGGGTGCTGTTGGACAGCGAGATCCGTCTGATTGACTTCGGGTCTGCCACGTTCGACGACGAGTACCACTCGTCTGTCGTGTCGACCCGGCACTACCGGGCCCCCGAGATTATCCTGAACCTGGGCTGGAGCTTTCCCTGCGATATCTGGAGCATCGGTTGCATCCTCGTCGAGTTCTTCACCGGCGATGCCTTGTTTCAAACGCATGACAACCTGGAGCATCTCGCGATGATGGAAGCTGTCATTGGAGAGCGAATCGACACTCGACTGGTGAGGCAGGTGATGCAGGGTGGACGTGGCACGGGCCAGAATCAGGCTGCCAAGTGAGTTGCTCACGATCGTCAACCGAGCGTTTCGCTGACATCACAGGTACTTCAACCGCAACCGACTCGAATACCCGAACGAGCAGACCACTCGGGCCTCCCGCAAGTACGTGCGGGCAATGAAGCAGCTTCCGGTATGTGGCCTCGGTCCCGCTGCTTGTCAGACTGCTAACCAGCCGCAGGAGTTTATCCCCGCCAACACCAAGTTTCATAAACTGTTCCTCAACCTTTTGCAGCGGATCTTCGTGTATGACCCAAAGAACCGTATCACTGCCAAAGAAGCTTTGAAGCACCCGTGGTTCAAAGAGTCCTTAGTGGATGACGGCACGGAAGCTCTGCGGATTGGGGAGCAGCTACAGCGCACCACGCAGCGTCGCTAGTATATCCACTCCGGCCTCAGATCAATCATCTGGAGCCGACAGTCTGGAAAGCAAAGCAAAAAGATAGAAGACTAGTATTTTGGATAATCCTTCGCAGGGGGCACGGCAGTCATGCTGCCGTTTGATGACTGAGTAATGGCATTGGTGGAAGGTACATGGATGGAACCGGAGTTGATGCCCGCAGCCGGGCAGGTGTATGGGGTTTACACGCTTCCGTTGTGAACAGCAACGTCGGTCGGGGCATGCGCCCCGGCGAGGACAAAAGCAGTACGACATATCTATTACCGGAGGGAAATACCCCCGTTTGTTTGATTTATCGCGTCTCTGTCCAGGGGGCTGGACTTGTGGGATTTGTGCTTCGTTTATTTTTTCAGCATCGTCGATGTGAATTTCCATACTCGGACTTATTGATCGTCTACGGGCGCTGGTGACATGACACGGAATATCTCTGCATAGGGTTGACTATGATTTTTCTTCGACTAGGTAGTGCGTGCGGTACACGATCTTGTCAGATGAGGCAGCATGATAGACGTGCATTGTACGATACTACCGATGTATATATAGTTTATGAGCATTACGAATGAATACCCTCACTATATTCCTACCCAATACCATGACTGTATACATCTACCCCAGCTTAATAAACTTTAATCTCCTTTACATACCCCATCCTCTTCACACACACACACACACTAGCACCAAGAACATTGAAGCCAAAAACTAAAGACCAATTAATTCTCCCTCCAAAAAACAAAACTCACCCTCCCATCCCCCTCAACCACCCTCTCCACAGGCCCTCCGAACCCCATCTTCCTCAAAACCCCCACACTCCCCTCATTCCCCTGATTAACAATCCCAAACAGTCCCCTCTCAACCTCCACTCCCGGCCTCTCCTTCGCCTGTACCTCCCGCAACAACCGCATATCTGCGCCCTCAGACGGATCCCCCGAGAACCATTTCTCCGTCACGGCGCGGACGGCTTCGCTGGCGTATCCCTTGCCCCAGGCGGTCGGGTGCAGCATGTAGCCGATTTCGAAGATTTGTTTGGGATGGTTGGTGGTGGTGATATTGGTATTGGAATTGGGATTGGTATTTGGACTGGTATCGGATGCCGTATTTATACCGGCCTGCGCACCGGGTTTACCATAAACGTCGGTAGCGGAGGGGTTATGTCCATCGGTGACGGTATCGAGTTCCCTCTTGGTGTCGGAGGCGTTATCGCCATGGGTGTTGGTATCGGGTGCTGTATGTATACCGGATTTAGGAGCGGATTTAGTATTAGGCTGTGTATCGGATGAGTTATTTCGATGGATGTAGGTATTGGTATCGGGTTCCGTATTGGTATTTATAGGGTATGGTTCTGCGTGGATTCCTAAGGTGCCGATGAATTTTCCTTTGGATGTAGTTGAAGTAGTGGTAGTGGATGGAGTCTGTTGTGGTGAATCGGTGATGCGAATCGCATAACACATTCTGGGCCCCAAGTCGGGGGTGATTTCCGGGGAGAGGAATCGGGTAAGCCAGGTTTGGGTCGTGGGGAGGTCGGCGTCGGGGTGGCCTTTTAGACTGTTATTGGTGTTAGTTGGTGGTTTGATTGTTTTGAATGAGTTTAATTGGTGCTTGTTTGGGAATCGAGATAGGGATGGATAGGTGGGTAGGGGCGTGGTTGGAGATGTGTGAGTAGGGTAGGTTTAGTAGGTATTAGGTGAGTTAGAAATAGATAAAGTGTATAGGTGTGCAGCATACCTCCATTTCATAACTTCTTCCCTACTACGAAGATCATGCAGGTCATGGACGTCTTCGAGCGTGAGAGGAGAGAGGGTGAGACGGGGGGTGGTGAGGGTGATTGGATTGATCATCGTGTCTTATTTTCTGCTCTCTTGGGTGAGTTGAAGAGGACGGAGTTGAGTGGTGGTGATGTGAGGTGGAGATGGTGCTTATATAGATTGTGAGTGAGTCATATGGACCGACTAGTCTTGACTCCATTCCGAGGGTAAGGGTTTCAGGTTGTTAGAACGGTCAGCTATGTGGCTGGTTATCTATCGCCGGCTGAGGGATTACTATGGGGTCTTCTACATGTCTAGTTTCTGTAGAAAGCATCAAGATACCTGAAGGTGGAACATGGCGATCTGGGTGGTATGGGTGCTAAGGCAATGGTGATAAAGATACCCTAATGATAGCTGCCTACTAATAGACCGCATTGCAGTGCCCGATAAATCTTGAAGGCTAAAAAAACACAATCTATTCGTCTAAGTCTATAAACTCAAGGTATCACATCCCCCGGTTAAACTCCACCTGCCCATCCTTTCCTCCCTTCTCCCAAAACTCCGGCTCCAGACTCGTCGCGCTAATCGCCTGTCGCTGCGGGAACGCTCCCAGCGCCAGCGGCAGCGCAAACAGCGACGTCGCCAACACCAGTCCCAGGTTCAGCGGGAGAATCATGCGCGGCCGAGCCTTCAGCCACGCCGTCTTCTCCAACTTCACCAGCACCAACGGCGGCACTACCATGATGGGCGTGGCATTCAGCACCCGACTGATGGCCGTCTCGCCCACTGCAATCGTCGCCGCCTTCTTGCTCTTGCCCAGACTCTCCACCGGCTCGCCGGTCTCCTCGCGCTTCTTCTTCTCCGCCTCCGACAGCACCGGGTACACGTCGATACCCTGACGGATCTCCTCTCCGCGCATCAGGAACACGTTCAGCGCACTGGCGCTGGACACCGCCGCGAACGGCACCAGACGACCCAAAATCAGCTTCGTGTTCGGCGAGATGCCCTTCAGTCGGGGCACCAGGGCGTTGAGACCCAGGGCCACGGAGCAGGAGGCCGACACCGCCATCATGTAGGATTTGGCCATTTGCGAGACGGACAGGGGGGTAGACTTGTTCGCGTTGGCGTTGTTGATGGCGACGTTGAGCGACTGGTTGGCAATCTGCCAGAGGAGGGTGCCAGTTGCCTTGGGCACGGTCAGATTGAGAATACAGTCAGCAGTTCAGTGGCTGGTATCTTACCTGCAGACCGGGCGTAAGCATACCAGCTGTTACGACCAGGTTCGACAGAACATAGCAGGACATGCGGAAGGGAAGGAAGACCGGCTCGCCGGTGTCTGTTGGCCAAATGAGTATATAAATTCCACCATTCAGCGGGAGTACGCACCAGGGTGCAGCGTGGAATCGACCACCTTCTTCGCGCGCCACAGTTCTGGAGTCATCGCCGGAAGATGGTTCTGCTTGTATGAGGAGACCAGCGCCTTGGCCTGCTCCAGACCCGAAGAAGACACGAACAGCATCCTGGAGAAGTCAGCACGAGCGCAATCCCACAGGCGACAATGAACGCTTCCCCACTCACCGCGGGTCGGAGAGGTCAGCCGCGTGACGCACGCGGCCCCAGTAGGTTGTCAGGTCATATTGAGACCGGGGGAGGTCCCGACTGCCGGGGAGGGAGGCGGACATCTGCGGAGCTGATCAAGAGCCGTGAAGGAGAAAGACCGAGACACTCAGAAAAGGAGGAGGATCGGAGGAGTCATCGACGGAGGCGAAAATCATTCAGCGGAGCCACGTGCTATCGCGGGCGGTGAGCCGATAAGCGCCAGGTCCACCAATCGGAATGTGTCAGTCTCCGAAATCGCCAGGCACGTCTCACCGCCTGGAGATCGTATCGTAATCTCGTTACGCAGGATAAGATACTATAGTCCATGGATTAAAAGCATAGATGTACTCATCGATCGGAATCGGTCAATAGCAGTGGCTACATACAAGGTACAGGTATCACAAGGCCTTGCCACACATTCAATAGGACAATTAGAAAGGACATCCACAGTAGTCGCAGCTGGGATGAATACATGCCGCCACAGCGGGAAAATGTACGTCGCAAGGAAAGGGGTATGTCTAAGCTCTGGCACACAGTTGAACAAAGGAAACCCGGTCAAAAGGGAAAGAAGGCGCTGGTCCGCTCCGTGGCAGACCTCGATGCAATAGCCCACCCGGGAAGCAGGTCAAGTCGTACAAAAACTCTGTGCGAGAATGGTACACGAGGAATGGGAGGACGCCAATGGGGCGCCGTGGTCATTACTTTCATCGAAATCGGTAGGATTTATGAGCTAAAGGCGACGTGGGTGCATGCCCAACCGCCCCGACAGGCCCCCGGATCCGGTGATTCCGGCGAGTGGGAGTTTGGGCGCAAAAGAGGCAAACGTACACGGACGGCAGGTTGGCCCGCTCCAGTCCAACGCACTTGGTATGCAACCAGTGGCTGCACGATTCGCTGCCCATCAATTAGTAGCTGTGCATAGACAGTCATCACCAGAGCTTACCATTGGATCATCAGGTGGCCACCATTGTCCATAGAATTGCAGATGCACCGGGTCCCATTGCTCGGATTGCTGAAGCGGTCCGTGACAGGGGTGGCTAGGTCGGGGTCCGTCATGGTCGTGGGGGACGTGTTTGTGGTTCGTGAGGCGAGATCAAGGTCGACACCAAATCGTGGTGGGGACGACCGGAGATGCGCAAGGGAGCGTGCAGACCGGCTGATCCGCGAGCCATAGCTGACCGTGTGAGGGCGAACAATCCGGCCTTTCTCCTGGAGCACCTTCCGGAGTGCATGCTGGGCATCCCCACTGTCATCTTCCGGATCAGCAAACGGCTCACCGAGGGAACCGGCACTAAGATATGACAAGTCCGAATGTAACACGGTTGACTGCCGTTTCGGGGTGCGTTTCCAGTCATCCAAAGTCGACTTGTATTGCGGTCGTCGGGAAGGCCCCCGACAGGCGCCAGCCCAAGGGGATGCTCGTCCGGAGGATGAAGCGGCGGTGGAGGTATAGGACCCCTTCGAATGAGGCCGCGAGCCTGCGTCGCTGTGGGCAATCATCGTTCCACTGGCATCGGAAAAAGCGAACGAGGGATTGCGGCTGGGCACCGTCGGGTATTCACAAAAGTCCACCGAGTCATACTCGCTTTCCGTGGTGGACCCATCCAGATCCATCCCACTGATGGGGTCCGTCAAGCCAGTCGCTGACTCGGCCACGGCTTGCATCTCCGCTTTGGCTCTACCGTCTTTGCCTATTTTGAGGACTACGGATTGGGAGCGTCTGGGAAGGCTGCCAGTCACCGAGCTGGCCCGAGAAAGCTGATGACGAAGCGGTTTGATTGGGGATGAGCGACCCTTGGACGGGCTCTTCCGGATTCCATTGCTAGAAGCCATCATGCAGCCAGACACTGCCCGATTAGCAGACCCAGTGATAGCGCTGTGTGTCAGGCTACGAGTCAAAGTAGGCCTGGGTTGACGGGGGGTGTAGTCGTCGTCATCCTCATCCTCATAGACGGGAATGTGATGATTGACACTGCGAGCGCGACGGAGCTCCTCTCTCTTGGACTCCTCCGTTTGGTGATGGTAGGGCTGACGGGTCGGTCTGGAGAAGAGGCGCTTATCGGGGGTCGGCTGAGGCCCTCCAAAGCGACGTGCAGGGGAACTCAGAAACATGTTTGGATCCTCGGCCTTTGTGATAGGGCGGCGAGGGGAGGTGGAGAAGGGAGCAGGGAAGAGGGCGGCATCGGTGGTAGTCACCCCCGACGAGAGACTATATGCAGTGCTATTGAACTCAGAAAGATCCATATTTCCTTCAATGGTGGGTAATTGTGGGATGTGAGAGTCGTGGAGGGAAGTGTGGTGGAGGTGGAAAGCATCGGTGGCATGGGAATCAAACAAGTCGTTGGCAGACAGGCTTATGTTGCCGGCATGGTCGAAATCTTGGTCCCAGAATAGCCGCTGCTGGGGGAAGAAAGGCGAGGTGACAGGATCAAGGGATGCCAGCTGGAACGGGTCTGGGGACGATTGAAGGTCGCCAAAGAGCCGCGGGGAAGCCCCCAGCAACCGACTGGGAGTTTCCAGATGGCCGCCCACCATACTAGAGGCTGATGGCCGTCGGCCTGTACCTGTGACATCGTCAAGTCCCGTCACCTTCTTCCTTGACGCACTGCTGGGCGGGGGTGTCTGGATTGTGGCCGCCGATTTGGCTGAATCAACGGTGCGAGGACCATCCTCTCCAAAATGGCCATGTAGTCTGGACGGGCGACGCCTCTTCGCTGTATCCGTATCCTGCTCTACCTTGACACTCCGGAGATTGCCATCGGTGTCTGTCGGTCGGTCGGGAGCTGTGTCCGGCAACCTGAGGGGGTTGACGGAAGGGGTGCTCAACCCGAACTTCTGCGGCGTGCGAAGGAACTCGGGGCTCGAGGCATAGGGGTCCGACGTATCCCACGTAACCCGGGGATCAAAGAAGCTGGATTCGAGTTTGGGGGTTTGAAAAGCGGAATCACCAAAGATGGTGGTGGTCGGAGGGGTCCTCGTGGGGGTCTGAGGTTCACCGTTTGGATAGCTGAAGCTGAGTGTGAAAGAAGGTTCGGTCAGCATCATGTTGCACTAGCTATCGCTGGAAGGTCGGAGCTCGGTAGGAGCTCCGCAATCCACCGTTCACGGCCACACAGGTTCAAGGCGTATGAAAGTATATGTGTACATAAGCGAGTTGGAGATTAGGGGGAAAATTATGAGAGAGAAAAAAGGGAAACGATATGATAGAGGTATTGTAGCTAACAAGAGGCGTGGTGATAGAGAGGCAGCCCCGCCTGTGCCGGTGGTTCAGTAATGTGTAGGAAAATCAGCCGACATACCTGTGAACAGGTTGATCCCAACTCATGTCAGCAACGTTGTGATCCCAGCAACCATACAATGCAAGCTGCCAGGCAACCCTCTTGTAGTAAGTCCAGATACTTCGGGGTCGTCAGGAATGTCCGATGGGAGGGGTTGGTTCGGTAGGGATCGCTGTGCCGACGAATGTAAGCCTCCTCCACAGGGTCATTGAAGCCAAGCTAGTGGACGGAGTAGGAGGTTCAGACAAGAGACGGTTTTGATGTGACCCTTCGAAAGGAACGAACGGGATGGACGAAGGGAGGACGCTAGCACATAGTCTGATGGTCGAGCTCACGAACGGGTTTAGCGGGCTGGTCGGGAGAAGGAGACAAAGAAAGAGAGGGAGGAGTCGAGGAGAGGAGTCGAGGAGGAGGCAGGTTGGGATTCGAGGGATTGAAGGTTGGTTGGTAAGTAGTAGTAGTGGTGGTAGTATGAAGGTTCCAAGAACGACGGAGCTGTCCTGAACAAAGGGAGGAGCGGAATGCGTTTAGATCAGGGCTCAGTGTCTTTGATGTTTCCCTCGCCCTTGAGGAAAAAGGAGACCAGGAGAATTCAATGCAAAAGATAGATAGGCTCGTTGAAAAGAAGGAAGAAGAGGAAGCGAAGCCGAATGGGAAATTTTGTGTTTTCGTTTTCCTCTGTTTGTAATTTGGTAATAAGTTGACAGTTTTTTTGCCCTCTTTTTCCATTTTACTTACATCCGCAGATCCACCGCTGGGGGCTTTTTTTTTCTGACTACTACGGGCTGAGTATGTATGAACTGCTACGCTCGCTGGAGGGTCAAGATCCGGTTCTGCTGCAACCAGGACTTGGTGACAAATGAGGCTGCTCCGAATAATCGTCGTTGATCCTGCCATCTTAAACCCCCGCCATTATAGTCCTGCCCATCGAGTCCCTCCCGAATCACCTGGCCTCGTCCCGATCGTCCTCCACTTTGGCTGGTGGAGATTCGGCCTTGGTGAGATGAACTGGGAACCTGGGCCGCGGCCATCATGACGCACCGGATGGATACGAAGGGTGGTGGTGGGTTGTAACGCAAACTATAAAAAATCTCAAGATGAGGTGTTATCCCTCCCCAAGTCGGTCTATCAAATCCTAGTGGTTCGGGTTGTGCAGTCCTGTATAGAGAAGAGTAGAGACGCTACCCTGGGTTCGTCAAGTATCTACCACTGTCATCATCAGCTCCATCCCGGAGAAATCCATACGAGCCGGCTGGACCGATGGAAGCTAAGAGCGAGACTGGTCCTTTCAACGAGATTATGCCACCGAACGTATCCATAATCCAAGACTAGTCAACCGCGCTTCAAGGCACCAGCGGTGGTCCCAAGAACAAGGAAGAGCGGTCCATTTCCGTGGGTCGTCTATCCCCGTCTCCAGTATGATCGGTTGGTTGCTGGCGCTGACACCAGCTCTGGACCTGCATCCGTCTTCGATTGTTTTCCTTCCCGTATCCGATTGCTTTCATGCTGATTCTTCTGGGGAGATTATACGGAGGACACAAGGTGGATAGGGCTTGAAGGTGCCGCCCACCAGAACTACGGGGTAGATCGATTGCTACCAGTCAAACAACCCTAAGTCGCGATACAGCGAGTCTACTCACGTACAGTAAGTAGTATGAAAGATAAATGGACCGACAAGGTTTTGAGGGGAGCAAGACTCCCTTACGAAAGCGTCGATCGAGGCCGCATTGGGGCGACGGGAGATTGAGCCTTGCAACCACCGCCAACACTAACGACCCTCGGACGCCCTGGGGTCTCGTCCTTCGTCCCCGACTCCGGCCACCACGACTAGTACTGGGGCCTCTTTTCAGCTCCAGCCTCGATCCATCCATCCCATCCATCCATCCATCCCACGTCTCGCGACAGGTTGCCCGGAATATTAATAGCTCCCGGTAATTATAATTACGATCTCCTGGCCTGGGGCCTCAATTTGATGACGACATTATCCCGCCCTTTAAAACTACCTACTCCGTACCTATCCTTCAGCTCCGTCTCCCCCGGCACAAGACAATAACAATCAATAATAATCATCATCCCTGCCTCCCTTCCAGCTCCTGAGCTATGTCGACGCTATTTACACCCGCTGCAGCCATCCATGCTCCAACTCCGGGAGAGGCGAGGTGACAGAAAACGTAGGCAAACCACCCAAAAAGAGGTCGCCGCCAGAAACCGTTGGATTGGAGACTCGACCGATCCAAGACTCGCACCCGACCTGTCGAAACCATACGGAGAGGATGTTTCAGCCCCGGGGGAAGTATCTACTTGGTCGCATGGGCAGAACTAATATTACCCGTTTGGGGGGTTCACCGCGACCCGCCCGGAGCTTCATCCATTCATTGGGCCACGAAGATCGGACGTGAGGCGACCCGACTGGACTGAGTCTAGACTACTTTCTAGTTTAGTATCTACTAGATAAGTATCTGGATGATTCTGATGTGAATCTCTATGCTGCGGTCCGTCTCGGCCGCTATTGGTCCATCTCGTTGGATAGGGGAACCTATGGCAAGCGGCCTAAAATCCCCCGGTCGGTTTAACTAAAGTACCTGGCGATTTCGTCCCCTCTTCCGAACGCAGTTGATTCGTACAGACGCTGTCCCAAGCGGCCCGGATATCTCCTGGGAGGATTGTCCGGCGGGCAGGTTGAACTTTGGAGCATTGTCGAGATGGAAGCCGTTTCCGAGGCCCAATCACTCACTCACCGTGATGATCGGTCGGGATCTCACCTCGCGCCAGTCACCACTGAGTAGTCACCAGTCACCACCCCCTTTACGATCGAGCCAGCAATGTTCTTCCGTCACTGCCACTAGAGCTGCACGCGAGCAACGGGACCTGCAGTAGTACTTAGTTAGACGCCCTGCGGTGTAACCCGCAGGACCGACCGCGATACGGAGTACTCTCCAGCAGTCCTGCTCGTAATCTTTCCCCTCCCGCATGGATTATTTGTATTTCAGGGAGCCCCTGACATGATCTCGCTGTAGCGCGGGCTTGGTGCCTGCCAGCCTGTCCATCTCGCAGCTCGTCAGGACAATTGGCTGGATTAAAGTTGGAGACACCAGCAAGGAGCATCCCCTCTCACCCTTTCTTCTACACTCCATCCCACCTCCCAATCTGCCAATGCTTATTTCCCTCTTGCCCATGGAAAGTGAAGTGTACTTGCACATGAATTTGACGATGCGTGCCATGGGGTTGTATTACCTTATAATCATCCTTTGCTATTCATGGTACGCATGATCCAGACCTGGCGGATTACCTAACTCTTATGCCAGCAAGGCCTGAGTAGAAATTCTGATTATTGTAATAAGTTGTTGTCCGCATACAGAGGCTGTTCAGCTCCATGCACCGACAACAATAATGTATGGGTCGCCCTGTACGGGCAGGGGTGGTTTCCCATGGTGATATGGGTCTTGAGCGGGTATTCCGCAGAAACCGATGCGATCAATCCTACCGTAGCTTCGTAATGCCATGCATCTGGTGCATAAAGTGGAGGGGCAACAGTGATACCTATACCGACGCTTCTGGCATACATCACCTTTCGTTCTTTATGGGCGAACCTCTTTCCAGGCATGCCCTTGTTAGTGATACTTGCCTCTATCAGTCCGAGGAGTTCTCCGTATACTCCACATCTTCGTTTCGGACCCAAGACAAATGTTTTCAAGGGAAATTCAAGACTGTAGTTGATTCACAGCGAATTAAGATATGTGATGGGTAAGAATCCCCGTGAAGCCAACTTTTCTCAGCATTGATGGAGTCTACATAATATCTAGGATGATGGAGCACAAGCCACAGCAAGCATGTTATAGGAAGATCCATCTTCCATGCCTGATTTCGCAGGCCGGATGCTGAGCCACAGCGGCGACGCCACAACCCCGCCAAGATCCACCGCCCAAACGGAGGAGGAAATACCGATTCAGGTACTCCGTATCGGAGTCGGCCATTCGCGGAATCCTCCTTCCATTCATCATAATTGTGCTGTGTCAAGTCACTCCTTCCTTGGGCATCAGGATCCCAACTTTTTTTCAGCCAGAACTACAGTCAAACACATCACTTACAAAGCAATCTTCCGGTTAGCATAGATTGCTGAATTAAAGAAAGGACTGTTCCGCCATCGTTCTTTCATAATGGACATTCCCTTCACTACTCCATACCCCTTCCTATAAGACCCACCAACTGCAAAGCGCTCGTCGACTTCACTCCCCGTTTGGCCCCTTTCACAAAGAAGCAATAGCCCATGGGGCTTTAGCAGAATCCAAGTGTACCCTGCAAGATTCAATCGTGTTTGGTCTACTTTTTGCTGCTATACTACTATTGTCAGAATATTCATCTGAATGACTATTTCTTTCGCTCTATGAGATCTTAGAGATGTCGCGCACTCCAAAGAAAACCCCTCGTTCCGGAGCCGCCAGAAGATTAAACGGCGGCAAAAAGATCCTCGGGAGAAGTGCGATCACCCCGAGATCGCCCCGGTCCATCTTAGCCCAGGCTCGCAGGAACAGTCTTCTAAAGAAACGAGACCGTGGCGACTTTGTCGGCGTTGCAAAGAGCAGCAAGACCGAGCGCGGAAGTCCCAAAGTAGGGAGGTATGCCAGACTGAGTATACTTCCACCATCAACCGAGCCACTAGAAAAGGTGAGTAGTCGGCTTGAAGTCCTGGATTTCCTTCTTCCTTTGTACCGTAGCAGGGCTCCGATCGACCATCCACCCTTGACCCTTGCTTTGCCTGCATGTCCTAGCGCAATCCCGACTGCCAATCACTACTAACACCCGACCGTGGGCAGAACTGTTTTGAACGGGAGGCTTCTCCTGCGCGCTATGTGTTTGTTCCCAAGGGAGACGTTTACATTACTCGCCATTGCCGAAGTAAGACAAAGGAGTCTGGTCAGGTTGTCTACATGGTTTATGTGAGGATACTCTACCCTCGGGGCCCTGGTGCCAGTGTCTAACCCTGTGCAGGATAATCGAGGCAAAAACACTCTTGGCCTCCGCGTCCCCGCTGATGTCCATGCGGCCGTCCTCCAGTCTGCAGCTGAAACAGCCGAGTCACGCGCCCACGCCGTTAAGCTTCGTGACGACAAAGATTCGGGCCGGGCCCGCGAGCTATTGCGCACTCACTTTCCGTTGATGCCGGAGGATTCGTTGAACACTGTTCTTCAGCATGCTTTTCTCAAGGGCACTGGGCGTGTCGGGCGGGTCTCCAAGTTATCGGATGAACGTAAGGCGAACTTGGCTGTTGAGGCTCATATTCGGCACACCCATACTCTCTACGAATCGCTCCTGAAGTCCGGGAAGGGGCGCGACCTGGCTCGGAAAGCGACCAGGGAGGTGGTTCAGGCTATCAAGACCACCTGGGCGGGTGGCAGTGTCCAGCCAACGGACTGTCTCACTATGCGCAGTCGACTGGAGTAGTGCACCGATCGAAGATAAGCGAAGCCCTACGCTATTTCTTCCTTTTAACCAGTTGGCTGCAATTGATTTGGTTTTAACATTCATGTGCGAGGTCGCAACACCTTGCATGATTGCAGCGTTTCGTTCTGTTTGGCGTACTATGAGCAGCATGATGATTATGACGCATTTATGATTAGATTAACTATAGACTAGACGCTCGAGCTAATACCGCAATCTTTTAATTCAAGGCATTCTTGACCAACCAGGCTTTCTTTTGTCGAAGGATCTACGAGCAAGGGTAGCATTTCAGTTGCCATAGATGCTCATCGATGGTTGCACGAAGTGGAATGCCCCATGTGGGTAATGCTGACAACCTGAAGACATCCGCCCTGTATCTACCATAAGCTTTTGGGAAACTGGTAAGTAAACTTTGCCCGGATAATATCAATGGTGCAATAAATTGATGAGTCTACCAATGACGGAACAGACTTACAGACCACCTCGGTCTTAACTCCAGCGATATCCCGGGAAACAAGTGCAATAGCCAGTCCTCCACCGCAAAACGCCTCTACCCCAGGGTAGCTGTCTTTTGGGGCTCCTCAGATCCCAGACAAACCGACGTGAGAATTTTCAGGTCCCAATTCCGTCAGACGTGGAGTCAGATAGTCTTACGAAAGACCAATCAGTCCAAGAAAATGTCATAGTTACCCACTATCGGCCGGCGGTAATCCATTTGGAGAAACGTCGTCCTGTAAGGGAAAAACTGTGTCGCCTGAACATCGAAATCCAGACCCACAAAGTCCAATCTCATCTGCTTATGCAACTCCTCCAACACACGACCTGCTCTGTTAGCCCTGGGCTGGAATGTGCAAACCAGGTGGTGCTTGGAGCCATCGTATGGGATCCTTATTTGTTTCCTCTCGATACGACCCCTCAGAGAATCCAGAGCCGCTTTCAAGAAGGCGGATAAGAGCATCGGGAGGCCGGGGTTTTTGACTGGGTAATCGTTGCGCAAAGCGAAATCCGGTAGATTCTCTTCAATGGCCTGTTGGGAGACCTCGATGTGCACGATGACGTTGTTATTGTCGAGATTATATGCGTCTTGGAACATAATGCCCCTTTCCAGTAGCTTCTGGCGGATCGGACCCCGGTTGTCTTCCCATGGTAATCGTTCGGGCTCCATGCTGGTAGATTTGAAATGGTGATGGTTGATGGTGGAGAGGGGGTGCTCTGGTTGTTGGATTTATACTCATATTTTTGCTTATGGGGCTTAAGGTTGAGATTAATGGGAATTTGTTGCTCTTACAATGCTATGATACCGAGAAAGTCGGTTTGAAGTAGGGCATAATCCGATCGTTGAGTTGGAGTGTGTGCAGTGACTACTCCCTATGTCTCTGCATTCGCTGCTTTTCGTGGAACTACCCCGGATATTTTCTCCGATAGGCTCTCAGTTACTGGGGCTTGAATGGTACGGAATTTATAGTACCCTAAACTCCTACGAGGAGACGAAGATATTACCCTTGTTCTTTTATATCAATGGGGATCTCCTTGGGTAAGCTCAACCAGCTGTTCTTCGAGAATGGATTGTAACGAAGCCCTCAATGATATCGGTATATTGAGCTAAACACACCTCGGGTTTCGATAACTTCTGCTTCTGTCATAAGTGCACACATTCCGCACCTTAGAGAGGCTTAGGTGCCTCAGCGCCGGAGCTTTCCCCAACTTCGTGAAGAATACTGACGCAGATTATTATGGCTCTCACAGTGTTGTCGAAGATTAGTCTTGAGTTCTGTATTAATCGCCCGTCCGGGAAATTCCCAACCTAGAATACGAAAGAGAACATCTAATGTCCTTTGGGACATCAAGTGTGTCACACTAGTAGCAAATGGAGGAGCTGACCGAGTCCATGAAGTAACTTGATAGATTATGCTTGAGCAGAAATCAAGCCACCTTGACCGACGAAAAGTCCCAACGTACTTCGAGTGGGAGAATAGTCCTCTTACAGGGTTTCCCCGGCGGTTACTCTACAGATACTGACATCAACCCAGGTAAACATATTAAGGCTTGCCCAACCCTCCATCCCTTTACTTCTAAGCCTAGCACACCTTGTTTCAGCATCTCACTCGTAGGGGATTGAAGTGGACGAGCTATATGCCTCGCCCCGCGTGATGCGCAACTAGCACGGGATCACTCCGTACGGATGTGAAAAAAAGAAAGGATGATAAGAGACGTTATCCATAAAAAGCCACAACGACATTAAAGTCATCCATCCTATGTATCAAGTCCATAACACCCCAGCAATAGAATCCAGCCAGGTAAGGTACTATACATCAGATCATACCACCGTAAACAGACTTCCCAATCCGGCTTTCCACTAGGGCTAGCCCCACTCTAACCCGATGCGGGCAGGCAAAACCGTGACGGTAACTTTTCAGTCCGGGGGGTGCTGTTCATGACTTCACTTGGCTGCAACTGCAACTCGATCTCACTACCACCGTTGCTATGGATGTCGCCGATATCATTGAGTCGCCGCGCAAGCGGCTCAAGACCGATAACCCCCCTGTCACCGATGATGCCACGCTTCCGACCCCCAATGAGGTAATTGCCGATTCGGACGCGGCCAAGGTCTCCGCGGAGGAGGCGAGGGAACTTGAGGTCGGAATCACCGGGTTCGTCAGCGCGGACAATGAAGGGTTTTCGGGAATTCTGAAGAAGAGGTGATTATACCGTATCTTTGAGATAGCTTTGGTGGTTACTGACGTCCTCTTGCTAGATACACCGATTTCCTCGTCAACGAGATCGTGCCCTCCGGCCAGGTCCTGCATCTACAGAACATCCCCGCCCCAGCAGAACCGGCCAAGCCTGCTGAGAAGCCCATGGAAAGGCCCGCAGAGAGTGCGCAGCAGGACAAGCCACAAGAAACGGCAGAGAAGGATGCCACGCCAAGCGCAGAGAAGACGCCAGAGTTTCAGATCTCAGAGGAAGACAATGCCCTCCTGGAATCCCTCTTCGGCGAAGAATCCACCAAGAAGATTCTGGGCTTGAACAAGCGTGCCCTTGCCAACCCCAAGTCGAAGCCGAGTGACCTGGGAAAGCTTCCCACTGTGGTCGTCAATGACCGCGACCTGCGCATCAAGATGCACCAGGCCATCCGTCGCATCTTCAACTCTCAACTCGAGTCTCAGACCGACAGCGAAGGAATGATGTCTGTCTCTGCTGCACCCAACCGCAACAACCGCAATGCGCAGGGTGAGCGTGGTAATGCCCGTGCCCGTGTGCCCTTCAACTGGGATGAGCTGGGCGGCCCCTACCTGCACTTCACCCTCTACAAGGAGAACAAGGACACCATGGAGGTCCTTTCGTTTATCTCGCGTCAGCTGAAGGTCAACACGAAGAACTTCCAGTTCGCTGGAACCAAGGACCGGCGCGGTGTGACTGTTCAACGGGCCTGTGCGCACCGGTTGCAGGCCGATCGCCTTGCAAAGATGAACCCTACTCTCCGGAATGCTGCAGTTGGCGATTTCGAGTACTGCAAGCACGGTCTTGATCTCGGAGATCTGAACGGTAACGAATTCGTCATTACTCTCCGTGAGTGCGACATCCCGGGAGTCGACTTCAAGGACCGTGAGGCCGCCATTGCGAAAGCAAAGGAGCTTGTGGAAACTTCACTACGGAACCTCCGCGAACGAGGCTACTTCAACTACTTCGGCTTGCAGCGCTTTGGCACCTTCGCTACCCGTACCGATACGGTCGGCGTCAAGATGCTCCAGGGCGACTTCAAGGGCGCCTGCGACGCCATCCTCCAGTACAGCCCCCATGCTCTGGCTGCCGCCAAGGAGGGCGAGAACTCAACGGCCCTCGTCAGCTCGGACGATAAAGCCCGCGCGGAAGCAATCAACATCTTCGAGACCACCGGCAGCATCGGCAAGACTCTCGAGAAGCTGCCTCGGAAGTTCTCGGCCGAATCAACCGTCCTGCGTCAACTTAGCCGTGCCCAGAACGACTACCTCGGCGCTCTCCAAGCCATCCCACGTAATCTGCGACTGATGTACGTCCACGCCTACCAGTCCCTGGTGTGGAACTTCGCCGCCGGCGAACGCTGGCGCCTATACGGCGACAAGGTCGTGGAGGGTGACCTGGTATTGGTGCACGAGCACACCGATAAGGAAAACGCCGCGGACGAGGCTGCCGCCGCGGCGGGCGAAGTTGACGCGGATGGCGAAGTCATCATCACCCCCCAGGCTGGCGACAGCGCCTACGTTTCCGAAGGAATCGCTCGTGCGCGCGCCTTGACCGCCGAGGAAGCGGCCAGCGGCAAATACAGCATCTTCGACGTGGTCCTCACCCTGCCCGGCTACGACGTCCTCTACCCCGCCAATAAGATGACCGACTTCTACAAGGAATTCATGGCCAGTCCTCAAGGCGGCGGTCTCGACCCCTTCGACATGCGTCGCAAATGGCGCGAAGTCAGCCTCACAGGAAGCTACCGGAAATTGCTTAACCGCCCGGGACCGGACTACTCCGTCGACGTGAGCGTGTACACCCAGGACGATGAGCAATTCGTCCAGACCGACCTGGAAAAGATCCAGGGTAAGACTGAGACTCCTGCCGAGACGCCGTCCTCTTCCGATGCGCAGGAGAAGGTTGCCATCGTGCTCAAATTCCAGCTCGGATCGAGCCAGTATGCCACCATGGCTTTGAGAGAGTTGTCCCGCGGCAAGGTCAAGGCCTACCAGCCTGACTTTGGTAAGGGTAGATAGACGTGTAAATAAGCTACCATTTGTATATATGTTGTTATTTAAAACCGTTGGATGGATTAATGCATTCCCTATATTTATCTCTTATATAGGAAACCCGATGTTTCCTGCTACTTGACTGAGTATGTCGTAGAATATCTCATGCAATCTCATTACGCTGAAATGCCATATGTATATACAATAGCGACAGTGAATATGTATCCCCCCTTTCCTCCCTTCCTCCCTTCCTCCCTCCCTCCCTCCCACATAGAACCAACACCCTTCCTCATCACCAAAAACGAGCGTGTAGTACATTCCAACCCATGCAATCATATCAACGCCTACTAAACCACACCCCCCCATCCCCATCCTCATCCTCTCAAGCACAATCACGAACGATGAAGCATCGCCGGCCGACGCTCCTCATCCTCCCCAAACGACGAAACAGACGATATATCATCTAGATCTCTCGATCGACGGGAGATCTCAGATACAGCGTCGTCGAGCGGATGGTCGAAGGGGGAGGTGGGTCGGTCGCGGGGTTGTTCGGACCAGGTGGGGATGGTGGGGGGTATGATGGGGTGGGATTGTGCTGGTGCTACTGATGCTGGTGGTGGGTGGTTTGGTGTTAGGTGGCGGTTTTCAGTTGGGATAGGTGTGGTGATGGGCCCGGTGTGGATGCTTGAGGATGGGTTGAGGTCGCGGGGATGGTCGTGCTGAGGGACGGGTCGGCCGGGGATGGGGCCAGAGAAGGGGATATCGTGGGAGTTGGTGGGGGCGAATTCCCAGGTTGAGGATCGGTTTGGTGGGGGGTGGAGGTCGCGAGGGACGGGGGTCATGTTGGCTTGGGGGGCTGGGATGGGGTGGTTGTGGTTGCGGTTGCGTTGACGCCGGCGTCTGCAGATGAAGAAGAGGAGGGATGCGATGATGACTGCTCCGACCACGGCGACGGGGACCGCGATGGCGATGGTCTTGGTGTTGGTGGTGTTGGTGCTGCTGGTGTTGGTGTTGCTTTTGGAGGAGACTGCGGTGGCGGTGGAGGTTGCGGTTGATTGGGATGTTGCGGTGGTGGTGGTGGTGGTGGTGGTGCTTTCTCCGGGATATTGAGTGACGACGTATCCCCACTGGTCTGTTGTAGTGGCATATTCGTTGGCTGTGGTTCTGTGGCTATCCGACGAAGCCTCGGTGGTGTAGTATTCGCTTCCTCCGCCAGGCCAGTCGTTGGTCTGGTCCATGCCGGACATCCTGTCAGTTATTGGGTCTGTTCTCCGATTCTGTTCTGCCTATATGTTGCAGAATAGTGGTGAAATCGGATATTTATAAGCACCGAACCAAATTATATTGCACGGTTCACTGTGATGGATGTCAAAGGATTGTGGTCACACAAGGTGGTCGGTAAATGACCGAGGCGGTCTCAACTAGATTCATGATCAGACATCGAACGCGGGAGGCTGAGAATAAGCACAGGAACCTACCGGATGGCGGTATGAGAGCCTCTAGGCCAGCTTTTCAAGCTCATGTGAAATTATGTCAGTAGATGCGGGTCATGCCAGTCACAAAGCAGACACAAAACTATACACGCATATGCGGACGCGAGGAAAAAAAAAGGCAAACGCAGAAAGATGAAAGAAAAGTACGGACCGTGTCCGGGAAATAAAGACGGGGAGAAAGACTGCCCAAGCTAACACAAAGAAAGGCTGACATGGCGCAGCAGCTTCTAGTGAACGACGACTAGGGTTACCAAGTATAGCCTCGGACGGAGGGCCGCTCACTGCCAATCAGCACAGAGCGGTCCAGCACGAAGCGCTGTCCACCATAAGGCACGACACGCATGCATCGCGCTGCTGCTGCTAATCCACCAAGACGAAACGAATAACTACCCCTCCAGGCTCAGCCATAAAGATTGTAGGCGCTAGCAGGCTGCCTAGGGGGTCGCATCTAGCGCTGTCGTGGGCCGGACCGTTGAATCTCCACCCTATGGGAACAAAGACAACGCGGCCGCACCCATTCACATAATTTCCTTTGGTTCAAGGCGAACGGATGGTGCTCGTAGGGCCGCTTAGTCGGTAGCCCTGGGAGGGTGACCTTGCTCCAATCATCGGACCGCTGGCCTGATCGACGCAATTAGCTCGCCGGGTTAGAGACCAGAGACGTAGCAGCGTTGCGTGGCCCCGACATGGGGGCCAAAGGATCTTGACCGTCGCAGGTAGCCTTTTTCTAGTCACTCGTCAGACGGAGGAGTACGGAGTAGTGGGGATGGAATGAGGTGAGATCACCGCATATGCCAGGTGACCAGCCAATGTGCTCGAAGAACAATAGTTAAGAATAGAGCATGTCAGAGCAGTAAGCATGCGAACCATCATCAGAAAACTACTCAAGGATTGACCAGTTGGTCATCGAAGCTGTCACATGACCCGGAGATTGGAGATAGCCGCCGACATGTGGCCTAGCCGCATCTGGAAAGGCGTGGGGACGCCTCTCGCTCTTATCTCGTTCCGGTCCCGGCTGGATCGGCGTCATCCTACAACCTAGGTACCGGCCATCTTAACCCGCTGAAACCTATTCCTCCACTGGTTGGACACCATCGCTACGGATCATGAGTGGGTTCAAAGGGGTTATGAAAGAGGGCTGGCACCCCAAGGGCCGAGACGGCAAGAAGGAGAGCTGGCGGAACGACTTCAAAGGCATCAATCAAGTGGTCTGTATCGTCCACCCCGGCAACCATTCAAGCCCCTAGCTGACGTGATTCTATCCGGCCTGCAGGCAGGATGGATGGGGAAGGGAAAAGACAAGGATGACGGTCGCGAAGAACATGTCGCCAGACCTCTCTCTTCGCTCAAGGACCCGGCATCTTTTGGACCACCTCCGAAACACATCAAGTACCATGGCGCTGCAGCTCTGCCCAACGAGGTGACCCCAGACCGGAGAGGGCTAGGTGCTCCGCTGTCACAGGAGCAGATAGCCCAGCAGCAACAAGAAGAGCAAAGCCAGGAGGAAGAGGGTCAAAAGCCGGCGCCTCCACCGGTGCCATACCGTGCGAACCGGACGGGTCTAGATACCACCAACCTTCCGCCACCCCCAGTCAGACGCATGGATTCTCCGGCAGATCGCACACCACCTCCAGCTCTTGGGCCAAAACCAAGTCTTCCACCTAGCCTTCCGCCTAGACTCCCTTCACGAAACACTTCCACCCCATCCCCGCATCCGCCTACCCCACCCCCAGCTTACTCTCCACACTCCCAAACACCCTCCCAAGCCGAGGGATACTTGAACCAGGATGCTACATCCCGTCTTGCCCAGGCTGGTGTCTCCGTACCTGCTCTTGGAATAGGGAACAACAGCAGCCACGGGAAGCGAGATAGCAATCCTGCATCTCCAACTGTTGCAGGTTCCGTCGGTCAAGCTCCAGTGAACGAACTGCAAAGCCGCTTTTCGCATCTGAGGACCGCCTCGTCGAATTCTCCGGCCCCTGCACCTCCCCCGCCGGCTCGAACAAACACAAACGGCAGTGAACCATCATTTGTATCCACGTCCGATCCCAGGAGTGGTTCGTCTACAATCAACGATTTTCGGGAGCGACACAGTGATAAGATTCAAGCGGGAAAGCAGAAGTTGAATGGACTGAATGAGAAGTACGGAATCTCCCAGCGAGTCAACAAATTTATCGACGACCAGAAGGCTCCCAAAGATCAAGCACCTCCAGTGCCACCGCACCCGAACGCAAATCGTTCCACGTCCAGCATTGACACGGATACATTGGGTAGAAAGAAGGCCCCGCCACCACCACCACCTCCTCCGAAGAAGGCAGGAATGCGTTCTACTCCTGTCGGCGGAACAGCTTCGACGCCGCCGCCGCTTCCACTGAGCACCAAACCCCGTTGAGCGGAGGTCTGAGCTGATGTGTCCGTCAGCATGTATCATTAGCATCTGTATTGTTGCATAGCCTTTGTTCCATGTATATTGCTATCACCGTACATATCCTGCAGGGAACACTATAGCTGTTGTTGGCAACCACTCCCCCGGAATTGCATACAGGGTACGGAGTATGGTGACCCCGAATCGCACCATTCTAGAATGACTTCATTAGTACTCTGTCCAACCTGGTTCATGGCAGCCACTACGCTAGGAACTGCCCGAGAGGACACGAACTATATTGATCCTTCTATAGATACCAGGGCGGTTTTCCATGTTCGAGTCAATGATGGTTGAGTGATGTCACGCGCTGAGTCAGCGCGCGAGTCATGTTGCGATCACGGGATCCACCGGACTGCTTCTGGAAGTTTGGATCTGAACTACGGGCAGCAAAAAAACCAATTGTGTTGGATGGCTGTCAACTCCGACGGTTGATGTCATGCCTGTAAGACAACTTAATTCCGATAGATAGAGAGTGAGTGATTGATAAAAAGCATCTCCGGAGGGGAGTTTTGAGGACTATCAGATCGGGCACTTTGCCGGCCCCTGGCTCGTCGCGTAAAGTGATTACCTGGTTTTTAGAATCCAACGGGTAGGTGGTCATGTGAGGAACAAACAAACCCTCGATCTATACTACATGATTACATAGTTCGTAGACAAGGCGTCGAAGAGGATCGACAGCCCGAGGATGACCATTTCCGCTGATTCCGTCCACCGACATCAGCCAGGATGACCATTATCCCTGCCTGGCCGCCGCTGCTGTTGCCTCTAGGACGCCTTCACATTCACAGGCATGCCAGAGCTGTCCAGCAATGCTTTGTTGGGCCGAGGTTTGAAGGCCGCCGAATTCCCAACAAAACGCTGCGCGGCTCCACTCGCCGCGATCATCACGACTCTCATTGATCCACGGCGCAGCAATCCGGAGATTGACTGCTCTGAATTTATGAGACTGAATTAATCAGTCTGGCCTTGCTTTTTCTTGTCGCCAGCGATCACGGTTCTTTTGACCAACCGTCCCCCCCTCCTTTCACTCGCCGTGCCGCAAGGTTTGGCCGCGCCTTCAATTATTGTCCATCCCCAGTTCATAGAGAGATTTGCGCCTCCCCTTCCCACCAGTCGCGGGTGTGGACTCGACCTTTTAAATTTTCCTGGGGACTTTTTCCTTCGCCTCCTCTACTCCTCTGCACCTGGTATTCCGAAGGTGTCCGGTCAATTCAACTTCTCTACTGGTTTCTGACGCGCTCCCCTCCGTACCTCCTCCCTCATCGTCTGGTCGTTTCAATTCCCACCATTCGCGCCTCAACCATGTACGACTTCACCGTTGGCGGCGAGGCGAACCCGGCCGTCATTCGCGTTGGCCTACCGCCTGCATCCCTCCTGAACTTCCCTCCCAGCGAGCTCCCTGCAACCGTTCCTGCTCCTGTGATTTCCGAGCCGACCTGGAACCAACCCTTCAACATCCCTCCGGCGCTCTACAACCAACTGTTGGACGTGCGCGTTCCCATTACAATCGCGAGTGTCTACGCCGTGACTGTCGTCCTCATCAATCGCCTGAACAAGAGTCGAGGATACAAGCCTTATGGGTTTAGCCAGACCAGACTGTTCAAGCTCTTCGTCATCCTCCACAATGTGTTCCTGGCCATCTACTCCGCATGGACCTTTGCTGGCATGATTCGGGCTTTCCGCAACTCGTGGCCGAGTCGGGATGATCCCAACTATGTCGCGGCTGTTGCCGACACGCTGTGCAAGATCAACGGGCCCCGTGGTTACGGAAACGCCGCCACGTACGACCCTACGACCGACCAGTGGATGTTCCGCAACCCGGAGTTCAGTCTGGCTGCAGGAGGTGTCCCGGACCCCACCGATCTCGGTCGTCTCTGGAACGAGGGACTGGCCTTCCTCGGCTGGATCTTCTACCTGTCCAAGTTCTACGAGGTCCTCGATACGGTCATTATCCTGGCCAAGGGTAAGAAGAGCTCGACTCTGCAAACTTACCACCATGCCGGTGCCATGATGTGCATGTGGGCCGGTATTCGTTATGTCGCGGCTCCTATCTGGATCTTCACCCTGGTCAACTCTGGAATCCATGCTTTGATGGTATGTGTGACACACCTGTCTTGCTCCGTTGTTAACGTTGCTAATCTATTCCGATCCGAATGCAGTACACCTACTACACCCTGACTGCTCTGCGCATTCGCATCCCCACCGTGATCAAGAGATCCTTGACCACCATGCAGATCACTCAGTTTATCATTGGTTCTACCATGGCTGCCTCCTACCTGTTCTTCAGCTACACACTTCCTGTGGGCCAGTCTGCCCCCGTTCCTCCTGTTGAGATCCCCGGAGTTGCCGTGGGCACTGCAGGTGCTGGACTGGTGCCCTGGATCAAGAAGCTGGCTTTCCGGGCTGCCGGTGCGGAAGGCCTTGCGGAGAATGTAGGCACCACTGAAGGCTCTGTTGCTCCACGCGTCCTCCACGTCGGTCCGATGGTTACCTGCATGGACACCAGCGGTCAGGGTTTCGCTATCTGGCTCAACGTTATGTACCTTCTGCCTCTAACCTACCTCTTCGCCCGTTTCTTCGTTCGTTCGTACCTCTACCGCAAGGAACCTGGCCCCCGGCAGCCGACTCAATTGCACGCGGCCGAAAAAGCCGGTCTGGACGCTTTGAAGGGTGTGAGCCGCGAGATCCGGAAGGCGGCCGAGATGAGCGGTGAGACCAGCGAAGTCACGGAGGATGAGGCTGTGAACAAGGTCAAGGCTCTCCGGGCGACCAAGGCCCAGCAGAAGAATGCCGAGAACTCTCCCATCCGGACCCGCGCTACCGCTGCCAAGCAGAGGACGCGTGCTGGTAACAGTGATCAAGACTCCGACTCGGGTTTCTCGACCGTCAGCAGCAAGAAGAGCGCCAAGCGGACCACCAAGGAAGATATCCAGAGTTCTGCTGCCGTTGTTGTGGATACCAAGGACTCCAATCCCTTCCAGGTTTTGGACCGATCGGCTTAAAGACCCCGCAGCGTTGGTTTTAAGGGCTCTGTTAGGAACCCGAAACCAAGCCGAAAATACTTCACGAAGATGTTCTCGGGGCTGGTCAGCATGCTGCCTCGGGCCGAATCGCCGCATTGGCCTTGCATTATGACGGTTCGGTGATGTATGATATGTCGGTCGATTTCCTCACGCGGGCTTTTTCGGCCCCCCTACCAGACCCGCGGCTTTCCCCCGCCGGGCCCGGTGGAGTTGGGTTATGGTCTGTGGCCGGCGCACCGTGTCCGAACTGGCCCCCGGACAGCAGCCTACCCATGGGTCCTGGTGTATACCGATTTTTTAATGTATCTACTTTCACACTGGACGGCTTCTCTTGGATTGTTTGCCTGTACTCCCGCCATTGCTGTTCATAATCTTCCCCTCCGACCTTCGGGTAGATCCCGATCGTGTGTGTAAATACACTTCTTTCGAACATCACCCACAGCTGGACGGGGAGGCTTTTTGCTCGGGATTTGGGATGGATTTGGAAAAGTATTTGTAACCTATGTCATAAATCGTTTGGAATTGAGCGAAATTAAAAGGAAATTAAAGTGCGTGTTTTCAACTGGTCTTCTCTGTCGGCGCCGGAGTCATGTGCCCCCGGCTCCCTCTTCTCTCCCCATTTCACTTTCATTGCTTTGGTATCCTCCCCGGATTCTCTCAAGAACATGCTCGCATAAGGGGGCATGTCTTTATCCGTTGCAATCTTTGGAGGTAGGTGTGCATACTCCTTCGAATGTATCCTGCACGCGTGATATGCTGATTCATTGCCTTCGGTCGCTAGAGCCAATGTTTGTACCTCGGTACACCACCCCCCTGCGGATACCCAATATGCAGCTATCGAGCCATCCGATTCCCACGGAGAAATTGAACCCCAGCCAATGCTCTGAATGGAGGAAAAACCCTGACTAGCTCACCCCACAGACATTTATTCACCCCACGGTGGTCGACTACTCCGCCGGGCTTATGCGGTACGATGGCCTGGTCCCTGACCCGGCTCCACTTCAAATCCCGCCATGACCTTGTCAAACCGGGGCAATCAGAACCATTTCATCATCGAAGCCCCAGTCCGTGATGGCTTTCCTAGTGTATCCGAATCTGCGGCCCAGTCATGTTCCATCTCATCAGAAGGATTCACTGAGCCCGCTCGGCTCTCGCTAGTCTCACGTAGCGGCCGAGTGCAGACGACTAAACGGTGTCTTTCGGACTTCAGTCTTTCAGGGACTTTCTGTAATGGGCTTGGGATCATGAACTCTACGCCACAATTCGAGCTGGAGGGCGGGGCATGATCCATTGAGCAATTTGATGCCAAACTTTGCCTTTACGGTGTGCGTGCGGGCGGGCTATAAAGTGATCCCTAACCCCGGTCCATAATTATGGCTTTGAAAGGACATCCATTCCTGCTCCCCCGCATTTGGTCAGGGTGAGTTTCAGCTATGGCGCGAATTATCCAGTTATGCCTTCTTCTGCTCTCGAGCATAGGCTTTCTGGCCGCTACACAGAACCAGTCAGAAGCTGGTTGGCCAGTTCACGATGATGGCCTGACCACAGACGTGCAGTGGGATCACTACAGCTTCACCATTCACGACCAAAGAATCTTCGTCTTCTCTGGAGAATTCCACTACTGGCGCATTCCGGTGCCTGGGCTATGGAGGGATATTATTGAGAAAATCAAAGCTGCTGGCTTTACCGCTTTTTCCATCTACTCGAGCTGGGCGTGGCATTCCCCGAACAACTACACAGTCGACTTCTCAACCGGTGCTCGTAATATCACGCCAATTTTCGAGCTTGCAAAGGAGCTTGGGATGTATGTGATTGTACGTCCTGGTCCTTACATCAACGCAGAGGCCAGCGCGGGTGGATTTCCTCTGTGGCTTACGACTGGCGATTACGGAACTCTGCGGAACAACGATTCGCGATACACAGCAGCATGGAAACCATACTTTGATAAGATGTCGGAGATCACGAGTCAGTACCAGGTCACAAATGGCCAGAATACTTTCTGCTATCAGATTGAGAACGAATACGGCGATCAATGGCTCAGTGATCCGAGCCAAAGGGACCCCAACGAGACCGCAATCACTTACATGGAGCTCCTTGAAAGTAGCGCCCGTGAGAACGGTATTCTTGTTCCCTTTACGGCAAATGAGCCTAACATGAATGCGATGTCTTGGGGCAGCGATTGGTCTAATGCTGGAGGCAACGTCGACGTTGTTGGCTTGGACTCCTATCCTTCGGTGAGTCGCTTGTCACGATTGAGTCCTTACTAATCTGACTTTTCTAGTGCTGGACTTGTGATGTCAGCCAGTGTACCTCCACGAATGGAGAGTACGTAGCTTACAAGGTCGTCGAATACTATGACTATTTCCTCGAATTCTCGCCGACGGTGCCGTCATTCATGCCCGAGTTCCAGGGCGGCTCTTATAACCCATGGGCGGGCCCTGAGGGAGGATGCAGCGATGATACTGGTGCGGACTTTGTCAACCTTTTCTACCGGTGGAACATTGCCCAGCGAGTGACGGCCATGAGTCTTTACATGATATATGGAGGAACAAGTTGGGGCGCCATTGCTGCACCCGTGACGGCGACCAGCTACGACTATTCTGCTCCGATCTCCGAGGACCGCTCCATTGCGTCCAAATACTACGAGACCAAATTGCTGTCGCTGTTTACTCGCAGTGCACGAGACTTGACGGTGACCGACCTTGTCGGTAATGGAACGCAATATACGAACAACACGGCTGTCAGTGCGTACGAGTTGCGCAATCCCACAACGAATGCTGGGTTCTATGTCACGCTTCATAAAGACTCAACCGTTGGCACCAACGTAGCTTTCAGCCTGCGTGTCAATACGTCTGTGGGAGCCCTCACAATCCCTAGACTTGGAGGCACAATCCGTTTGAATGGCCATCAATCGAAGATTATTGTGACCGATTACACCTTTGGCTCGGAGACGCTCTTGTATTCCACTGCTGAAGTTCTCACTCACGCCGTCATCGACGACAAACCGACCCTTGTACTCTGGGTACCGACAGGCGAGTCCGGAGAATTCGCTGTAAAGGGCGTGAAGAAGGGATCTGTGGTGTCGAAATGCCAAGGTTGCTCGGATATTAACTTCCACCAAGAAAGTGGCAGTCTCATCGTGGGCTTCACTCAATCCGAGGGCGTGAGTATTGTGCAGCTCGACGACGAAATTCGGGTAGTCCTACTGGACCGGACTGCGGCATACAACTTCTGGGCTCCTGCTCTCACGGAAGACCCTCTTGTTCCGGAGAACGAGGCTGGTAAGAACTCCAACCTTCCTAATCCCTAGATCTGCGCTCATCGTTGGATAGTCCTCATCCAAGGTCCATATCTTGTTCGCTCCGTCAACTTGAAAACGTCAACCCTCGAAATTAAGGGTGACTCCGTCAACGAAACTTCCCTGGAGGTCTTTGCGCCCAAGGAGGTCAAGGCTATCACATGGAACGGAAAGCAGTTGAAGACATCTCAGACCTCATATGGTAGTCTCAAGGCCACTATTGCTGCGCCCCCTTCCATTCAACTGCCGGCCTTCACATCGTGGAAAGTCAACGACAGCCTGCCGGAGCGTCTTCCGACGTACGATGCCTCCGGTCCCGCATGGGTTGGTGAGTATAATCTGAGTCCACCTGAAGAGCAAAGCTAACCCAGCATGCAAGATGCCAACCACATGACGACCGCCAATCCCAGCCCACCTGCCACACTGCCAGTTCTCTACGCCGACGAATATGGTAAGTCTTCTCTTTCTCTTCCCAAGTGAGAAACCCAAATACTCACACATCCAGGCTTCCACAACGGCGTCCGCCTCTGGCGCGGTTCCTTCAACGGCACCGCCTCCGGCGTCTTCCTAAACGTCCAAGGAGGCAGCGCATTGTAAGCACCCAACCCAATCCCATCCGCGCAACCACACACAACTAACCCAAACCCAGCGGCTTCTCCGCCTGGCTCAACGGCCACTTCATCGGTTCCTACCTCGGTGACGCCTCCATCGAACAAGCCAACGAAACCTTCCTCTTCCCCAACACCACCCTCCCCAACTCCTCCAACACCCTCCTCATCGTCCACGACGACACCGGTCACGACGAAACCACCGGCGCGCTCAACCCCCGCGGAATCCTCGAAGCCCGTCTCCTCAGCCCGGACAACTCAAATACCTTCACGCACTGGCGCATCGCGGGCACCGCCGGCGGCGAATCCAACCTCGACCCCATCCGCGGCGCCTGGAACGAAGACGGACTCTACGCCGAACGCGTCGGATGGCATCTCCCGGGCTTCGATGATAGCGCGTGGCCCTCCACCTCGGCACAGAACCTCTCGTTCACCGGCGCGACGGTCAAGTTTTTCCGGACTACCGTCCCGTTGGATATTCCGCGTGGAGTGGATGTCTCGATCTCGTTTGTGTTGGGGACGCCGGCGAATGCGCCTAGTGATGCCTATCGGGCGCAGTTGTTTGTGAATGGGTATCAGTATGGTCGGTTCAATCCGTATATTGGGAACCAGGTTGATTTCCCGGTTCCGGTGGGAGTGTTGGATTATACTGGGGAGAATACGATTGGTGTTGCGGTGTGGGCGCAGACGGAGGCCGGTGCGGCGATTAGTGTTGGGTGGAAGGTCAACTATGTTGCGGATAGTTCGCTGGATGTGGCGGGTTTGGAGACGAGTGAGTTGCGGCCTGGGTGGAGTGAGGAGAGATTGAAGTATGCTTGATTGATGCATTGGGATTAGTATGAATGTTTCAAATAAACAACGGGGGGAATGTGGTGTGATCAACCACAATGTATATATGTTTTCATCCAATATCAAAATTAACAAAATCTTTGTATCATATTGCATCGTGCATGATCATCATAACACCCAACTATTTAATCCAAGTCTTGAAAGGCATCTTGCGTAATACACCAAAAGTATGACCCGCTCAGGGTAAAAAGCGAACCAAAAAAACTTAATCATGTCATGAAAATATTAAACCAAGAAACGGAAGCCCCTGGAGCTGGCCTGGCCCGGGACACCTCCGGAGGAAACAGCATCGCTAATTCCCTCACCACGGTCAAGCTTCTTGTTCAGTCGGACGAGGATGAAACGGAGGGCAGTGGCAGACAGGATGGCCACGAACGCGGTGACGCAGTTGACACTCATAGCCGTGACTGCGATGATTAGATAATTAGTATAGAGAAGCAATATGGTGCTGTTGAGGGTGGTACATACTGTATCGTGGAGCATCGCTGTCGGGGTACATATAACTGGCGTAGATACTGCTGGCATTACTGACGCAGTTGATGCCTGCCAGAGCTGCGGCACGCTTCGATGCCGGACGAGGAAGCGTGCTCGAGATCCAGCCCAAGGCTACCACGTAGCCCGTGTATAGTGATGGAACCATCAGCATCATGGAGAAATAGCGTGGTCCAATACTGGTGGTGGTAGCAGCGATGATGAAAGCCGCCACAGAGAAGTATAGAGGGAGAGTAATGTGGAAGTACCGCTCGCCAGTGCGGTCGGCGTGCCAGGCATTGGCAAAGGCACAGATGACAGCCAGACAGTATGGAGGGGCCGTGAGAAGAAGCGTTTCAATGTTGCCGTAGTTGAGGGTTTTGACGACGGTCGGGAAAAAGTTCGTCACGGAGGCAGAGGAGACAATACACAAGATGAGCAGCATCTAGACTAGTTAGCAATGTGAAAAGAACAGCACTTTGGCTGGGCCACTCACGAGAATCCAGGTCTTAATATCGGTAAAGGCCAATTGGACACCATGCAGGAAGGTCTGCTGCTCACTGTCCACCCAGTCGTCCTCGCCAATGTCCTCCTCCAATCTCCAAGCAGCCAGCTCCTTCTCTTCCTCGGTGAGCCATCCAGTGGTTCGTGGAAAGTTGGGCAGAATGAAGATTGAGAGGAAGGCAACGACAATAGTAATTGCACCTTCGATGATGAAGAGCCAGCGCCTGAGACACACCCAAGTTAGCGCTTATATTAGTTTAGAAGTGGATCTCTCTCGGGTATACTGACCATGCTCGGAGACCCATCTTGTAGTCCATGTTTTCGGTGATTCCCGCTGCAATGAGCCCGGAGAAGGCACCAGAGATGAGGGAACCGGAGTAGAGGGCTGCAGTCCGGAATCCAAGTTCCTTACGAGTATACCAGGCACTCAAGAAGTAGAGGCAGCCGGGCTAGAGGACAAAATACCGAGATTAGTAAGGTATCTTGAGGCCTCTTCTTCATAGTAGTGAATACGTACGAAATAAGCAGCTTCAACGAAACCGAGGAAAAATCGAACAGTGACCAATCCGGCATAACTCTGAGCCCCAGCTGTGCAGGTAGAAATTATACCCCATAGCATCATTGCACCGGGAAGGTAGAGGGCAGGCTTTCCGAATTTGTTCAGTAGTAGATTAGATGGAACTATTATCGTTAGTATCTAACGGTCCACCGATGAGTTGCTTGCACCTACTTTGCATTAAGAGATATCCCACGAACAGGATGCTGACGCAGGTCTGATATTCCACACCTACCAAGTTCAAGTCGGTCACAAGACCGGCCAATTTGGCAGCTGCCTAGCAAACAGGAGACCATGAGCACAGAACAGGATATGGTTGATAGAGTGAATATGTCACTTACGATGTTGTTCCGGTCCAGGTAGTTGAGAATGTACATGATGATGATCATGGGCAGAAGGCGAAGGTCGATCTTGCGGACCAGAGCCTTCTCTGCCTTCTCACGTTCCTCGGGAGTGAGGCCAGCCACGTAGGCTGGAGCCTCCTTCCTAGGATTTGGTCTGTCGGCGTTGGCCACAGCATTGGGAACAACCTCGACGTTGTCAACATGGCTCTTGTCGATATCCCGTTCGATATCATGAGAGGTTCTAGGGGACATGGTTGTCTCCGGTAGTCTGACTAGGCCCATGAAGAGGCAGGAAGAACGAAGTAGGACAATGCGAGACGGGAAATAAGAGAAGAGAGCAGAGAAGTAAGGGACGGGGAAGGGGAGAAGGCAGTAGGAAAGAGGAGGGGGGAAAGAGAGTAATCGACGGGGACATGGTGCCAGCTGAAGTCGGGATCAGGGACCTTTTTGTGTGAAGACTAGAGAACCGAACGGCAATGAGCCGACGAGGATCCCGAAGGAAGGGAGGCAGCAACGAGGGAGGGAACCCGCATCATGGACCATGGCAATGGGGATCGGGAATGAAACCAGCTGCAGAGATGCCAGCCCCGCCAATGGGGGGACCCGAAGCGGGGCGAGACAGGTCGGGGAAAAACGAGGGAGATGGGGAAGAGTCTGGAGATGAGATCAGGATCATTAGGGGAACCGCCGCGACTGGTGGGATGGCCTGTGGAGAGGCCCGACTGGCGTGGGGGTTGCCGACGTGCAACGTAGAAGGAGAATGATGTCGAGGTGGAAGGAAGATAGTGTGTAGACTCGTAGAGAGCAAAGCAGCCCGAAGAAAAGCGGAGGGAAAACGTGGGGGTTCCCGTGATCTCGACCCCTGCCACGGCCGAGCTCTCGCCGGCTTTTTGGCTTCTCGGTCCTGCGCCTGGTCCGAGTTACACGCATTATTATCCGTCGTCCATGCCAGACTCGGCTCTCTCCCAGCCCGGACGATGAGATGTCTACCCTGTACGACTTGACTGCCACTCTCCGGACTTTCAGCCGCCTATATCGACGGACCAGCCGGGGTCGCGCAACCCCAGACTGACCCCGAGAGAGCCAAGACGACCGGCCCGAAAAGCGCTCGAGAGCGGAAGATCCCTACCAACCTCAACCCCGGCTCTGGCTTCAACCGGCCTCAAGGATAAATTATGATAGGTGCCTCCACCAGTGGAGATTCTCGTTGGTCATCATTCCTGCTCCCTTCCTTGTCGCAGGAGCCACAGGAGACGCAGGAGTCACCGCTCCTTGATGGATCATCAGCCATATAGCCGGTTCCCAACACCCAACTACCGTCACAAATCAGGCCATTCAGTTCACGCTCCAAAAGTACCGTCCTACCTACCTCTCTAAGGAAATCCCGTCATATCGGGTCCGGTGCGAAGCTAAGGACAACCCCTCCCCCGTGCGATGACATGGTGCCCCCAGTCCAAGAAATTCTTACCCTACCTAACCAGCCAACATTTACCCTCATCGGGTCCACCTCGGCAAAATAGGGAGCAAGGGCCGGGTTCCAATTAGCTACCCAGGCCCCTAATCCCGCCGACCTTACAGATAGATGCCAGAGCAGATTCTGCTGTCGGGATCTCTCGCGTGGTAGGGAAGCGGTGCGGCGTTGCATTCGTTCCCTCACCCGTGGAAAGCGTGGGGGTCCTTGGCGTCGCTCCCCTTTGGCCCTTATTTAGTGCGGCCACTCGCCCTTCAGCTGGTCTACGGAGCACTAGTCAAGTAGTCATCCTCTAGCCACGATCGAGGGCAGAGTAGAGCAAACGAGCCAAGGTCCCGGGGGCTATTTCAAACCTATGAACCCCCTACTATGAACCATACGTCTGCTGAAATCCAAGACATACGCCTTGCACGGAGCGTCTACGATTACGGCATGGGTGTTTGAGAAGCCTTGCAAAAAGGAATTGCATTCATCTGGCCAGCCAAAGCTGAGCGATAATGGTACGAGCCCTCCACTGCGGGTCCAATTCCAGAAAGCTGTACACGGACAACGCGTCGACAAAGGATCGGGGCCGGCAAAACAGGAAACGAAGGATTCACTATGACACTATGAGACAATGTGCAATGAGATGCTGCCCAATTTTCACGCTTGCAGAACAAAACGAGATTAAAAGAGACGGTGTGGCTCGGATGCAAGGTCGACCAGGGAACGGGTCTGGAGGAAAAGGTAAGATTAGAGGAGACGAGGAACCATGATTGTGCCGGGCCGCCGGGGGAGAAAGTGCAGTAGTAAATCGGAGCCCAAATCCTGGGTGCGACGTAGATCGAAGCCAAATGATCCGGAACGGTTCATAGGCGATGCCTCCAACATTCGATCCACTATTCTTCATTTGCTGTGGTAGAATCCCCATAAATCTCCGTGCGCAGAATAACGAAGGGAAAAGAAAGAAGAAAGAAAAAAGACAAGACCAAGACCGGATAGTTGCTGTCGCCATAACACCCAGAACGCATAGCAAACATAACAAAGGGGCGACCGGTCGCATCCGCCAACTCGGCAGACAATTAGACACCGAGTCAGGGCCGGACTGAAGACAGGAACCAAAAATATTCTCTAGAGAAAAGGAAACAGGTCTAGAAGCCACCAAGGCTTAATACCATGCCGTTGATAGATCCAACACTCCTCCTGAGGGTAAATAACAAGACACGCAGTAAGAACGCCTTTCGAAATGCAGCGACTCAGAGGAAGTGAGTATAAATTTTTGATGTCTCATGGACCTCCATCTCCTACGTCATGTTAGTAATCAATCATCGCCAAAATAGAACACCAAAGTGTGCTGAGGTTCTCACCATCTTGAAGTTATTCAGCTCTTCCTTGATTTGCTGTGCAAGTAGCGGAGTCAACCGGTTACACGTTGCAATGTCACCTCGTCGATCGTACTCTCCACTCGGCCATGTCTCGTGAAACTGAATGCGAGGGCTGAAAACGAGACTCTTTGGCATCATAGCTTGTGGTGTGACAGGTGCACTCTTCGCCTCTGAAGTGAGGAACCGTCCTTCTGATAGATAGTCATCCTCGCCAGCAATCTTCACCGCATCGGATCGCCTATTACCAGACCGGGTCTGGTCCTCAGGGGTGCTGGGAACACTGGAATGCGGCGAGTCATTGCCGGTCGAATTCTCAGATGATTTGACCGTATAGGTGTGGTTGGTCGGGTCAGAGTAGGTTTCTGAGGCTATAGGTTAGCACAACAACGTCAAACAAGACAAACCGAATGTTATGAGAAACGAACTTTTGAGTATGCCCTTCCTCACAGCTGCTAGGACCTCTGCCCGCTCCTTGTCTCCTCCGACAATGCTTTTACGCGACTGGGACTTGTCAAGGGCACCATCTTCATGGCTCGCAGCTTTCTGTGTCTCAGAATCCAACTTAGGAAGCAATGAGCTACTAAGCGAATGGTCCTGCGAATCTGAGGTGACGGCAGTACTTTTCCTCTCCGCCTCGATATTGACCATCGACAACTGGGGCGCCATTGGCTGAATAATGACGCCATCGGTTGAGGATGTGCTCACTACCGACTTTGGGCGGAACAGGCCCACCAACGACCGCGTTGATCGTTTCATCCCCTTTCCCATCTTGCGAAGCATGATCGAGGCGGACGATGCTGTCGATGAAACGGAAAGATTGTCTGTGGAACTGTTGAATATACGGCCCTGATGATGGGAGGAATAAATGCTCTCGCCCAAGCCGCTCGCTTCCTGCTGTTCGGCTATAGCCGCCTGTTCTGGGCCCAGCTCTTCTTGTAGTAGCTCCCTGCGAGCCTTCTCTATAGCCAAAGCTTCCTTCTTGCTTTGCGAAGAGGCCTTAAGAAGTTCTGACGCGCTGCCAAAGGAGAAGGCTCTCCTCAGTCTAGACTTCCCTGGCCGCTTGATGTCGCCCTGTGTGATTTCAGCAAGGCGTTGTGTAGCAAGACTCTCCGTGGGAATCGGCTTCGGGTTGGTAGCGGGTTGCGATGCCTTTGGAGTCGGGGGCTTGGAATCAACCTCAACCGGTTGAGACAGCGGCGAGGGCTTGGTCGATCTTTTGGTGTCATCTAACTTATTGCCACTCTTGCTGGACGAGGAAGCGGACTCAGCATGTCCCGCATCACGCACAGATGAGGTTGAGGAATGGGAGGACGGAATGCTTCCCTGAACATCTCTGTGAGACTGGGCCGATCGGGGTCGGGCGCTCTGGTCAAAATAATCATGCCCACCTGTTGTCGGGGTTGGGGACGACGTGGGCAAATGCAGCTGCATATTAATGAGACCGGCATTATCAATGTTGCCCCAGCTCCGGCGCCGATACCGCTTGGCTAACTCTGTCTGGGGTTTGTCTGCACGCGAGGTATCATCAGCACTGGGCACTCGAACATGCCCAGTGCGGCGAGGGCTTTCTAGTGCCGTCGCCGAGAGACCAGGGGCGCTCGAGTGGAGAAAGCTGTCATCCACGGCTATCGGTGCAGTACGTGCCGACCCAGGCCCATTCGGCTGTGTTGATGCGGGCTGTGCGCCCGCTGCAGTATCCGGTCGCCGGTTCCCACGACGATAACGGTCGGGGGACGGGCGGGCGACAGTGGGTGAGGATATGTTCATAAAGGTCGACGAAGTAGATGAGGGCAGATTGACGGTAGAAAGTGGGCGCAAGGGGGGTTCAGCACGTAGCTGTCTAGTCGGGATCGCGGAGTCGTCTTTCGAGATATGGGAGTGGACGGAGGAGTTGGAGGAAGAAGTGGATACAGAACCAGCTGCAGGATGGACAAGACGCGAGTTGACTCCGATGTTGGCAGTAGTTGCAGACCCTGGAGACACGGATGGGGCAGAAGAGGTGCGATGCTCTGGCCTCAGATGAGGGGACAGCGACTGACGGTTTTGCATGTTGGGTGAATTCGAGAGGTTGGGAGTGCTGGTAAAGGCGTAGGGGGCCACAACCTGGTGGCCTACCCTGTAGTTTCCCGAACTGCCGGTATTGTTATATGGATTCCAGGACATCGTCGAGTTCCGCGGGTTTTGTTGTTGCGAGGGTTGGGGGGAAGTTGTGAAGGTGCCCGAAGAGGATGATGGTCGAGTTTGAAGCACAGAAACCGTGCCACTTTGCTGGGGGATTGTCTGTACCAACGCAGCCATGGTGTTCTCCTCCACTACTCAGAACGAAACAGCATCCGACGCGTAGCTGGCGGCGTCTCCGGGATGAGATGTGTCGACAAGCGAGCTCGTCGGATTATCCGTAGTACCCAAGCCAGGTGGACCAAGTCTAATGTCGAGATGAAATCGAGGGAGAAGATCAAAAGGGTAAAAGGAAACAGCAGAAGAAGACAACAGGGGGGAATTCTGTACTACACACAGTTGTCAGTCAAGATTGCACAAAAACAAGCGGGTTCAGAGATTGGCTGAACTCTCGAGGACCGATGAGTCTCTGGGGCGATTGTGGTTTCCGTCTTGAAAGGGGGGTGGGGGGAAGGCAGGCTGCGGGATGGTCGTACCTGTTCTCAAGGAAGATGCCCCGAATGAAATTATACTGATACAACAATTAAGGAAAAAGGCGGCTGGTCGAAGTGGAAACGAATGCTGGCGAGGAGGACAAAAGAAACGAAGGGCTCGGATCAGACGATCGAAGAGGGAGGAGAGCTGGCGACGAGGTACGACGTGAGGAACACAAGGCTCCAGGGATGGCAGAAGCTGTCTAGAGCGGTCGAGCCATGTACAAGGGAAGAAAAGAAACCACAGCTAGAAACAATGATGAAATAGAAACAAGAAAGGAACAATGCCAAAACCGAAAAGGAGATCGAGAAGGAAACGATAACCAGATCCTAGGCACCTTGTCTTCTGAATCAAGCAGAAGACGGGCCGTTCAGGGGGGAAGAGCCTGGAAGGACGGAAAAGAAAAACTAGAGGAGCGGGAAAGATGAAGATGGGTCGGAGAGAGAGGAGGAGGAAGAGCGAGAGGGGTTGAGGGTGTGAGAGGGAAGGGGAAGGGAATAGGGAGATAATGATGGGGAGGGGGGAGGGAAGATGGAAATGATGGGATGCTGCTACTTACTCTCAACTTTAGGGGAGGCCGACTGACTGACAGGCGGAGACAGGCGGACGGGATTTTCCAGAGAACGCGAGAAGGAACGCCAGGCACACACCCTCCCGAACCGTGCCTGTATTTCTTTTTCTTTTTGACCCTCTGGTTGTTGATTTTTGTTCCCTTGGGCCCCTCCAGCGATGCCTTTGGGATGAATTTTTTTTTTACTTTTTATCTGGTTCACCCTCTCGTTCGATCAAAGTTCATAGAACTGCGAAGGGGCAAAAAAAAAGTAAAGAGATGACTTGGGGGGCCCGATTAAAAATCCACGAGGGGAAACCCGATCAAGTGTATCGTACGTACTCCGTAGTATGTACCTACTACACCAAGGGAAAGAAATTTCTTAGAGAATTCTGATCTCAAATGTCAAGATCCAAGTAGGGATGAGGTATTCTACGATTACGCTCATTGCAGCTGCAAGTCATACCAAAACCCAGAGGGACTCGCCATATCCATGTCGCTCAGGTACCATCATCCTTCTAGGATGGCGGTAATCCGCCTGGCTTGGCTCCAGATGGTGGCATCATTCACTTATCGTATCATCGATCCTCATATCATCAGGTAGATTAATGGTTGGATGTCTCCTGAATCTCTCACACCTTCTGCATCAGCCAACCATTCTGATTCGACCAGCTGGACGGGCGAGACTAAGACACCTTTGGGGCTGTACGGTAAGTCCGGTTCCATCTTGGTAACTGGTACTAAAGTTAGGCTGGGAACTAGCGGGTGTAGTTCTGCGGCCGTTGTTGCCATTCGGTAACCATTGTACCGCACACACGATTCGTCCCCAATAATACCTCCATATTACGTTAGGAGCGGGTCAAGAACCACCCCCTACAATGCCAAACCCGCTCCATCCGTTGGAGGTAATCGAAGGCGACGCTACATGCGACTGGGTGAATGGATGTGCGGGTCTAACTGAAGATGTCTTTGCAGTCGCCTCATCGGCTCATCCTCCTGGTTGATAGGAGATGTTCTTTGTGGGGGATTGGTCCTCCGATACGGATGTCTTGGTACCAGATCTCCGTAACCGTAGGTATTAGTCGTCAAGTGCCGAGTACACTTGATACTCAATAGTAGGGTACGCGAGAGCCGCCTCCTAATTTTTTTTTTTCTTTTCCGTCTTTTTCCTACTTAATTTTTTGATGCGGCAAAAGGTGAAAACTAATACCAGAGTGTTATTGGAGAACGACGGAACGCAGAACGTGCTGAGTGCATGAGACCATAACCACTGAGACCATTTAGTCGTTTCTAGCGACCTTAATAGTCCGATCGGGCGAGCAAATTGGAAGCTGATTTGCGACCACACGCCTGCTAAAATTCTTAGCTGTCACGCCATGACTATCTACCAAACGGGGTCTGCCTCCAAGGAACCCAAGCACGGAAGCTCGGAGAAACAGCCTGGAGAGAGCTAGTAGCCAGTACTATAAGTAGGTAGTCAGTTAGTAACAGTCGCTAGGTGACAATGGTGTGTACCTCGGCTGCTGGGACGACGGATGCTAGGCGATCCTCGTGTATAATACCGATTAATGTCATTATTATACAAGAATAGCCAACCCGATGCCAAGAGTGCTACAACAAAGTGTACCTAGATAGCGATCCGAAGTAAAGCAACCCTCCCCCTCCCCCTGAGGTTGAGTCTCTGGTGAAACCGATCATATCTCTGGAGATTATCCGGCAACGATCTTGTCCCTGATCGTCGTCACCCCGGATCTGGCCAATACACAGAAATTACCAAATATCAGTGACTTTGTCTGCCCCAATTCCCAGGCAGAATAAACCGTGTAGCGTGTATCAGGCTGAAGATCAGGAATTTTTCCCCTACATAACCAGTGACAGGAAAACTCTCCTGGCCAGCCCCATTAGGGAATGCCAATCTCTTCCAACCAGTGGGAACCTCCCGTGAGCGAAATCCGCGGTTCAGATTGTTCCACCAAGGGTAACCTAATCGATAACCCACGGTCCGTGTCCCAGTGCCGTGAAGTAACCAGTACGGAGGTTTGTCGCAGCCTCCTACACTTCCGGTTGTGTACCGTGGGATCGTTCCCTAGCTCAGATTCCCGAGTCAACTGCGAGAACCCACGCGAAACCTTATCATCCTCACTGCGGTGGTTTGTGTACATGATGTCAGCTATCATAAATTGAACCGATAACGTGTCCTTGATTTGTTAGCCATCTACGGAGTACACAGTATGCTGCGGTGGTAGGTAAACCCCATCCCTACCTGTTGGTTACAAGCTATAGCCAAGGAAAAGCGAGAATATACCGGTTGGGAGGGAGGGGAAGGTTGGATGAGCTTGAAATGAATTAGAGTGACTGGGTATGTTTGGTCAGTTGCAAACAAGACTGATGCACAGTCAATCTTTAGATTAGAATTTGGGCTATTGATGCAGTGCAATGCTTTGACCAGTATTTGATAAACCGGGTCCCTTACAATGGAACGCTCTCCAGTTTCTTCGAGTTCTAGAGGATATGTCATGAGCAATCTTGTTGATCCTGCATAGCTCGCACCTGAGGAACGGTGGCCGAGGCCAGGCAAGAACCCCGAAGGACCTTCACTCGGAGGGACTCAATCACCGACACTGAGGCCAACATCCGTCTGCGCTATATTCTTTTGAGGCTGTTCGCGGAGGGTCATGCTGGGATTCCCGGTCACGGGCCTCAGATCCTTGGCTGCATATTTTTGCGAGGCTCAACCCATGAGACTGGACAACCATCGTGGGTAAATGTCGCTTTGACTTTGTACGATCGATGAGCATGAGCGCTGAGACGATGCGGACTTGTTGGATGCACCAAAGCTCACGAAGCGAGGAGGGGCTCAAAAGATTCAATAGCTTAGCCACAAGAGATCCCTCTGCCGTATCCCAGTTTTCCCTCGACTGTCGGTGAGCAACTCTACCTGACTGGTCTCACTTAGCGACCGGCTACTCCGAGCATGTACAATTTCTATTCGCTTGGAGTTTGTTCTATCACATGTGGTGCTTGGGTACAGACTACTAGGTAACTACTGCCTACTTACTTAGACGGAGTACATAACTAGATGTAGACGGATGACTAGTTGCGGGCGCGGTTAACTCTGTGGTGGAAACTGGAAAGGCCCACTGGGACTCACGGCTGCCCCTTTGCGACCCGGTAAGCCATCCTACCCTCTCGGCGGGAATGCTTCCAGTTTACACCGCAACTATACCTTCAATTGACCGGCATCTTAATCAACCGTCGTTGCGAGAAAGATGAGGCCTGAGCTGCAAATCTCCCAGGTGTGGATAACTCCTCCATCTCCCAGCTCTCCCCGGTTAGTGCCTGTGCAGATCCCCTGTAAGGAGTTCCCGCGTGATCGGCAAGCAACGTCGCCATCTTCACATCTCATTCGGGGCTTTGCCTTCCAACCGCGTCACTTCTTAACCTAACCTGACAGACGGCAGTGGCGGGCGCATATCATCGCCCATCCTGCAACCATCATCCACGGTTGGCTTGCCAATCGGCTCCCCTCGCCGTCCGCCGTTCACGTTGGCAGAGGGTTTTTCCGTGCTTAAGAACGCTTCTCGGTGATCGGATCGGGCTCTGAAATCGCAGGTGAGACTGGTATGTACAGTATGCTCCGATCCTGCAGTATCGGCGGGCGATTGTTGTTCGCGTGGACTTCCACCGCATAAACCATGGAACCTGGGCCGGGTTCGAACCTAGCGAGTCAGGAAATATCGCATCGAGCTCCTTCCCACATTTCCAATTTCTCCAGAATCCACAGTCGGAGGAAACCTCTATGAAAAGTGGAGAGTCGGCAATAGCAAATACGTATGAAGCAAGTTATGAATGCGCTCAAAATTATGTCGCCTAAAGGTACGGATTACAGACAGGAAAATTGAAAGTGGATAACTCAGGCTCCGAGCTGTGGAGGAGCATCATACGGTGCGGAGTACCTTCCGTAGGCATCGGACATCAACCGCGGTTCCACTGCCTTAGCATTTAGCACACACTCATACTCACAAAGGACCTTGGACTTGGAAGGCACCCTCCAAGGGGCAACAGGCAATTTCAACTTCCGCATGCTCGAAATCCGAGTCTAATCATGTTATAATTTGGGGTAGTATACAACCCTTGTGTCTGGACGCCGGCACAGACTCAATAGGTCCGAGCAAGTACTCTGTACGCATACATAGCACGATGATATGATGTGGGTTTAGCATACCGCCAACGATGATTTGCATCCAAACCCCTCTATATGGAAGGAGTCCAAACGAACCCAATGCCTCGGTAACCCTGCGAGGTTTGCCTTAACCGTTGAAGCAACCGGCCAACCCACACGAGGTGCCTGAATATTAGTTTGCCTAGTGCCTACTAGTAGTCGGACCATTCTGACGGCTGTCAGTTACCCCATGCGGCGCCATGGTCGACCATCCTGTCAAGCCATGTTAGTTTCCATAACCGCTTTGGCTAGCTCACATTGATGTGATGGATGGAGTCAATAGCGGATACAGTCTTAATATCAGTAGCCATGCGGAGTACAGGAGAATGAGTCCCTCTAAAAGACCAGATAGTCTGACAGGGAACCTGCCATTGGATGACCAGCCGCACGGTCCTCTTCAAGCCATAGGTTGTCCGGCAGCCTTGGGAGTCTGGGAGTAACGTCGCAGGGACATGGTAGCTTGGTCCAGCCAAGGTAGATGCTGACACCAGCGAATATGTTGAACGACAATTCTACCGGCATATCCTGTCACAATGAACGCAGCGGTTACGCGGGCGGGGAATACATGGGCTCGAGCCAATACCGACCAGAGGCCAGTTGAAGAGGATCACAATCCTAGCCTGTTACAAATGAGCAAAGCGCATGCGTTGGATCTAAATCCACTCCGAACGGTGAATCCCTTATATCCGGGGAAGCCAAACTGTGGAGTACATACAGGCGTTAGTCACTAGTAGTGGGCAGCACCGAGTGACCGAAGTACCTTGTACTCCGTGACTGTCTAAATTGATTGCGATTAGGTAAAATTCTGGAGGCTCGCTGGTTTTTAATACTCAATATTGGTATTCCATGAAAGTATCAAGCTAGTACTGAGGTGTGTAAGTGTAAGCCCACGCCGCGAACCAACTGCTCTAGATGACCGCCGGTCGGTAACAGCGCCTACTCTAATGAACTCCTAGTTCAACTCGTACTTTAGGCAGAAATCAGAATCACTTACCCCGTCATCCGTACTTATTTTGCGTATTCTCCATGGTCCGATCGCAATGATGAGATAGTAGTAGGCCTTTAGCTCCGAGCCCCCCAGAAGCTCAACCCCAGGGGAACGGCAATGCCAAATCAGTACTGCCATGACTGCTTATCGCAAACTACCTACAGCGTCGAGTCCCCAGGCAAGGGACATCGCCGCCATGATTCCTCAAGGATAGACGATAATGACATGATTGGTCGCAGCCGAATCAAAATTCCCGCTGACCATCCTAGTAGGCTGGAGATAGTCCTGCGGTCGAGATTAAGATTCCCATCTGATCCAGACAAGCAAGCCTTCCTGCCCGAGGCCCCTCCGCTTGATCGGGCCAAGCAGGACACTTCACTATGCATAAGTATCGACCTACTGCATGCCCCAACAAGCATTGCGACCGGGATATACCTGAAACACCGACGACCCTCTGATCTGTCCTGGCATAATAAGCCGTTGCGATCCATGGTCCCCCTGCAACCTGTGCGATAGGAGATACTACCTTGATAGGGATGTCGGTACAGGGTACTCCGCACTTCTGATTCAGTCTTCCTCGTTTCTTGGTTTTCTTGGGTTTCTTTGCCTATCGCAACAGTGGGTTACTCGACGTGGTTCGCGTGCCTGTGCCAGGCACGGTCATCTGACTGGGCGTCGTATTTCCCATCCCACCATCGTCACCATCACCACTCCTGATCAATTACCTACCCGCAAGAATACTACTATTACAATGCCCGAACACAAATTACTCGACTTCAAATAATTCCCACTCGTCGCTTTCATGACAAAGGGATGTTTTTATTTCCCTTTCTCTCAAAAGTTGAAATAAGACAAATAGATTAAAATCTAAAGTAAAGGCGATGTAACTGCGGCAACACGATGCCCAGGCCAAAAACGAGGAGGTCAAGCCATTAGCGGAATCTGCATGTCGCTGCAACTGGAAAGCCACCAAGCGGGGTTTGTGTGCCCAGCGAGAAACCACTCGCTTCCATCATTCGAGTCGTTTGGCCTTGGGGAGTGTTCGCACTTCTCCGTGCTTACTGCTGTTGCCCAGGGAGGGGCGGATTACCGAGTGCCTGCCGGATCTTATCCACACCGAGATAACTGGAACTCGATAAGCGCAACCCAGCTGGTGCATGCGCCTTTTTCCTTTCTGCCGTGTCCTTCTCTTTCCGTTCCTTTGAATTCAACCCCTGGCACGAAGATCAACCTGGGGTGAAACCATGATCCTCAGCGTTGAATAATTTCGGGTTCTCTCCATCTCCAGCATCATATCAGAATTGCCCCATGCGCGCCATTAATCTAACTGCCGAAGTATTGTATTGAGAGTTTGAGATACCACAGACGGGATCGTCTCAGACAAACCTTCCTATCTCGACCCACTGCGGGGTCGACGGGTTTCGGGAAAAGAAGGATTTAGTGAACCGGACCGGCTTCATGAACTGATCAACTTTGATGATGAATCAATATCATGCCATTCCCTGGTCGGATGTCTGCTTGACTCGAGCTTATACCAGCCTACTAGATAGCAGGCACAGTTGCTCGACTGTCGTCCACGTATACCAACTCCAAGGTCTTCAATGGCTGCTCTTCGCCTTGAAACAAAAAAAGCATCAGCGACGGCAGAGCTCTACCGGGTGGGGAAACCATGCAGTGGAGACCCGCATGCTTTTGGTACTTAATAACACTGTATCGTCGCTGAAGATTCGCCTTGGCCGAATGGCCGTGTTCCCGCTCCAGCCATCATCCATCAGCCCTGATGGGTTGGCGCCAGGTGCATACACATACCCCGGGTCGTCGTGGAAATTCCTGGACGTCGATGGACTTAGGGCATTATGCAGAATTCAGCAGAAGGGTCTGGCTTCTTTCTGTATCATATCGGGGTCATACTGTTGCTGAAACGGTTTGGCAGGTCGAACATCGTCCGACATTTCATAGATCTCATAATGCACGTGAAGCCTGTCCACGGCTGTCATGATATACGTTACAACATAAGATTAGTAGACTACGATCATCACAGGGCCCCGGCAACATCATGAAGCTCATAGTATCCTTCCTGAAAGCCCTGGACGGTGTACTTTGAGTCTAACGGATCAATGATCTGGTGATTTCTGCTCCGTTTTGGGCAACACCAGGAGGTTGCATAGTATTCCCGCCATGAAATCCTTCATAGCTTTAGGCGAACAGTTGCTGAACAAGTGCCAGGCTTTGTTCTGTGCTGTGCATCTTTTAAGAAGGGGTTGCATCTTATTAATCCATTGATCACGGGTTGATATGCCTGCCACAAGCAGAGCTAGTGAACTTATCCACACTGTCCCTGAAGTGGGTGATATGGCCGCTCAATCCTCTTTGGCCTTCATGAACAGATCCGTCATCGCCGGCGGCAACACATTTGACTACCATCAAGCCCCATTTACTGCATTAATGCGATGATGTCGTCGTGGGTGACGCCCTTCACCATGCCTACGCCCTTCACCTTGTCAACAACACTAAAATGGTCGACTGTCCTCCTCCGGCGCGGTGTTTTCTATATCCTCAAGACGCGCCTGCGATCCTAGAAGACTTTTTGCAGTTTCATCCCTCAAGACATCTCGATCTCAATACCAGGCCAACAGAGGCTACGATACTCCATCATGGGTCAACTAGTTGTTCACTGGTTCGTGTGCAACCACCTGTACCCGCAATGGAAAACCGACTATCTACCTTCGGGGGCTCTCCCTGGCCAAGATGTTGCCCCAGTGGCTGCCATACATGCATTTCCTTGCCCTGCATGTGTGACATCACCCACCGGGTTCAACCAGTTCCGGAAGATGCTCCTGATGACCGCCGGCATTCTCAGCCTTATCCTCGGTATCCCGGTCTATGATGAGGAGTTTATACACTCAATGGTGCACTTCTACGCCCGAGGGGACCATCTGAGATGGGAACAGCCACCTGCTCTCGGTGCCAATTATCTACCAGAGGATCCCCATCTACGGTACATGTGGAAGGAGTCGTATATGAACAGCACGGGGTTCTACAAGAATCGGGGTGTGGTAGGCTATGCCTTCGATGCCATTACACCTCTGGTGACTCGATTGAACTACAAAGACCGCGCGAGTCTCAACTACTCCCTCGTCAATCACCTCCCAAAGTCCCCGTACTACTATGTGTCGTACGAACCGTTGGCTGTAGCTGCCTTTGATTTCAATGAGTTTCCTCACGAGAGAAAGAGACGCCGAGCTGAAGCTTCCATCCAACAGGCTATTGCTGAAAATCAGGCCCCTGTAACTGTGCAGAGGGTTCAGACAACACAGGCGATTGCTGAGCATCTGACCCCTACTACTGTGCAGAGGGCTCAGATAACAGAGGCGGTACAGCCATTCGTGAGAATGGACCCCTCTCTCGCTCAAAGTGACCCATTCGTTAGCAATCCTGCCTCAATACCTCAAGCGCCCAATACCCAAACTGTTCCCGCTCCTGTTGGGCAACAGCCCTGGCTCCGAAAGATTCCCGGGACATACAAGCGTCAGAGAGTCTTCGGGAGGGAACCATGTCCCGATAAGACCCCCACACCTTCGGCTGGCGACAGGACTTGGTCCATGGTGTCAAACTCTCCCGTTAGGAGGTATAATCCCCAGGATAGGGCACTCCCTTGTGTCAACCCATCTGTGACCACAATGGGCAACGATACTCAAAACCCTCCTATGATTAGCGCAGCTAACAATGCAATGCGCGCGACCGGAAATGAGAACCAGGAGAGTGCATCGGCCATTGATAGCTACCAGTTCCCCGTGAATGCTGACTCCCTTGTCACAGTCACGTTGCCCGCACTCCCTCCAACTGTTCCCACTTACATGCCGCCTAACGTCCTCGAAGATGTCATCGCAGGGCCCTCAGACTCTGTCTTACGCAATCCCTGGTCGTTATCTCCCGTAGAGTGGAGTGAGGATGGTCCCGAAGTGAGGTCCCGAGAGGAAAGCCCGTCGGTAGTTCTTTTCCTTGACAGCGAAGAGACAGCACTGAGTGAAGATCCGCTTCCTGCTCCCTTGGCCGACCTGCCTACAGAAGAGCCGCACTTGTTGCAAGGTCTCTCCGCGACTGAAAGGGAGGTTGAGCCCAACCCTTACGATGATGATGATGACTTCCTTCTATTCGAGGAGTTCGAGTGGAATCTGCACTAGGCATTGAGCGCTGCAATCTCGATAGGATTCGCAAGACAATAGGTGAGGAGAGCAGATGATGCCTCGCCTTCAGACCAGTTCTGTTTTCATTCTCGTTTCTTCTTCGTTTCACCATAGTTTCCTTTCTTACCTCCCGTTCATGCCGTGCGTTATACTCGTCTCTGTCATTATGCACAAGGCGCTTTCTCGTTCATGCTTTTCAATTTGCCCCATCATCTCTGGCTCAATCCTGCTTTAATTCGAAGTAAAGGCAAAAGAAAACGTGTCAATTTAGTGATCTTTGAGCAGCTTTCCATCTCGGAGATGCAGACCGTTGTTTTCCATCAAGGTTGTATTTATCTGATGATAGTTCTCGTTTATTAAGGATAAGAGCACTTCAATATGATTCATATCTGCCGGTCATGATCTCATCCGTCCGAGGAGGTGAAAGTTGAGTCTTGGTTGAGGATACTCTTCACTATCACTTTAGTACCCGAACAGAATCATGTTATTCCGTGCTCTGATCAGTCAAACTGCCAAAGGCTATAGAATTCTCATTCTCCGTGTCCAAATTCTTAGAACTCGTCTCAATTTGGGCATCATGGTCAATTCAGACATTGTCATGTCAGACCTGAATTACTGGTAAGAGTGAAATCTCTCAGAGTCTAAGCCTATCTCATCCTCCTTCCCGTGGTGGACTAGTATATTTAATACTGTAGAAGAAGTGGTAGGGGATAAGGGCTCAAGACCAGTCGGTGGCATAAGAATAGAATGCTATATCATGTAGTCGAGGACTCACAGGTTGTGGTTCTTGGAACAATAGTTCTTCAGTTGTCACCTTTGGCCGATGTATAAATATTTGAACCAGGAACCCACTATAGCTGGAGTAGCACAAAGTCACACAGATAAGTAAATTCCTGTAATCTATGGGATTACCTCAGGTGATCTAGTCACAATTGTCCTCTATATGTAGAATGCCTGGAGTAGGCTACTTCCTTCAGTCCCCTGATTGATTCCGTCATTGTTCATTTAGTAAGGATTCGGCTTGTTTGATCGATTTTCATCAATGCTGTCAATGTCAAGGTTTCGGTCGGGGATGGAGGCTGCATGTAATCAGATCGCGCAAGAAATGCAATCATCGAATCCCAGTTGCTAGATACTTAATAGGCAGGAATTGATCAACTCAAACACCTAGCCACGTGCCGATAGTCGAGCTGAAGCAACTGAATTATGCGCACAACACATGTGCAAGCTACACAAACGGGGTAAAAGGCGCTAGTGCTTTACCCCGGCAGTCCCGTCCGTACGGAATCTGGGAAGGCCGCCCGTACCATACCGTAACAGGGTTGCTCTGGCAAAAAACACCCGCGGTAAACAGCGGGAGGCTATCACCAGCCACATGTTTCTCGGTTCGTCCGAGGCCAGCCCGCGCGGCAGCAGCAGCTAACTAGCTCCTCCTTTCTTATCCCCCCCCCAGCCCCAGCCCCCTCCTGCTTGTGAAGACCGACCGGCTTGCGATGTGACTTGCAGCTCACCGCGATCCATTCCAATCTATGCGCCACGTTTAATCAAGAGCAGTGATCGCGATGTCTTTTTACTCCCAGGATGCTCGCCGCCGGCGGGTCGGAGCCGGAGCCGGCTTCAGCGCCACTGGTAGACGGACCGTCCTGGGATACTGGGTGCCTCTCGCAGTCACGGTAGGCATCGCAACAATTAGCATTGCGGCCTGGGTCTGGAGCGAACGCAGGGATGACGATGACGATAATGACCGCGACGCCCCCCGAGACGATGAAAGCTTCCCCGCTCCCGGCCCCGGTGCGGAGGGATACACTCGCAGCGAATATGCGGACGAGTATGCCCAAACAACAGCAACGGATATACATGGCAGTATCTCGGATGATGCTAGCATGATGGCGCGCATGCAGGGAGCTTTGCGTCGCACCCCCAGTCCTCAGCAGATCTTCGACGGTGCGAGCAAAAGGGTGGCGGCGGGCATGGCGGCTGCGGGAGCTTTCGTGGGTGGTGCGCTGACATCGATTCGAGAGGAGGATAGAGGTGACTTTGAGGATCATTCTCGTTGGTCGGAAGAGATGGAATCGAGAGCTCATCGGGCGGAGCAGCCGGCGCCGACAATGACTGGGGCTTTGCCCAGTCGCGACATTGTCGGGGGCCCAACGCCTGCTAACAAGAAGAAGACCGTCGCAATTGTTGTCTCTTCGGATTCAATGCCAGTTGACCCTGATGAGATCACTTCTCACCATGTAGTAAGTTTTGGACGTACGGCGCAGATCCCGAATTCGTTTGATTGATGTTGTCTACGCAGTCTATCCTTTCCCACCTCCCCGAACACGTCAACCTAGATACGGCCAGAGTATTCATCATGATCTATGCGCCGGGTTTGAAGCATGCTCCCAGCCAGGGCGGCTCGTCTCAACCTACCTTGTCTGTTACCTCATCCTACTCCAACATTGCCCCCGAAGAGGCTACAGCTTCTGGTGACCTGCCCGGCGAAGAGTCGCCCACGGAATCTCGCCAGGTCGATGAACCGGAGGGCGCAACACCACTATTTAAGACAATGTATACTCAGGCTCAGGCGATTGTTGAGAAAGAGAACACGATCATGCCCTTCAGTACTGCGACAGGGTACGTGCACCTTGTTCGTCACCTCTCTCCGGATACGGTCTATGTCCAGGAGTCTTTGGCCGGGCGCGACGGAGAGTCTGTACAACTTATCTCTGGATGGGTCCGACAGGTCGTGGTTGTCGTCGGGGGGGAAGGCGGTCGCGGGGGCTTGGTTGACAGCGATGATGAGTCCGCTCTTGCCGATAAGGGTGAGAGATGGTGGCAGAAGGAGGGCACCACTGGCATCGGCAAGCGGGTTAATGTGGTGGATGTCCACCGGATTGGCGATGATTGGCGACGACGGGTATCTGGACTTGACTAGAGTCTAGCTGTGCGATGCTCTCATTCTTTGGCATCTATACGACGTCTATGGTTACTCTCTTGGCCTCTCCTCCTGCTATTGTTATGACTGTTTTGTTTTAGTTCTTTGATTCCCCTGTCTTGATGTGATGAAGAGTGATTTTCCTAGATGGTTTAAGCCTGTGTGAATATTGATGGCATGCCGACCGCGAGGACGGATCTGTCTTCTACGGAAGACGTGTGAATGACACGAACCCTTGGACATAGCGTCGACGGCGTGAGAATCTCGTAGCCCATCGTATATCTTTCTTCAGGTATCAGCGTAGCTCAGCTGAGCGGTGACACTAACCCGAAAGCGGGGGTCAGGTGACCCCGACCTCCTTCACGTCGCCCGCGGCTTGGCATCATACAAACTCCCTTTGCAGAGCCACAACCAACCGTCGACCGACTCTCCTCGCTCCGAGCCTCCCCTGCCTTCTTTGCAGGTGTTTGTTCGATGGACTTTCATACCCTTTGTCTGTAGCGACCCGCGCTTTGTGCAAGTGTCCGCATTGCTTCGGGCCAGTTCGCTGTCGTGCGGCCCCGATCTCCGCTCCCCACATGTCTCGCGCTCCGGCTGTATCATCAACCACGAGTCACGGCCTGTCCTCATCACCTTTGGATCCGGAGCACGCAAGGTCGCATCCATAACCCTGTGACTGTAATCGCATCGCGGTTCGCTTTTGACAGTATGGCGACGGCAATCTCCAAGCCCACCTCGCACACCCCTAAGATGAAGCGACCGCCCCCGCCTTTCGTCCAGACCGGAGTCAACGGAGTCAAGTCCCAACAGTCCTCGTCCTCCTCTCCTCCCTCCTCCGCGAAACGTCTTCCGGGCGCAACTCAACCGACATCAGCGAGCTCCGCAAGCGGTTCGCTGTTGAATGGCGCCAATGGCGCGGCTAATTCGGGTACGGCCTCGAACAAGGGTCCTCTGAATCGACCCAAGAAGGAAGCGCAAAAGCCTGGGGATCAGGCCTCGCGAACACAGAAGCCATTGTTGAGGTCTTTATCCATTGACAATGATCGCCGCGCCGGGAACAGGTGTCCCGAGCCATACGGTGAGCTCCCGCCAGGTCCACATGCGGAGCCCCTGTGTACTGATCATCGAGTATGTCATAGTTAAATCCTCGTCTTACATCCTCAAGAAATTCGCCAAGTGCCAACCCTCCCTCATCCTCCACCTTCATCCGACTCATTTCCGCTTCGAGCAACAAGATGGCAGCTTCCCTTATAATTCCGAGATGAAGGTCATCATCGAACATATCCGTGCCGGAACCGTTCCCCATGACATGATGGAGGAGCTGTTGCGGGCCAACGTTCGGTTTTATGAAGGCACGCTTCCACATGCCTCCGGGTCACCTGCCTCTGGTGGACTTGGCTAACCTCTGTAATTTGCAGGCTGCCTCATCGTTCGCGTGGTGGATCACAAGTCGGTGTCAGCCCAGGCCAGGAAATCGACTGCACCGTCCTCAAACGAGAGCAACACACCATTCTCGATACATAACTACAATGAGCATGTCACGCCGTCGGCGTATGTACCATACCCTAAACAGAGCCAGTTGAACTCGGAAAAGTCGGTCGCGAAGGAAACTTCCACCGCAAGTCAGCCTGATAATAAAGCAAACGGTGAGCAGGCGGGCGACTCAGGGAGTCGTGCGGAAGAAGCTACGTCGAACTCCACTCAGCCCAAACAGCCTCCGAAACCTCGAGTTTTTACTACCGTCCTTCATCCGACTCCACGTTCGTTACAGGCAGAGCTGACTCTACTTGCCACTACACCCGACCCCAAAGCGGCAAAACAGCCGGCATCAAATGCTAGCTCCCGTACTCAGGCGTCCTCGACTACAGCCCCTCCGTCTCCAGGGGCGTCATCCAGTCAGCCTGATCGAGGGCCTGTTCCGAAACGACAGAAGATGTTGGTTGAACCTCAGGACTTTCTGGAATGCGAATCCAAATTGACTAGAGCGCTGGCTCCTCCCCTCTTCCTAGATCCTGTTGATAGCTTTGACGCTATGCAGGATCTATTGAAATACATGGAGAGCCCGCTTCACCGCGATCCGCCGCCATCACCCAAGAGGCGGAAGCGCACCGTGGCTGAGCTTGCTGCTGACGAGGCGCTGGCAGCCGAGGAAGAGAGGTTCATGCTTATTATGGATGAGAGACTGGAACCTACAACTTCAGGTGGAGCCGGAGGACCGAAATCTGCTGTTGTGGATGATACGGGCGGCGGCGCGCCTTTCGAGCCGCGCTTCTCAAGATTCAAGACGCTTGAGAATATCCGTATGCAGCATGAGGAGAAGGCGAAGCGTGAACATGAGGTCAAGCTGAAACAAGAACTGGCTAAACGGCAGCAGCAGGAGCAAGAGAGGGAGAGACGCCGTGCTCTGGAGCAAAGGCAGGCCGAAGAGAACGCTAAGGAGGAAGCTCGAAGACAGCACATTGCTGCACAACAAGCTCAGGCACAGCTTGCAGTGCAGCAGCAGAATCGGCATGTTATGGCCCAGACGAACGGAGTCAGTCAAGCACCGCAATCGTCGCCAGTAGTCCGCAATCAGACACCCCACAACATCTCTTCGCCTGTGGTGGGCAGCACGATAGCGACGCAGGCGGGCGTCCCCATGAGCATGACGCCCTCTATGCAGGGAGCGGGAAGTCCCCCAAGGCCGCCATCTGCATTACAGCACGCTCATCCCACTGTTATGAGCCATCCCATGGCGCCTTCCCGGAGCCAGCAGGGACAGAGCCGACATGGGACCCCCCAGATGACCCAAGGGACGCCAGCAATGTCTCATGCTACCCCTATCATGCGCAACGTAACACCGACGCAGCGGATGAGCCACGCCAGCCCGAGTCACTCGACAATGGCTCCTACACCTGTCATGAACCAAGCTACTATGATGGGAACCCCCCAAATGGGCAGCCAAATGGGCCTCACACCTCAGCAGCAGCAACAACAACAACAGCAGCAGATGTTATTTCAACAGAGGCAACAGCTCCTTGCGACACAGGGGCATATGGCTCAGAACCAGTTTTCGCCCAAGCAGGTGGCTCAAATGCAGGCCAATGCGCACGCGCAGCAGAATATCCAGGCCCACCAGCAACAGATGTTACAGGCCCAGCAACAGAATTTCCAGGCGCAGCCCAAGTTCTCCAACTCGCAGGCGTACCAGGCTCAGTTGATGCGGGCACAACTCGCGCAGATGCACATGGCTCAGCAGCAGCAACAGCAATCGCAAGGCCAGCAATCACAGACTCAACAAGGACAGGTACACCAAAACAGCCCACATATGAATCCTCAACAACAGATGCTAATAGCAGCGGCTCAGGCCAACGGAGGCCTGCGACAAAATCTGCAAGGAGGGAATGTTCCACAAAGCCTCAGCTTTGCTCAGCGTTATCAACAATTGTTTGCCCAAAGATTGGTGCGATTAAGGCAAGAAATGGCGGCCAAGTATGTGCCACAATACGGCTCTCCCTCTCAGTTTCCACCGAACATCCAACAACAGTATACCACTGGACTTGAAAATGCCGCCAAAGTCTGGGTTCAAGAGATCATGCGACGAGAGCGTGACATGGTTCAGCATCGTGCCACCCAGGTCGCTGCCGTTCAAGCCCAAGTGATGCAACAGCAGCAACAACAAAACATGATGCAGAACAGCAGGGGAAATAGTTGATTTCCTTACACTCTTCGTTTTCCTGACTTTCTATACGCCACAAGGCTCCTTTTCTTTCATTCTTACCCTCTTTTCCTCATCATTTCTCTTTTTCTACTGGAGTTGGACAGTACATGGTACTTCCCACGACCACATATGATTTCGCATTGGGGCTTTTCTTCTTCTTCTTCTTCTTCTTCTTCTTCTTCTTCTTCTTCTTTCTTTCTCTTCTTCTTCAAGACCTTGCTTATTTTTACCATGCTACATTTTGAGACTGTGCATAAGGAATTGGGATCCGAGGCAAAAGAGGTTGGCGTTTTGTATGATTTGGACCATCTTCTTTTTTTTGGTATCCTTTATTTGCTTTGCTTCTTCCTGGTTTGCGCTTGGCGATTTGCTTACTTGTATCACTGGGAAATGGACCGGTTTAGTTTAGGGGAGCAAGGAACAGACTTGATACCATTTTGTACAGGTGTCCCCTTTGAGTGTTTTTATGTTGATGTGAGAAGAATTGAAGTGACTGATATATACCTTTATGTTATAAGCATCTGTTGACGTATGGCCATCTGAAAGAATTACTTTCAAATAAGTATTGGTACTTGCTAGTAGGCTAGATGGATATATACGCTCCAATGAAGCAACTTCAATTCTCAAACCCAGATGCCTCAACGAGTAACACCAAGATTCTGACAATCAACACTCGCAACAAGACATATATTCACCTTCAAACTAAGTGATCTAGATTCCTACATCATACTCCACACACGATATAAGCTCTGTACAATATCATCACAAGAAAAGGAGATAGAAGACTCAACTCTATACCTCTCAGCAAGTAACCAGCCTCATCGCGCCTTCCTATTTCGCATACTGCAATCGCTACCTCTACCCCACCTTCTAGAAGACTATGATCTCAGCCCATACATGTATTCTCTGGCTTATGAGCGCAGTCATATACAATACAATTACTTAGAATCCTGAGTACGGGTAGTTGTTGATGTGTCTTAGTCTTAAGAGAATAATCATCATCATCATCATCATCATCATCATCATCATCATCATCATCATCATCATCAGTAAGTGATATAAAAGCTGTACGGAGCCTTCTTATTTGGAAAGTGAATCTGAATGAAATTCCTAGGAAGTATGTTTGTTTGTTTCTTTAATGGCTGTGGGTTTGGGATATGTTTAGATTGAGTTATCATCATATAGATTTAGTATTCCGGCTATGACTGCTTTTACTACTACTACTACTGCACACCCAGAGATAAGAATAGAAAGAGCGAAAGAGAAAGAGAGAGAACGGCAAACACATCATCCATCTGTCCTCCAACATTAATGTACAAACGCAGTTCCCTTAACAACACCGAGGCTTACCAAAGAAGATATATCCAAGTATGCATGATATAGTCAACAACCACGAGACACGGGCTTAGAGAGGTGAGAGGTAATAGTACTGTAGGGTACGTGGTCCTTCATATGACGACATAGTATTTGATTCTGGGAGGGTTGGATTCACTTGGTTAGGAGTGTCATTTGTCTATCCTTTACAGATTACTACAGGCTATAGGCCATCGGGTGTAGGGTGTAGGCTATAGGCCGTCGACACGCAGGCTGTAATTCAAGTGGTTGTTTCACTTGGTTGGCGGATGGAAGAACCGGTCTCGTCTAGTGGCTGGTGGTCGGCTGGGAAGGCCAGGTGACTCGGTCTCGTCTGAGCTGGTCGCCCTGAGCGGGCGGGTCGTCGATAGGTACCGGCTTGTACCATACCTCTGGTCATACGGAGCGGCGATGCCTATTAGCGTGATGCCTATTAGCGTGTTTAGAAGAATAGTTCGAACCTAAGTCGAGGTCGAGTCACAACCCACGGATCGCAGACTACCATTACCATACGACTATCAGCGGGAGCAACCGGGGAACGACCTCCAGCCAGTGCACTAGAATGATCTACGGATCTACAAGGATCTCCACTGCAGATATACAGTACGTGCGCCATGGCCGAGCCACCCACGGACCAGGTATGTGTCGAAATGCCCAAGTCGGAAGGCCCAAGAACCACTCTCCGCGGTTCCAAGGCTGATTTTGAGTTTCGAGCCTGTGTCACAGTTGCATGGACGATGCACCTTAGGGTGGAAATGGCTAGGACGCAGGAGAGAGGGTGTGTGCGCCTGGCCCGATAGTGCCCTCAGCAGGGCGAGGGATGGGCCCCGTACGCTCGGGACAATGGGTTGTGGATGGCTAGGTTTTAGTCGCCTGCACATTCCAGTCAGACAGGGACATCACAATACCCAGGGACTAACCGCGTTGGGTTGGGGATGCTGAAGCTTGGGCGTGACTCGCGGCGGTGGCTCAGGACACCCGCCCTGTCTGAATCCCGAACGGATTTTAGGGTTTGGTGCATCTCTCGTAGGTTGAGCGAAGCCGTCAGTCATGTGTCGACAACGAGACCCCCTGGCACTGGAACAATATATTAGCTAATAATTAAGGGAGCCCTGAAGAGCCGGATTTCCAGCCAATAGTCGGCGGGTGGTACAGCGCCCGAGGGAAATTCAATAATATGACGTAGTGGAATGGCCCACTTGATAAGCAGTTGCGCGAGGACCGTCTCGCACACCTTCCTCCTGCCATGCTCCCCAGACAGCCACCGCCGTTGGACAAGAACGGCAAGATGGCGGTGTTGCGCACGAGTGTGTGGGGATGCGCTGCTGGTGGGAATCGATTGCCCAGATGAGCCGGGTTCTGCAGACTGCAAGACTCCATAGGCCATGGCCAAGAATGGGCCCTCAACGCCAATGCAATGCAATGCAACTCAAAATGGCGATATTGGTGGGCTGATTGATGAGATGGCGGCTCCCAGCCAATGGCGAGGCCGGCGCCCGTTCATTTATTGGGGGGTTTGGCAGAGGAAAGGAAAAAAAAAAAGGCCTGGACGCAAGGGGGACGATGCAGCAGAGGTTGGAGCGCCCGATTGGGATCCGCCCCCTACAGGGCTCTCTCCACTCGCCCTCGAGAACGGGAACTGCAGCGATAACTCTAGGTCGTGTCTTGCATGGATGGTGATGAAACAGGAATAGAACGAAGCACGGGAGGGCGGCGCCGCAGCTGAGACATGAATGGGCCTTGTTGTGCAACCCTCGAGTGTTGATCCTGCTTCTTAATGCTCCGTGGACTTTTCCTGATCGTCCCCCAGGAACCAGCCAATTATTCGAGTGGCTTCCCCCAGGGCAGGCCCGGGGGAAGAAGAGGGACCAAGAAGCACCGTCACGAATGGTTACTAGGAAACGGTGCACCTGGAGAGTGTTCCTGCAGCAGGCTGACAACTGTCCTCCTGACCCCCTAAGAGTGCCTGCTGGACATATTTCGATGACCGCCTACGCCAATCGTGTCCATTTCGTACGAGATGATCGTCTTCACCTACTTATCCTAGAGCTGTGCACACTGGCCTTGTTGTGATGCCGGAAGGCTAAATGACGCTAAGGTGGCTTGCGAGGGCGTGAAGCAACACCGCCGGATTGAAGATAGCAATGAGACCTCTAGGCTGGACTGGGAGCATAGCACCGTTGTGAACGTTAACGAGTACTCCGTATACAGAATGCTGCAATGAAAATCCACGATGACCGATCGGGTAAATCGCAGGCGTACAGACTGCTAAGCGTAGACGGCTCTCTCCCGAAATGACGATTTTAGCCCGAGGGAGCGAGTCCAGCCACGGAGGATCCTACCTGTGGCTGTGCGAATGATTGAGAGGCTTCGCCCTGTTGTAGGCCGAAAGAGTCGCAGTCGTTAGTCATCGCCAATCCTTGCCTTTTCGCTATTGCTGTCGGGTGGCAGACTTTCGCCTCTTCGTCGTCTCCCATTCTTCGTCCTCAATAGCCGATCAATAAGGGCCGGGCCATGGAGTTGTACCCTGCTTGGGTTCGGATAATATCGAATATACTCCCCAAGCATGGTCAATCTATATCAAGAAATCAAGGACCACAGGGAGGCAGAGGGGCTTCGAGATCGACCTGGATTCTAGCCCGCGGGCTCTTTTCGGTGACTGGAATTGCTTCTTCCCACGTTTACGACCCAAGATCTAGAAAAATCGACGTAGATCCGAACAAGCGTTTCCCAGCAGTGGCGTGCCCATGGAATCTTCTTTGGTGTTGGCCTGCTAGGAAGCTGCATTAGGACATTTTCTCCGACTGGTGATCGGAAGACCGAGTGGCGGCAGACCGGATCTGGGTTCAATATATTGGTCGGTGGGTAGAAGGATCATAAAGGGAGGGAACATCCAGGAACCCGGTTAATCGTGGTCTTGGCAGCATCGCCAGTGCAGTGGAGTCGAATCTCACCGCAGGAACCCATTCGAAGATCTCGACGCCCTTGAATTGTCCGGTCGACTCCTTGCGACATACAGGCCCGTGCTGCAGGGGTTCGTCCGCCCTTTCGACAGCCAGAGCCTGAATTTGGTGGCATACGAGGCGAGGAACACCGAAATAGCACAGGGGTGCCTGGACAATCATCACCCAAGGCTGTTCGATAGCCATATCCTCGCCAGGGATTGTGTGCTTTGGCCAGTGAACCCGAGCCAGATCGCATCTCAAATAGATCCATGGTCACTAGCTATCTCAGGCGGTCAGTGTGCCTATCCTCGGCTGCATGATGACAACAAGAGGCACCTACCTCCCTTGATACCCGCTCAGAGCCCGACTGGTGGTCTTAGCGCTGCTTCACTTATTGGTCAACCGTCGGATTGGGAAACCTTTTCCATGGGGAAACAGGGGAGCCCAAGATCAAAGTTCAATGGAAAATCCGGGGTTTGATCAAAGCGGGTGGTCATAGCTACATAATCTAGGCGATAAGACAGCCACAAAGGGATGCTTGACGTCAGCATCCCTTGGGGATAAAAACAGTAAGTCGCCGGGCGAGGTGGAGTGATTCAGAAGGGAAACGGCCAGTGAGGCCATTATTCCCGAGAAATAGTCGTGGGATGATCCGACCGGCCCTCTCCACATTTAGAATCGTCACCCCCGACTCGGGTCGATGCTTGCTAGCCTGCTACACGCCCAAAACCGGCAAGCCTGCGAGATTGCCTCAATGCGGCTAGCCACTGGCTGTGAGGCACGGTCGTTCATCGATGGTACCAATAGTCGTCACGTCGGTCATGATCAGCGACGCACAGTTCTCGGATCGGTGAGTGAAGCCTTCGAGAACATCGGGCGTTTGGTGAGGCATTGCCGATGTGATGGCCGCGAAAAATTGGGAAAAGTGGAGGCCCCCGACCAGCGGTTGCTTCCTCCCGCAGGAAATCGATCGCGTCTGGAACGATCGCGGAGATGACCAGTCACAAGTGGCTGAGCCATCGCAATTGTGGCTCAGCAGTGTCTGAATGGTGTGGCTAAGTATCGGCTCATGACCCCAATAGTCGGACTAGTTATGGAGCACAGAAGAGGAGGAAGAACGATAGTATGGGGGGGCCTTTGGGTGGGTGTTCGCGGAGTACACTCGGCCCTCGGGTCCGCGATACTGCACGGTTCGAGTCTATCATCTCAAGGGTTCCCGTCGCTTCCAGGCCGAGAGCCCCATCGACTGGTCTAGGATGGCCCCGCGTCCTGTGATGAGTATGGTAGGTCAATTGACCTGTGAGCCCATACTAGCTCTGGGTGTAGCCGAGCCTGGATGGTCCAAGAGATCGCTGAACAGCCAAGCAGGGGGAGCTGTCAAAGCCACCCACAGGTGCCATCCATTAGCGTCGCACCGGATGCAAACTTTCTTTCTTTAGTAGCGTTGATGATGGCCTATCCCCTTTGTGATGTACACTACCTATCCGGTCTTAGCGAGGGGCTCTGGCAGAAAGCCGACAATGAGAGGGTCAATGGGTTTCGACTGTGCGCGCCACCAAGGCAGGACAACATTACCCCTCCTCGTATGTCTATCTCACATTCAGTGATATGCTTTTGGTACTAGCGCTAGGACCCAGTTCGCGTAATCAAAGATGATGTTGGCAGGTAGGTCCAAGATAGACAAGGCTAGGTTTCAGGTTGCAACACATGACAAAGACTTAGACATGGCGGTTGGATAGTCTGCCTTGAGTCAGAACGTGGCACTGCGGCGATGATCGGGCCATGGAAACACATTGTCGCTGACCTCCGACCGCACTTTGAGATTGATGACACTACCATACATTCCGTGGGAGTGAGCTCGGTGTACGAGCAGGTTATTCTTAGTGGTCGCATAGTTGGAGAAGAGCGTTGAAACGCAAGCCAATGTAAAGCTACAGGAGATCGGTTGAGGGGCATATCTGCTGATTGCGTTCTTCCTGGAATGCCCATTATGCTCGGAAGACACAGGCACCGGAGCCCGTCGCCGCTAGAACCAGCAGCGGTGCCGAGTATCCAGGCTCAATGGCCCCAGCACGATATCATAGCAGTCCACAAGACTCAGGAGGGCGGAAGCAACGTGTCCGACCAATTGACTTGTTGAGCTGGTGGCTTCGCATGGAGCAATGGGGTTCATGCCCAGAATCGAAGCATCGGCTGACGCGTGACGAGTCAGAAAGTGCGCCGTCTCACCGGTGGGGAAGGTCGCCAAAAGGAAGATTCAATGGGGGCAGAATAACTTTGGTCCGCACTAAATGGTGGCCAAAACGTAGAGTATCTGCCTATCCGGGGTTGCTCTCGAGTCAGCCAGCGACCGTTGAGAATGGGGGGTGGGCAGAAGGGATGGTGGGAAGCAAGCATCAGGCCAGTCATGGGGCGAGTGACAAGCATCTGGTGGGGAGGCGAAGAGTGAGTGAATACAGAGTAGGTAGTAAGTAGGCAGTAGGTATGTACACGGAGCTGTACGTACCTTCAGGACGTGGCACCCCAGGAGAATCCAACCGCCAGTCATGCTCGGGATTGAGGCGGTGGTGACGATAAGGGACGATCGGGTATGACTCGGGGGGAAAGAGGTGACGCTGAGAGGAAGACCTGGAGTGGCATTGCTTGCTACTTGCTACCATACTCGAGGAGTAATAGTAGGTCACGTACGATGCCAGTACATCCTGGCTACCTTCAGTACTTCCTTCGAGTAGGTACTAGGTACGTTGGGTGGGTAGGCTCCAACCCCTCCATTCTTGAGTGACTGGTACATAGTACGACGTACATACATCGGTACCGCGGCGGAACACCATAGGCCAGCGGCCGGCCGGAGCGTTCCTGGGCGAAGGGCCCGAGTGGCTGTTGGCATCTGGCAAGGCTGGCGGGTTTCTGATAGGTGCGGCTGGCCCACCGGGGCTGGAGGCCGGATTTCAAACCTGCAGGATCCAGCCAGTCTCGTCCAGGTGGATGATGTGCGTACGATCAGTGATCGTCGGCCAAAGCGCCTTTCGGCTGCTGCTCTTCATGCCTATTCCAGTCGATCCCAGAATGGGGGGGGTGAAGGGTGAAGGTCCAGACGGGGTACCGTATGGAGTATACAGATACAGTGGTCCAGTTGTCGCCTGCGTCATTATTCTTAGATTCAACCCCAGGTCCCAGGCCCCAACAATACCTGCCTATGGCCTACATGGATAGACTGGACTCGGCCTTGTTGCTGCACCATCCCGGCAATCGTTTCGCACAATAACCCATTCGATTAAAGCCCACTTCCGTGGTGAATAGTTGAGGAAGCTTCTCGACCCCCCGTAGTAGTCGTACGTAGGTAGCCCGGGTTAGGTCGTACGAAACCCTTCGGTGGTTACGGGACTCGGCTAGACGCAAGAACGGAATCAACCACCAGGTTTTCAGGTGGTGGTTCGGGGGCCAGTAACTTTCCCCCCTCGCCCATCTTTTTTGTTTGGATTATTTGCTACCATTTTGGTCCCAAGTACGGAGTATTCCGTATGGAGATTGGGTTTTATTCACTCCCTCTGTTTTGTGACTATTAGAATCCCCCCCCAGGGAAGGAACAACTGGTCAATCGTCGTTTGGCCGGGAGCGTTCGAGTTTGGCCGGGATTGGAATCGGGATGCTGCCTGCCTGCAGTCGACAATCGTAAGAGATCAGGGCTCTTCTGCAATCCCGTCCGGGTTTGCACAGACCAAAGAGTCAAGCAAACGTTGGGTGGAAGTCAGGTGGGATCTGGGCATAATTTTTCTCAGCGGTGCAAATAAATACACTCCTTTGAAACTGTGGGTGTTGGATTGGATCGGCCCACGGAACCATCGAAATCCCCACGGTGGGAACTCCCGAGCGGCGCGGGCAGTACCTGACCCAACAGAACTATCTAGATGGATACTGAATAGATAGGACCCATCCCGAATACTACGCTGCTTCTAGGTAGATAGGTAGATGCTCGCAGGCGACCATCATCAGAGTCGAAGCGGTGTTAGACTTGCTCTGTGCTGTGGCTGGTCCTATGCTATTTCCTTTTCGCCATTCCTGCATTTTTGCATTTTACCTTTCCCTCCGCTGCCCTTGAACGCAAGTCAATCGATGTGGATGTGGACTTATTGTCATGCGTGTTGCCCTCTTCGGGCAAAGTTCACCAGATCTCGGCTGGAGTGGAGCCATTAATCTCGACGGACTGAACGTTGAGGGGTTTTGAGTTGGTGTAGATGTGCGATTATCTGCTGCCGGTTCCAACAATGCACTGGGGGTTTGACGGTGGTCTAGACGGTGGCGTTGGGACCAGGAGGCGATCGTTGATGGTTATGGAACCTGTGGCGTCAGAAGTGTAATGGAGACCTGAACCGTGTTCCAAACATGCCTTCGGTACTATTAGGGCTGGTAGGATGTAGATCCGGGAAGAAAGTCAAGAATGAGGGGGGCAAGGCGTTGATGTCGATGGGGTAGTGGTGATAATGATGCTGATGACGATGGTGGTGGTGGGCTTGTTTTACCTTCCTCCAGCCTACCACAGCGTTGCGTTTGTTGCGTTGCCGCTTCATTTCTTTGGTCGCATGGTTGTGTATGGAAATTAGTATGCGTACATGTTTCATTGCGGAAGCGAAACCTCCAAGAGCTCCACATGGAGAGGTTCAATGCCGCCGATCATTCAGGGTCTTTGCGGTTCAGTGAGCGTGGGACAGACCACCCTAGAAGAGTCGGTCGTACGACGATGCTGGAGAAGGAATGGGGAAGATGAAATGACCTGGTATCTGCCGGTGTTTTACTTTCGATAGCCTACTTGCAGGTGTCCCGAGCCAGCAGCTGGCAAGTAGGTTTCGAAGTGGGTTCTTCTGCCCGGGGAAGATCCCGAGGATTCGGACGCGCTGATGATGATCCAATTCTATGATCCGCGTTAAAGTTTAGTCGGTCTCCATCGCCTGCCTGCTCTGACATTGGAACATTCCATCGGCGGTTCTCCCCCATCTGCGTCTCATGCATTCATTCCTTTTTCTTTTTTCGGGTCATGGAGAGGAAAGCGAGTGACGCTGTGGATGTCCTACTATTTCCCAGGCACGGTGCCGAGAGAGATGATTTGGCGGGTTGTGTCTGGTATTCTCACCTGAGCGGTGGCGATGGTTGTTGTTTTTACCTTATCTTAGTTTTCAATATTTTCTTTCCACAGAGTATCGTAGCAATAGTATGATGACGATTAATTTCCCAGTGATGGTTGGAAGGGATCTCGTAACGATGATGACGATCCACTTGATCAGAACTACTACTAGTACTAACCGACGGACAGGACCAATCGATTCTACCCTATCAATTCCGGGGGCTAAGGATGTACGACAACTAGTGCAGTGGTAGTATCAACTACAAGCTTGGTACTGCTGATACTGCTGATACTGCTGACCAGGTCGTCAAACTCCCTCCCAACAATAATTAACGTCAGTGCAGGAATGATAAAGAAAATACTCATCAAAATAAAAATAAAATCAGAGATGAAAAAATCCGAGTCGATCCAGAAGGTGGGGGGGGGAAGTGAGTAAGTGGAGGCAGATCCAGTTGTTGGAGGAATCAAATTAAAATTAAAAGGCAAAAAAAAAAAAAGAAAGAAAGAAAAGGAAATAGAAATGGAAAATGGAAAAGGAAACCCGAGAAGAAATAAATAAATCCGAATAATCAAACCAAACAGGCCAGTCAGTGAGGGATGGACTTTCACACCTTCCGGCCTGCTGCTTCGCCCGAAACAGCAAATCGACGATAGAGTCGCCTGAAATGGGATTTAACATTTAACCTCCCACGGACTCCCCAGAATCCTGCAACACCCCGCCAGGAACCCTCAGCCTTGGAAGCCAGTGCAATATTAGACAAATTTACGCTTTCCATCTAATAATCCTAAGACATCCTTCCTTCCTACCTGCGTCGTCCAGTCAATTGTATCCAGATCCCCTTGCTGGCCCAGCCGACCTTTCCTATAACTACATCCCTCCGCTGCGACTGAGACACTCATCCTGGCTCTTCATTCATCATTGACCCTCCGCCACTCCACCCACAGCTCGTTTTTGGAACACAGGACCGACCGGACCGCGTTCAAGGGCGGCTTATCGATTTCCCCTCTCTGCCATCTCTTTATCTCCATCCTTGATCTCAAGCCCCCCCTCTCGGCCGGTGTCTTTTAATCGCGAGACAGTCGCGCCTCCTGGGACACCCGACCTCCCCATCCAGGAACCCTCGTCCAACGGGGATTCGCGGGCGTTACTCTAGGAACTCTATAGTCTACATTCCTGGCCTTGCGTAGACCTCCAAAGGAACGCGACGCGCCTCTCGCTTTTTTGGGTTTTTTGGAATAGCTGGGCAATGGCTTCTGGTTGTAAGTGCGATCGACCCTGTCCTGCCTTTCCAGATATATGGGCTGGCCATTTGTTTATTTCACCTCGTCCATCCTCCTCCATTCCCCAACCTCAACCTCACATACATCCTTCCCTTCCACTCTTTCCCCAGAGGCAACCATCCTACATTCTTTCTGCTGGTTGTCTCCTGCAGCATCGTCTGTCGTTCCGCATTCTTACCATCACTGCCCACTCTCTTGCTTGTCATCTGTCTTCAGTCTCTCACTTGTATAACGCCTCCGCTGGCCTCGCCACATTCCCTGATATACTAATAATACTACACCCTCCTTGTGTCATACATCACCTTGTGCTCCCACATACCACACCTTGCAAACTCTCTTTATATCATCCCACTTAGCAGGAAATCTCTCCTGCTGTCCTTGACCACAAACACTAAACGATACCTTGCACAGGTGGAAGAGTCGAAGCCCCTCCCGCCCCGCCTCGAAAGGACCGTCTGATTGAAGACACCGACGATATGCGATCCCAGGGTAACATGTCCGATCGCCTCACTATCGAAGTTGACTGCACGTCCCTGGGCTCCAACGAATGCCCCTCCATGGCTTCTAGCTTTTCCCCTATGGAGTCGCCCACCCCTACGCCGACAAGTGTATACAGCCAAGGCTCTCTGGCCTCCCCGGCCTGGCACGAAGGGGGGTCGTTCCCCGCACAAGCCTACGAACGGCACCCCGGGGCGACGCCGATGCGCAGCGCCTTCCGCTTGGCCAGCATGACATCGAACGATAGTATGGGCATGTCTTATGGACATATGGAAGCACAGGAGCGGATGCCAATGACCGACTTCCTCACCGGATACGATGAGAACGTTGAGCATTTCTGGATTCCCCCGGAGGCTCAGAAGGCCTATGAGCATGGTGTTCATGGACTCCCATACCCCCAGGCATTGCCTCAATATGCGACCATGGGCCGCAACCACTATCGTCAACACCCTGCCCCCTACCTGCCCGAATCCGCGACCAACCCTTGCTTGTCGCGCTCCATTTTCCACCACCCTGAAAGAGTCCCTAGTTCCATGTCCATGAGCAACATGATCTCTTGGATGGCCCCGCCAACAGACTCGATTGCCCCGCAAACAATTGCCCCGTCGCAGGTTGCCCCCGTCACACCCCCGCCGTCATACTCCGAATTCTCGGGCTCCATCAACGCTTTCAAGACGCACACCCCCACAACCCCGGCGCGCTGTTCATCCTTGGGTACTACTTCTGGAACCGATACTCCCATGAGCCGTCTCTCCGGTGGTATGGACTACCTGGACGATTTCAACCAGTCCCCAGTTTACCGTGATGGCCTTGCCCGGGTCCAGCGTCAACCCTCGAGGAAGACTGCCAGGAAGCAGTCCTCCAAGCAGAGTCTGAGCCTGGAAAACTTGCCGTCCATCATCAAGCAGGTGCAGTTCAAGTGCAAGGAGCCAGGATGCAAGGGTCGCTTCAAGAGACAAGAGCACCTGAAGCGACACATGAAGAGCCACTCCAAGGAGAAGCCGCATGTGTGCTGGGTCCCTGGGTGTGAGCGGGCTTTCTCACGCAGCGACAACCTGAACGCGCATTACACCAAGACCCACAGTAAGCGCGGTGGACGAAACCGCTATGTTGCGACCCTGGATGAGAACAGCCCGGACTACAACCCGGAGTACCGGGGTCAACTGACAGCTGACGGGCGACCGCTCTACAACTCCAAGCCCCAAGACATCATGCCGGACACTCGTGAAACGAGCGAGGAGGCGTGGCTAGAGTGAGGGGGGATAGAGTTTAATATGGGAGGACCGAGCATGATACCCTTGGGCAAAGAGTTGCCCCATTCTCTTTTTGGTCATTAGATGGGCACAGACACACAGGGCCAAACAGACCCCGGTCGGCGCTTCACGGCGTTCTTTGTAAAACATTTCCTGGCTATATACACCGGACGATTTCCTTTGTTGAATTGAATGTCGCATACCATTTCCTTTGTTGTTTCCTTTACCTGTTTTCCTTCCTGGACCGAAAATTTCCTTCTGTGCTTTGGCGCGGCTCTTTCCTATATTTGGATAATACTGCATTGAGATGGAAAAAGGCTAAAATGGCATGGAAGGCATGGCTTTGTACACGATCGGAGTGACCGACCTGACTGCGTTCTTTTTCATCTGATTGGTCTCATCGACTACTGAACACTATACGAGATACCTACTAAGTAATGAAAACCCATTGGATATCTGAACTATTCTGGAAAACAGGAAAGTCGGGCAGCAGAAACAAGGCAATCACTGACTAGTGTTCTGTCAGGCCCGATGGGGTTTCGCAGCGGTCCCTGGACTCTCTCTCCGACCTATTTTTGTCTGGTATCTGATGCGTCAGGTTCATTTGGGGGGGGGGAGGGGGGTTACTACGAGGGCTAGCGTGGCATCTTAGATTCAGCAGCGTGCGGGAGCTGGGACGTATCACACAAGCGATCCGTCTCATCTAATCCGTTAAGAGGACGTGTTCAGTCCCTCGATCGTGGCACTAGTGTCGCTCGCACTGACAGCGGGAGGGAGAGAGGGGTGGAAGGGAGCCCGTCAGGAGAGACGACTGGGTTGGGGGCCCTGGCCCTGGGACTGGGAGAATGGACGACTCGGATGGTGGATGTATCCAGTAGGTACCGGGCACATAGTCAGGACGGCCGGGAGCGACTAAAGTAGGTACATGCATTAGCCCGGTCACTTTTTTGCCCGTCGATCTTCCCCACTGAAAGGCCCGCATTCCCAAGCGGTGGCATTGTCCCTATTGGCGGGTACTCCTACCGCTTGTCACTGGGTCCCTGGGTTCTCATCCATGGATCATGGCTGACGGTAGTCCTCACGGCCTATCGATTGACAAACTGGATCTTGCTGAAGCAACCGCCGGGCTGCGACACTAAGGATTCGACCAGTATCGCTCCCCACCAGGAATTCCAGCAACCGGGATTCCACCTGAGCCTAAGGGTCTAGGAACAATAGTCCCACATGCCAGGTCCCGTGATGGGTACGGGAGGTACGTATTTCTCCTGCCGGTCCTTTCTGGGGCCTCCGCCCGCCATTCCCTCCCATGGAATGATTTTCCGGACGCTCTCAACGGCGAGCTCAGCGCCGTTGCTGGCTGCTGCGGATAACTCTTTGAGGCTCACCGCTCCTCGCCGGGATGCCCGTTCTGCCCTGGAGACACGATGCCCGCCTGGTATGTCTGTCCACGTCGGGGAGACGGGTGGTCGCCAAGCGATAAGGGAACCAGGTGGTTTCATTCGTCCAGCGTCCTGGACCACGCATTGGCAAGGTGTCGGGCGTCAAATGAACTTGACATCACCGGTAGGTCGTACTGGCTTCGTAGATCTGGTCTCACCTCTCAAGTCATCAGCTTCGGATTCGTGTTCATCCCTCCTGAGACGGCTTGGGTCTCACAGACTCGGGCCCCGGGGTGGTACAGACTACGGCGGGAGCCTGTAGCACAGAACCGGAGATGAGGTTGGGTCCTCAGCTCGTCTCTGTATCACTCCCTTCTGACTCTGAGTGGTCCATCGCAGCGTGCATTTGGAATACCTGCCAGCTCGGTTGTGCCAATGCGGGTGTGGCGACCATCCAGCGTTGTGATGATACGATATTGCTGAGCTTGCCAGTTGGAAACGTGTGCTACATGCCTGCTGCTCAATCTATTTCGGTACAGGCCATCCAGCAGTATGTCGCTTCCTTGGCCCAGGCACAGCGATCATGCTTGATACCTCGAGACCAACCATCGCGTTGCCTGAGCACGACTCCGCCGCAAGTCTCACCTACGCACTGACCTGCCATACATCTGGAATGTATACCTGTCTCTCGAATCACAACGGCTGGATGGCGATCTACACCAGCCCGCAGTCTAGATCGCTGATCCAAAAGTACAACCAAAGCACGCATCTAGCCTTATCTCGGCATGAATGCTCTGCGGCCGCGTTACCTTTCTATTTTCTTTCCCTTCCATTCCGTGCAGTGAGCTTGCAGCACGCCTCATTCTCAAACCTCAACCCCACGGAGAGTATCGATTGTTGGGCGGGAAACTTCAGCCTAGAGCGCCATGTCGTCTACCAACATAATCAGCCCCGGCACGTGCAGACGAATACACCTGGCAAGACTACCTTGAAGTAGCAGTGCATGATATCTACCACCGTCAGATACTACCTCAGTTCCTCTGACTTGGTCGAGCTGATCCGAGGCGGAATGATCGCCTCGCCTGAGATGGGAACAGCACAACGGACAGCAGATCCGACGTCACTAATGCAATGCGCGTACTGGCGAACCATCGATCTTGCTTTCCATCTGTGCCATTAAACAAGCATGGGACTTTGACCACCTGCAGGGTTGACTACCACGACACTGCGATCATCTGATTCCTCACCGGCTGCTGGATCCAGCATAGTTGAGTCCTCGACCGTGCATTTCCCTTCACTTGCTGAACCCAACCATCAACACATACATAAAGGCATTGTGTACGACCTCAGCGCACCGGATCATCCCTTCCACTACTTTTTCTAGGTCTTCCAAATAAACTTTGACACCCACTGAAACGGTTACACTATTGTCTGTATGTGATATCACATGTCGATTGCTCCTATAGATGAGCGCCTGCATGGATCTAGCCACTTAAATCCAGCATGGCAGAGGGGGAAAAGTTCCCGGGCATAATCGGCATTTGCTTGACCTCATGGGGATGTACGATACACGGAGCACGGGCTGTATACTCCGCACCGCAATTCGCTAGATTCTTTTCCTTTCTTTTCAAGGACACCATTGACCTCTATGATATATCAATACTATGACGTTGATATAAGTAATTATTGCTATCCCCTTCGCCTAGATATCGCCATGCACAGACATAACCAAAACCCATGCACAACCCTGACTAATCCCGCACAACCTAGTTAACTACTCCTATGCACGCAGCTAGTCCGCTTACATAACATCACCACCATAAAAACTCTCCGCCGCGCAAAATCTTCACCGTTTCTCTTTTTCCACTCGTGCAGATGCTGTACTTCAGCATCAGCCCCAATGCCTTGGAAGATGATGTTCTAACCAGGCTGGGGACGGATTGATCTGCGTCTATTTTACACACCGTCTGTTCTTTTTCTTTCCGGCAATGCTTCAATTCTTGGAAGGATGTATGTCCTGCAGCTTGGTTATGGGCAAGCTTTGGTGGTGGAGTTTTGGAATGAATGATCTGGTGGGAAACACTGTCTCTCAAACTATGATGATTTCTTTTTCTCTTTTGGCATGATGCGGTTTTGTCTGCGATGAGTGCAAAAATATCAAGCTCAACAGTCTGAGTTTGGAGACGTGTTTTCATTATTAGTTGGGTTGGTTCTTCTATTCTTCTATGAGAATAATGAGAGTATATACACTCATAATATCAAACAAAGATGAACAAATCTTCCTCTTCTATCTTCTCTATCAACCCTCTCAAAATAAAATATGAACAAAGAAGACCCCCATCCCATCTATCTGTAATCCATACTGTGTACGTTATACCCACAAATCCCTCCCCAAAAACACCATCTCCTTAAACCTCTCCGCCTTGGTGGCATCATAATACGGCTCAATCTCCACAAACCCCAAACTCTTATACAACCGGACCGGCCCCTCCATACTCCGCAACGTATCGAGTCGCATCTCCCGATACCCGAGTTCTTTCGCCCGAGCCATAATCGCATCCACTAATGCCCGGCCCAGTCCCATTCTCCGCGCCTCAGGGGCTACCCAGAGCCGTTTAACTTCACAGTAACGTCGCGAGGTGGAGGGGGAAGAGGAGGGGTCTTCGGGGTCAGGAAGTGGTCGGAGAGCAATACACCCGAGGGGTATGCTGGGGGAGGAGGTGCTGTATGCGAGGAGGATTTCGCCGTCGGGAGGGGCGTATTTACCCGGGAGGGAGGAGAGTTCGGCGTCGAAGTTTTGGAAGCTGAGGTCGATGTTGAGCCATTGGGCGTAGGTGAGGAAGAGGGTGCGGGTGGTGGTGATGTGGGTTGGGGTGGTGGCGGGGATGATTTGGTAGGATGGGGTTGTCATTATGTAAATTGTGCTGCGTTGCCGGGGGTTTGTGGGTGGTGTTGACTGAGTTGGACTTTGTCAATGAGACACTGGTCTTGGTTCTGGGATTTCGTTAGCTGGATGCGATATAGATCTAAATGGAGATCCGTACTGTACTTGAGCGATTGCTCTGCAGTGTGCATAGCGCGGTATAGATATTATCTCACTATCCGATGGGGTATGCCGGGTTTTATACCGGCTGATAATGTGGCCAGCTGTAGAAAATACTCGAAGGAGTCAGATCTACAATTGGGTGAATCATGGATGACTCTTCATCATCCAAAGGGCGCGAGGCCAGTCCCGATTAGGAAAAGGGCTGCTGTCACACGAATCGGGAAGCTCTGATGCCTCAGGCCTCTATCCCGGGGTCGCGCCCGTCACCACAACTTCTGCCTCTCTCTCCTCGACGAGATTGTCGATTGGACGGATCGAGACGTTGGCTTCAGGGTTGATGTCATGATATTCATGACCTGTGGGTGGTTATCCGCAAGTAAGATGGCTATCAAATGCCTCTCACTTATTCTACTATACTAATGTCTGGGTATACTCACAAGCAGAGCTCATTGTCATTTCATAATGTATCCTCTGATCAAAACCAGAGCCGACTGAGATGTCTCCGTGGAACGCCGTGAAAGCTATGAAAGCTGTGAAAGGCTGAAAGCCGTGAAACGCGTGGTAACACAAGCTTTCAATCCCGGCATCACCATCCTATACCGCACCACCCTGTCCTTAACCGGCTGGAGTCGGATAGCGAGTGCAGCACATCGGACATTCCTTCCATGTTGTTCCTCCTTGTCGTCTCTTCATCACTCGGCTCGCCTCCGGGCCTAACCCTTAGCATCAGCCAACAGGACTCCCGCAAGGCCATTCGTTGGTGGCTGGCGGGCAGCCGGGTTCCTGAAATTAATCAATCATTAGGCCCTGCAGATCGCTCTGCCTGGAGCGAATCAAGTCCTCCCTCAACTTCACAGCAGGAATCAACGCAACCTCTTCATCCGGGTCAATGCCTCGCTAGAGTCGCTACTTATCAATTAGGCTGGTGCGTTGCCTCTATCCCCTCCTCGGGCCTAATCCCCGATGGCGCCCCGACGGATCGGCCTTGACGGTGACCCTCCAGGTGGACTGCAGACCACCGCTTCCTCCATCAATTGGCCAATTCGTCCCCTCCTCATCGGCAGAGGGCGGGTCTTCACGGTGACCTCCGCTATCCTCAGGCTGCCTCTTCGATGACCTCCGGCAAATCAGCTGGTTCTTATCAGGACATGTGCTATCATCCTCTATCGGCCGTAGACTTCCCCGCTACCGACCGACCATGAGGTGGGTGGCCTGGTTGCCAGGTCGGACCGGAGTCTATGGGGCAGCTACTGATTTATGCAGTATAAATTGAGACCCAATTGCTCCGGGGTTTTTCTCAATTGCCAACTCAATCCTGTTTGTCCCCACGAAGTCTACGATTCCTTTGCCACCATGTCCTTCATCCCTTCCGCGGGCGTGCTCGCCCTGGCCGCTGTGCAGCTCAGCTCCGGTGTGCTGGCTGGCATTGACACTTGCCCCTCCGACAGTCCTCTGAGTTGCTCGGCCGACGACACCGCTTCTTGCTGCTTCAACTCCCCTGGAGGATCCCTCCTCCAGACCCAATTCTGGGACTACGACCCGTCCGATGGCCCGACTGACTCCTGGACCATCCACGGACTTTGGTATGGCGATACCATCACCGTCAAACCCAACTACTGACGACTTTCCAGGCCCGACAACTGCGATGGCACCTACCAGGAGTACTGCGACGACTCCCGCGAGTACAGCAACATCACCGCCATCCTGAAGGAGCAGGGCCGCACCGAGCTCCTGTCCTACATGGAGGAATACTGGCCCGACTACGAGGGCTCCGACGAGGACGAGACCTTCTGGGAGCACGAGTGGAACAAGCACGGTACGTTGCCATTGCCCCCATTCCAAATCCACGAAACCCGAACCTAACATCTCTAGGAACCTGCATCAACACCATCGAACCCAGCTGCTACTCCGACTACTACGCCCAGGAAGAAGTCGGCGACTTCTTCCAGCAGGTCGTTGACCTCTTCAAGGGCCTGGACTCCTACACCGTACGCAACCCCTCATACCATTGCCCACCCGCAAAGCATACTAACCACACACCACACCAGGCCCTCGCCGACGCCGGCATCACTCCCTCCGAGGACGCCACCTACACGCTAACCGACATCGAGGACGCCCTGGCCGCGATTCACGACGGCTACCCCCCGTACATCGAGTGCGAGGACGACGCCCTCTCCCAGCTATACTACTACTTCAACGTCCGCGGCAGCGCCATCAACGGTACCTACGTTGCTGCTGAGAGACGTAAGCCCCCCCCCCTTTTTATCTTGAAATGCACAAGCGTAAACTAATGGTATCTACAGTCGAGGACTCCAAGTGCCCTGACTCTGGCATCAAGTACCCTCCCAAGTCGAGCAGCAGCTCCGGCTCCGGCTCCGGCTACGGATACAAGAAGAGGGCTACTCGCAAGAGAAGCATCAAGAACTAGATCTGTTGGGATACGATCTATGATAGCTGGTAGATAGCTTCGGAGAGATGGAGATGAAGGTGGGGAGATAACCGTGCACGGTGAAAAGTTGTAAATTGCTTGCGCGTACGTAGTCGCTCGTTATGAATCAATTTGGATTGGCTCTATTTTGTTTAGTGCATCGTATGCTGTGATGTAGATGTCCAAAAGGAGACCTAGACAAGTATCTCCATAAGGCACGTGTAGTTGGCATCTCACAACTGGATACAGGACCTTGTGATTCTTGATCATATACACGAACCACAGAGGTAGTCACGTCACCCCCAGGCGGCATCAAGTCATACAGGTGGCATGCTGCCAATGCAGAGCAATATACGCCATCCAATCAATGGCGTCCCTCCGCGTAAGCGAACCGCTCGATGCGGAGATGCGCTCGGCCCTGTGGATCAAGCTTTGCGCACGTGTCTGCCCCTACCTCTTGCTATGGAGGATGGTTAGGTTGCCGCGCGTGCGATCGAGCAGGGGCAGTGGGCCAGCCAGCCCGACAAGCAGATGGGAGAACGTGCCTGACTGAAGATGAAGTGTCGGGACGATGGCTCCCGTGCTGAACTTCTGGCATGTGCTTTGGTCTGCGAGGTGTCCAGGGGTGGTTGGCGTAAGTAGGTGAGGGGTAAAAGAAGATGCAGCTCAGAGATTTGGAAGTCCCTTCAAACGAGCATTTCTCCTCTCCTCATCGATATTGGCCCCGACGCGGTCCAAGAAATCCATCCGCCCCAGGAATCCTTCCTTCGCTTTGCTGTGCTCGTTGAGCTCGTCCTTGATACCCGCTTGATCCACATATGCCGCCCAATCCAGCCGAGACTTCTCGACTGTATTAATCTTCGGTCCCCGTGCGTTCTCCTGTCCGGTCGTCTTCGTAACGGGCGCCTTCTCCCAGCTCTTCTTGATCGCGCCGGTCGGGTTGGGGTCAAATCGGGAGGGTCGTCGAAGCGGTCGGCGTAGTTTGATAGCTTCTTTCGCGGGGTCTGCATCGGTAGCCGAGACGGTTTTAGCGTCGTTCTCGCCTGCTAGGAAGAGCTTTGCTTCTGCTGAATCCTTGGGCACGAGTTTCTCCTCTGTTATCATTTCTCCTGCGAATTTGTAGGTCCGTTTGATCTTGATCATCTCCTCGGTGTAGGTCTGGGGTTCCGGTGCTGATGTCGCTGTTCCATTGTTGTTGGCGTGCGTCTCTCCCTCCTGTTCATTCACAGGCGTAGCATCATCCTTCTTCTCACTCTGAGATGGACCCCCGATCCCCGGATCAGTGGAATTCATCTTCGCCCACAAGGCATCCACATCGACCGTAGCGCCATCAATCTTGGCAAGTGGTTTGCGTTCTTCTCCTCTAAATCACAAGATCAGCATTAGCATGACCCTCACAGTACCCCTTCCCGCAATAGAACCCATAAAAGAACCAAAAGGGGATACATACATCCTCATCTTCATCGCCCGAGTCCGCACAAACCCCCCAGCTTCCCCCTCATCCACATCCTCATCAACCTCCCCACTCTTCCTCTTCTTATCCTTCTTCGCCTTGGCCTTCTGAATCATCGCTTCATCCCCAGAATCCAGCTCCTCCTCAGGCCCCCGTGTATCCTTATTCCCTATTTTCCGCTTCTTAGTCACCGGTTCTTCACCCGCCTCCTCATCCTCGGAATCAGACATCCCCGACTCAGCGTCGGGAGCGGCGTCATCGTCGAGCTGGAAGTCGGAGTCCTCGGCGGAGTCGTATTGGTCCTCGTCGTTGTCGAGTTCGGCGGTGAGGGAGGCGATATCGGGAGGCATTTTGATAGCTTTCGAGGAGTAAGTAGAAATGGGTTGGTGTATATTTCGGGGACTGGTAGAAAAAGCCGGATGCGAAAGTGAGACGCGAGCATTATTCTGCCGGGCGGTGGGTGCACTGGGGATGGTGGTTATGTAATGGATATGACCAATCGGAGTGAGTGCTGGGTTGGGAGTATGGACCGAGGTTGAGATAAGGAGTTATCTATTCCATAGATATCAGCGATAGTAATCACGATGAGAATGGGTTTAATAGTATGGAAGGTTTTCTTTCTCCGAGGTTAACTTATACTATAACACTGGTATCATAATGAACTGTGACCTAACCCTCAACCCCATATTCGTCATGATAATGAGGGTCTTCAACGGGCCGACCCGCGCTCGACAAATCATCTCCAACCGAGGATGATACCAGAGGGGATGGATATAAGCGCATCCCAAAGTCGCCATGTTCACCTAACTTCCTAATCAAAACTACATCCCACCCATCATGACCACTCCGCCACCCCCCGACCAGCCCGTCGCTCTCGTCATCGGCGCCTCCCGTGGCATAGGCCGCCAAATCGCCATCGATCTCGCGAAGAATGGATACACCGGTACCCCCTCCCTCATCCTACATACCTCACCACCAACTAACAAAGAGCAGTAATCGTCGCCGCCAAAAGCACCTCCCCAGGCACCACCACCACCACCACCACCACCACCCCCAACCCCAACTCCCAATCCAGCACCATCCACACCGTCGCCGCCGAAATCACCTCCCAAGGCGGCACGGCCTACCCCCTCCGCGTGGACGTGCGCTCGCCCACCCAAATCAACGCCCTAATCACCTCCACCCTACAACTCACCAACAACCGTCTCGATGTGGTGATCTACAACTCCGGCGCTATCTGGTGGAGTTCGGTCCGGAACACGCCCCTGAAACGATTCCAGTTGATGCAGCAGGTCAATCCCGAGGGTTTGTATGCGACGGTCATGGCGGTGTTGCCGGTTTTTGAACGGCTTGGGAATCGGGGGAGGGTGGTGGTGGTGTCGCCGCCGGTTTATTCGAGGTTTTGGAGGGGGAAGGTGGGGTATGCTATGGGTATGTTTTCTTTTCTTTTGATTTGGGTTTGAGGGGTGTTGAGGGAGGAGAAAGGCTAATGTAGTTGTATGTAGGCAAGGTGGCGATGAGTGTGCTTACGAAAGGACTGGCGATGGATTTTGTAAGAGAGGGGAAGAAGGATATGGCTGTTACTAGTCTTTGGCCGGCTACGGTATGTATTGTTCCTTTTTTGAGGGCGGAGGAGTTGGGGTTGCTGATATTCTGGATAGGCTATTGAAAGCGCAGCAACGGAGATGAATACTGGAGGTGCATCCAAGGAGGACTTAAGGAAGCCGGTATGACCCTTCTTCGATCTGATTTTGCTGGTTGTGCTAATGAATAGACCATCTTCTCGGATGCCGTGCTCGGAATCTTGAATACCCCGGCCCATATCGTCAATGGTATATTGGCGCTTGACGAGGACTTTCTGCGGCAGTATTGCGGAGTGCAGGATTTCTCCAAGTACTCTGTGGTTCCTGGGGCGACTCCGAGACGGATCATGCCGAAGGAGTTTCCGGTGTTGGAGGTGGCGGAGCAGGATGATGAGGGTGTGAGGATGGATAGTTCGAAGGGGAGGGCGAAGCTGTAACTGTTGCCTCTTGGCTTTGAATCGATTTTATCTGAATCAATATTGTGTATAGCTGTACTGAGTTAACCTACATTACTTCTACCATACCCTGCCACTAAATCAAACCCTATCCCCATCCCCACCCACCACAAACGAACCTCCTACACCCTCCCCCACCAACCCACCCCCCTACCCAACAATCAAGTCCCCGGATACCTTCCCACCTCACCAACACTCCCACCCCCCAAACTCATCTCCCTCCCCCTCTCCTCCTCCTCCTCCTCCACCACCATCACCACCCCCTTCTTCTCATCCCTCCTCTCTCCTCCCAAACCTATTCCCCTCAACCTCCCCACCCTCCTCTCAACCCACCACCCCAACCCCACCACAACCCCCATAACCACCTCCAACCCCAACAACACATTCAACAACCCAAACGCCGCCGTGGTGACCTCACAATCGCGCCTGAAATGCACCGGCGCCGTTGCATTCCCCACCACCGTGCCATTCTCGCTCCGGATTTCCTCGAACTTACATGTCCACTCGTGTAATGTCTCCGTGCTACTGAAGCCGATGGTTGTTCTTGCGCCAGGGTGATAGATCACGAAGATTACGCCCACTACTGCGGCGATGAAGCCTGAGAGAGCGGTGGCGGCGGCGAGGAGGTTGAGGCGGCGGATGTGGGGGTGTGGCTGTATAGCATACAATTAGCCATCGTCCTGCAGTGTAACTAGTACAATAAAGGTTCCTTGGGGAGAGGGGAGTGGGGGAAGGACATACAGAAGGAAGCACCGCCGTAACGACATAAAGCAAATTCTGAAAGGCAATGACACAACCACACGCTAGGAGAGCGATCGTGGGACGCAGATCCAGATTTATCGGCCAGAGGTATAGCCAGATGCGCGTGTAGGGGGAGGTCTGACGGTAGTGGTGGAGGGCGATGGCTTCGCAGACGATGGTGGGGATGGAAGTCAAGAAGGTGAGGGTTGCGAGGAGGAGACGGGTGTGTCGGAGGTGGTGGCTACGGGCGAGGAATTTGGATTCGGCTTCGATGGAGGCGGCGGTGTTGGTGGTGGAGATGGTGGTGGTGAAGGTGGTTTGGGAGGAGGTGATGGAGGTCATTGTGATGGATTGTGGGCGCTTAGTTAGGTACTAAGATAGAATGGATGAATGAATGGATGTATAGAAACCTTGCCAGAAGGCTAGATTATTGAAGCAAGAGAGAAGATGAGAATAGCGATGAAAAAGAAGAAAGGTATAACGACAAATCTGCGAGAATAAAGAAAGACCCTGAAAACTGCAGATGTCAAGTACTTATGCAACCCATCTTCAGCATTCTTCAGTGCCAAAAATAAGGGCGCCAAACAAAGACCAAGATGAAACGTCTAGACGATAGCCCGCTAGCCATCAAAGCCTATTAGCCGCCCACCGGGATTGCCCGCCGCTCATTTGCTGTCTCCTGCAGCTCGCGAGGTTGCAGAATCCTGTAATCTGACAGGATGCAGTCGGGTCCCCTCGGCGCTTAGCAGAGGTCGATGTCTGCAGTGCGAATGGATGGCTGCGATGGATCAAAGCACTGGGTCTGTGTCACGTAGCAGGTTTCTCGTCCTATTGGTATAAATAAGCCCGGCTTGTGATGGCCAATTGATGCCGTTCAGCTAATCGGGTGGGAGGGGTGATGGGATTGTGACTGGAGGCATGCCGCTGGGCAGTGTTCCAAGCATCTTGCTTGTCTTCTAGGCAGAGCCAGAAGCTGCAGCAATTATACGGGACGAGTATGGCCATTGTCATGCGGCTTGAAAAGCTAAGACAGAAAATACCAGTAATGGCTATTTTTGGAGGCACACTACGGGTTCGTTACCTGAAAGAAACGAAATGAAGGAGTATGCATCTTGCTGGTAGCGACTCTTCATTGCTATCACTTCTTCCTATACGTATTCAGTCATGTTCAACCTCAGTCACATCTTGACTAGAAATACTCTGCTGTCGCATCCTCACAAAGATCAGATCAATGAGCAAAGCCATCATCCCCCAGCCAGCCCCGAACCACAACCCTGCGCGGATTCCGGTGACCTCACTGGTATTCTTCGCAACCTGGACTTCGATGGTGCCAGCAAACCCCAATCCCAAGCTATTCCCGTAGAGATTGAGGGTCCCAATCAGGCTACTAGCAACGCCTTGCTCTCGTTTCCCAACACTGTTACTCGCAATAATCTGCGCGGCAACGTAGACAAAATCAGGACAGAGACTGCCGATGACAGTCGCAGGGAAGACCTGCGCCCAGTAGATTTGCTGTTCGGGCATGGTCGCTAACAGGACGCATGCAACGATGGACGTGAGACATCCAAGGCTCAGTATGTACTGTGCCTCCAGGACAGTAATAAGCCAGGCTGCGAGCGTAACGGCTATGGAAGCGCCAATTCCGTAGGGAATCCAGCCAATTGCAACATGCAATACGGTCCAACCGCGGAGGAGCTGCTGCCAGGCGACCATGTACCAAAGCGAGATGCCAACGGACATGTAGATAAAAAGGACGACGAAGATGAGGGCGTTGAAGCTGGGTGCGGTGAAGACAGCCAGAGGCATTATCGGCTCGTCTGCAAACCGGCTCTCCCAGATGAAGAACGATATCATCAATAGTACCGACAGGATCAGTATTACGATCACATATGAGGTTTGCCATCCGGTGGAAGGAGCTTGACTATATCAATCAGTCAGATGTGACGAATATGTAGGCAATAAGATAGACCTACTTCCAAGCTATGTTGAACAATAGGAGCCCACTGAGACCCAGGAATGCTCCAATTGCGTCAACCTTGCCACCTTTATCCACCGGTTCTTCGTGAGGTAGAACGAAGAACAAGCCTGCCAACACAGGAACCCGAGGCACGCACTAGAGGATCAGCGTCATACTTCCAACGACTGAAAATGACTTACATGAGAATGAAATGCCATTTCCACTCCGTATATTGGAGAAAGGTCCCTGCCAGTAACGCTCCGACCAATGCGCCCACTGGCGGTGTAGCTGCAAAGGTAGCCAAGGTGATATTGCGAGCCTTTCCAGGAGGAACCATGATCGTAAGGGTGGCAACGGCATTAGGCATGACAATACCTCCCCCTATTCCAGTGAGTGCGCGAACCGCCACAAATGACACATACGTGTTGCAGAAAGCGTTGCACAACGAGAAGACGGTAATGATGAAAACGCCCAGCAGAAGCAACCTTTGATGACTGTAGATTGCTCCGAGACGGCCGGTGATTAGGACAAAGGCACTTTGTGTAAGTCTAGCAAGCAACAGCAGACAGTCAGTAGATGCACTACCTGCACGAAGAAGGATCTTGACACACGAGTATGCTGCAGCCATCCAGTTTGCTTGTCCTGGTTTAGCTTCATGGCCAAGTTTGGCGCTGAACGCGAACCCTCCTGCCACGGTGGAAAACATAGAAATAAACTAGCAAAGTTAGTTTTCACTGCAGGAATTAAGTGGAGGTGAGCTGTTACCTGTATAAAGTTGCATATTAGAATGAGGCAGGTGATTGTGTACTGTTTCGCCTTGCTCAGATCAGGGGCTACAGGCTCGAGAGTCCCCGAGCTCTGCTGATGAGCCTCTGCCGTTACCACCCGGCTGACGACTGATAGAGTCTCATCGGTATGACCGTTCCTCATGATTTAGCTGAAGCTGAGTCCCTCAGCTGCCGTACTTGCGGAAGCACCAAGTCTCTGGTGTCGCTTCGGCAGAAGACAGGCTGTTGTTTAAGAGATGGTGACAAGCCATAGGGTGTTGACAAATATGGCCAGCTTCATGACTTCAGCCTGGCCCAATGACCATCATCCAGAGGCGGGGTATCTGCATCGCACAGGTGCTGCTGGATTGAGTCCAGATTACCGACAAGTCATGGTGGAATGCAGTGATGGAGGAGCCGGATTGCTTATCGCTGGAGATTGATTACCCGCGGCTAAGGTGACCGGAATTAGTTAGAGCGTGCAGATTACCCCGGAAGGGTTCACGGGATAAGACTAGTAGATACATCTATACCAGACATGATATGGGTCATGTTGGATATACCCCCTCATGTGGATATTGTCATTGCCAAGCTAAGCTTTTGGTCGAGTGTACGTCGTATCCCTCAACTAAAGAGCATGGATGTTTGTAGGATGGGAGAAATTCATAGCATATGTTAGGCTTCTCTATTCGTAAGCGATAGACAGTGTGTGAAGGTAGACAATAACTCAAAGCGATCCTTTCCTGCATATAACCCTGAATACTAGAGTCTCTCCAATTCATCGAGATATAATCAATGAGTGCTATGCTATTTGTCTTGGCCCTTGGTAACCCTCTCAACCACTACCTCTTCTTCAACATCAAGTCCATCTAGGGCGCCAGATGCTGCGACAACAGCCTCGTCGTTAACGGGTGGAGAGAAGAACTTCCATCCTTCGAAGATCCACCCCAATCCCATGGCGATCACAAAGCATCCCATGACCAACACCGTGTAGTTCATATTCACTGCAGTCACTGGATGAGACTGCGGGATCTGCTCGGTCCGTTAGCTATTTGTTTGTAAAACATGAAAGTGATGACAAGACGCACAAAAGAAACAATCACCACTAGGATGGAATACCCAGCCGCGATTCCGTAGATGGGTATGCTCCATATACCAAAGTTCCACCGGTCATTTTCCGGCAGTAGGCGGCCGCGTGTAACAAGGAGTACTAAGCTGGGAAACCCTAATCTTCATCAATATCTAGTTCCGAACCATGATGTGCTAGATTTACCAAAGCTGATTATCATGCACGTAGCTTGCGAGCCAATGATAGCATTAAAAGCGGCATCGGAGAAGAGATAACTGCAAGAGTGAGCAACCCGTTACGTTCTGGCGCGAGGAATAGCACTCACATCAATCCCACAGCAGCAACCAGGAACGAAGGTAAATTGACAGACCAAAAGGGCATATGAGAGCCGGGAGACAGCTCAATGAGCCTGGCCATCATTAGCCATCGCCTGGGTATAGAGGAATATCTCTCGTGTCAACGCACTTGGAGTTCCATAACAGACCGCCGTCGCGTGCGAACGCGTAGCCTTGTCTACTCATCGTGACTGCACTTCCGAGGGCCGAGGCGCCATTGTTGATAATGAGAATCAAACAGAACACAATCGCCGCGGCGTTGCTCCCCGTCGCGCGCCTGATAAGCTCCAGTACAGGGACTCTAAAGGGCTCATTAGCCAAATTACGACCAACGGACAAGGGCTGGTCGCTGAAGCACTGACCCTGTTGCGGTGCTTGTGATTGCTGCGAAATCTGTAATCGAGAAACCCAGCACGATAATCCAGACGACCCCAACCACAAACTGAGAGAGAATAACTATCAACATAATCCGGGGTAACGACTTTTTAGGATGAGAAAGCTCCTCGGCGAGATGAGCAGGTCCGTCGAGTCCCATCAAGGTTGAAAAGCTAGTAAACAGGCCTAAGAGGACGGCGAAGCTATTTGAGCTGTATCTATGTGGCTTCAGTATCTTCCTCGATGTGCCGATGGTAGATGGCTTGGCTTACCCGGTGTCGTTCTGAATGTCCACGAAGACAAAGCTTGGGTCAGCCTTCGGTGCCTTGACTAGAAGGGTGACGGTATATGCCACAAATCCAAGTGCAGTCGCATAGCCTTCCCAGTCAGCAACAGCATATGAAAGCGATCGTGATGAACATACATCCTACCAGCTCCAGTGTGGGAATACCCTTGACGCCCCAGAGATTGCAAAGCCAGCACAAGGCGTCAACTGCCAGGTATACCAGAAATAGTTTCCATCTGGACGTGACATCGAACTCCGGGCGGCAAAGATGGACCAGGCCCAAGATCAACGTCGCAACAATAGCACAACAACCTGCATGAGTGAAGATCCAACCGAGATAGTTCAGCCAGCCTAGCGGGTAAGCAACCTGCCGACGGTATTGATCCGGGATCAAGAAGCAAGCGTAGTGATAGGCGCCCCCTATGCGTCTGTCAGCATTGCACATGTCAGGCATCTCCAAACTTACCAGCGGTTGAGAATCTCGACGCGCACTGCGCGGTCAGAATGATACACAATACCGCCGCGCACGATCCGATACTACCTAAAAGTCAATGGTTGAACAGACAAGACCCGCAGACACATACAAGCCATAAAGGATAGCCGGAAGACCTCCTGCCGTAAGTCCGACAAACATAATGAAGGACATGCCTCCAAATACATTGAGAGTCAGCCATCCCAGGCTGATGGCACTCCCCAAGCCGAAAACTTGTGGGGTGGTTTCTTTTCCTACAATTGTATGAGACATCTTGGGAGCTCACTGTTATTTTGGTCGCCAACCTGAGTCCGCCCAGGTGGCACTACACCTTGTATACATAAGACAAGATCATTCTCGGCATCTATAGTCATCAGGTAGTTATCAAGAGGAATGGCGACCGTAGTGCCTTGGGTCATAATTACAAGCTCCAAAGTCTTGACGGTCACTGGCGCGATAGGAGCCATAGATAGGATGTTGCACACAAACTAGGTCTAGTGATGATAGTTTGAGCCCGATCCTGCTAGACTCTCGCAGACTTTCCCAGAATAAGGCGCGATAGCCTATGGCTATTGATGGTTATCAGTAGCAGGGATTTGGTACACACTTGAGAGAGGAATATCTCATTTAGCCCGTCCCTGAATTTTCTTGATTGACGTACTGAACAATGCCATTGATCTATAACAGACATGGGATCGTTCAATATTTTCATACGTGACACGAGTTGTTGACATGCTCATTGTATGTACCTCTTAGTGGTGCAGACGATATCGCAGCAATTAGCCAAGAAGAACCCCGGCAGGGAATTCCATCCACTGTGAGTGGAGTGAGTGTCTTATCGTTCAGACCCTGCCGGTTATCTGCCCCCACCGATGATAACACAAGGGTTGAATAATATTGAGGTTGAGAGACAGTATGACACGTGTGTTTGATGTATGCAGCTCGTTCAAATTAGCTAATTCGACGATGATGTTGACATCGACTCCAGTCATCTGGGTTGCCACTGAGACAGGATGGGCACCAATTGTCGTTGGTTCATCCGTGAGGGTCTTCCCCACGCGGGGTTGATCGGTTCCTCTTCCTGCAGGGCTCTTCGCTCTTCTACACAGTAACCATCAACCATCAATTTACCATCTCAAGATGTCCACTAATAATCGTACCCACAACTTTGGCAAGCGATCGAGAAGCGGTTTGTCTGGTCTCTAAGTATTCTGCTGCTACCGTGTCTCACTGCAGTTCAGGCTGCTGGACTTGTCGCCGACGGCACCAGAAATGTGATGAACGGAAACCCGCCTGCTGGAACTGTCGCTTGCGCGGGGTGGAATGTGGAGGTTATGGCATCGCACTTGGCGACTTCACAGCGTACAGCGGTCGCAAAGGCCAAATGGTGTCTAAGATCAGAAGGAATGCCCCGGCTGATGGCAATCCTGCCGATCGCAACCAGCAGCCTCAACGCAACGAGTTTGATGTGGAACTAACCAACCTTGCAAACGACGGACTTCTTCAACCCATATCGCCTTCTCAGACATCGGAATCAGGATCGCCCGGGAACTACAGCACCCCCGCGATTACCCCGGACATGAATCAGACGTGGCCCGGTGAAGGCAATCAGCTTGTCGAAGAAGATCAAGGACTCAGTCCACCGATGGCCATGTTCATTAATGAGCCGGCACCGCGGGCACCGCCGAGCGATCCTTTCGACCAGCGCCTCTATAGCCATTGTAATGTCATCTTATAGAATTCAAAATGGTTAGTTGACATACTAACAATGAGTCTCAGACATGGATATATTGGCATTACGACTCTACCCGGTCAAACATGATCAAAACCCATATAGAGTGGTTTATGGAGCTTTGGCAACCGAGTCCACGCCGCTGCACAAGGCGATCCTCTTTGCATCGGCCTTGCACCTCTCGAAACTTGGACAGTTACCCAACTTCGCCCTCAAGCCCTACCGGATGGCTATGAGAGACTCTTTTCGCGATGCGCTAACGCGAGAAGATGAGTCTTGGGCTCTTGGTGCGACGGTCCTTCTTTCCGTCATTTTTGATGTAAGATAATCAGGCACCTTTATTGTCTTGCGTGACCAACTAATGGACAGGTCATCGGTACTGGGTTGGATACATGGAGCTCTAAACTTATCGGCTGCCGTCGGCTGCTTGAGCGAGCCCTCCTCCGGTCCAACAGTCAGGTACATGCCGGACTGCGTTGCGTGTTATTGCAATATAACTGGGCTGTGACAATGGGGAGAACGCTCGTTAAAGGCTTCCTCCCTGCTGCTACATTTGAAGAACTCAAATGCATTGATGGAGGTAAGCCGACCATCATCTTCACTTAGAGGTTCATCATGCTGATGAATGTCATCCTGCAAAGCATCATCGGCTCTCGATCGCGTTGTCGAAGACATTCAAATGGCAAGTCATCAATCACATTGGTGGGACAATCTTCCGGATTACCGTATGCATTTATTCTTGCGGGAAGCCACCGAGTACTCCATTACAGTCGACCGTCTCAAAGCAACCCCCAATAGCATGGACGAGCTTCTCGAACTAATGCCCCACGTCACGGAACTCATCAACAAAATCCGAAACTGGCAACCAGACATATCAGCAGTCGAGCCAGAATATATGGAATCCATTCAGCATTTCAATGAGATCTGGCGACAAGGGATGCTCTGCTATGCGTACAGTGAGATATACGGTCTGGCCTCTAGCCACAGCTACATCCAGTCATGCGTCGAGGCATCCCTTGAGCCTTTTCGAAACTTGACCTGGTTTCAGGCATGCCTGTTTCCCGTATTCATGATAGCAGTTCATTGCCAGACAGAGGAAGCTCGAGCGTGTTTTGAGAGTGGCTTGACAAGAATGCATACATCGTTGGCATTCCAGGGCCCGTTATCGGTCACTCTGACGTTGAAGAGAGTGTGGGAGTACTTAGACGGTGATCAGACAGGAAAAGCAAGATGGAGGGATATTATCACTAATTTGGGCATGGAATTGAACATTCTCCTGTGAAGTGGGTTCTCATGAGTTAATGAAAGAAGAATGCTCTTACACCAATGTTGACAAACCTCTCCCTTTAAAAGATCTGGGGACTACCCCGATATCAGTCCCCGTATGATCGAATACATAGGCTATCGCCACCCAAAAGGGAAAATCCACCCGATCAATCCCCTCAAGTAGTCACTTCTCTATCCTCTTATATCCTCTCGAGGAAAACCTATACCATCATACCCTCCATCCATTTCCCTCTCATCCCTTCAATTCCTTCACCTCAGTGCCCCCACGCCCACTCTATCCACAACTCCACTGAATCCATTCTGAACACAATGACACCTCTATACCGCTCCAGCTTTACCAAACCTCAATACTTGCGACCTTACTCCTATAAATCCCCCTTTTCATCTACATCTTCCTCACCCAGAAAGAAAAAGGCAAAAGGGATTATTACATTTTGGATCACGTTATGGGTTATCTTACCCTTCATCCCTCCTGCGATAGAAACTCGGAGAAAAAAGTGAGAAAACATTAACAGGATTATTCTTGTAAGAAATGGTGGGTGGTGGATGATCAGGAGTACTCCGTGGTTGGTCGATTATTGATTCTCTTAGCATTCAACACCGATTGAGGGAATGGTAGGGAAGGAATCATGGAGGTCCTGCAAATAGTTGGATTCAACTCAAGGGGTCTTGGTTGAACACATTTATAGATTAGAAGAAGAAGAAGAAGAATTTCTACGGCTTAAGGGTTGTTGATTCATGAGTTGTTTTGGTGTACCAATATCCATAGCCGTGCTCTGGTATAGATAATTGAAATCTAGTATATCTATTTATTGTTCCCTCCTTTGTGGGGTTAGATCTGTTATATGTATGGAATGCTATTGTGCCTTTTTTCCGTTATTCAATCTCAATTTAACAGGAAGACTTGTTCACGGTCACACTTTCAGGAACTAGGTGGCTAGATGAGATCAACAGGAATGTACTTGGACCAATCGCCTTTCACCTTCAAGAAGTCCAACGGCTCCATATGTTCGACAGATCCTCCATACGGACGGCTCACAGAGTACCCAAGGAACCGCTGAACCTCGGTTGGGTATTTCTCGACCACTTCCCACGGAACCGCAAGGTATTGGTTCTCTTCCTGACGACGGAAGCCAGCCGTGGCAATCGCGGTGAGGAGAATACTCGTCTGGGTGGTGCTAGTGTTGACGGTCTGGCCGAAGTAGGTGGAACCTAGCCTGTAGTAATTATTTAGTACGCCGTGGTTTAGAGAAACGAAAGAGGTAGACCTACCAGAGCATAGCGTCACCTTTACGAAGCTCAACGAGATATTCCTCCTTTTTAGTCGGATCACGCAGATCCGTCCAGTGATTAGAGCCAATCACCACCCTGATGGCTCCGGTCTCGGCTGTGATGTCCGTTCCCGCGTAGGCGATCCCAAAATCTGCTTCGCGCTTGGCAGGGTGGGTGATGTGGTGGCACTCGTCCTGTCGACGAAGACCCCAGGCGGCGGACCCAGGCTGCGCGGTGAGGATGGAGGTCTGGGAGACTTGAGGCTCAGAGGTCGATACTGTTCTTTCTTGTTCATAGTAAATGATGCAGGTATCGGTGAGGATTCGCTTCGTGAGGTCGATATACAGAGGGTTCATCAGGAGGCTTGTGGCAAAGGTCGTGCTCTTGCCAGCAAGGGCGAAGGTTTGGCCCTCTGAGACTGTGCCAACCTCCTCAATCACCGAGTCGATGGTCTGCTGTGTCGCGGCTCCTTCGATGACCACGACGCCGTCGGCTTTGAGGTATTGATGGATCTCATGGGGATCGGCGACGGCAGAGAATCGCTTCACGGTGGCAGGCATTTTGAGAGGGTTGGGTGGAAGGGATAATCAAATGGCAGGTCTGATGGAATCGATGTTGAAATTGGGGATCTTTTCTTTGAGGATAGGAGCTGAGTTGTAGTGATAGTGAATAATTCGACGGGTTCAACGATGCTTATAGCATAATTGCGTCGAGCGTGGGGTATCCAAAGACCAAATTGGATCAATTAGTCTCATACGCTTTCATAACATTCTGAAGAGTCTGCAATGCCCCTCAATTGCCATCATTTAGGGATAGACAACCGAGGCTGTTGTCTTCATTCTAGTCGCTGCGTATCGATAACCGATAAAGAGTATGGCTTGCCGTTATCGATCAGATCCTTATCGAGATGGCCCGATAGCGTACTGTTACCCGTTTAGGAAGCGATTGGCTACGCGAATCGCCATACAATTCAACGCTCCTGGAATCAGGGTGGCGACAACTCAACCCAAGACTCTCTCAAGAGCTCAGTATATATGAGTTTGGTTTGTTCTCGGGCAGTATCGACGAGACAATCACTGAACACGCAACCACACTTGACACGACACTCGACAGTGTTTACAGCCATCAACATGCCCAATCCACCACACCAGGCGAACAACCCCGAGGTTGTCGAGTTGGACGCCTCAGCGCCGATTGAGGAAATTGTTAAGGTTATTCAGCGGGATGGTGGCATCATCATCAAGAATTTTCTGAGCCCCGAGGTGATCGACCAGATTCATGCCGAGGCCAAGCCCTACTGGAGCAAACTGGGTACTTACGTGGGCAAGCTGTTTGATGCTGCTGACCCCCCGCTCAGGTGAGTTCGATAATAAGCAGACACTTTTTGCATAACTGACACTCTGGGTATAGTGGTTTCGCGGGCAAGTCACGTACCTTTGCTCATAAAGCAATCAACCACCCTACGTTTCGGGAGACGGCCAAAGCGCTTCTGAGAGAGGAATCGTGAGTGTCCCGGGTGACGACACTACCTCTTTTACCTTTTACACTTCATGTTGACAGCGGATAGTAATGTCTATCGGGATGGAAAGAGGTACACTTGCGTGTCAAACCCCGTTCTAGCCGTGTCAGAAGCCTTCAACCGCGGGTCTCCCTCAACAGCCCAACAGCTCCACCGTGATGACATGGCACAACATTTTGATCATCTCGAGGGTAGTGGAGAAAGCTCTCTACTGGGTCTTCTCGTTGCCGGCGTAGTGAGTATGCTTCCAAGATGCTACATAGCAATTGCTAATCACACAGGACACCAACTTTGAAAACGGAGCAACCCAGGTCATTGTCGGTTCCCACAAGTGGCCAGAGGCGGCTATTCGGGGACCTGCCGACCGTTCCCTCTGCTCCACTTGTGAGATGAACAAGGGTGATGCTGTTTTCATCATCGGGAGTATCTGGCACGGCGCTGGCGAGAATAAGACCAACCCTCCAGAGCGGAGAATAATTTATTCCTGCCACATGACTCGGGGCTCCCTTCGCTCTGATGAGAACCAGATGCTAGCAGTTGACCTGGATGTTGTCAGAACATACGACCCTGAAGTGCAGTCTTTGCTGGGGTATTCGGTCAGCCACCCAAACTGTGGTCATGTTGACATGAAAGACCCCATCACCCTGCTCGGCAGCACCGAGGATCCGTTTGGATATGGCAGCTTCAAGGGCCAGGTTCCTCCGTCGCCACAGATCGGCGTGCCCTAGGTACAGCGGAAAGGCTCATAGGTGGAAAGTGTATCTAAATAAATGAAATATGAGTTAGGTGGAAAGCCACCATGGCCCGTCCCCTTACTCGGAGCCGATCACCACTCAAGCTGTGCGAAGAGCATTACCACGGGGCCAGGACCATAATCGTGACTGGGTTTTAGTCTCTGTATCCAGCCCACCTTAGATCATGGCCACGAATGTCCAAGACGGAGCTTAATTGCACAGGTCTTGGCCAGCGGGCGATCAGCACTGCCATCCTCCTCGGGCACTTTCATCCAGCACATGCTTTGCTGTCCACCTGAGAGCAAGTCCTGATCAGTAGAGATCAACACCATATGTTCTTTCAAGCTCTCAGTGGATGGATGTTCTGGACTGCCATATGCCATCATATAATTGAAACATTCAGACTTCTGAGTCGTCAGCGGTGTCATGTGCCGGAGGTCATGGGATCCCAGAGCCCGCCGCTATTCAGCGCGACTCACCACCGGCGACTAGGGCTGTCGATGACCCTTCTTTTGCCAAGGCGACGGGTCTTGCTCCGTACGTAGGCAAACTGCGCCTAGACCACAAGCCACACCCACCGGGCTATTGTGCTGCTTGATGGCGGATGAAGTCTAATCCGTGGGCCGCAGATCTTCGCGGGCACTCAGACAACAAGCCAATCACTCGTTCATGGATAGTAATGACACGCGGCGTCTGGCAGGTTGGGCTGTTTGGGGTCTTCCTAGCTAGTCTTGGCGGGCGAGCTTCATCGCAGCGTCCCCGCGGCGGCTGGTCTTGGCCCGACGGAGGGATTCGTCATCTTCCATCTCGACGAGTAGATGCATCTCTTGAGCACATTTTCGCTTGCATTACACTAGCAATGCCAGGGAAACCAACAGGGATCAGTAGAGTCTCGTCGTTATCCCATCCACTGCTGACGACAGTCGCTAGTACCTTGGAAGTTGGTATTGCTTCGACAAGGGATGATATTCCGTGCGATGGGAGACTCGTCCGCATCAAGATGGGTATAGACTGTGTAAACCAGCGGCAACACATGCCTTGCGACGGCGCTCATGATGGAGGAAGCGGCATATAAAGAGCCCTTCATCCGACGCCATCAGAGAAGACATCTGAGTAGACAAACAGCAGCTCTCTCAAGATTTCTTTGCTCTCTTCCTCCTGCGGATATCATTGTTCGTCCAGATCTCTTGGACTCCGTTTTTAATTTCATCGAAGATGCATCTCCAAAGCGTTGCCAATTTGGCCATTGTCGGATGCGCGGTTCTTGCCACCGCTCATCCTGGCCACCAGGAGAAGCGCGCCAACTCTGACCTCCTGGAGTTCAAGGCCAACATGCGTCGCGGCTTGGAAAAGTGTGCCGATAAGTTCGAGCGTAGTGGTCTCAACGCTCGTGCTGAAGCTCGCCGGCGAGCCTTGGTTGACCTTCACCGGAGGCGTCTTTCCGCGCGCGATACTGAGTCGGTCCTCAACAAGTCCCACCTTGTGACTGGATCCGATATCACTCCCGACTCTTCCGTCAGTGAGATATTCGGCAATACCAGCACCTGCATCCTCAACCCAGAGGGTGAGACTGGCCCCTACTATGTCCCCGGCGAGTACATTCGCTCGAGCCTCCGCGAAGATCAGTCGGGTGTGCCCGTCGTGATCGAGGGCCAATTCGTCGATGTCGAGACATGCGAGCCAATCTCCGATCTGTACTGGGACATCTGGAACTGCAATGCCACCGGTGTCTACTCCGGCCTCGTCGCCAATGGCAACGGAAACACCGATGACACTTCCAACCTGAACGCCACCTTCCTGCGTGGTGTGCAGAAGACCGACTCTGATGGTGTGGTCACCTTCGAGACCCTCTTCCCGGGGCACTATTCCGGCCGCACAACCCACCATCACCTGGTCGCCCATCTGGATGTGACGGTACTTGACAACAATACCATTACTGGTGGCACTGTCGCACACATTGGTCAGCTCTTCTGGGACCAAGACCTCATTGACGACGTGGAGGCCACTTACCCGTACAACACCAACACCGTCACCCTCACCACCAACGCAGAGGACCGTGTCTTCTCCGACGAGACTGAAAATTCCGATTCGGACCCTGTTCTGAACTATGTCTATCTCGGTGATGACTTGGATGACGGTCTATTCGGATGGGTGACGGTTGCTGTCAATGTCTCTGCCACCTATGACCCCAACTACAGCTTCATCTATACTTCCAGCGGCGGCGTTGCAGTTGATGACAGCTCGTCCACTCCCGGCGGCGGTCAGTCTGGCGGCTCCCAGCCTAGCGGTGGTCAGCCTAGCGGTAGCCAGCCCACTGGTGGCCCGGCTTAAATTCCAGAGGTTGCCTGGTAGAGCTCATCGGGGGGACGAGTGAAGAGGATGGACAGGCAGTACCATGGAGGAATTGAATAGTAGTCATATATCGCGCTTGGAGCTCCAATGTTGGTGATAGCACTCGTTTAAAATTGACTTGTTTTCTGATTATCACGATCGTGAAGTTCTGTCCATGGATAGTATCGTGTCAGTAATTGTTGATCCATCGAGCACTGCACTAAAAGGTAAGTTGATCAGTCCACGTATATTGAAGACCAGTGACGTTATAAAGTAAGCCCTAGCCTTCCCGTTTCCTAGACATTAGTCGTTCAACATCAGACTCAATAGTCGTATCTTCCTCAGAGGCTGTTTTGTATACAACAAGTCACATGACGTGAGCAATCCAATCCAACAGATCTCAGTCTTCAGAGCTGCTAAGACGTCATCAGTGTACAAGCTGTAGAGTTAGTTCATCATCTATCTCGACACTCATCCCCATGATCTATCAAAAGAGCATCACGATCAGTGTCGACATGTCTCGAATCAGCTAAGCAATGAGCCAATCCCAGAAAGCACCCAACACACAGGAGAACGGCTCCAGGACATCGGGAGGTGGACACTGACCACAACCCACCCGAACCCGTGACATCACATGCCGACCGCCCCCATGCAACCAATCACAATCTAGGCGGTCATGAATGGGACTCCTCCCCCACGCGACAAAAAATTGGCGGGGAAAAAGAGGCAGGCCCATGGGAATCTTCCTCCAATTGCTGGAATACATCATTGATTGGAATCAGTTAGTTCATGCTGTTTCCTCGCGTTTTCAACCCCCAATCAGTTTTATCCCGTTGCACTAGGTTTCAGAATTATTGTTCGGGATCCAGAATGCCTCTTTCCAAGTTGCAGGGCGTGAAGCTCCCCGCTTCGGCGGACTTTCATGGTGCGTTTTGATGTCTTTTCTTTCAGTGTACGGGGGAGAAGGGCTGTGCTTGGTATGGATAAACTGGGCTAATGGAGATTGATTCAAGTGCATCTTCGTGATGGTGATATGATGGAGCTTGTTACTCCGACTATTAGACAGGGTGGTGTGAATACGGTTTATGTCATGGTAAATTTCAACTCGATATTATATTTGTTTCTGACCTTCTTTGTATTCCTGCTTCGCAATTGGGATGGTATGGTAACTTGATGTCATCAATTAGCCGAACTTGGTCCCTCCGGTCACTACCGTTGACCGTGCGCTTGAGTACAAGCAGCGCCTGCAGGCTATTGAGCCCAACGTCAACTACCTCATGTCTCTGTATCTCCATGAGACTGTGACTCCGGAGACCATCATTGAAGCCAAGAAGCGCGGCGTCACTGGTGTCAAAAGTTATCCCGCCGGTGTGACTACCAACTCCTCCTCGGGCGTTGTCGACTACACCCAATTCTATCCCGTCTTCGCTGAGATGGAGCGTCAAGATATGATCCTTAACCTGCACGGCGAAGTCCCGTCCGCCGGCGATGTGACCGTCCTGACGGCGGAGGAGCGCTTCCTTCCCACCCTGCTGCAGCTGCACGAGCGTTTCCCCAAGCTGAGGATCATTCTTGAGCACTGCACAACCGCTGCTGCCGTCGAAGCTGTCAAGAAGTGCGGCCCTACTGTGTCCGGAACAAGTGAGAAGTTTTCCCGCCAGCAGAAGATCGCATAATAACACTGTCCTAGTCACGGCCCACCACCTGTCCATCATCATCGACTCATGGGCTGGAGATCCGTTCTGCTTCTGCAAGCCCGTCGCCAAGACCCCGGCGGATCGTGATGCTCTTCTGCGGGCAGCAGCCTCCGGCAACCCCAAGTTCTTCTTCGGCTCCGACAGTGCACCCCACCCAGCTGTCTCCAAGAGAGGTGGCGACAAGATCGCCGCTGGTGTGTTCACCCAGCCCCACACTACTCAGCTCGTCATCGACGCTTTCGAGCAGGCTTGCGCGAACGGCGTCCTGAAGGAGGAAGACATTACCCCCGAGATTATCGAGGGCTTCATGAGCAAGTTCGGCCGCAAATTCTATGGCATCGGCGAAGAGCAGAAGGAGTTCATCACCATTGACAGGAAGGATGAGAAAATACCGAATATCCTGAAGTCGGACAAGGTGGACGTGGTTCCATTCAGACGCGACCAGGAGACCTGGAGTGTGTCGTGGTCTGCATGAACTTAACCTGCGAAATAGACCTTCCAACGGAAATCGACAAAGATTTCTCCTGTGATTCACACCTCTAGGCTGATTTTTGATCACCTTGCGTAAGCATTCCCGTGACAGCCTCGAGGGCCTGTGCTTCTGTAATATCGATTTTGCGGCCCGCAACGATGGTGTTACCATCGCTACCGACCGCCAGCTGGCCAGCCCGCTCGAGGTGCAGCCTGACTCTGCTCTCAATGTATTCTTGTCTCGCATCGGCTTTCGATTCCGTCTCCGACTTATCTCCAGACTGTGGGAGAGTAGCCAACTTGGGTCGGAGTTCCTTAAGAAGCGCTTGTAGAGCAGGCAGTTGGGACAAGATAAATGTAGTGTTTGTTGTGATGGGCGTATGTTGGGTATTCGATCCGGCAGTAACGCCAACGCGTAGCTGTTGAGCGGCTAGGCTGGAAGTCAGGAATGACAGATCCAAGTCCTTTTGACCGCTGGGCGCAACTTCAATCTCCTGTTTTGCGGTCTGTGTATTTGATATGATGGAGCGCAGCTGAGCAATAACAGCCTCGTTGCGTGCGCTCTCTTGTTTCAACGCCCGATTCAATTTCTTAGTTTCGTGTAGCTTCTTCCGTTGCGCAGAGATTGTGTCGGGGGTAGGTGCGTCGGCTGGAGGGGCCAGGTTCAAGTTCTAGTGAGTGAAGCACGTCAGTAAGATACGGTGAGCATAATTACACCTTGATGAGCACTGTACCTCATAATGCTTCAGTCGAATCCACCCCATCAGATCATCTGGCACCTTGAACGTATTGCGCAGCACGAAAAGCTCGAACTTATCAAACGTCTTATCGACAGTCGCCTCGAGAAGCGTTTCTAGCTGATGGAGCCCATTTTCAATCTCCAACTGCGCTTCTGGGTAAATAACATTCCCGTCTTCATCGGTGTCGGGAATAGTCGAGCCATTGTTCGCGTGCGAAAAGCCCAATCGTTCTGGAGGGGTAGACAGCAGTCCCGTCTCCAGACTGGAGATGGCCTGGTAGATCAGGTTGTTGATTGAGTTGATAATGTCATCGATGAGAGACTGCGGCCCGGTCAGCTTGTGTTGTATTCGAGTGGCAGTGCGCTAGGGGCCATACTGACCAGGGGCGTGTAGCTGAAGTGCTCTGTGAGCAAAGAGGTCGTCGCGTCACTCATCTTGAAGCGAGCCTGTCAGTGTTCATCATCCACGTTCGCGGGATGACAGCTGGATGATGTTTTGTACCTCTGAGGTGGACGCGTTTGCGCGCGAATGCGGGATAAAATAGCTGGTTGGGTTGCCGGCACGCGAGGGAAACCGTTAACCGTTGGAGCCAAGACCATGTACCTTGGGGACGCAGACATCGCAGTCAACGCCGGTTTGATTCTAGGCTGATTCAAGATATCAATTCATACCGTGATACCGCCTAATATCTCACCAATATGTAGTGACTTGTCTAATGGACGACGAGGATTTGTTGTAGTGATGGCCGTGTATTTGCGTATATTTTGTAAAAGGGTTCAGCTTCTCAACAAGATCCGATATGGTGTAGTGGCTAACATCGCCGTCTCTCACACGGCAGCCGGGGGTTCGATTCCCCCTATCGGAGCTCAATTTTTCTTTTTGTTTTTCTTCGGTCAATCCTCTCTCAGCTCAGCATTCCCATTTCTTTTTGGCTGATCAGCCTCGTCTCACTTGTTGTTCTATTTCCGTATCGGGTCGTCCTGTCGTCATCCAATCTCCTCCTCTGACTCATTATCACTTTAGGTTTCTGTTCACACCAATATGAGTCATCTTATTCTCGCAGGAGTGGGCTCAGCCTCGACCATTTGACTCACTGTCCAGTCTCCGCGCCAACATGAAAGACATCGTCGCTTGGGTATGGCCGGTGCAGTGGATCGGTCAGGACCTCAACAATGGGCTTACCATGTAGTCATCCTAAATGAATACAACCTAGAGCGTGTCTTAGATGGTTACTTCCAGGATCAGTAGGCAATGCAGTGCTCCAGGATGTCACTTGAAAGCAATATATAACCTTCTGGGAGGTGTGATCTGTAGTATCCCATACACACACCTCTCAAGACCATTTCCAGACTGCAAAACGGCTTCCTCGGCACCATGGCTTCAGACCTACCATCAGAGACACAACAGGGACTGCACGACGTCCCAGAGCAGGACAGAGAACGTACCCCAACTCCCCAGCCAGAGGCTCAATCAAGGACCCCTACGCCTACCCCAGAAACGGATTACACTCCCTTCAAATCGACCATATCAAAGCCAGAGCCTGTGGAGAATAGACTTCGTCCTGCAGCAGGTAATTCGTCGAGGCTCACTTACTAGCGTGTTGCTAATACCGGACTAAAGACATCATCAATCGTATCATTTGGGACCCTGCTTTTGATCCTGCCAACTATATTATCGGGTATGAAGATCGGTTTGAAGGACGCCTGGAGGCTGGCTTTAACTCGTGGAAGAAAGAGACGACCGACGAGGAATTCATTCCTCAGCATCGCATTCTCTATATCAAACGCAGCTCGGATGGTGAAATTGTATGGGATCGGAGACGGAGGATTGACAAGATATTCCTTAGTGGAAACTCTGCTTTTGACTATCTTGCATTTCTTAGCTGAATATGATTTCCAATATCCGGCGTTGTCGGGTATGTTTCAAGATCACTTTGAGACCTCAGCTGGCCTGCGACCGGTCACTCAGAGTAGAAAGTGTAGTTGCCTTTTATGTATTCAGGGCAACCCTGACTGGGTTGATTAGCTCCTGCCATACTCGGACATGTTGAGCAAGCCGGGAGAGCAACAAGGGCAGGAAACTCCTCATCAAAGTCCTTTTTCGCTTTTTAAATACCATCAGCAACTATCTCAGCACCCCTAAGCCAGCCATACGACCGCATCTTACTCTCAGTAAAAAATTGGCCCTCTCATATTCACCTACGCCGCAATGACCTCGAGACGCCACCGAATCGACTTCTCTCTGCGAAGACGACGCAATAACCCGTCGCTCACATCATCGGGAAGTCTCTCGCCAACCGTCCCTGTTCTCCAGTCACCCGTGACATTCCAGGCATTCGCGACAGTAAATGTCTCCGAAACGACCATCAAGCAGAAAAATAAGCTGGAAAGGACTCCTGTGAAGCCGTCCATGTTTCTCGAGGAGAAGGACGATGATGACACTCCCGTGCCTGCTCTGGCTGGACGTGCCCCTGTGGATGTCAAATCAGCTCAGGTCGAGCGCAAGAGTGTCGAGGAGAGACCAACGACTCGAACAAAAAGCCAGTACTTCGAAGACGCATTCAGCACCCGGGGTCCATTAAGCTCGCCAAGATCTCAGATCAGTCAAGACTCTGTTGTGGTGGTAGAGATCAAGATGAATACCAAGGTGCGTGTCGGTATAGTTTCTCTATGCTGTCTCCAGTGATGGGCCTTGTGCCTGATGGCTAACCTCTAAAACAGATCAAAGAACTGGAGTCGCTCGTCTCTGACATTTCGTCCCATATGGCACGCATCTTCCAAAAATCCGAGACTCTTATGATGACTACCATCCAGGAAGACGCATGCATCCACTTTGGAAGATCGAGTCTGCCAGCGTACCTGATGAAGGTCTTTGCACTGCCGTATCTCATCGCGCCAATAACCAATCTCCGCAGTACCATTTTGATCCAGGCGGCTCTTCAAGAAATCATCCATGTGGCACCAAACCGTGGAGTCATTCTATACATACCGATTTCTGAAGAAAATTTTGCGACCAATGGGGTAACAATGATGGGTGAACTCGCACGGTTGGAGCGCTCTTCGACAGATCACGGTCCTGGTTTATTCAAGAACATTTCACGAACCATGAGTAGAAGGCTGAAATCCAGTAGCTCGCAGAGCGCACCCATTTCTGTGGCAACAACCTCCTCATGGGCCTGTGGTAACGGAACGCAGGCATCCTCAATGACTGGAAAAGAATCGCAATGTAGCGATACTTTGAAGGATGAGGGCAAGCCAAAGTCTGGCACAAAATCCAAGGGCTTTCGTCACTTTCTGTCCCGTCAAGGCTCAGAACGACTCCAACAATCCGGCAACAAGCAGTAGCCCTGTGCTGTTACTGTCGTTGTTCTCATGAAAAGCTTACTCTTGGCGATTTCTTCTATCTCAACTTGCTCTCTCCTTGTCTCTGCTGCTATCGTTCACGTTCTCGTTAAGCGAATGTGCCATATCTTTTCTCACGGATCACTTCTGCAGTCATGAGCGAATTGTGTGAAGGTGCCAACGAGGGTCATGGTATTCACTGTAGCTACATTCCTTGGATTGGTTTTCCCTTTGTTCCTTAGCGCGTTCTGCTTTTGCATTTGATGCTCTTATTCCTGCACTTGTTCTCTTCACCTCATTCTTGATCCCCCAGTATCCATAAAATGAATGATAGAACATCCCGGAAGCCAGTTCACAGTGACATCGTACCGATGGAGTCGAGCAGCACGCATGGTAGAGTTGCAGAAATCCAAGGCAACATTTTCGATGCCCCAGATGGAGCAGGACTGATCCGTACGTACTGCCACCAGCCGCTGATGATAAATTGAATAACCGGTCGAAACTCAGATGCATGCAACTGTCGAGGTTCCTGGGGCAAGGGAATAGCAAAAGCCTTCCGACAAAGGGTGAGTTTGGGACTACTCTGCTCAGGTCCATGTTTGCATCAACCTTTAAGTTGTCTAACTTTTGGATAGTACCCTGCCGCATACGAGATATACCGATCCCACTGTCGAAAGTGTTCCTTTAGCCTCAGATACAACAATGTCCCGAATGAAGGGGGCACACGAAAGGTCCGAGTGCCGGAAGGCACGGCTCTCATCATTCCACCTCAGAAGAAAGACTATGAAGGTGGGATGAGCAAACGACACTGGATTATCTGCCTATTCACATCGCGCGGGTTCGGAAGGAAAGTTAGCCCTGAGGAGATAGTTCTGAAGAATACCGAACTTGCCGTTGCAGATATGCAGAGACAACTCGATCAGCTTAGGGAAGGTGAGGGTGATGTTTCGGAGCTTTGGTCATGTCGGTTCAATTCTGGGCTATTCGGCGTTGAGTGGGCTCGTTCGAGGGACATATTGGAGAAAACTGGGCTTGAGATCACTGTGGTGAGACCGAACGAGGAGTGAAGCTCTTGTCTTTCCAAGGAAAAGTCGCTTTTATGTTGCTTTGCTGAACAGGGTTCTCGAATATTTATGTGTAGAGGACAGTGAGTACTGCAGGCTCGATGAATATCCCACTATCGCAGCTTGGCGCATATTATCAGACTTTTCCAATCAATCAATAATGAGCACATAGAATTTGCCGCTGGATATAGTACCCTTGATGAAAGATGACGATGTAGACACTCATATAGATAGCAGATCACCTGACTTCGCGTCACGGTCCGCGATCCCGACCCATCGCGACGCCTCCAAGTGACTATCCAGAACTCCCAATCTTCAAAACATAACCCATCCCCAACATGCCCGCAGAACGAAAGACCGCGCCAAAGCGCCGACAGCTCCCCTTCAAGCCCCCAAGCCGGACCTCCGCCTCTGCCTCTACCTCAGCCCCGGCCCCCGCTCCAGCATCACCACCAGCAGCATCCGCCTCATCCAAACCGAAACCCAAGCCCAAGACCAAACCAACGGACAAACCCAAACCCACCAAACCACGAGCCCCTGCCCCAGCAAAAGCCACAAAAGCAGCCTCCTCAACCAATCCCAAACCCAAACCAAAAGACAAAGGCAAAGGCAAAGCCCCAGCCCCCGCCGCCCACGACTCCGACACCGACACCAACACCGATACTAACTCCATCCACTCTGCCTCCCCCTCACCTTCAGCATCAGCATCAGCATCACCATCCGCCTCCCCAGAACCCGAACCCGAACCAGATTACATCCTCGCGGAAATCATCCACAAAGACCAACAATCCGACGACGTCCTGACCAACGACCCCGTGATCCCTCCGAAGCTCTTGACCAGATTACTGCATCATCATTTCCAGAATCAGAAGACCAAGATCGCCAAGGATGCGAATACTGTGGTTGCGAAGTATGTGGATGTTTTTGTGAGGGAGGCGTTGGCGAGAGCCGCGTTTGAGAGGAGGGAGGCGGTGGGGAAGGGGAGTGTGGTTGGGGATGGGTTTTTGGAGGTTAGTTTTTCGGTTTCTTTTTCTTTTTGATTTTGGTTTGGGGGAGGGGGGAGATGATGTTGGTGGTTGACAGGTTACTGACTGACTGTGTGCTGTTCTAGGTTGAGGATTTGGAAAAGATGGCGCCGCAGCTTGTGATGGATTTCTAGAAGGGATTAATTGATGTGTTTGGAGTTATGGGTTGGAGTTTTATGATACCAATGTTTGTAGATGAGGATTTGGGAGACTTGTGTTACTACTAGACATGCACACGGGTATATTGAAATGTGTAGATGTAGTCTATGTACCATCGAGTCTGGCGTCTAATTCTAAATCTAGCAATATGGACATGTAGTCAGCTATGCCCGGCTGGGTATAATGCTATCCCGTTACTCCGCAAACACCAATGCTTAATCGTATCAACCGCTCACCAAGGCGTCCGGGGTAGTAGCCTTGTTCGGGTCCCCGGAAGGAGTAGAAGATTCCTCTGCGGGAGTGGCCTTATCCGACGACTCGTCCGCCTTGGGCTTGTCTTCCTTATCATTACCCTTCTTCTTGATGGTAAGAGCGCCCAGCTCGACAGCCTCCTCGGGGAGGGGTCGAATGTGAGGCTGACAGATCCACCAGGGTCTGCCATATTCGGCAATAGTCGCCTTGGATCCGGTCAATTCTTCATTAGGAGACCGCTCGAAACGTTCCGGGAACTGTTCGTATTCCTTGAGACCTTTCTTGATAGCCTGCTCAACGAGCGAGAGGACGTTTTCAAATGCGGGCATGTCGCCGGGTCTTGATCTTGCGAGCGCATCACGCACATTTGTGTGTTCTGAGACCATGGGACGAAGGAGCTGGAAGAGGTGTCCCTGCATCACGCCAAGACTGGGAGAGTTGGCCTTCTTCGACTTGTCGCGTTTCTGTCTCTTCCTGGGCGGTCCATCTTCTGCTTCCTCGGTAGACTCGGGTACCTGCTCAGGTTCCTCCACGGCGTCCGATGGGAGATAAAGAGGCTTCCTGTCCGGAACAGGCTGCTCGAGCACGTACTTATAGATGATATCCAGGTAGCGTCGCAACATAGCATCGATGCGGTATCCACCCTTTCCGTCCCGGCCTCGCCAGTATTCTCGTCCTTCACTACCGACTGGAGGCGGCTTGCTGAAGATCGCTGGGTCGGACAAATTTCCTTCGGCACTCATCACGCCGTCGGCCCCTGTTGCTTCCAGACAACGGTCCAAATCGTCATAGTTCAGATTGTTGCCATTCGCGAAGATGACAGTCTCCGGGGGGAGGTTGTCGCGCAGGTAACGAATATAGCTCCAATCAGCGATCCCAGTGTTGTGGCCCTTCTGTTCTCTCCTCCGTCCATGTACCGTGATTATGCTTGCTCCGGCGGACAAGATCATTTTGGCATATTCGAGCGTCTTCTCTTTGGTCTCTTGAATGCGGAACTTGGCAGTGACGGGGATCGGAAGTTCGGTATGCAGTCGGTTGATCAACCGGTAGATCAAATCCCAGTCTTCTTGAAGAAAAGCTCCGTAGTGACCCCTCCTCGCAATACCCTGAGGACATCCCAGGTTCAAATCCACGGCATCACAGTATGGCACCACATGACGGGCAGCCTCCAGGAAATCATCCGGCTCGTTTGCGCAGAACTGTACGAATAGCGGCCGATCGATCGAAGGGTTTCCATCGAGGTAGGGCGATTCATCGTTGCCTTTACCGGCAGCAGCGCGAGTCGGGTGGAAATGCTGGACACGAACATTGGCTTGTTCACGGAACAGGCGCGCATGGTACATGGGGGAGTATGCGAGGACCTTTTTCTGGTCCTCCGGTGACATGAACGACCTAGTGAGCATGCGCCACGCCTCGAGAACGGTTAGTTGGAACTAAGCAATCGCTCGCGATGAAGACTTACGAACTCAGATCGGTCCACCATGGGTGCGACGATGTACTTTGGGCTTCCTATGCTCTCATAGAACTCTCTTCCAAGGAGCTTCTTCCTCGGTTCAGCAGGTGTGGTCGTAGGCGCATTTTGGTCTGCGACGCTTCCTTGCGAAGCGGGGTGTGTCTCCGGGACGGCCATTTTCACGTTGGGGCGTAGGAACTTGGGGATGAGCTGCCCCAGCCAAGGGGGAAAGGACCGAGGGACACGAATGTTTACGGATGAGAGAACTGCTTGTCCTCGAAAGGAGCAATTGAAGAGGCGCGATTTGCGGAAAAGTGGATTCTGGAGTAGCAATCATGCGGATGGGGGCTTTTTTCCCGCCGATTAATTTATTTCGGAAGGGATCAACGTTGATCCTCTTATCTTATCCAGCTGGGGAACAGCACGAACGCCACGCAGGATTGCTCTCAACATGCATGATGGATGCGTGGTACAAGGTCTAGTCTGACTGCAAATAGACACAAGGTATAGCCTGGGCGTTGAACTTCGTTTCATTCCGTCTGAGGTGAGTCTGGCATGGCTAGCTGTACAAAAGTTGTGCCTTCATAGGTTGCTTAGGTAATCACTATGAAGCCTTGGCGCCGTCGAATAAGTGGGTTCAGATCAATAATGGAAACCTCAAAACATCCCCAGAAACATTAAATCCCGGAGCGTGTGATGAAGTACAGCGCTTCGGATGTGCATGGTACCTGGCGTACATGTACGGACAATAATTTCTGCATTGTGTCTTGAGAACAGTTACTGAACCACGCTGCAGCTGACAATCAACAATGGACTCCACCGGAGCAGGGGGTGAGCTTATACCCGTTGTTTGGTAGCAAACTGTAATGCTGATGACCGGCAGTCTCAACTTCAATTTGTCTATCCGAAGATGGGGATTATGCTGCGCAGTTGAATGGCAAAGACCTGGCCATTCACCTCGACCCAGCTTCTCCCGAATTTAGAGAGATACAGATCATCAAGCTTAAGGATATTACCTCAAAATCTCTGAAGTTCTCGCGATCAAAACCCGTTTTACCTTCAAGCACGCACTCCTATGCAGGGGTCAGCTTGCCAGGGCGACGCGTGCTTTGTGCTAGTGATGCCCGCATCCTGATCTGGCAGCTAGAACCGTTGCAACTGCATGCAGAGATTGAAAGCATTGAGTCCGGCGCTACATATGTCGACTTTGGCGGAGATGAAAATGAGATCATCTTCTTCCATGCCTGGAACACGAAAATGACCGTGTTCGGACTGGACTCTGGCCGCAGCCAGGTTATCAAAAGCCCCAAGTTTTCAACCTACAATGGCTTCGGGTACCGGCCCAAAACAAGGCAGTTCGCTGTTCTTTTGAAGCCGGATGCGGTTGATCTACTAACAATTCATGAATTTCGATCTTACGAACTCATAGGGCGAGCAGTTCTGCCTACGGTAGACGCTCAAGGACTCAAATGGAGTCCAGACGGGAGATGGATAGCCGTATGGGATGCTGCGAGTGCGGGCACCAGAGTCCTCGTTTTCACGGCTGATGGACAACTCTTCAGGACATACAGTGGCCCTCCGGGGCTCGATAGTTCGCTCGACCTTGGTGTTAGAGCGATAGAGTGGAGCCCTGTTACCGGGCAACGCGGTGTGTCAGAACTCCTGGTTGTTGGAAAGGTTGACGGGACTGTTGACGTCCTCAAGACACGGACAGTAAGGTTCCCTACTTAGATTCTTCCGTGATGTAGAACTGACGGTCTAGTTTTCTCGCTCGATCACGCTCTCCCATGTCTTTCAGATAGAGCAAAATTCTCCCAGTGTCTGGCGAGAACGCTACGCCGGGGATGGGGACCTCGAATATGCTGAAGCGTCCAGCTCATCTGCATTTGGCATGCCTGCCGAGCCATCCGGGTCGCCTCGGGGCGTGTCGATCATGGCCTTTAGTGCCAGCGGCACACTTCTGGCCACTGTCGATCAGACGCGACCGAATATTGTTTGGATATGGGACCTGGAAAACACCCCTGTCCTGCTGTCCGCTTTAGTTCATGAGCACGCTGTCAGACAGGTGGTATGGCATCACTCGAAGATGCAATTGCTTATAACCACAGCGAACACTGCCTATGCTGCCGTGCGGTACTGGTCCCCATACAGCCAGCCGCTAGTTGCGCGCGTCCCAGTTCCACGAAGCGAAACCGGGCGATATGATGTGAGATGGCTATCTTTCGATGAGGACGACGATTCCAAGTTCTGGTTCGGTACGCCGGACGATTATGTACTTGGTCATCTTGAGAATGTGGAAGGCTCACCGCAATTCAAGGTAACCAGTACTATCAATGGCAAGGCGAAGAGAAGCAGCTATGGTCCGAGCACGAGCAGATAGGCGTGATACGATCTATGCGTTATGAACCCGCATCCAACTACCCCATGATAACCAGAACTAATTAATTCCCATGCGACATCATACTACTCATCTACTGCACATCTAATGGCTACGAAGACTCCGGCATACTTAGGGTCCTTCTTCCTTGACCTAAATACCAGGAAACAGCACTATGACCTATGTACATAGAAAACCGAATGAATCCTAATTCATGCCCAGGGTAGCATGTCATCTATACTGGCACTTAGTACTACATAGTACTAAGTGCCCACCATTGAACCACCTTAAACCTCGCCATCCATCGGGCCATCTTCCAGACCCTCGGGCTGTCCCCACCGACCAATCACAGCGCTGCCCCCGTAGCCAATGCTAACCGAGCGGGCCCAACAGCCCAGGGCTTAGGGTTCGACCACACGTGACGCTGAGTCATCCCCCACTCGAATTTCGCACTTGGGCACTCAAACTTCCAGCCGTTCGATCTGTTGTGCAGCTCTCCTCCGTCGAACAGCTACATCAGACAGTCAAAATGGTGAGTGACCACCAGCGCCATGTAGACCGATGAGGTCGTGCGCGCGCATGAAAATGCGTCGTTGATATACTAACTGTTTCGCCTAGGCTCCTACCAGAAAGAAGTGGTCCAAGGGCAAGGGTACGCTATATCCCCGTTTTCATCCCCTCCCATCCCATCCTCGAAGTGAATAGTCGGACGGTCGATCGATCAGAAGGAGAAGGAGATATATGTTATCGGATAGCGACGGCGCAGAGAGAAGACATGGGTCGCAGAAATGGATGAAATGCAGGACAAAATCACTGACGATTATTCTGGACTATAGTCAAGGACAAGGCCCAGCACGCCGTCGTCCTCGAGAAGCAGACCGCTGAGCGTCTCAACAAGGATGTTCAGTCCTACCGTCTGATCACTGTCGCCACCCTGGTCGACCGTCTCAAGATCAACGGCAGCTTGGCCCGTCAGGCCCTTGCTGACCTTGAGGAGAAGGGACAGATCAAGAAGGTTGTTGGTCACTCCAAGATGAACATCTACAGTACGTTCATACCCGCTTTTCCCTGGTCATGGAGGTATGAGGAATATGCTGACTGGGATAGCCCGCGCCGTCACCGCCGAGTAAACGTATGACGCTATGAATGTTTCCTCGCGGTCCCTTTTTCTTTGTGCTACGAATGATATCACTCAAAATTCGGAAGTCTGGCTGGGCGATTGATGTATAGTGTCAAGTAAAATTGACTCGAATCAACCTTATCTGTTCACTGCTTTCTCGTAGGGTCTGATGGACTGTAGGATGTATGTCTGAGGGATATGGCTTGTACCTGCATTAGGAGAATCGAAATCTCCAGGCAGTGCAAGTACCCAGATAAGTGTGCATAGTACTCCGTACACTACTAAATCTTAGCCTTTTCACATGTTATCTTCGATAAGTCTCATCAATCTGATAAACCTAACCACTAAGCCAAATATTTCATACATCTATACCACCCCCCATCCCCCCTTCTTCCCCATATCACTCTACTCCTTCCCCTTCACACTCCCACCCCCCTCCCTCCTCCCCCTCTGCTGCTTCGCCGCCGTACACAACTCCCTCTTCTCCTCCTTAGCAATTACCTCCTCAAGCCCCACCACCTTCCCAACCTCAAAATACTTCTTATGGCCCCTAAAAAACCCCTCCCAATGCGCGACCTGCGTCTGAATCCTCTGTCTCGCGATTCTCAAATCCTGCTCTCTCCGTTTCTTCCTCTCCCCACTACTCAACATCTTCTCTTCCTCGGGATCATCAATCGGAATAAACATCTCCTCGACGCCACGCATATCGGGCGTCAAGTCTTCCTTGAAACATCCCGTCACGAATGCGCGGGTTGCATCCCGCCCCGTGAAGAAGTTGTAGTGGCCGCCGGCGCCGTAGACGAGGGGGTTGGCGCTTACGTCGAAGATGGTGCCGTTGACGGAGAGGTAGATTGGGAGGGTGGGGTCCGTGCCGTTGTAGAGGGAGAGTTCGGTGGGGGTTAGAAGGAGGGGACCTTGCTGGGGGTGTGGTTAGTATTTGGTTGGTTTGGGTGGTGGTGGAGGGGGGAAGGGTACAATGTAGCGGAGGACGACGGGCAAGCGTGTGAACCAGGGTCTGTAGCCGAAGAGGACGGATTCAGAGCCCGTCATGTAGTAGGATAGACCTAAGGTGGCGATTATGAGTGTGGCCAGCACACGGAGGATGTCGAGGATGCTGATGCCGCGGGCATTGTTGGAGGGGGTGGATGTAGAGGTCTTGGGGGAGGGTTTGGAGGAGGATGGCTTGTGCCGTTGGCGTAGTTCGGAGGACATGGTTGTGGTTTTCGTGTAAAGATGGTAGTGGGAGTTAGTTGGCCATTGGGTTGGGAAGGGATGGATAATAAGTAGGTAGGTAGGTAGGTATGGAAGTACTCCGTAGCTTGTAATTGGAGGCGAGGGATAGGTGGAGGATGGAGGTAGCTTAGTATTTCCGCGCTCTCCGTTCGCTGTTTCGGAGTCGCATGGTGTGACATGTGCCGAGTATAGTGCTCTAGCTTCATTTTACTATGTAATTTAAGGATCGCAGTGTACTACTGTACTACGTACAGTGCTTTAGTCTTGAGTTACTTGAGGGATAACTGTATAATTCAAGGTTCTTTTGATTATGTGCATATTCTCTAGATAAAAGCTATAGGTACGGAGCACATCCGACAGCTTCTGACGGCCATGCTCTCCAACAGCCTAGCTCAATTCATTATTTCCATCTGGGGTTTATATCCAACCGTATAGCCGATAAAGGTAATATGGCATGGAACTAGACTTATATCCAGTTAGCTAAGCTCGACTTTCCGATAACAAGCTCAGAGCAGAATGAACAATCTCGTCAGACATCCAAGGAAGTTATACGCACAGTGCCGTCTAAGATGGGTTCTCGACGACGGCTAGCGTGGAAACTGCGAATGTGGACAGGTTTTCATCATCGAGATGGGGGTGTGATGCATGTGTAAAGAAATATGACTGACTTACCATAAGATAATGCTGTCAGAGATGTGCTCTATACAATGCTGGGAAGTTAGTATTGGTCTCGCTGATAGCAAATATTTCAATCCATTTTTGAAATCACGAACAGCGCGAATGCACGCTGAGAGAAACTAGCGAAGAAAAAAGAATTTCGAGATGGCTTTATGCTGGGCGGGAAGAAAGTTCCGCCGGGCGGGTCTGGCGTTTCTGCCTTGGTGCCTCAGGTGATGCTACAGAGTCTACGCATTATTGGGGTAGAATCACATAATGGTATTGACTATCGACCGAATAAGTACTATCAAAGTACAAGCCTCATCCTAAGCCATCAAGAAGTATTGAATCTACCGGAGATCCACAAACCCCCAATGTCTCAAGATAGGGCTTGATATCCGGGTTGGCAGTCATCCCAGAGCCTTGGTCTCGTTACTCCCTGTGCTAAGCCCCAAATTGTAGGGACAATGGTACAAATTAAACAACTGTGCTGATATTGTTTGATGTGACCCTGGAAGGCTTATTCCTCGGTTATTCTGTTCTGCTCCTGATCTTGTTCCCAGCTGCGAGAGAACACATCATTAAGGGCTTCCTGGAAAGTACGGCAGTTCATGTCGATCAAACCCTTCTTATCCTTGGACTCGGGGTTTCGGATGACTGAGACAAGACAAAGGTATCTAGCACATGTTAGCATGGTAGGAGGTGGGGTCTCGGCCGCCTACTTGTTCATCTCCAGCAGATGGATCATCGTCTCATCATGCAACACAACGTGGCTTTCGGCCTCCTGATTCTGATCACCCTTGGGCTTACGGTCCGGGTGGTCCCAGGAATACAGTTCCGAGATGTCCACGATAACATCAATGTAGTCGGAACACATTTCGTAGCAAGACATATCGACGGGCCGAGTGTCGGACGCAATGTAAATCTTGCTCAGAACGTCAAAAAGATAGGTCTTCTCGAAACCACAGTTGTTGGCAAGCGTGTTGATCAGGTTCTCCAGCGTTGAGAGGTTGGGGATGAGCTTCTGAATGACCTTACTGAAGGCCTCAAATACGGAGTAGTCGTAGATGGAAGTGAGGTAGTAGTGGACCGGGGCATTCTCGTACCCGGCATCACTGAGCTCGTCTGAAATGAGCTGGACAATGTCCTGGAACGTATCGGTGCGGTATTCATCCGAGAGTCCGTCCACCTTGTGGATAAAGACTTCGATGTTGATATTGGGATAAAACTGCTGGACGGTCAAGATCGTGCGGTTGAGACGCGCCACAGAATCTAGGTAGTCATCCTGAGCGTCAATGACCCAGACAAGAGCACCCAGGCTTCCGAAGATGTTCTCAAGATCGAAGGACGGCTCCAGGTATTCCAGCTGACCCGGGAAATCCCAAACCTGGAAGTCCATGAATGAACTATTCGTCCGTCAACCCCGCGTCTATCGCACGAGACATTCGTACTCACTGGATTGAATCCTTCTGTATACGGGTCGTGGACTCCAAGAACAGTGTCTCATTGGGTGGCATTTTGTGAAAGACAACACTAGCGATGGACGACTTGCCGCTCCTGGGAAAAGTCAGGATGATTACTGTCATTCAATGGCAAGGAGACCTACCGACGTAAGCCCATCAGCATAAGACGAGGCTTGGCGTCTTGAGCATTATTGGGGGAACCATGGCCTGATTTTGTGGAGGGCTGCTCCAACGACTGGCTCGTACCCTGTAGAATGTCCTCAAGCATTAGCTGTGCGTCGGACTTCGCTAGAGGTTGTGTATGATTTCCAGTAAGATGGCTCTCCGAGCCAGGTCCAATCCAACGAGGCAACTCCATCACCCAATCAAGTACGCACAAAGCTATTGTAGAAGGATGATTGCGAAACAGAAAGACTACAAGAAGCAAGTTGGGACGCATAGGTGAAGGCTTGAATCCCATGTCACATGCCTTCGAGGCTTAAATGTGATGAGAGCGTGAAAGAACCTGAGCGGTCGCTGAGGGCGCCTGACACGTGCATGGCACACTCACAACAGACTTGCGCTCTCTGTTCAGACATCTCTGAGATTATAACCTAGGAACTTTCATTTGAGGAAGGGGGTTAATTCCTGATTTTGCCAGTCTGATGTTGGAGGTCATCTTTTGACACCTCCAGCACAGCAGGGGCTACCATTGCATGGGCAGCAACAGGAAAAGGAAAATGGAATCGAGCTCAACAAGGCTGTCCAATTTCAACACCAGGAAGGATGCTCACGGAAGCCCACAGCTCCACCCTGCAAGTTCTTTGGGAAGGGGAAAAGAAGAGTGGGTAGTATCCTTACATCCATGGCTTTAGGTTGATTCGAACTCCGTGTCGTTACCAAAGGTAATGAATCCCACCTGGAATAGGAGATTAGCGGTTTACAGGAAAGTGCAGGCATCGAAGGGGATAGCAAAGACCTACCACCGATATCAACGTACCCCGCGGCAAGAGAACCAACCGGTAGAGAGGTTCGATGAAAGAAAAGGATGTACACAAAAAGAGAGACAATTCAAGTACGCAAGTTGGTGTTCACAATTCTCACACAGGAACCAGAAGCTAGGCAATCGGCCCAGCAACAGCAGTATCTCTCAGGCTACTGGGACGTGGTGTTTGCACAGGACAGATGGATGAGTGTGGCTCAAAAAGGTGTGAATCTCATGGCTGGAAAGACCACTCAGCCAAACAGGAAAGGAGTCACGGGAGGGGAGGCTCAATCCTCTGGTTATATCATACGAGTGAGATGTATAGACGGGCTGGCACAGGCAGAACACGGTGGATCAGATGGCCTGCACAGGAGGGTGGAGGTAAAATGGTGCCAACAGTTCTTCCAGGTGTGTCACGATGAATGGTTGAACCACCTGGGGAGTCTCAATTCCCAGCAGTGCTCTAGTGCCGATCACAATGGGTTTAATTGAGGATTATTGAAAGAGATGCGGTGCGTCCACGCGATAAGCTCGGGAGTCGCGGCTTGGCACGGTGAAATGCTACTGCTTGCACTCTCCGCCTTTGTGCGTTTCCTCCCCGCGCTGTGCTTCAATGGCATCAATCAGTTTTGTCTGACCTTGCAGTTGCTCTCTGAATGGCATGTCTAGGATCAAACCTTCTAGCGATACTATGAGTACAGCTGCAGTGCTACACCCTGGAGTGCGAAAGATACAAACCCCCATCTACAACACTCCGTTCCGCAATATATATACAGTCTTTGCATACTTTTTGCGCTTGTCTAGCGCCCGATTTTGAGATCACGCTTCCAGAGCCTGACTTTTCTTTCTACGAGGCTATCGAATTCTATGCCAATATCAAGCGTGTGCCATCTTTCACCCATCTGCCCCGATGCTCATTACGGCCTGGCGGGGCTGGATAATGACGTATCTAGTCCAAGCAGATTGGGCATCATCGACCCTCTTGAAACGGTCGACTGGACGGAGAGCTAAAGGATTGACTTTGCATTTGCGTATCATGTCACGCGCCTGATCGACAAAACCGTGGTACGGAGGATAGTACAGGCCCTGACCTGGAGTACTCCGTACGTTAGCAACCAATGACCCTGATCGGCCGTGCATGGACTGGGTCCTGCACTATCGTAAATTAATAATAAGATAATGCAATGCGAGAGCCCCTGATGACCAGCGCAATGGAGAAAATCCCCGCCAACAATCGATGGTCAACTGAACCTCGGGGTCGGATGGGGCCCCCTGATTGGCTGCCCGCCCAGACCGCCTCCTGGCGTCATCACCGCCTCTCCGTATCTCCGCCTCCCCCCATCCACCATGGTCTCTCTCTGTTATCGTCCCTCTCCCTCCAGACTGAAGTCTAGCCTGGTGCTTCAGTATAGACAGTCTTCCAATGACGACCCTTATTCCCCGTGAGCCCTACTCCCAGGAGGAGCTGGAACGGCTCTATCCTCGAGATCTGAAACTCCAATTGGTTCAAGTGGTAAGGGCCGGCAAATGAACGGCTGATCAACGGCCATCTGGCTAACTCATCACCCAGTTCCTTCGTCATGGTGAGAATCATATAGCTCTCATTCTGGCTAGTAGACTCAATTTAACCGGTCGTCTCCAGGAGAACGGACACCCGTCTCTTCGCGATTTCAGAATGTATGCATTCAACCCTCTCATTGATGGCTCTCCATGCTAATGTCGTCAAGGCAGGACTTGCACCATGTAATGAACATCCCAACTGACGAATACCTTGACCTACCTCTCACTGACTCGATTTGATTTGGATGAAGACTGGCCATATTGCAATGTTGCGCGGCAGATGATCCAAATGGCCTCCAGTAACAAAGATATCACATCATGGAACGGGTTCCAATGGCGGAGGAAGACGGAAGCTTTTGGCGACAAGGACCAATCTGTGGTTGCAGTGGGGGCGGGAGGTGATATAGAAGGCATCTGGCAAGTTAAAGGACACACGTTAAACGCCTAGGAAGTCCTGCTGACTGAGAACAGCCAGCACGGTGAGCTGACAGACAAAGGACGGGAGACAACCTTTGCGCTGGGCCAGCGTCTACGACACCTCTATGTGGATCAGCTGGGTTTCATGCCCAAGATCAAAACCGACACCGAGGATATGTATCTTCGTGCCACTCCCATTCCCCGTGCCCTCGAATCCCTCCAGCAAGCCTTCTGGGGCATGTATCCCGCCAGTGCCCGCACACAAGACTTCCCACCCCCGGTGATCGTTGCACGCTCTGTTTCGGAGGAAACGCTGTTCCCTAACGAAGGAAACTGCCGCCGCTTCAGACAGCTTGCTAGACTCTTTGCAACCCGAGCAGGAGAGATATGTATGTCTATACCCGAATATCCCTAGGCCAGTTTGAAAGCGGAGAAGAGACAATAAAGTAAATCTCCTTATGAATGCTCCTCTAACATGCTCTAGGGGACAACTCCGAAGAGATGGACTATATCAACAAGCGCCTGTCCAAATGGATGCCAGAAAGCTCCCCCAGAGTCGCCGTGAACGGCCATCCTCAGCTTTGTGGAATTAACGATACGATCAACGCCACTGATGCTCACGGACCCGCAACGAAGCTTCCCTCTGAGTTTTACGACCCTAAGGTCAGAGACTACATCGACAAGATCTCCGTCGATGAATGGTTCACCGGTTACGCCGAAAGCAATGAGTACCGTAAACTCGGTATTGGAGCTCTCCTTGGCGACGTTGTCGATCGCATGGTCAGCACCGCTGTCGACGGCGGCTGGCGCAGCGAGACCTCCGCGTCCGGATCCTCCCCCGACAACGGCAAAGCCATCAAATTCGCCATGAGCGGATGCCACGACACGACTCTTGCCGCCATCCTTACCAGCACGGGGGCCTTTGACGGCAAATGGCCCCCATTCACATCCTCCGTTGCCATCGAGCTCTTCTCTAAAGCAGATCAAGCACAAGCACAAGCACCCTCTAGCGAAGGTGCAATTCCCAAGAAGGGCGGACTGTTCTCCTTTCTGACTGGCTCCTCTTCCCCCGCTAACAACAATACTCCCCAACCATCCGAGACTGCCCGTGTTCCTCTGTCTTCCCTCCCCGAATCGTCCAAAGAGTCCCTGCGCACTCACTACGTCCGCATCCGATACAATGACCGTCCTGTCCGGATCCCCGGCTGCGCCGCCAAGACCGAGAACCATCTCCCCGGCGACGATACCTTCTGTACTCTAGAAGCGTTCAAGGAGATTGTCGACAAGTTCACCCCCAAGAACTGGAGAGAGGAGTGCCTGCAAAATCTCGGGGAGGGTCTGTACGGTAAGAATGAGAGCGAGAAGTCGATTGCGGGCTTCTAGAGCTATGGATGACGCGTACGTATGTACGCTCCATCCGTGTGTAAATTGCATTCTTGCATCTGTCTATTTTGCACCATGAAGACTAGATAATTCTATACAGAAGATAAGATACCTTTCTAGGGTAACACTTCTTTCTTGCCATATATGCCTTGAACAAAACCCCACAATCACATAGTATCCAAAGCTGTGTATATCTATCAGATAATAATACATAAGATGCACAAAATATATCCCGATATAAATAGCCCTTTACTGATCAAACCCTCATCCCAAATCTAAGGTTTATATATCACCCCCCCGCTTCCTCCCCAACTGCACCCGCTCCCCCTCACTATCACTCCCACTGGTACTCCACCCACTCTCACTCTCACTCGCACTCCAAATCGACTTCGTCTTGGCCGCCGCCGCCGCCGTCGCCGACGCAGGCCGATCAACCTCCATTTCAGCCTCATCATTCGCAGGAATCTGCTTATGTTTCGCCTGCTTCGCCTTCTTGGCTTTCTGCCTATTCTGCTCAATCTGCTTGGCGGCTTCTCTCCGCTCGGAGGCCTCTTCGGCACCGGCGCGCTCTTGCAAATCGAAGAGTTTCTCGACGGCCGGGGCGTAGGCTTGCGCGATGGGCATGTCGCCGACGCGGAGACGCATGTAGTCGAAGGCGGCGACGATGGGGACGTTGAGGCGGGGTCGGCTGGTGACTTTGATGTCGCCGAAGAGTTGGCGGCGGGTGTTGGTGTTGGTGGTGGTGGGTTCGGGGTCGTCGTCCGGGACGTCGAGACCGACTTGGCCGACGTGGGTGGTGGGATCGCCCTTGCAAGCGGAGGGGGTGGTGGTGGATTTAGGGCCTTCTTCGACGCGGGCGAGCTTTTGGTAGCGCTGGCTGAAGTGCGTGAGGAGGATGGCGCGGGCGTTCATGAGACGGCCGACTTCGAGAGCTTCGGAGAGAGTGGAGTGTTTCTTGGCGATGGCGGAGACGGCCATGTCGTCTTGGAAGGTGGCTTCGTGGATGAGGACCGTGGAGCCTTGGCCGATGGTGGCGAATCCGGCGGAGGGGCGGCAGTCGCCGGAGAAGGAGACCTTGAAGCCGTTGGGGAAGACTAGGGAGACGGCCATGGCGCCGCGGCAGTGGGAGACGCGGGTGGTCAGGAGGTCGGAGAGGCCGGTGGCTTCGCGGAGAAGGGCGGAGAGCGGGGAGGAGGGGTCGTGGAAGCTGACGATGGTGGTGTCGGGCTTGGCGGTGTCGAGCTGGTGGTTGGGATAGGAACCATCTGCACGGCAGTGGCGGTAGATGAACTGGGTGCGGATCTTCTCATGATGCAGGTAGGGTGTGGCGCTCAAGGGGATGATCTTGCCAAAGCCGTAGTTCTCGACAGCAGCGTATTCCTCTAGCCAGTTGGTCATCTGTTGCTCGGACACAACGAACAGACGCTTTTCCTTCAGGATCTTGGACATGTCCGTTTCCACGTCGTTTGTCGACGGGATTCCGTCGGGGTAGTTCTCCTTGAACCACGCGCGGATGACCGAAGCGGTGCCGAGATGGTGGTCGGCGTGGAGATGACTGATCCAGATCATCCGCAGGTTCTGCAGGACCTCGCGGAGTTTCTCGGGCTCAAAGACACGCTTGAGCTGACCGAGAGTGTTCTCACCGCAGTCGAGCAGATAGTACCCATATCCAGGCACGCTGACAAGAGTCGCGGAGACGTTGCGGTACTTGGACGGCGCGGAAGATCCGGTACCCAGCGTGATAATCTCCACGTCGGCTCCTGGGAGGTCCTTGCGGAATTTCTCGAGCTTTTGCGTAAACTCGGGTTTCTTCACCCGTTTACGTATGGTGCTCATGCGCTGGTCGATGGCTCGGGGCATCTTTTGGTCCACCTTTGCGGGCTCAAAATGCGGCTCGACTGCAGAGTAGTTGAGCGCAAACTGAGGCTCCATGTCGACGATGACACCGGGTGCCACCGGCTGCAAGGCAACAGGCTTGGCCGCATTTGCGCTCTCTGAGGTGGCATTGCCCGGCTGGGGAAGGGTCACATTGTCATGAACAAGGGTGGGGTAGCTATCAGGTCTTAAGAAGCCCATTCGGGTTGTCGATGTAGCAATGCTCTTCATCGACAGGTAGTTGGGACAATAATCCGGACTGGACACCGTGTGCTTGCACTGAGACATTCTTGCCACAAACTCGTGGAGCCGTGGGTGATCTCCTACGCCAGGACCCAAGATCCAAAGGAAGGCCTCCAAGTTCGTGGTGGCAGCGGGGGAGTTCCACTCAGGCCGGTTCACCAGGTCATCAACGTGAGCCGGGGTGGGCAAATCGATAATGGCCATACCCTTTCCTAACCGCGTCGGGGCCAGGACCATGCTCGGGGTGACGACTTTCTCATCTAGCGACATCACATTCTCGCCCCTAGCCAGCTTTGCATAGTCGGGTCCCTTCCGGACATTCAACTCTTGAGCCTTCTTCGGGTCGAACTTGCCCCGAATATCCTGGCCTCGGACGATATAAGAGACAGACTCCTGGCACCAGGTGGTGTGAGGGATCTTCTCGACGGACGCGCCCGGCCAAGGCTGGCGCACAAGAACAGTGATATCGGGAAGGGGCTCGTTGCCTCCAGGGACAGGTCCCTTGTACTGCTCGAGATCTTTCGTGACCGGGTTGCGAACGAACATGACTGCCGGCATCTTGACATCTGCCAGCTTGGTTTCGTGCAGAGCATCCAGTCTCCATGTCGAGTTAAACATGTCCGTGATCACCGACTGCCGAATGATTTGATCCCGGGTCCGTGCGTCAATCGAGTCCAGCGCGCTGTCGGTCTTCTCCTCAAACTCGTCGAGGCTTCTCTTCCTCGGGCTCAGGGAACGAACCTGCGAGGTCACTTGCGCCTGCGACACGGGAGACGGCCTGATGGGCATAGCCCAGACCTTGATATTGCTGTCCGACCAGGTAGGTTGTTCACAGGGATCCTCCGTCTCAGTGCCACCGGCCTTGGCCATGCTCTCCGAATCGTATTCCCGCGTAAACACCGGCGTACCTTTACGGAAGACGAACCTCCGCGCCGTGGCGATAGAGTGAGTGAGGTTTCGGCCTCCATGGATCGTAAGGGTTCCTCGTTGCGCGATCAGCTGTCCGTCATGAACAGCATACGACATCCCATGTTCCCTCTTGCCTTTTCCATCCGACTGCCCCCTTAAGCGCTCTTCTTTCTCACGCGCAGTATTTTCTATGGCATTGTTCGAGCTGGCTATCCCATCCGCCAGCGTGAGAATCACACCAATCAAGCCCCCAGTGTTGCTCCAGTTGATCCCGCCCGTAAGGAAGACATCGGTCAAATAGGTGATTCGAATCCCACGCTCCGTGCATGCGCGCTGAGTGCCCTCGGAAAGCTGCCCGAAGAAATAACGCTTGTCCGGAAAGTGAAGCAGGACCGTAGTGCCGGGGGTATCCGCCGTCGGCGTGGTCAGGACTTCGTAGTAGGACTTCATTGGATGATTGCCCGTCGGTGGCCTCGGTGGAGGGCCAAACCCTGATGTCTGAAAGGCCTTGGGATTGTATAGAAGGAAGTTCCGCCCACGTTTGTTCGCTAGTCTGGGGGCCGGGAGCGGAATACAGTCTGGGTCGAGGAGAGGTTGACCAATTCGAGAATCCGTCGAAGCAGCTTGTGGCGCACGTTCTCTGGGGGTCTTGCGCTTCTGCGGGTTAGCCCTAGGTCGATAGGCCCGATAGTCTCGAGGAATCGAAGTTCGGAGGAGGGCTGGAGAGGGGCGTCGGGGAGTGACGGCGACTCCGCGAAAAACACTGGCGAGTAGCGCCCCGGACCGCAGAAGGGAAGCCAACTTGGATCGAGGGGGATGGAATGAAGGGTAAATATAAGGTCAACGGACAGTCATTTCATCCGTCAGTCGAAGAGAAAAGATGAGAAGCACCCAACTAAAAGAAGGGAGCGATGTGAATGGGAAGAGTCAGAGTTGGAGGCTGAATCAGTCCGGGAGCCTCGCCGCCCGGCAACTTTTTTTGACGGGCTTCCGCCGCGGGTGATCGCCACCTCCACGCACACTCTGCATGCTCTGGACAGTTCACTCACGAGGAATATCTGGACTTGAGGAGACTCATGGCGGACTCATTCATCCATATGGAGTATAAAGTAGAAAATTCTCAGCTCCGGCCACGGAGGATTGCCAGAGCAATGCTACGAGATATCGCATCTTCCGCAATTCTTACATTGTAATCGGCAGGGAGCTCATTAGTTTCTTTAACTTTTAGATATATTGATTTGTATCTCAGTGTATTCCTTAACCAGTCCGAACAGTACCCAATGTTCCCAAATTCCAATCCCAAAAGGCCTGCCCTTGACCATACACCTGAAGCCATCCCATCAGAACCCCTGAGAAAAGAGAAGCAGCAGAGAAAAGTGAAAATGTAGGTGAAAAGAGCCACGTCGAAGTGCACGAAAGTGTATATAGTCACAAGATCATAGACAAAGGAAAGACATTGGTGTCGACATGGAGCGTTCCATCTTGGAACCACAAGCGAAAAAGATAGGTAGCAAAGGAAGAACCAGCTTTACATTACTCTGAAAAGGCTCGAAAGTGCGCGACATGGGGAATCATGAAAGATGAGCAGTCATCATGGAAACGCGCTCAAAGGCTGCTTCCATGCTATTGCAAAAGTGAGCGAAACGCCGAGCATCAGCCTCGACCACGAGCTCGAAAGCAGGGGCGGATTTCTCAGCGCCGATCCCGTCGAAAGAAACATCGGATTCTTCCGAAGTAGGGGCAGGCCGGTCGGCGAAGAGGGCAAAAGCAGGGTCCGATTCATCGATGACCACATCGGGGTTCTCGACGCCGATATCCGACTTCTGCTCGGCCTCGATCACGATTGGCAAAGACTCCAGGACAGGAGCCTCATCTTTCGAGCTGGGAATGCTGGGGAGAGAGGAGTCCATGATGCTGGAGGTCTTTCCCGAGAGGACCTCGGTATCAATAGTGGGCTCCGGGACTTCCAGAACGGCGAAGACGGAAGGATTGCCAAAGTTCATATCGATCCCCGAGTTCCAGCCCCCGTTGAGGCCCATGGCAGAAACATCAAGTCCTTGGTTGGAGACCATGACCATACCGACTTGAGGAGGCTGTTGCATGGGGGGCTGCGACATGGGTGGCGCCTGTTGTTGCGGCTGCTGGTGGGGCTGGGGCTGGGGTTGTTGGGGATGCTGGTGGTGCTGAGGGTGCGCCTGGGGCTGCATTTGGCTCGGGAGGGGAAGACCGTTGGGGCCCATCTCGTCCAGGAACTGAGAGAAGTGAGGAGACGACAACAGCATACGGGCGAGATCGGTGAGGCGGGCGTTCTCCTCATAGAGAGCACGGTTCTGCAGACGCAGTTCGTGGGCTTCGTTGGTCTTGGCGGCAACTTCGCTCTCGAGCTGGCCGATGTACTCTAGATACCAAGTTAGTTACCTTCTCAATCGATTACGTGGGAGATAGTCCATACCCTTTCTGCGAGACCGGAAAGCACGAGCCGAGACCTTGTTGCGGAGCTGACGACGCTCCTTGCTGCTGAGCTTCTTTCCTTCTTCACTGGCCAACAGCCTCTCGTCCTCGTCCATATCCTGCTCATCCTTCTTGGCCTTGGCCATCTGAGGCAGGACCGAAGGGGGAGAGGGAGAATCATCTGGCGAGCTGGCAGACTGGCGCATTTGCTGCAAGAGGCGGGAGATGCGTTCATCCACAGCAGGGTTGGAGGGGCGAGGAGTCTGGCTGTGGGGAGCTCCGTTGTGGTGCATGTGCTCTTCCATACGGCGCTGCTGCTGGAGATGCTGCTGACGGAGGTACTCATGGTGCTTCTGCTGTTGAGCCGCCTTGGCCATCGCAGCCTGCTGCTGGTGCATACCCGGATACATGCGACCCACTTGGGTGGAGGCCGGGACAACCTCATGGCCACCCAAAGCATTAGGGTCGACAAATTGGTTCTTGTTGCTGGGGTTGGGGGAGATGAAGTAAGCGGGGACGGCCCCCATGCTGTCGGACTCCAGGTCCATTTCGGAAGGATTACGAGTCGGGGGGCTGTTGAAATCCATGGGAGCATCCTCGCGCTTCAGCTGGCTGTTGGCGTACAGGTCTCCATTCATCGGGTAAGCGGGGCTTGGGGCACCATATCCCATGCCGTTCATGTGGTTGAAGGTCATGGCATGGGCCAGCGCACCTGGAGGAAGGCCGGTCTGCTGCTTGTGTTCGTCATACTGGTGACTGGGACCTTGGAAAGCGACTGGTGTTTGTTGAGCTGTCGTTGAGGCAAACCCAGCACTTCGTACATCGCCTGCGTTGAACTCGGTGCTTGGAAGGGTTGGCTGACTAACCAGGGCGATCTTGGCCCGGGCTGGCTCTGCGGAGGTGTAGGCAAGTTGATCGAGGTTAAGGAAGGATTCGATGTCCTGTTCAAAGGATGTAGGCGCGACGACCGGATGTTCCGCCAATGTAGCCATGGTGAGGATGTGTGAAAGGGTGGGTTGGATGGCGCTGCCGAGTTAACGAGAGCGAGGAGCAGCGCGTTTTGCTTAAGTGCACGGTCGGAACAGCCACAGGGGGTAACGAGAGACGGTAGGATGATCCGGGCGATTGAAAGGGGGAAGTCGGTCAAAGAGGTTACTAGTAGTAATCACGGAAACACAAGTAGTCTATGCGGGATATCGAAACAATAGGCAGTACAATAACGTAACGATGGCAGGTAGTGGAGAGAAACAGAATCTTTGAAGGAGTATAGTGGGAGTGGTAGGAGTATGAGGTGGTGATTGAGGATAGAGAGATGGTAAAATTGGAGGATCGACCCAAGTCGGCGGACGGACGGGATGAGCGAGTTAATGAGGAAGAGAGGAAGGGAAGGAGGGAGGAATGGATGGATCCCGCGAGGAGCTGGAGACTGAGAGATGCCGGGCAGTGGGTAGACCACTAAACTGGAGTGAACGAGCGCGCCGGGGAGGGAGCAGCAGAGCGCAGCAGCACAGGGAAGGAGCAACGGAGAGCGCCAGGGGAAGCGAAGAGACCAGGTGGGCAACTTCTCCACGCCAGGAATAGAAATCAGGTAAAAGCTTGCGCGTCCTTTGGCTGAGTCAGCGGCAGATTGGGTCCGCCCCGCTTATTCTTTCGGTCGTATTGGCCAAGAGCATCACGCTACTGCAAGTTCAGCATCTTAGGGCTTCCGGGGAGCAGCACCCTAGAGGGTGGCCTCCACTTCTCCCTGAGGGACCAGCGACTTAGTGCCTGCTAGTACCGGTTTTCACCCGCCCTCTCCTCTGAACAAAATCCAGGTTCGATCAGGAGATCGTCGATAAGATCGGGTGTTTGTTTACTTGCCCCTTGACAGGTGTGGGATGAGTTCTCCGGACGGCTGTTTTTATTGATTGCTCGGCTACCATTTTGGGCGGACGTGAAGCATGTCGGCCAACCTAGACGGCCCTCCGGAAAACTCTGTCGGCTGACTTCTTACGAGAATGGGAGGTGAAGGCATGCGAGATTTTCTTTCACGAGCCGCCCCCTAGATGGTTGCCCCGAAGTCTCTTGCAAATGGACTGACTGTCTTCCCGTCCCTTTCGCCTCCCTTCTGACACCTTGCCGTTTCAAGTCGATTTCTCCGAGTGACTGAAACGGCGGCAGAGGTGAGCACATTTCCAGCTCCCTTCAATGTAGTCGCACCAATCAGACGGGCGGCCGGCCACATTATTGTTCACATTGGGTTCCGATGTATCATCACTTTATGACGTTAGTGGCTCAGGCTGGGCCAATGACGGTCCCAATATAAACGACGTCTTCGATCCGGTTGCAGCAATTGTGATGTAGTCCACCAATCGGCACCTGGATTGTCAAGGGGTGAACCACTGGAGCTGATTTGCCTGGTCTGGAATGTCTTCATCCTTCTTTGCCAACGGGTCTATGGGACGAACTCTGGGGGGGTGGATGGGGTACATGCCAGTCTCGACCGAGCGAAACCAATGTTCCTCGTCAACTGTCGAAGGTGGATGGAGGGTAGCGAGTCCACATCTGTTGCTGTGTCTGATGCAAGTGGGTGTTCTAGAATGACCAATCGAGCTCTCGACTCTTCAATGTGAAATTGGGAGCAGTGAGACCCCGTCTGCTGGCCCCTGGTGGGGAAGCGTAACGGCCCCGATGGCTGCCCTGACCGGACCTTGCCCGAGGCAGTTTAGCTCCGGAAACAAAGCTTGGCGCGGGTCTGCCATGGAATGGATGAAAGAGCCACTCCAAGGACGAAGGGGCCCTTCTTTGCTTCTCGCCTCGCGCCCGGTGGTTCGGTCTCAACTTTTGGGTGGCCCATCCCAGCGCTATCCGACCTGTTAACCTGGCTAGGTACTGCTCCACCTCTCCTCACAAGCGTGAAGGATTCTCCTCCGTCTTTAAACTTTAGACGCCGGTTTCCAGCCCGCGCATTTGACAACAATTTTAACGACGGTCGGACAAAAGTACTACTGGAGGAACAGCGGGCGTATCGCCGACGTCCGAGCCGCGCCCCTATGAATCTGTGACACAGTGACACAATATTCTCATGCCGTTGTGTCACAGACGGGTGATCAGATAACATGCGATTCTACGGAGTACCTACTACCGACGGCCTTACAAAGGGGCGACGAAAGGCTGATCCGGCCGAAACTTTTGCCGGACCCAATTCTAGACCTTCAGACTTCGCGATTGCTTCGGATGCGAATCAATGGATGAAACTCCCCTCAACGGGGAAATACCTGTCCATGGGTCGTTCCACCAGTCCCAGGTAGGATACTGCAGTCTGGTAAAGTCGAGTTGGATCCAGGCCTGGTTGTGCGCTCGAGGGTTGACTCGGCCCTAGTCCTACTAGTCGAGCAAATCTTTTTCCTAGCTCCAGAACCCCTGATGGGCGCAGCCGATGCCGCAGCATCGCGATAACCTCAATAGGCAACCGAGACGATATAAACTATTCCGCTGCAGTTGCTAGTGTTCCTTCTATGCCAGATCCTGGAATAGTCTTGCCGTTTGCCTCTAATTTTGCCTCTGGAATCCATTTGCAGATCTGTGGCTGAGACTGAGCACGACGTGGATGTGAAAATAGCACGTTCTGCTGCCGTCTTCCGAGGATTTTCCTTCTGTTTCAGGTGATCGAGCCCTATAAGGCTTTCTGCGAGGCTGCCTTGTTTGGACTGCAGCAGCCAACTCTGAAAATGGGAGTAGTACCACAATGATTTAGCCACGGTTTCTCTGCATTGTATTGATGTTGATTTCCTGCGCAAAGGCAACCATCTCGAGCCAGCAAGCAACCGTTCGCAGCTTGCGCCCAATTCATACCACTCCAACCAATTCACGTTGCACATTTGGTCAGCATTGCAACTTATAAATTGCCACCACATGCCAATGTTGCAACGGACGTGAAGGCGAACAATGACATACAAAATGTAATGTTATGACCTCACCCGAGGTGTTGGTCCAGCGACCGAAAACAGCCAAGCTGTGATGTCACTGGCAACCACACCACTAGACCGACCTCAAATCTCGAGAGAACCCAATTGTAGACCACACTTGATACATTTCACATAGATTATTTACTATCATATTGTAGGTGTCAATCACACCACTTTCAAATACATAACCCATAAACATTCATCACATCAGCCAAATCCAATGGATAATATAACCCAATTGCCTTCATCATATCCAAAAGGGATGAATTTACTCCTCCGGAGCCTCCTGATCATACTGACTCTTCGAACCACCCTTTTGTCCCGCCGCGCGAGCTCTCGGATCCCCAGGCTGGAAACTACCAGAGGACGCCTGACCACCTTGAGACGCGATATCGCGCTGGAAGAGTCAGCCCATCCAAGCTCCTTGCCATCCATACCATCTCATCAAACAGCTGAGATGGATATAGAAGATGAAATATACATACCTGCTTAGAAGGATCCATACTGGCAAATCCACCCGAGTGCGACGACTGGCCGCCCTTCTTGGCGATGTCGGACACTTCGTCGTGGCTCCGGTTGGCGAAGTTTCCGGGGTTGGTGTTGGATGCCATCTTCTTCTTTGCTTATTCCTGTAATAGGATACTGATAGATGTAGGTGTGAATGTAGATGTAGATTAGATCTTTGATTCTGATTCTGAATCTGCTCCCCAGACTAATCAACAACTACCCAACTTATATACCCATGACCAACGGGATGAAGTCATGATTTTTAATTCTGACATCAACAATCGTAATTCCAAAGCATAATCAACATCATCCACCTAATCGATGATCTCTTCTTTCCCATGAAAGGGACAAAAACAAGATATTGTCTTGCATTGAATACTTGGTATTGGCTCGTGGGGATGGAATTGCCATGTTTCCGTCACGGTGGCACGGGGTAAGATGGAGGGGATTTGTCTTGTTTGGTGTGTATTGTGTATTGTGTTTGTGTATTTGAGGCGGGTGGGTTGGGTCATGGGTACGTATGTTGTGTCTAGATTGGTTATTTCATATTACATACTGTGTACTATGTAGTAGAATCTTGTGTGAACTGTGTCGTGTAGTGTATACTGTGTATGATTGTGTCGTGTTGGGATCGATTGCGTGATTGTGCAATCATGGATTGGAGTGATGGTGCGGCTTCTAGATGCGATTCTATTCTTGGGGATGAGGTCGGGGATACGTAGGGGGCGGTGGGTGTCATGTCATGGATGGAGTTTGTGGCGAGGTGGAAGATGGTGATTGGGTTGGGCGGTGGTGGTAATGGTGTCAGTGGAGTTTATTGTGTAGGAGATGTGTAATGCGGATTTGTTCTAGACGGGGTCTAGGTTTGGGGTATACATTGTTGGTTTTATTGGTGATGAAGAGAAGATATTGTTGTTAGGTGGGAAATGATCATTTGATTGCAGTGATTGTTTATGACAATAGTAGTACTTCATTGCTGGTATGCATACTCCGTATGGAATAGCAACACAATTTTGTGCATTGCCTACTATATCATAATCATAGTGTCATAATCTCATAATGTCTGATCAAGGCTTATTCATTGCAAACACATTGCATGCATGAAAGGCTGGATGTTCTCAGCGGTCATCAACATATACGTATCGAAGTTAGAATAAAGGCATATTGACGGTATTGGTATAGTCAATGTTGCTAGTGACCGACTCCAGACGCTCATGGCACGTGCCAAAAATGCGATCCCACAGACGAGTCTGCTTGCCGTAGTTGTGGCTCTTGCGCCATCCTTTGCGGTGGTGGAGGTCGTGATCCTCAATGACAATCTCCGCATCCAGCATCTGCAGCAGCCAGCTCAGCGTCGACGGTACCGTCATGTGCACACGAAGGCCGCTATGCCCAAAGACCTCAGCAAACGCAACGTATTCGTGGCAGATCCACCACTCATAGAAGCCCATAGGCAGACCCAAGAATCTGAGGCTCAGGTAGGTCATCAACGGCACCCCGACCATGTCGAAGAACTCCTGTTCATGGTCCGCATAGGCAGCGAGGAGGGGATTAGGGTGTTTCGTCAAATGGTGAGTGCGATGGTACTTCCACAGGAAGCTCACGTCGTGCATCAGACGGTGGTACCAGTAGAACCAGAAGTCCAGCACAATCCCGTAAAGGCCAATCTCCAGAGGGAGCCATGCCCAGTTCATGGCCATGGGTGCTTGGCTGGCGTTGTAGGTGAGGTAGATCGACAGCGCTAAGCGAGAGCCGGTTGTTTTGTAGAGCGAGGCAGCAACCTTCCCCACACCAACATCAGGGACACCGTCGCGCTCATGTTGGTCGCCGTCAAAGAAGCCATAGGTATGGCCCAGGCGACGAAGGATCCGGATTTGGTAAACGAGGATGGTGTTGAACGAAAAGAAGTAAAGGTTGAAGATGGCGAACGGGCCGAGATTGCGGCCCATGTATGACACATAAGCCTGATTGATCGCGAGCGGAATGAACGAATAGAGGAGTACCCAGAGATTAAGCGACCACTGAGGCATATACGGCAGCTTGTCCTGCTTGGAGTGCACTGGCACCTCCCGGTCGAGATCAATGGGATAGGCGTCGAGCATCTCGAGTGCCCAGTGGCTGATGTTCCATTGGTCCCGGTTGGCGGTACGCCATGTGGACTTCATCGAGTCTTTGGGGTTGCGTGTGGTAGTCATGACAGCGGTGTTGCTCTCCTGATCATGGTCTGCCTTTGCGAATTGACACGGCCATGCTTTATACTATCATCGAACATAGAAGCCCCGGAGGCTCGGAAGGAGATATACCACAGCATGTGAAAGCTCTTCATTGAACCAAGATGCAAGCATCCATGTGCGGATCCATTTTCCCAACAAAACATCAGATGGGCATAGGGACATCAGACGTCAATTATGGTGGGTGCCTCTTTCACCTAAAGGAGCAAATGATGGACATGGAGAACTATTCGGCACATGAAGCCAGTGCATGTTGAATGCTTGGGACATGTTGACCCCGCATTGCTGAGCCTCGGAGCCCTTGGACGCACCGAGGATCGTCTGCAGATCTCATGTTCACACACCTGTGGTGTAGGGTCGCCAATCAAAGGTGGGAGAAGATGAGGAAGAGGGATGATCGACTGTTTGGGTCGGGAGATCCCTATACTTGAGACCAGCCGGGCGGCTTACCGCCTGCTGGGTTGGGTGAGCTCGCATCTCTTTCTTATTCAGGACTAGTCATAATCTCGCTTGACTCCTCAAACTGACCCTATTGCATGTGATTCTCTGAGCCTCAGAATGCTTTGCCGAAGTGACAACAACCGAGCTAGGTCAGGCCTGAAGAGTGATGGGCGGTGTTGGGATGTGCTTGCTTTAGTGGAGGATGGTGTTGCGAGGGCGCTAAACCATGTTGGGAATCTGCAGACACCTCAGGCTGTCACACCTTTGGCGCCTATGGAGCATTTCAACATCAGAACACTGATCTCGTGATTGACTGAGATTGAGAAGCCTGAGTCTTCATGAGAGAATTATGCCGGACTAGCTGATAGATTTCATTCTCTTTCCTAATACCATGTCGGTGCTGTTTGCTTGGAACGCTGTAAAGGGTCATTGGCTCAATGAATCCACAGTGCCCATCACTTTCTTCCACAAGAACATACGATAGTTCCCTATCATACATCTAGTATTCTGCAGTGGTCATTAATCCACGCCTTTTCTCATCGCATCAGGAACATTCTAAGAAGATACCTCTTGACCTGAGCTGCCTTCCCAAAGGCATGCACAATGTTTGACACATATACATACCCCGAGAACCTACTGGGCTATTTCATTGGCGACCGAAGAAGCAGAGAGATTATCGACGAAGCCTTCACATCTACAAAACCTGTTTCTGGATTTTTGGTTCATAAAGTCGGCTTCGACCGGGCTTGTCTAAATCAAAAAAAGCTAGAGCGAAGCACTCCCCTCGGAGAAACAAAGCGAGTCAAAGACCAGATGTGTCAGTGAAAATGCGATGAGTCAAGACATCTTGATGACTTGCCATTTCATCCCCAATCGTGACTTTGACTGGCAGATCGGCTATTCCCGTTTGGGACCCCGACTCTCCCTACAGAGGCCCATCCCGCTGCCGGACCGCGACCTCACCAAGGATCCAAAGGCCGGTCGTGTGGGGGCGTGGATTCTTGAATGCAGTATTATACGGGAGATCAGGTCTTGGGGATGTGTGCACCAATCCAAAGAGGCAGTTTCTGGAATGCCGATTTCACAGTTATTTATGGACGACCCCCTGCCCTTAGCGAACTATGAAAGGGAAGCAATAGCCACATGATCTTTTGGTAAACCAAGCTCCAACTGCCTGCAGCCAGCTCTTTACATTCAATTGCTTCCATCTCAAAACCGGAGTCTTCTATCCAATCAGATATTCCAAAACACACTTCCATCATGAGGAATCAATCCATCATTGCTACTTGCAAACAGACCCGATTCCATCTCCATGATAAGGCATCACAAGAGGTACGCGGCTGCTGATGCGCAATTGTGACCATATAAGTACGCTAATCCCAGAGCTACGATACCATAGGTCGACGTGGAGGGGCTCACTATCGCGGTTTCATCTACCTCGAATGAAGAACAGGTTCCGGCATCGAAACCTAAAGGGAGATCAAAAGCCAAGGCTGAAGCAAAGGAGCTTATAATTGATGCACATCTGCGTCTCAAAGCGGGGGTCTGCTACGGATTGATAGGCCGAAATGGAACTGGAAAGTCGAGTGGGTAATATCTTCCTGGGCGATGGTATAATGAGAAGTGAATGTTAGCACTGACGCTCTTTTATAGCACTCTTGCAAGCCATGGCCGACAAGCTTGTGCCGGGTATACCACATGCCACCCGCATCGCCATCCTGCAGCAGACCGACTCTCCATCACAGGACAGCCTAGATACTGAAGGACATCGAAACAACGACAGCAATGGATCTCAAAAGAAGGTGCTGGAGTATGTCATGAGCAGCGACCATTATAAGAATGAAGTTGTTCAAAAGATGGACCGTAAGCCGTCGTACACAGCAGAGCTTCTTACATAACCACTGATGTATTCCCAAGTGTTGTCCAAGAGCTTTGACTCAGACGATCCGTTACAGCCTGTGCGGGCCATCCGAGCTGTCCGTCATGCAGAGGCTGAAAGAAATCTTTTCCTGGCTCAGAAAATGGCACATCTGAAGAGCGGAGCAAGAGGGCTGCAAGCACGGAAGGAGTTGAAATCTGCCGAATCCAGGATGGGTGTCGCTTCAGAGCTGTAAGCTCCTATGATCCAAAGTTTCAGCTACATTGGCTAAGCTCTGCACCCAGGTTGCACCAGACAAAAGAGTCAATAGACGCAGACTTAATCCAGGAGGACACCCAAGCTGCTCTGGAGACTTTGGAGGATCTACAGTCTCAGTTTCAAGCCGTGAGTGCCCCTTGCTGCAAGAGGTATTAGCTATCGCTAAACATAGTAATGCCAGATGAATGTTGTCGATACCGAGCAACAAGCCCGTCAAATCCTCACCGGTCTCGGCTTTGACGAGGCGACGCTCAATAAAACCTTTTCGGAATTGTCTGGTGGCTGGCGTATGCGGTGTATGCTAGCCGGTATCTTGATACAGAATCCAGATATCATGATTCTTGACGAGCCAACGAATTTTCTTGATCTTCTGGGCATCGTCTGGTTGGAACAATATCTACAGCGGCTTCGCAAGTCTTCACTTACGACCTTGCTGATCGTATCGCACGATAGGGACTTTTTGAATGCTGCCTGTGAAGAGACAATCATCCTGCGGGATCAAAAGCTCACTTATTTCAAAGGGAATCTCTCCGCGTACGAGCAGGACCATGAGGAGCAGAAGCTGTACTGGGGCCGTATGAAGGAAGCCCAGGACCGTCAAATTGCACACATGGAAGCAACCATCCGCGACAACATCAAACTCGGGAAGAAGACGAACGATGACAACAAGTTGCGCATGGCTAAGTCACGGCAGAACAAGATTGATAATCGGATGGGTATCCAGGTGAGTGCGACTGGCGGGCGCTTCAAACTGAACCGGGATCTTGTTGGCCATCATTTCACAGCGCGGGCGCAAATTGAGGTCCCAACAGATGAACGTGGTGCCTTGATAGCTCTGCCGGATGCCTCTGAGTTGCGATTCCCCGGGCCTCTGATATCCTTGGAAGGGGCTGTCTTCAGCTACAACCCGCGCGAAGCTCCCGTACTGAATAAGATCGACCTTGTAATGCACATGGGGGATCGCGTGGGCATCCTGGGACTTAACGGAAGCGGGAAATCAACTCTGGTGCGTGTCCTGACCGGAGAAGCCATGGCGACACAAGGCAAGGTTACTACCCATTCAAGGTTGAAGATTGGATACTACGCACAACATTCTATTGAGGAGCTTCAGGAACGGGGCCTGGCAGATCCTGACCTGACTGCCTTGGCGTTGATCGCGCGAGAGACCAATGGCGCGCTAAGTGAAGGCGAACACAGGGGTCTGCTATCAGCACTAGGCCTACAAGGCAGGGTAGTATCCGATGTTCCCATCCATCGACTGTCAGGGGGTCAATTGGTGGGTGGTACCATCTTTGCTTTTCCCGATCGGACTAACATGCCATTAGGTTCGCCTCTCACTGGCAAGGGTCCTGTGGAACTCTCCACAATTGCTCATTTTGGATGAAGTTACCACCCATCTGGATTTCTACACGGTTACAGCGCTTTCTTCAGCCCTCTCGAGATTCAGTGGGGCCATTCTGCTAATCTCGCACGACCGTTTCTTGGTCCGATCGGTCGTCGAGGGAAAGCAAGACCTAGAACATAGTCTGGATGAGAACTTTGAAGGCATCGAGAAAGAATCAGAGGAACAACCCGGTCGAAGACGAACGGTGTATGTGCTGAAAGCAGGCCAGCTCAAGGAACAGGAGCGTGGCGTGGAGCAGTTCGAACAAAGCCTGGTCCGGCGGGTTCGCAAGATGCTGTCCCCGCCCGGTTGACATGCTGTATCGGGCGCATTTACGGGGTATGCAGATAGATAATCATGGTAGGCAGAAATCAAACGCCCGACCGGCTGGACGTGACGAAGTTGCCCCTGGGGCCCTGAAGAGTGGAAGACAAGCACTGGATGGCAGCCCTATGCGGGGGGGGGGGGCGAAGATCTCGGCCCGTTGCCTAATCACGTTGCCGTCCCACGAATTCCGGCTGGAGGACCCAACCGTTTTATTTCTTCTTGCCGCCTTCTTTTGTTCTCTCTCTTCCTGTCTCCAACAACAATTGTCTCCCATCTTGTATATCTGCCTTCGAAATGTCCGCTGAAATGGAATAACACACGCTTTCCCCCCGTTATACCCTGAGCTTGCCTATACCATAAGAAACTAGGACAGCCCGCTAAACCCGACTTGATCGTTGCCCCCCTGTTATCGTCTGCGACCCTTACTTAGCTAAACCCTGCATTGCTACTAACTACTATCGATCTATTGACTACGGTGCCACTACTTGCTGCACGCCATTACTCGTGACGATCTCCCTCGATTTTCCAATCAAGCCACCCTTTTTTTAACGGTGACCTTGACTTAACTGCCTTTGTTGCAAATTACCTTCAATCGAAATATGAAGCATTATCGGACACGACTCAGAACCTTTCAGATTTTGCAAAGTCCTTGTGGGTAGCGGTGTGCGCCCTCCCCCCCCCCCCAGCCGGATTTCCGCCTCCGGCATCACCTCGAATTGAACCTTGTGACCTCGAATTATTTCCGATTTCTGTGGGATTGATCTGCACCTGCAGGCCTGCTGTCTGCTCCACTTGACTGACCTGATCCGCGGGGCTTCGTGAAGCCCGCGGTTCCTGTCAGCATGCCTCGTGAGTCTTGCCCTGCTTATCTTTCTTTCTTTCCCGATTGGAGACGTCTGATATGGCGCTGCCTCGCCCCTTGCGTCGTGCGATGGTTAAGAAAAGCCACGAGAATATGGGGGACTGAAAGATCGAGACATATATTATCATGAAGGGCCTGCTTGCTGACAGGGTGGATGCTTAGCTCACGGCTGGCGGCAGCTTCTCGGTAGAAGCGTAATGGCGGTGCTTCCGCCATTCAACTTCCTTACGCTTCACTATGCCTACTTTATTGCGACGCCGCTTATCTGTAGCGCCATCTTTTGGGGCTCCGCCACTCCATCGCGCAGCATCTCATACGTTGACTCCTTATTCATGTGTGTCAGCGCTATGACAGGTGCTGGCTTGAACACCGTATGTTCAGACCCTCCGTTCTCCAATGGTGCTCGGAAACTAATTTCAAGCAGGTCGATCTTTCTGCCCTGAACTCGTTCCAACAGTCTATTCTCTTCGCGCTCCTCTTCTTGGGACACGCTATCCTCATCTCAATCACGGTGCTCTTTGTCAGGAGGAGCGCTTTCCAAACCAAGTTCAAAGGCATCTCGCTAGAGCGTGCACGTAGGAGACTAGCTCAACATATGATGGGACACGGTCCCTCACTTGGCCCCATCCAAGAGGGAGGCGTCAGCGTGGATCAACTTCAGTCGGAGAAGTCAGTCGATGCTGGTTATGGCGTCAAGCCGACAGTGACAGCAGAGGCTGCACCTGCAGAAAGCAGCAACGAAGTTTCAGATGATGACCCTTTTCAATGGGTTGACGATGACCAAGTCACGCTCGGCCAAATGAAGGCACGCCAAAACCATCATCACCATCGGGTATTCCCCATGGTGGGCGTTGGGGCTCGACTTGATTTGAACAATCATCCCCGAGATGCTACGCCAAGATTGGCACAGAGCGAAGAAGACAGTTTGCCTGCTCTTAAGGGCTTCATCAAAGGAACCCAGAAGTACTTTAAGTCGAAGGGATCCATCGCGCGGAACTCTCAGTTTTACGGACTGACGCCTGACGAGCGGGAGAGATTGGGAGGCGTGGAGTATAAGGCAATCACCTTTCTGCTGGTGATAGTCGCTCTCTACTGGGTGCTAACTGTCCTTGGCGGTATCATTGGGATGGGTACCTGGTTAGCAGTGAACCACCCGGACATCTCTCGCACGAATGGCTTGTCACCTTTCTGGACAGGCGCGTTCTTTGCTGTTTCCGCCTTTGTAAACAGCGGCATGTCGCTCTTGGATGCCAACATGACTGCATTTCAGACGAAGTAAGAATCTGCCCTACGTAATCTGGTTGCGGAAACATACTCACCGTTATTCAGTGCGTACCCGTTGCTCACCATGGCATTTTTGATTCTTGCTGGGAACACGCTTTACCCTTGCATCCTACGGTTCATTATTTGGGTCTTGCGCTGCCTGCTTCCAAAGACGCCGTCGTGGGCTACGTGGAGAGTTACGCTTGACTTTATCCTCGACCATCCCAGAAGAGTGCGTAATTAGAAACCAGTTTCGGACCGGGTTCACTGCTAATTCGGGCTCAGGTATACACGAACCTCTTCCCAAAGCGACACACATGGTACTTGTTTGGTACCATCATCATTCTGAACGCCATTGATTGGGCCGGTTTTGAAGTCCTTTCAATCGGAAACAAGGAAATTGAGAGTTTGCCCAAGGGCTACCGTGTCTTGGACGGATTGTTCCAGGCTTCCGGTTCGTATCCTTATCGCCGTTGGTGGTTCCAGCATCTAACCTCATGTTCGCAGCCGTACGTGCTGGAGGTTTCTACGTTGTTACTATTTCTGATCTCCGGCAGGGACTGCTTGTTCTATATGGTAAGCATATCCTCCAAATTGTTGGCTAGCACTGTACTAACGTCTCGCAGTTCTCATGATGGTCAGTTTCCAGTGGTTTCCAGAATGAATAGAATACAAGCTAACCTTATGTGTAGTACGTGTCAGCATACCCTGTGCTGCTGACCATGAGGTATGTGATCTCTGCTCTCATCTTAAATACCATCCACTAACCACCCCAGAAACACAAATGTATACGAAGAGCGCTCCTTGGGAATCTACGCCCACGACAATACGGATGACGAGAACGAAGGAAACCCATCCCCCAACATGGCCATCCAACTGATCAGACACCACCTCCTTGGGCGACAAGATGCATCCACCCCTGAAGCATCCCGCAGCTACTTCGTCCACCAACAACTGCGCTCCCAACTAAGCCACGACCTCTGGTGGATCGCGCTCGCCGTCTTCCTCATCGCCATCGCCGAATCATCCAACTACAACCACATGCCCGTAGCCTACTCGACCTTCAACATCATCTTCGAAGTCGTCTCCGCCTACGGTTGCGTCGGCATCAGCGTGGGCTTCCCCGGCTCGAATGCCTCGTTCTGTGGCTCCTGGCACGCCATCAGTAAGCTGATCCTGGCTGCGGTGACCCTCCGAGGCCGTCATCGTGGTCTTCCGGTCGCTATTGATCGGGCTGTCATGTTGCCGAATGAGTCGCTTGAGTGGGCCGAAGAGGAAGATGCGGCTATGCGGCGCGAGCAGTCTCGTGCTTGGGGTATTGATAAGATGCCCGTGGGATCCGTTTAGATCCTTACTATGACGCGATAGAATATTGACTTGAACATGGAGTGTACAGCGGAAGTGTCGGTAAATAAGGGGACATAGAGATAGAGTGGTTGATACAAAAGTTTTTTTTTTTTCTGGTTGATTATCGTCATTGCCATTTTGTGTGTGTTTTCGGTTTGTCATTCTGTTTTGTGAGTTGTTCATCACCATAGTATATGTATGGAGATAGAATGGAACGTTGCACTTTTATTGTTTTTCCCTGTTATGTGAAACCATCATTATACACTACTGTATTGGATCGACTCGTACCGATTCTAACTTTTGTATTGACACCAAAAACCCAGATAATGCGTATCCCAGATAGCTACAACTGATATCAAATATAGAGTATAACAATAACATGAAAAAAAGGATGTATTACATGGATGGACAGCTTAATCCTCCTCTTCTTCAAACTCAAGCTCGTCCTCGTCTTCATCCTCCTCTTCCTCTTCTTCCTCTTCCTCATCCTCATCCTCACCACCTTCGCTGTCATCATCGGAACCCTCTACTTCCTCGTCATCGTCATCACTGTCATCATTCTCACTAATCACATCATCCATCACAGCATCGTTATCCTCCTCCTTCTCCTGGGCTCTCCGCTTCTCTTCCTCCCGTCGACTCTCCTCCAGGAGGGCAGCCTTCTCCTCGCGCAACTTCCGCTGGGACTTGACGAACGCGCCCAACGGCGTCGTCTCCCAGTCGACATCCTTCAGGAAGGTGTCCACCTCGGCGCGATTCCGCGGCGTATAAGAAACAGTTAACCGGCGTTCCTCGATCCAGCGGGCATTAGCCTCGACCTTCTGCACCAGGAGCAGGATCATCTGGTTGATCTTGGTGTTCTTGTTGCCGCCGGAGCGGGAGCTGACTTGCTTGAGCCAGCGCTTGAGCGAGACGATGATGGGGACGGAGAGTTCGGGGAAGGCGATGTGCTTGGTCCAGAGGACGAAGAACTCGGAGAGGAGCTCGGCGACTTGTTCGCCGACGCCGTCTTGGTAGACCCGGGAGCGGAGGTAGGATTTCGGGGCGCGGATGGTCGTGTTGAAGTCGAGTTGCTTCAGGGTGCTGGACTTGGGGGGCTTGCGCATCTCGGCCAGGTTGAGGACTTCGACGAGGATGGAGGCCAGGGGGATGTAGGTGCCGGTGGCGCGGGAGAGGCGGAGGAGGGAGCGGGTGAGCTGGAAGCGCAGGGGGAAGTACTGGGCGGTGGGGATGAGGCGCATCGCGCCGATGGTGATCTGCACGACGGGGTAGATGAGGGGGCGCATGGCGGATTGCTTGCCGGCCTTGGCTTCGACGAGGCCGTCGCAGTGTTGGGAGAGGACGCGGGACCAGAAGTCGAGGGAGTGCACGTATTGCCAGTTGTAGACGGTCTTGTAGGATTCCTTGGACGTGTTGGTGATGCTGCTCCGGAGGTGCATGGCGAGCTGGCGGATGAAGTTGAATCCGGTGGTGTAGGAAACGTTCTGGTCGACGCCCCAGAGCTCGGCCGCGGAGTTCTTCATCAGGTTCACACCGGGCAGGGTGTGAACGGTCGTGTTCCGGCTACCCTTGACGACACCCTCGTAGGAGGCCTTGAGGACGGTCTCTTTCAGGCCGGCATCGCCGATGACCATGAGGCGGCGGAGGAGAAGGAAGGCAGTGATACGGGTGGCTTCGGTGGTCGCGACATCCGCCCAGATAGCGACGACGGTCTTGATGAGGACCTTGAGTAGCTTTCTGAACTGCAGGAGGTAAGGAAGCATGGGCTCGATAGAGGAGAGGGTAAGCTTCAGGGTCTGTTCGTCGGTCAGGTTGGTGAGCAGCTCGTGGACCGACGATGTGTGCGACTTGATGAGAGGTGTGAGGGTCTTGAACTTCTTCGAATCCAGCGACACCTTAACCTTGCCGGAGGCGGACTCCTTGACGGGGAGGTGGTGGTTGAGAACCCGAGGGACGTTTCCGAGGGCTGTAACAAGGACCTGGTGGTACACATCGGGGTCTGAGATCGAGTACTTCTGCTCGTCGTCCGCGTCGTTGATGTGGGCGGCGGCGCGGAAAGCCAGGACGGTCTGTCGCATCGCGCGGATCGAATGTTGCTCTTCCATCAACTTCTGCCACTTCTTCACCATCGCAATGGTGAGGGTGTCTGCCGTCTCCTCCTCTTCCTCTTCCTCCTTAGCAGCCTTCTTTTTCTTCTTCTTCGCCGGACCCTCCTCTTCCTCTCCCTCACTCAGCTCGTCCACTTCCGCGAGATCTCCGTGGTCATCGAAGTCGAGCAGTTCAGCGTCGTTCTCTTTGAGGTATTTGTAGAATTCGGGATCCTTCTCCTTCAATGCCTCGAGCTGGCCCTTGTGTGCTTCGAACGCATCGGCGTCACTGGACTGGGAGGCCGCATCGTCATCGCTAGCAACGTCCTCCTCAGCGCTGGAGGCTGCAGAAGCCTCCTCCTCGTCCTTCTGCTCATCGGAGCGCTTGCGCTTGCCAATCTTGGGTGTGACATCCTTCTTCCGAGCCTTCTTGCTCAAGTCCGCGGCGGAATCGGCAATATCGAACCCGCCCGCGAAGAAATCGTCGACGTTCATTTCGGCAAAGGCATTCTGCTTCTTGACCTGCTCGGGGCTCTCCTCGGTGGCTCCCTCACGTTCCGCACGGTTTTTGGCATTTTCGGCCTTACGCTTATCCTTGAGGTGGTTGCGCTGTTTCACCTTGGCAAAGGCATTGCGACGTTCGAGAACGTCCTTGAGGTGCTTCTTCTCGAACTTCTTGGTGGATTTCTTCTGACCCATTGTGCCCGAAAATATACCCTAACCGGCAGCGCGGACAGGATCAATCGTGTAAAAAAAAAGGGGATGAAGGACCACGACGACAGTCGAGTGTATCGGAGATCCGCCCAAGAAAAATCTGGAGAGGAAAAAAACATCCGGCGGCAGAACCGGGCGGTGAGCGGGGTCCGGTCAGGGCGACCGCCTTTTCCCCTCTCGCGGGCGGCGCCTCTGCCAGTCTTTCCCCTCATCACCGTCATGTATGCCCAGCGCCCGTTATCCTATGCCCCGACGCCGTACAGCTATACCCCTAATCCCGCGTTGGCGGCGTCTATCAATCTCGATGAGGTGAGTCTGTGTTGCCGGGGTGGGTTGCTGGCCCGGTGGTTGACTGTTGCGGCAGGAAGTGAAACTAGCCTCCAGCTCGGCGGAGCGGGACCTCTACGAGTCGTTGGCTGAGATCTACGGCATCATTGTCACCTTGGATGGTCTCGAAAAGGCGTATATCAAAGATGTGGTCACAGAGGCAGAGTACACGGAAACATGCACGCGACTCTTGAAGCAGTACAAGTCCAGCCTGGGTGACGACACCGTTGCGAATGAGTTTGTCGATCTAGAGACCTTCAAACGCACCTGGGGGGTGAGTATCACTTCTGTCTATTTGGCAGCGAAGCTGACTGTTAGCTTTTGTATAGCTGGAATGTCCCCGTGCCACCGAACGTCTCCGCATCGGTCTCCCCGCAACAGTCGAACAGGCTTCCCATAGCACACCCGCCGCGAACATGGCTCTGGCAGCAGCAGGCCCTGCAGGAGGGGCGTCGGGCAGTCTGATCCTAACGGCGACCGAAAACTTTATCACCTTCCTGGATGCGCTGAAGCTGAACATGGTCTCAAAGGATGCACTGCACCCACTCCTGTCGGAAGTGATCCAGTCCGTCAATAAAGTGACGGATGTTGATTTCGAGAACCGGGGCAAGATCATACAGTGGCTAATTGCCTTGAATCAAATGCGTGCAACCGAGGAGCTCAGTGAAGACCAGGCCCGGGAGTTGGCGTTTGACATTGAACAAGCATACCTGGGATTCAAGGCCACGTTGGGTTGAGCCTGTCTTACCGGAGTGGATTTCTGGGGTTGGGAATTGGTTCCTGGAGTTTGGAGTTCGATACCAAGCCAAATTAGCTGCATTGTTCTAGAACGTTACTTGTTCGTCGTTTGCCTCAATGCTGAATTGCCATCTCTTATCTACCTTCGGGTGTTCCTTTGGGCCGCCGCGGATCGGATCCGCGGGACAACCCACGCCAGCCTTTCCTCTTTGGGCTATCCCGACTTTTTTTTTGCTGCCCTGCATCCAAGATCCCCCAATCTTATTTCGCCACAGAGACGGCGAATATAAGAAAGAGGATCCGATTCCCGTTGTCTAATTAGGCCTACAATCACCGTAGTCGGACTAATCACCACCCTCAGACGTGTTCACCATGATAAGCGCCGATCTCGACGAGCCTCTCCACGGTACGTTTTGCCCTCGGCTGCCCCTGACAGATCGGAGCGATAATGGACTGATAAGCCTGGATCAGTGTTCGATCTCCCCCAGGTCCATACCAAACCCTCCGGCACCGAACTCATCCAAGCCCTGGAGTTGCTAACCGTCAAACCACGGAGCTTCGGGCCCGTTGCCCACGAGGCGGCGGGGAAGAGCCGAACGGTCCAGCCGGCCGGAGTGGCCCGATATTTAACCTCGATCATCGCCAGCCCGCTCTCATGGCTGGATACTGACGAGCTCCGGGAGGCTGTCTGGGACGCCGCTGCAGCCCGCCTCAGTGAGCGTTCCGGTCGAACCGGTATGCAGAAGACATATCTCCGTAGTTCATTGTACCTTTGTTGGCGATTTCCGCATCTAACATGGTGTTTGACATAGCCATGCCCGCCATGTCCCGGGTCTTCTCCATCCCCACCTCTGGGGACGAAGAGTTCACACTGACCCTACACGAACCATCCTTAACAGCCGACAACCTGGGCATGAAGACCTGGGTCTCATCATACCTCCTCTCCCGACGTCTGCACAAGCTCCTCGAGACCACTCCCAACCTCGTCCCCTCCGCATCCACCACCCCGAAACTCCACCCGGATAAAACCCTCCGTGCGCTCGAACTCGGCGCCGGTACTGGCCTGGTTGGCCTTTCCTTCGCTGCACTACGCGGGAAATCGGCAACGATCCATCTCACCGACCTCCCAGACATCGTCCCGAACCTGGCACATAACGCAGCCCTGAACGTCGAACTTCTGAACCGAACAGGCGGGGCCGTCACTACCGGAGTCCTCGATTGGTCCGTAACCCCCGAGCCGCTGCCCACAGCCGAGGAACAATACGACCTCATCCTCGCTGCTGATCCATTATACTCGCCCAATCACCCGAAGTGGCTGGTCGACACGATCACGCCCTGGCTCAGCCGGGGGCTTGATGCACGGGTCGTGCTGGAGATGCCTCTGCGCGATGCATACCTGCCCCAGGTGCAGGAGCTCCGCGAGCGAATGGGACAGCTCGGGCTGGCGGTGGTGGACGAGGGCGAGGAGATCGGATACGATGATTGGGAGTCGGCCGATGGGCGCGCGCTCGAGGTGAGGTGCTGGTGGTCCGTCTGGGGATGGAGCGAGAAGCTCTAGGAAGGAGCGATTACTGGTATATATGATGCACGACGTCACGAAGGGAAACGAGCCACGATGATAGAGTCTAGAAGTAGACTAGATAGGCCCTAGCCTGATAGTGAGGGTTAGATTAGAGCAATAGATCATCATAGAACGCATGCATGTCTCACGATGATTTAATCCCGCATTTACAACCTCGCCATAAACGTCGGCTCCCGGCGTCCTTGTGTCACTCAGATCCGTGTCACGAACGGATCTTGAAGCACTGGTCAAGGCCTGTGTTACCCCGGATCATCCGATCTGAATACTGTCACATGCCTCGGAGTAGTAGGATTAAATCCGTGCTAATGGTGAGGTTCACATACAATCTCAAAGTCGCCTCAGAGGAGCTCATCAGCAAAGATGTTAAGATTGAGAGGAAGCTCCAAGTGACACCAAGGCCGTGAAACATGTGATCTGTTTAGGCAACAAGCCCGCAGTGCTTCACTTCACTCGTCCTCCTGGAAACCCATACGGATACCTCAGTCCGATCACACTGTTAAAGAACCACTCTGATGAGGACTGCTGACCGTGGCCAATTATCCGCTACTCACAAGTTCCTACAGCGAGAACTGATCCCTTTCTTAAGGGCGCGTACAGCCGAACTGCCCTGTTACTAGCAGCTTGCAACTCCCTGCTGATATTGTCAAATGCTCCTGGCGCAGAATGCCAGCCCAGAATCAATCAATAAGAGTAGCCCGGAAGTGTACTCCGGACATATGGCTAAGAAAAAATCAGTAGAACATGTTCTCCAAATGATCTGCTCGAGCAGGAGGCAGAACTAGAACATGCCGCCAGAACTGACAAGGTGACTGTTGTCAAAGCTCTACTGTTGAAATAGCTCTCACCGAAAGCCTGGGAAGCCTTGATCTGATATCTTGACACGGCCATGGCTCTATGGGTGAGTACTTGTTACAACATGAATTGACCCTGAATGTCTGGATAAAGACCGTTGGTCTGCGCTGTTATTAAAACATGGTCGGTCGCCCGTTACCATCCGTCTGCTCTAGCGATCTACCCATACTTCTTCCTGATGTTTTCAGACCAAGTCTGATCACCTGAGTATCTTGCAAGTATTGTAATCCTCCCATGAATAGATCCACAGAGCCTGAAACCTCCCTTCAACCACCATAGTCCATACTACCAGAACTCAGAAGATCAATCTATGTATAGACAAGAACCACTCGGCACTTGCACTGCACGCCACGCCAAAACGCACTAAAATAGCGCTTCCGCTTAGTCACCGCACCAGATTCCCCACAGTGATCCGGGCAAAGACTAGGCTAGATCGCGAGCCCTAAATGGGGGAAGAGAGGGTCTTGTACTTTGCGGGATGGGACGCGTGGATGGGAGCTTGGCGACTTGGCAGGGAGGGGTTGTATGATGGGGTTGAGTCTGGGTTGGGTATTTGCTGTCAGATGGTGTTGGTTTAGTTGCTACTAATATTGTGCTTTAGGTACAGATCTAGATCGTGATTGAGTTTCTATGGCATATGAGATGGGATGAGATATCTAGTTTAGATGTAGTCATCCCATGATACTATCCTATGTGCTAAGTACTAATACAAGTAACTGCAATGACGAACAGACACCCACGCCCTAACAGCCGCTACAGATCTCCATTCAGTACCACAAAGCCTTATTCCAGAACAAGCTTCTGGCGTTGGCCAAATCATCCTGGGTGAGGTACATGGTATTGTTGAAGACCAGCTGGGTGGCCGCGTAAGAACCGTTCATGTACTTGGGCCAGTAGAGCTTGTCATTGGCCCACTTGGTGTTGGGGTTGCCGGTGAGGACGAAGGACAGGAAGTATTTTTGCATCTTGCGCTGTGGTGTTGCGTGTTTGTTAGTATGGAGGTGGGTGTTGTAGTTATTTTGGGGAAGCGGGACACGTACGGCAACTGTGGAGTCGACGGATGAGCTGGTGGTGATGGCTACGCCGGCACCGGAGGAGCTGGAGCTGGAGCTGCTGCTGCTGGAGGATGAGAGGGTGTAGGTGGAGTACCCTAGTTTGGTTTGCTTGTGAGTAGGTTGGTTGTATGGGAGTGATGGGGGATAATATCCTACAGTAGTAGCTCTGGTCGGTGCCGTGAGTAGCCTTTTCGAGGGCAACCATGGCGTTCCAGGTGTTGTTGCCGAGGGCTTCGGTGAGGGCAAAGTCGTGGGCTGTCAGGTCGAAGGATTGTCTCATGTCTGCGAAGCGGAGAGCCGCGCTGGTGTAGTCTGAGGCTGGGTAGAGCTTCAGAGCTTCCTGGATGGCGTTGTCGGTGATGGAGGGGAAGAAGATTCGGAGGTTGGTGATAATGTCGCTCTCTGAAGAGATGGTCGTCTCGCCCTCGTCAGTTCCGGTATTGGCCTCGTGCTGCTCGTGGGAGATGACGACGGGACCGGAGAAGTTGAAGTGCTTCTGGTACAGCTGGGCCTCGTAAGTGTCGGCAACAAAGTCACCATCAACACGAGGCTGGAACTGGTAGTCATAGTCATCGTAGACATCATTGGCAGCATCAGTTAAGTTGGTGAAGGGAACACTACGCATACAGGACAGGTCTCCGCCGGAGCAGCCAACGGCAGCCGAAACGTTCTGGTAGAAGGCCTCGCCGTGCTCATGGCCGGCACCAGGGACGAAGCCGGGGGACATTATGTAGGCGCGACTGAAGAGCTGCTCGGCATGACCTCCGTAACGGGTCATCTGGAACAGGGGCATGGAGCCACCGGCAGAGAACCCGACGGCAGTGATCTCATCGGGGTTACCACCGAATTCGCTGATATACTTGTGCACCCACTTGAAGGCATGCTCGACATCGTAGAGGGCAGCGTTGGGGGTACCACCCTGGTGGACGAAGGAAGGACCGTTGGTCAGGCCGGTGAAACCGAGACGGTAGTTGGGAGCAACGAAGACGAAGTCCTTGGATAGGTCAAACAGACCCTCCGGGGTGTTCTGAGACTTGGAGCCGGCGGTGAAAACACCTATATGATAGACTGGTCAGCTGTTGTCTCGAAAGGAAATGTCAGCTTGGGGACGCCGTACCGCCATATGTCCACAGCATCACGGGCAGATTCCGGCCCTTGGCATTGGCAGGAGCCCAAACGTCCATGTACAAGCAGTCCTCAGTGGAAGCGCAGTCCACATCGGATTCAGCAAGGCTACCATTGTTGATGGTAGTCTCGACAGGAGGCCACTGGGGCTTTGCGAAACGGAGGTCACCAGTGGGCACAGCTGCAAAACGAATGTTCTGGTACTTGTAGTAACCGATGGAGCTGTTTCCTGCAGCCGGTGTCAATGTGCAGTAATCAAGAGTCACGGTGGCTGACTCCGAAGACGAGGTAGCAGTAGGTACTGCTGCAGCTGCAGCTGTGAAGAGCAATGCAACGTTCAAGGAGCGCATGGCTAGAGAGATACCAAGAGAATGGATAATGTAAAGAGAGAATCAAGTTGATGACTCCCAAAGGACGGCCAGGTGCCTTCTTTTATAGCTTTTGGGTCGACCACCCTTGGCGGTTTTGGAAGGAGTTGCGCGAATTGACATCGACGTCGTGGGTCTGCAAGATACGTGAATAGGATGACGTTGGAGGATCCATCCATTTGGTCCTGAACTCTATCACGACTTGGGTCTTCCCTGGCCCCGGTGAGCGGTGCTGTAGTTGCCCGTTGTATTATGCTCGCATCCGTCTTCGAGATCGGATCATGATTGGGTAGAAAGTTATGCGGTGGGCCGATGATATTCAGAACTAGGCGAAAATAGCAGTTAGATAATTAGGCTTAGGAGGCTAGGAGCAATAAATACAGGGCTGACCCACCCGGGCTCCGCATCTCTTCACGATGGTTGGCAATATCTGGAGTAGGCAGCAACCCTGAGCCATGGCACTGGTTCCAGCCCGTCTGCCAAGCACCCAAAAACGCGTTTCACGAGCGATCTCCCCATAGGACGGATAAATCTATATGCGAGGGCGCATGGTCGATCAGGTCATCGAGGGCATTAGCAGATGTACGGAGTCCATGATGCGGAATGTTGAAAGTTGCGTACCACTGAGTAATGTCGGAAGTCCCCAACCACATAGGGGAGACCTTCTGCTAGGGTAGGGATGGTTCCGCTGCATGACCACAAGCCTCACCCCAGGGCCTATATCATCTCCCTGCGAGGTCTCACTTCTTTGCATCTCGATCCTGATGAGGACCCTCCTCGTGCTCCCTATTTACGATTGAAACATCGGAAGCCACTAACCAATTCAAAAACGAGATGGAGCCAACGCACTGGCAATATAGAAACGAAAACTAACCGGCATGGCACTGTTCGAAACCTCCACTTCCAAAAGAGCATGCCTAGATGTCAGTCCATCTGATAAGACGAGGACCCACTGAATGCACTCACCGTACGCAATCCTGTTGAAGAGCAGGATCCACTGTCGTAACGGCAGTCTCAGGCAACAGTGTTAGCTTCGAAATGCTATATAAAGATTACAGTAAAGCAAGAGGCGGGGTTTGACTGTCTGAGAGGAATCTTGCGGTAGTGGTAAAATTGGAAGCAATATTGTAAAAGACGGGCCGGAAGTGCCTCGAGTCTCGTGATCATGAGCACTAGGAAAGAAGAATATGCAGAGAGTTCAAGGTCAGTTCAATCTATGTTGCCCGAGTATCAGCCTTTATTATATACCTTCATAGGACTGCGTAGAATACCCTCAAGCTCATACAGTTTGACACGCTTAGAGCACTCGAATCAGGAAGGATGATATGACCTGGTTGGTAGTAGATTGTGAGGCCGCAGGGGAAGGCCACAAAGCGAAGCGATCAGGTGATCTAAGCTGCCTTCAGAGGTGAAGCCTTAACAGTACTTAAATCATCTAGTGAATGACCGTGGTTTTTTCCCCTTCTGATATTTCCGATCTATCCATGCTCCTCTCGGCCATCAATCCAGTATTCATATAGTTATCATTCTGAAAACTCGGGAAAGGGTATTGAAAGTACTATATTCTTGTATAATGGTTATCGCGCCCAGTCGTCCGACAGCCCGCAGAGTGTATGTGCTAGGAACAGTCTTGCGGTTGTTGCTTTGATAGACAGAAGCGTAACGTCAGACTGACTCTTGTTTCTTACGTAGCTGAGGTGATGGATGGTGATACTATGGAGGTTCAGGAAGAGCGGATTGGAGGACAACAAGGTACTCTGGATAAATGGGACACTTTTGGCTACAATGGTGATCATATCCAGACACATCAAACAGTGATAGCAATCTAAAGCAACATTCCTTCGGAGCAAATTATCCCAGAATAGTCTAAAGAAAAGCAGTTTCAAGATCTGACCCATCCTCATCGTTCCGAGGGTTCTGCATGTTGGTCTCAGCTCAGGGTGCTAGAACCCATTTTCAAGGCGGACATACCTTGGTGGTATCGCGATTGAACAGTGTATTGAATGCTTTTGTATCCTCCTGGGACCGATTCGAGACACTTGGGTGGATATTTCTAAGCGCTTCGGTAAAATGCCTCGGCTTCAGCTGAAGTTTGACCGGGGTTCCCGTTTCATCATTTGTCCGGGAAAGCCCTTCGTCCACAGCAAAATGCAACGCGGCTTCTGCACAGAGTGCCCGCAAGTCTGAGCCGGACAGGCCTTCTGTTTTGCGTGCAAGGTCTCTCAGGCTGACCTGCGGATCCAGGTCCGGTTCCTTGAGGAATATTTGCAGGATCTTGAGCCTTTCTTCTTCGCCTGGAAGCCCGAACACGACATGCTTGGGGAGTCGCCGCAGAAAGGCTTCATCCAGATCGATAGGCCTGTTTGTCGCACAGAGTACAAATGGCGTGTCTTTGCCTGTAGACAAGCCATCCATCTCTTGGAGGAACTGGTTTAGGGCTTTCCGTTCCCATTGTCTATCGTCAGATGATCGACGGTAAAACATGGAGTCAACCTCATCAATGAATAGTATACAAGGGGCTAGTTTTTCTGCCAGCGTAAACGCGGCATGAATGGCCTTCTCTGTTTCTCCTACCCATTTGCTCATTATTCCCGCCGGGCTAATTGATAGCATAGTTGCTTTGGAGTCGTTAGCGACTGCACGGGCTAGATGAGTTTTCCCAGTGCCGGGAGGCCCATAGAGCAAGGCTCCAGTAACCCGAGTGTTCTCGAGAAGTATCGTCGAAGAGCCCTCAAATCGGATTTTAGACATATGGACCAGATGTCTCATGTGATCCTTCACACTCTGCGCCAATATGACATCGTCATAGGTAACGTTTTGCGCTTCTGTCGTGCTATTAGCCTGGGGAAATCCTTCCTGCACGCGAGGCCCTTACCTGAATCGACGACAAATTCACAAAGCCCTAGCTCGTACTCGGTACATTTGTCCCTGATCCTTGCTAGTTTCTCAGAAACGCTAAGCTCATTGGCTTCTAGAAGTTCATCCTTCGGTGGCTCCTCTGCTTTCCTTTTCTTATCATTGGCCCGCATTAAAATCTCGTGCATGTCGCTGGGCTCCAGGGTTCCTTTCATGCAGGCTCGACCAAGAATTTGGTTAGCTATCCGGTCGTAGTTCCCATAAGGTTCTAGAGCTGTTGTGACTAAATGGTCAGGTATATCCATTAGTGTCGCATCGGATAAAAGTTCCGAGGCAAAGCCTCTGGGGAGCCTGTGGCGTGTAGCCTTCTTCAATTTCCTGATCCTGCGTGAAGCCTGAAGATGAGCCCTCTCTGTTCTGCATGCGACCTTTTGTTCTGGCGACATTTTGAACCTAACTTTGAGGGAACTGTCAATGTCCAGCCCAGATTCTATAGCGTAGTGGTTCTCGCTTGCGACAAGCAACACATGTTCATTCTTGTTCCAACGGTCCAAAACAGCATTCTTGAAATTTTTGATGACCTCCTTGGAGATGTCGGAGATTTCACCAGGCTCGCGAAGATGGAGTATAACAGGTGAAACTTGAGTAGAAATCACCTTGTGAGGATTGTGAGGTGATGGGGGCTGCTGAACAGCCTTTGCCCGATGAGCATCTATAATTGCCTTGATTGAACACTGAGTGCGTGAGCACTGGCTAGCTGCAAATTGGTACCTGATCATGCAATCTCTGTCTTCGAGTATGGCGTATGCGGTGTCGCTATTGTGATCACCAGGCTCGTCGAAGTTTTTATCAGAGTCATCAGAGTCATCAGAGTCACAAGGTTTATTTGAACCATCAGGTTCATCTTCTCTCAAGATCTCAACCAGGGAAATTGGTTGCTTGGTTGCATCCTTGCAAACAGGAGCTACTTTTATTGAGCAGCCTTCAAAGCGTTGAGCTGGGTGGTCTTGTTGGTGGAAGTCACGAGCGAGGTTGTACAGTTCCTCAGCTCCAACTGAGATATAGCTTGCACCTATATCTCTCGCTAGGTGCGCGATTATGGCATCGGTGTAGGTAAAGTTACCAGCTTCCACTGCCACAAAAGGTCCCACATCGCATTCCTTCTTGCCAGGCAACAAAGCCTTGCTAAATAGAGCTGCCGCAGCAAGGTCATGAAGCTCCGCGTATTGATCCTCTTGGAATTCAAACTGATCAACGACTTCAGATTGCTTGTCTTTCGCCTCACAGATGCGTCCACCGTTATCAACATGTTTAGAACATCTGTCCTTCCTGCGGAGGGGGCTACTGTTCCTTAGTAGACGTATTCCTGTCCGATCATCCGTCTTGACTTTGACATTTCCCGCCACAAACCAATCGGGAAGATGATATTCATGTTTGCAATGCAGTGCTTGGCAGGGTTAGCTTTGGCAAACCGAGGAAAAATCCTAAAGTATAATACCACTAGGAGAAGTCACTTACCTTTGCTCTCATCGTGCATTGTGGAAGGTGTTGGACTCATTTCCTGAGGAGGTCTCAGGAAGGTATAGAAAGTTGCGGTGGTTAGAAGCTTTTACGACGAAGGACAATAGCCTTAAATAGGATGGACAACCAGGTACTCCATATGGTAGGCCGTTGCTGCCTGTTCTACTCCGTAGGCATATTCAGTATCTGGTGCCTGGAGTTGCAGGAAAGGTCTGGCATAATTGGTGAAAAAAACGATCCCTCGGTCCCTTACCGACGCATCGTATACATACTTATGATGACTCCGGTCATTAAGTACGCCCTCTAGTTATTCACGAATGGGATGAGTCAATGGAATTACTTTTCCATTGCACAACGAAATTAATAGGTCAATGCTTCATTTTCATTTCCCGGGCATTCCAGGTACCTGAGCTCCACATACCTGTGATGGGTAGAGTCATAGCATGACCCCTGCCACTGCTTCGGATCGCAAGTTGGCTTGAAAATTCAGTAATATGAGTGATGTTTGTAGGAGTAGCGCAAAGGCTCAATCCAATACAGTGAATTACGGTTATAGATCTTCATCTTGAAGGCGGAGATATACTGTGAGCGCTTCACCGCAGCGATCGCATATGAAGCCATTCCTATATCTAACCAAACTATTCAGCCACATAGCTCTCAGCAAATGATGTTCTTTAGGAGCGTTACCAGTCTCACTCTCCATAGGTGTCGGAGGGTCTTAGGCGAGAGAGGGTCCAATATTGGACTCCAAGGGACATTCCTTTTCTCATTCTTGAAAATCAAGGAAACAGCAGACACTGCATGCCATCCTATAGGATGCTCCCTTAAAAGTAAAGAAGATCGAACAAGCCCCGATGACATGATTCATGGTCACTGCATGTGAATGTTGATGAGAGCTGAGAGTGGGCCTGCCGCCGATCGGCACCTTTCTTTAGCCAGGCATCCACATCAGGCACCAGTGCACGGGTCAGCCACCGATGACATATGACGCTGCTCGGCACCGCCACCAGCGATAAGTGATAATCGGTCCTCTTTGCATGCCTGTCCATACTAAACACCCCTATTCATGCTCTTCAGCCAGGATTTCGATCCTCTAGTAATTCATCATTCAATCTCACATCTTTCAACCCGATAAGTTTAAACCATACAACAACCAATATGGTGATCGGCCTCCTCGCAATAACCGCCATCCCCACCGTCACCGGCGTCGCGATGGGGGTGAGCGAACAGCGCAAAGCAAACGAGAGAAAGAACGACGAAAGACGCATGGCCAAATTCAACATCGATGTTGCTCCACCACCGTATGAGGAGCCAGATGATGAGGTCCAAGGGTTACGGGTGGTGTTGAGGAATTCCAAGGTACAATCATTCCCCTTGACATAGTTCCCCTCTTTTGTATCTCAGGTCAGCCTGACTGACGAGTCCATGTCATCCCATAGGTATATCTCGATGATCCTATACCCTCCAAACGAAAAGTTCCTGCACATACTGCCGCGGCGTTCTATATCGAGTACCCCGAGCCGGATCATTTGAAAGACCTCAAACGGGGATACGGACTGGCGACCACCATCTCGGATAACCCGCCTATGCTCGGTTGGATTTACGCGGATAAAGACACTCATGAAGTCAAGTATGGGAATCGGACAATGAGCTGCGAACATGTAGTTGGGCCCTGGGACTGGGACGAGGAGGAGACCACCGTGACGCTGGAGGAGAACTGCCAGTTTGTGGCCGTGCAGGAGGATGATGGGGCTTGGGCGCTATACTTTGATCGGGATGGGGACGAGTTGGAGGGTGTACTGGAGGAACAGGGCAAATTGGACAACGATTTTCAGCCGTTGCGGTTGAAACGGAACTTGATTGAACAGCAAGTGCAAAAAATGAAAAATGACAATTCATGATCTATATCCAGTGCTGAATTGGGGAATCGTAAGCTAGATTTTGGTATTTGTACAGAAACATCCACAGGTCAAGCACGAGCCATGACCATAGCAAGCTAATCCTCAAGACCTTGCCAGCCCTCCTCGTCGCTACCAGCGTCTGCACCCGACTGCGGTTGAGATTTCTTGCTGCGGCTAGCTTCAATGATGGCCTTCTTCTTATTTTCGGCGCGACGTTCGTAACCGCTCTTGGTACTGATTCTCGTCTTCCTGTCGTCCTTCGTGCCCTGGGTCTGTCTGGCCTTAACACCATGTTTCTTCAACTCCTTCTTGTTCTTCTTGCTGAGATCAGGAAGGGCATCCAACAACCACTTCTGCACAGATTTCTCCTCGGAGGTTCCTCGTAGCTTCTCACTGACGTCAATCACATTGGCAATGCTCTTGACATAGGGAATGTCTTCCTTAGTGTAGTATGTCACTGCAATACCGCCCTCACGACCAGCTCTGCCAGTGCGGCCCACACGATGAACGTAAACGGCAGCGGAATTCGGGATATCGTAGTTGACAACGCCGTTGATGCCTCTGAAGTCAACGCCACGGGCCAAAAGATCCGTCGTGACGAGGATCCAGATTTCACCTTTCCGGAACTGCTTCATGATCTCGGACCGTTGGCCGTCTGACAAATCAGAGTGGAGGACAGCAATGCGGGACGAACCACCCGCCTCGGGAGGAATGTCGTAGCGTAATTCGGAGTGTAGAGCGACAGCTCTGGGAATCGTTTGGGTAAAGATCAAGAAAGGTGGGCGGAGGCGAACGTCCGTAGCTGAAGCTGCGGCGGGGTGGAGGAGCTGTCGCAGTCCGAGCAGCTTTCCTTGCTCAGTTGCAGCATAAACCAGCTTGTGCTTGATGTTTGGAATAGCAGAATCCTTCAGTCCAACAACGAGACGAAGTAACGGGTAGGACTTGGTCTGACTTAGGGTATCCTTCCGCTCCTTGAGAGTCGACTTGGCAAGATCTTCAATGTTTGACCCCATCGTCGCTGACCAGAGACTTGCTCGAAGCTCAGGATGCGTGCAAGCGCGCCAGATGTCGAGTGTCTGGTCGCGGAATAGAGGGTCCAAGAGAACGTCCGCCTCATCCAAAACCAAGCTCCTTACCAGAGGAAGAGTCGCCATCGGCTTGGTCCGGTTTGCAGAGAGCGCGTTAACCAGAAGCAGTGGTGTCGTTACGAGGATGTCGCTCTTGGTGACCGGCGCCTTCCCCTTGCTCTTCTTCTCTGTAGTGACTTCATCATCCTCAGAACCAGATGATTCCGAGTCATCCTCATCCAGAATGTCTTTGCTGTCATCTCCGTCATCATCACGCTCTACTACCTGCATGCCCTTCTTCATCAATGTGATCTTCACACCAGTACCCTGGGCCAACTTCCTGCCTTCATTGACAATCTGGCTGGCGAGCTCCTTGGTTGGGGCGATCACAATAGAGAAGATGCCGCGTTCTTCTGACTGAGCATGATGGTGTCGAACGATCTTGTTGATCACTGGGATCATGAATGACAGTGTCTTGCCACTTCCCGTGGGTGCAACAACCAACAAATCCGGCTCAATACTCTCTTCAGTTCCCGACTTTTGAGAGACCGACCGATCTCCAAGCAACAAAGGAAGACTTCCCAGTTGGACTTCAGTAGGAACCGTAAAGCCTTGGTCAGCGATGTTCTCCGCAAGCCGTCGGGAGATGTTGTATTTCGAGCGCAGCTCCTTGAAGGACACCAAAGGCTGGGGAAACAGCCGACGGGCTTTCTTCTGTTCTTTCTTACTGAGAGTCTGGACAGGCTCTTCCTCCTGCTGCTTTCTCTTCTTCTTTTTCTTCTTAGACTCTTCTTTGGGAGGCTGCACGGGCTGAACTTCCTCAAAATCGCGCATATCAGTGACCTTGATCTTGTGGGAGTTCAGGATCGTCCGGCGCTGGACTTCATCCATCGACTCATCACCCTCGGAATCGGATGCATCTTTCTGATCAGCAGGTCCGTCCTGGTCTCCCTCCTGGTCCTTTTTCGATGATGCGCTGGCCGCAGACCGTTTACCAGAACCGAAGAAATCTAGATCGGCAGCATCGGCATCTTCTGCATCTGAATCGCCCGCAGTCTGCGCCCGCTTTCTCTTTTTCCCAGTCTCCAGCAGCTTTTCAGCCTGTGCGTCACGGAAAAGCTGGGGGTTCTCGGCCTTGCCTTTGGAAGGCAGTGTTGAAGACAGGGATCTACCAGCCTTAAACTTGGTGGACCTTGTCAATAACTTGAACGCATCCATTTTATATTATGAGGATATCAATCCATGCGACTAAGTTTATTAAATGGACACGTGTGTCCGGGTCCCGGTGATCGCGAGCCTGCTTTGATGGTTGTCGAGTACTCGGACTTAACGAGGGAAAAAGTTCGATGCTGAAATTCTTTCCCGCACGGACCAATCAGAGGCAAGCAACCTTCCTTTCATCTCCATACAACGGATCGTCTCAGATCTCCAGCAAAGACATGAAAGTGGAGTATTCTAACTTGTATACAATGACCCTACATCAATAGAAGAACAGCAATCTTAGAATCTCAACATCCTCTACCTACTTCAGATTTGGTACACGCCCCGGCCTTTGTTGCTATCAAAAAGATCGCTCTTGATGTGATGGCAAGTTCTGATATATCCCGATCGACCCGACAAGATGATTTAGACGGACTACGTATTACTGGGACACGTGACAGTCCCTTGGGGAGGCCCAGTAGAATGGCTAAATGATGACTACCACGGTCTATGATATTCCCCAATGAGCACCCAGAACATGTCCACTTGCATCATGAAATCTAAGACTGATATTCAACGCAACATACGCAATCGCCCGTATTGCACAACCTCAGACAACAGTTTATTCCATCGTCTATCATACAATAGTACAGCACACAAAGGAAAGCGGAAAAGGGAAGGAAGACAGGCTAAGGCACGACGGCTTGGTATTTATCTAATGGTGGTGCTCAGGCTCTCCCTTGTAGCCGACGAGGTTCATACGGCCGATGATCTCACCAACGGTGAAGAAACCGATGACCTCCGCGGCGGTGACACCGGCCAGAGCGATCTGCTTCTTGTCCGCGCTGCGAACACGGGACAGGATGTTGGAGGGAGCGAAGCTCGAGTTCTTGAAGGCGGCGGGGTTGCGGAAAGCGTTGGTCAGAGGCTGGAAGTAAGTCTGGAAGGTGGCCAGGTTGCTGGAATCGGCGTTAGTGGACAAGGTTCTTGTGGTTGAGATGGCGAGGAGCGCTTACGGAGGAGTCATGTTCTGGCCACGGAAGACCAACTTGGCGAGCTCGAGACCGACCTTCGAGTAGTAGACGGTAGGGGGTATCATGGCTGCATTGTTGCGGCAGATGATTAGCAAGGCTCCGAGAGATATATGACAGAAAATCCGGGGATGGCTCCACTCAAGGAGTGATTCACAGAGAGGGAGGCTGGCATTGCCGCCATCACCATACCATCCCAATTGGAACGTGAAGGGGTCATTCAGAGCAAATAGCATGGAGCGTCCGCTTACAATCGACAAAAGCAATGACTTTTCCGGTCCTTCCACCAACCTTCCTCAAGGCACTGCCGAGACCCTGGGCGGCGCTGGAAATGGCAGGGCCAGCGGACGAGGAGACACGAGACAGACCCTCAGACGCCTTGGAGGCAGCAGAGGAAGCAGTCTCACTAGCCTTGGAAGCGGCCTCTGAGGTCGAAGAGGCGTACCTGACCGCAGACCGGCGGGTCAGGAACTGCGATTGCCGCAGCACGGCACGGGACGCGGTGGCGGGCATCTTGAAGACCACTGGAGGGGATATAACGCTAAAAAGAAAGAATGACTCTGAAAAGTCGCAGGTGGCGGTATGGTCAAGAGCCGGTGACACTGAATCGTCGCGCAATTGCAGGACCAGATTTGAGATTTGAAGTTCGGGAAGTTCAGGGAAGAGCCTCCACTTCCGTGTCACGTGATGTGGTTCTACCTTGTTTATCGGTGGCCATCACCTCGATGTGATGTTTGCCAACCTCAACCTATAGTCCATGTTTTCTCACGGCCATTCATCAATTGATCATGCTACAATTAACCATCTAATGCTTCCAGTCTTGTTAGCTCTGCTTAGCTGTTCTATTATAACGTTTGCGATTACCCTTCCGCCTAATGCCGTGTTTACTTTCTATCTAATGGTTGCGGCATTTATCAATTCGACTGCTTGGCTTGCTGACACGCATGGCTCAATCAGCTAACTAGCTAACTAACTAACTACCAGGGCATGCTTATGTCACTTGAAGAATTCCGATCGGTATCCGAACAGCATGACGCTACAGCCCCAATGATATGTTCCTCGGGTTACACTTCAGATAGCTGCGCTTGAGAACACATAGCCAGTCACTAGGATCACCGAATAGTCCAGGGATATTGAGTGAGGGCATAATTAAAGATGATAACTACGCTTGGCATGCTCTGAAATCGCTTGCTCAAGGCTTGGATGCAAGACGCTATGTCTGATCGATAACATTGTAGCGCCATGAGGCACATTTTGTTAAGCGGGCAGTCTGCTACTTGACATATTTTTGGTTTCTTGTTGGCATTGCATGACCGCTCGCATGTCCTGCAACCACGTGTGTAATCATTCGTACAACTTAGAACTTGTGTCAGCTTTCCGAACGGCCGCTATGATTTTCATAAACCTAGCATCGCCAGTTTTCGATCGGACGAAGCTTTGTTATCGTAAGAGCCAGGAACCAGATATGGCATAATTATCAAGCGATTACTAATAACCCTCGTATTGCTCCCCATGTCTTATTGCCAATTAATAATCCATGATGATTGCCATCCAAGGCGCACTACTTCGAGCTAGATAAGATTAGGCACTGCTCTTTGTCCGGGGTCAATTCATCGGTCTCTGATTGGCAAGGTCCCGTATCTTGGCAAGGCTGTGCGAGTCTGACTCTCTACAGCTGCTGTATAAAGTCGTGCTTATTCTCTGCTCCAGAGTTTTACTGTTTCTGAATTCTAACATATTCGAGGCTCGATCAAAGACCAAGAACTCAGCCAGGATAACAAGATGATTGAAAACCAGGTCGAAATTGCCGCCTCGCCAGCACAAGTACGAGAAGCCGTATGTACCAGATCAGCCTCAGTTGCTGGAAGACAGGCGCTGATCACTTCTATTGAACCATAGCTCCTCGACTTCTCCAAGTACCCAGAGTGGCACACTAGTTTTATCAAGCTACTTCAACCAGAAGATGAGACCAAGTCCTTGCGATCCCTACAGCCAGGAGATAAGATCAAATGCGATATTGACGGTATGAAGTTTACTGCCGAGATTAAGGTACGTTGACTTAGTTCCTCTGGCATGTGTCCAACGTTCGCCAGTCGGAGCAGTGGGTACAGCTGAACAAAGCTAAAATCGAATCTATTGAAAAGGAGAATTCAGATTCGCTATTTCAATGGCAAGGACCCCCGGTCTTTGGCTTAATTGCCGGTCTCCACAGCTTTCACATGGAACCGGCCAACAACGGCTCCTCGACGATCTTTAAACAGACAGAGAAGTTTTCTGGACCTATTTCGTTCTTGATGGGACCCTCGCTGTTGGGGAGGAAGATGCTAGGCCAGTTTGGCCAATTCAATCAGGATCTGAAGGACCGTGCTGAAGCATTGAAGTGATATGGCTGTTACGACGACAACCTACGTTGGGATATGGTTTGGGCATTCTCGAGGTTCAGTGACTTCATCATTACGTGCGTCATCGATTATAATAGTGTTCTTAAGATCAGGGTCAACTCGAGCCAACCCAATATGACTATCGAATATTCCCGACAGATACGGGGGTAGCTGGATTTCGACTGCCAAGAAGCATTGAAAGATTGCACCTTCTATGTGGCATGCATTGCATAACTCGAGAGCAATTGATGAATAACATGCTCAAGCCCAGGAGGATCTACTATCAGCCACTCATCCACTCCTACCTGAGCGGGGCGTTCCAGTGTCCAGGGTCTGATTTGCAAACAACCTTCTCCGCGTACACTGTCCACTTCGATGTGAACAGAGCCCCTCGAGAACTTAATCGGCGATTAAGCCAAGCACACGTTCGTACATATTAGGAAGCAGAGTGCTGATGATGGGCCAACACCGTAGCAGGCGAACAGCGTCAAAGTTCGAAGCAGATGTCCCTATTTGCCTTATCAGGAAAGGCGACAAAGCTAGGCGGTTGAACTATTGATCGATCGAAGGTGTTCGAACTTTGAAGTGCCGGACCCCTGTTATGGATGTTAATTTAGCCGACCTGAAGCCCATTATAGACTGCACGGTAGATCTATAGGGGTCTCATCTGGTGTTTGGTGTCGATCTCAGCCTCTCGTGGCCAACAAATGGCTCTGATCGGCTGATAGAAAACGAAGGTGGATCGATCTTTGCATCGACGGTTGCTGTGCCTGGTCATATCACGTGATAGACAAACTCAATTCCCGGAGATCCACCCGTAATATGCCGCTGAGTCATGCCAGCGCCACCGCTTCATCATTTCGGTTCAACTTTTGTGTATCGTGCCACGACTGCATCGTGGCTTTGCTTTTCACAATGCGCCTTGATCGTGCGAGTGACCCGACACCGCATCATCTTTGGTACAGCTGTACAAAAGCCCAATCAAGGCTTTTTTGGTTGTGTGGCGCAGAACTCCACAGGTCACCAAGCCTTCCCGGCCGGGTTAAGCTTTATCCTCCATGCCACATCGTTAAGGTTTTGGCAGCTGAGAATGGCCGATCTCGCCTTTCCATGAAAATTGTCCGATTGATCTGCTTCCCTATTGCCAGCGGCGGAAATTTGAGTTCCTCTATTGATTTGGGTCGGCAGCGTGTCGGCACCGGTCTTATGTCCCGGTGCTTGGACATCTACCCTTCACGAATTGGCAGCCTCTGAAGCGCACAGGTTCAGGCCTCGCACCCCTATTTGGTTATGCACCAATGTCCAATCAAGCCTTATACGTATAGGAGAAGCAACCGCAAGGCTCATCCCAGAGGATTGTTGTCGGACACTAAATTGTCTGCCTAACAAGTGTATACGTAACCCATCAAAGCCAAGATCAATGGGTCTCCACCCCGTAGGACCATGGTCCAATTCTAGAATCAGAAATGAGGCAGACAACTCATTTGATTGGGCTCTCTAACTGTTCATAGTATGGCTCGTTTCATGAGCAACGTCTCTGAATGGTTAGCCTTATATAGCTTGGGGTCCATTTATTTGCTGTCCTTTGATTCTTAAGCCGAGTTGTTCCCTACCTCCATTGCTTTCTCTTGCGCATTGCATTTCTCAGACCAAACAAAGATTCACATACCTCAGACACAATGTTCGGCGAAGGTATCTTCAGTTGGTTCAAGTCCTCCAACAAGGAGTCGGCCCCGGAGGCCACCTGGGACCCCAACACCATCACCATGACCCAGCCCCAAAGCCCTGCTGGTCCTACCACCGAGGTCGTTACCGGCCAACCTGTACGTTCTATCCCGACCTTAGCAATCGAAGCTTGCGCACTGACTTCAGAAACTCAGACACCAAACAACACCATGAGCCTGCGTGGTGGTGGTCCTCCCCCTGGACCTGGCGGTGACGAGTAAGCTACCACCCTAAACGACCCACTTTTGAATGGAGTAGAACTAACAACTCATCTCCAATAGTTGCTGCTGCTGCCTCGACTGCTTCTGCTGCTGCGGTGACTGCTGTGGTCCTGACGGTCCCCCTGGTGGCTTCGGTGGCCCTGGTGGTCCTGGAGGCCCCGGCGGCCCTGGTGGCGGCCCTGGCGGACCCCCTGGCCCCGGTGGCCCCGGTGGTTGGTAAACAACACATACCACCGACGATGATCACGTTTCCTTTAATCGTTTTATTCGCCACGTTCGAACTTGATACCACTATATTGAATGTTCTGTTGTGGCGCCATGGAAGGGAAGCAGCTTGTTTGCGGGACGGAGGTCTTGTATATGGCGGATAACCTTGGGCCTTGGCTTGTATGATATAATGTCGTTATTGGATTGTTCAATTGAGTTCCAATTTCTCATCGATTGTTGCAGTAGATGGTCAAGAGATCAGGAGGTTCTCGGTTTAGTTGTAGGCATGGCACTCCAGCTTAGTCGATGGGCCTAGCTAGACTCGATGTGTCTTTTATGCATCTCCCCCCACTGTCTTGACACTTATTTACTTATTATATAAATCAAGCAGCCTTTTATTTCCTGCTCCATATTCCATCCGTCAGCTAATCAGACAACCTACGCACGCTGGCTCATAATCGTCTTGCATAAAATGGTTTGGACGGGTTATGCAGGAATTATACACCATTCAGTACCCGGTACATAGATGAGAAAGACTCCATTACAAATATACCAACTTACCCCCCTTCCTTCTCTATCAATCGCATACAAAAAACACAATCCCCTCACTTCTATTTTGCAAAAACCCAGCCACCACGCATAACTACCTCGCAGCCCAGGACCAAGTAACAGGGTCTCCTGATTCCAGAACTGAACCGATAGGTATACCTTCTCGAATGACTCTTATGACATAGTGTCTTGCAGGTTGTAGATCATGCTGACACCAGATGAGAGTGCTAATCCGGGAAAGGACCCAGAAGTCTAAGAGCAGGGTACACGAAAGTACTATAGCCTGTGCCAAAACCGTGAGTACGGGTGAGGTTTTCTTGGATGAAGCGTTTAATCAGGAGGCTATGTAGGGCGTTGTAGCTATATGCTTCTGTGATGGAGCTTAGGGATCACTAGGGTTCTTGATGATACGTATGAATTGAAAATACGGGGGCGAATAGTGCTCTCGTGTCGGTCATTCTGAAAGATGGGAAGGACGTGACCAGTGATTGATTGGGTATATTACAATTAGAGTGGATACACAGGCGATTTAAGTCGTTTCCAATTTAGTCGAGGGAGATTTATGAATGAAAATACTGTTGTGAGGGGGTTATGGTTACAATTAAGATGTGGTAACCATATGCTGATCTTTAATAGAGACTTAAGGTCATCTCGGGTTGAAGGTAGAGCAAAGTAAGCTGTATTCAAGTAAGCAATGTGAAAATTAGCTCACGGAGGTCCATTTAACTTCTTCCAGAAGGATCTGGAGCTCCACTGCTTCGCCTTATGCTTCGAACTACTATCCTTGCCTTAGTTCATAGTGCTATATGAGGAATTGGCTTGCTATATTACAGCCAATGTGACTAGATCTCCAATTATCAAAGAATTCACCCATCTCGGTTGAATAGCATACCGAGTAGCAGTAGCTGGAATGGTTGTAACGGTCTTCGAATAAGCTTGACTGTCACCTGGCAGCAGGATGCAAAATGCCTGAACTGTACTTGGTACTTAGTACAATAGTGATGGAAGTCAAGTCTATGCTAGCCAAGAAGGGTAATTTAACCGATTGTATATGCGGAGTAGATATACAGTTTGCTTGAGCCCATCCTAGGCCCTAGATCCATTATCTATGCTTCCTGCCCAAAAAGTCCATAGAATCGGGCCCATGCTCCCATGCTCACATTAAACAGCAGTCATATTCCCTTCAATAATAACAGAAATATACCCGAAGTAACCGCCTGTCCGAGCTCAATCCTCAAACAACGGAGTAATAAGAGCAAGTGGGTAAGGCAACCGACTCCACCGACGGGCCCAGTCCCACCGGAGAATTGCCACTCCGGGTAATAAGCATCGAGTTACTCCGTAATGTTCTAGCCAACAATACAACATGGAATTGAAGCCGTGGGGATTGGGTCAGGTGAAGGAGTCGGGATGGATAAGGATCTGGGTGTGGGTGAGAAATCCAAGAATAGACCGATCAAATAACCTGGTCGGTGTGAATTAACCGAGCAGATACACCGTGCTGCTGTTTTGTTACTGTGATGGATGTTGTCCGAGGGTATGGATGCAAGCAGTTGAAACCGTTTCAGATAGAAGATGAATATGAAGGTGATCGCAGGGGGATGTCACTGTGGTCTGATGCTACTGCGTGCTTTCATTCCCTGATCGTCTCTCTGATACCTGCTCGAGCTTCTGAGGCGAAACTGGGCCGATAAGTTGATAAGAGCTCCGGCACATCGTTCCCACTGCAGGGAAGCTGGCGCAGAACTTCCGAGCAAGCCACTGTGCCTCTAAAGCTTACTTTGGCACTCAAGCTCGTGTTTCCAGGACGCTATCCAGGGTAGTACTCGCTATCCAGTATTCATACCCTGGAGCAAGACGCCCTGAAATGCGACCGGCGGGGGTTCTGGCCGAAAAGCGGGCCAATGGGGGCTGCCCCAGACCAAACCCCGCGTCTCGAGGGCCACCGGATAAATGCAGCGAGTGGATGACCTCCCCTCCAAATCCACCGTCCCACAGCACTCAATGATCGACCATCCATGACCAGCCTGGGCCCGCTGTGTTGCTTTTTTCTTTTTGACAAAGCTCCTATCGGTGGCGAAGGAATCAGCTACTGCCAGCCTGTCACGTTGGAGCATGATCCCAGTGCCTATCGCGGAGGGGTAAGTAGACCGCTGTTACGAAAGAGTACTTAAGCCTGGTAGATCTCCTCCGCTTCCCAACTTCTCATCCCTTGCGCTCTCTCTTTGTCCATTCCGTCCTCCCCCTCCAATCATCCCCTTCACCCCCTCATCATGGCGACCGCAACTGTGCTCGAAAAGGCCAACATTGGCGTCTTCACAAACACTAAGCATGACTTGTGGGTTGCGGAAGCGAAGCCCACTCTTGAGGAGGTCAAGAGCGGCGAGGCATTGAAGCCTGGCGAGGTTACCATCGAAGTTCGCAGTACCGGAATCTGCGGGTATGTCTTCCGTCCCCCTGGGACTTGCTTCGTATTCCCTGGCTAACGATTGGTTCTGGAATCAGGTCCGATGTTCACTTCTGGCATGCAGGCTGCATTGGGCCTATGATCGTCACAGGAGACCATATCCTGGGTCACGAGTCCGCCGGCCAAGTCGTGGCTGTTGCGCCCGATGTCACCTCGCTGAAGCCCGGCGACCGTGTTGCCGTCGAGCCGAACATCATTTGCAACGCCTGTGAACCCTGCCTGACTGGTCGCTACAATGGCTGTGAAAAAGTTCTCTTCCTTTCCACCCCTCCTGTCGACGGCCTGCTGCGTCGCTATGTCAACCACCCGGCCATCTGGTGCCACAAGATTGGCGATATGAGTTATGAAGATGGTGCGCTCTTGGAACCTCTGAGTGTGTCACTGGCGGGTATTGAGCGCAGTGGCCTTCGTCTGGGTGACCCATGCCTGGTCACTGGCGCTGGCCCCATTGGCCTCATCACCCTGTTGAGTGCCCGTGCTGCTGGAGCTAGCCCCATTGTCATCACCGACATCGACGAGGGTCGGTTGGAGTTCGCCAAGTCGCTGGTGCCTGACGTCCGCACCTACAAGGTGCAGATCGGTCTCTCTGCCGAGCAGAACGCAGAGGGCATCATCAATGTCTTCAACGATGGAGAGGGCTCTGGTCCCGGCGCCTTGAGGCCTCGCATCGCCATGGAGTGCACTGGAGTGGAGAGCAGTGTTGCTTCTGCCATTTGGAGTGTCAAGTTCGGCGGCAAGGTCTTCGTGATCGGTGTGGGAAAGAACGAGATGACCATCCCGTTCATGCGCCTAAGTACCTGGGAGATTGACCTGCAGTATCAGTACCGGTACTGCAACACCTGGCCTCGCGCGATCCGTCTGGTGAAGAACGGTGTCATTGACTTGAAGAAGCTTGTGACACACCGTTTTCCCTTGGAGGATGCTATCAAGGCCTTTGAGACGGCCGCCAACCCCAGGACTGGAGCCATCAAGGTCCAGATTATGAGCTCGGAAGAGGATGTCAAGGCTGCTTCTGCTGGTCAGAAGATCTAACAGCCATATTGATGAACATGCCTTGGATGTTTCGCTTGGTGGCTGGTCCTCTTTGATGCCTTTCACGTTCATGACATATTCTTTTTGGTTGGCTTTGATGATGGATTTCATGTAATTTTTCTTTGGTCGTTTTTGGTTGCTTTGGCTAGAGATCCTTGCTGTGGAGCATAGAGATTGACGTAGAATTCCATTCCCTGTCTTTTCGCAGTTGATCCGGACGCCTTAATCTGATGTGTCGCAGATAGTCCGTCTTGGGACGATTGCTACACCGTGAAGCATGATGCGGGAAGCATGAAGCCACAAGAAAGAATAATGCGGGACTGTAAGTTGACCGACCGAATTTTGTCCCACGATAATCTGTGCTCTTTCCGCCGGGTCCTCGGTGCATCCAGGGTCCCCGAATGCTTCTTCAGACGCAGCATGTCACACATCTTACGGGTCCGATGGAACAGTGTTCAATATGCCGCCGCCTCCGTGCAATTGCTGCAGTCATGGTGGCCTGCAGGCCTGAAAGTGGAAGACCGCCTGTTGACGAGTCAGAGCCACCTATCAGCAGTCACTACGTATCCGCATCCTCGTCCATGAAGTTCCATTGCATCCGACTGCCAATGCCACTTTGACTTTGGGTTTGAGTCACACGTGCCAGATGCCATGTCTCATCGCATGAATCTCCCTTCGCTTGCTGAGGTCAGATTGAGTCCAGGCGGGGAGGCCACCCCGCATGGCTTCCCCAGTTTTGAGTTTTGCCCTCCGCTCAGGCATCCATTGCAATGATCGTCTCCGGGAATGTGACCGATCCTCCAGCACAATACCGATAGACTACCGACGAGACAGGTCTGATCTCTAGATCGATCCGGGGTCTCTGAAGATTCTAGACGGACGTGTGTGCAAGTGGATCGGTTCACGAGTCCCTGCGTCGCCAAAGCCGATAGTGGCGAAGATCCCCGATAATTGACCGCGATGGGACAAACAGAGTCAGATTCTCCGGTTCTGGCAATGGGTCCATGCTTCCCGGGGCTTGTGCTTCCCGTGGGATTGGTTCCTCATCGGCCCATTCCGCCTCTTTCGGATCCAGAGATGCAATCCCCGGTCTGTTGCATTCCTTGGCCTCGCTCATTGATGTCGCGGGGTTTCGGTCATACCGCGAAGCGCCACATTATGCACTTCGGCCAGCGCACTATGCATTCATTGTCATCAACACCGTCCGGGTCCAAACACATATAAGCCGTAGTGACCACCCATCTCAATTACGATCCTTAGGCTTACTGACATCCAGGGTGATCCTAGGGTGATACCACAATGTTGGGGTCGTTGCTTTTTCTTTTGCCCCTTGCGGGTGCTACAGCCGTTGGATCTCGAAGTAGCCGGGAATGCCCTGGGTATAAGGCGTCCAATGTTCAAAAAGATGCTACGTCCTTGACTGCAGACTTGACTCTGGCAGGTGCCCCATGCAATAGCTATGGCACGGACTTGAAGGACCTCCGGTTGCTAGTGGAATATCAGACCGGTAAGTAAGTGCTGCTAGGGCTCGACTCCATCTAACGATCTATCAGATGAACGGCTGCATGTTGTTATCTACGATGCCGATGAAGAGGTCTATCAAGTACCTGAATCTGTCCTTCCTCGCGTTGGGAGTGCGGAAAACTCTAGTAATGACACTGTGTTGGATTTCGACTACGTGGAAGAGCCATTTTCATTCACAGTCTCCAAGGATGACGAGGTGTTGTTTGATACTTCTGCATCTCCTCTTGTCTTCCAGTCTCAATATCTGAAACTCCGCACCTGGCTTCCTGATGATCCCTATCTGTATGGCCTCGGAGAACACTCTGACCCTCTGCGACTGCCAACAAACAATTACACCCGAACTCTTTGGAACCGTGATGCTTACGGCACCCCTAACCATACCAATCTGTACGGCAGCCATCCGGTGTACTATGACCACCGGGGGCAATCTGGTACCCACGGTGTCTTCCTGTTGAACTCCAATGGTATGGACATCAAGATCAACAAGACGACGGAGGGAAAGCAGTACCTGGAGTACAATGCTCTCGGGGGTATCTTTGACTTTTATTTCTTCTATGGGGCGACTCCGAAGCAAGCCAGCATTGAGTATTCCAAAATCGTCGGGTCTCCTGCCATGCAAAGCTACTGGACTCTTGGTGTAAGTTTGACACTTTTAAGATTGTCCTTCGCTAACGCTGTCAGTTCCATAACTGTCGGTACGGTTACCGCGATGTATATGAACTCGCTGAGGTGGTGTATAACTACAGCCAAGCAAACATTCCATTGGAGACGATGTGGACAGACATCGACTACATGGACAAGAGGAGGGTGTTTACTCTTGATCCCCAGAGGTTCCCGCTAGAGAAAATGCGCGAGCTGGTAACCTACCTTCACAACCACGACCAGCATTACATTGTCATGGTCGACCCGGCCGTGAGTGTGAGCAGTGAGTGACCATCCGTCGTTTGATGAGTGCAGCTTGTGACTAACACATGGCGGTAGACAATACGGCATACAGCAAAGGTGTAGAACAGGGCGTTTTCCTCCACACGCAGAACGGAAGTCTATATGAGGGTAAGACCAGCGCCGTTGTATCTGGGAGCGATTACTGACCATGCAGGTGCTGTTTGGCCTGGTGTGACTGTTTTCCCTGACTGGTTCAACTCGGCCACCCAGGACTATTGGACCGGACAGTTTGCCCAATTCTTCGATGCCGATTCAGGAGTTGACATTGACGGCCTGTGGATTGACATGAATGAAGCGTCCAACTTTTGTCCATATCCCTGCACGGACCCAACGGGGTTCGCAATCTCAGATGACCTCCCTCCTGCTGCACCCCCTGTGCGGTCAAGTAGCCCACGGCCATTGCCTGGGTTCCCTGCGGATTTCCAGCCTTCGTCTAAAAGGTCTCTGAAGAGAGCGCAAGGCGACAAAGGAGGCAAGGCCGGACTACCGAACCGCAATCTCACCGATCCACCCTACACGATCCAGAATGCAGCAGGCGTCCTCAGTATGAGCACCATCCAGACCGATATCATCCATGCGGGCGAGGGGTATGCCGAGTATGATACGCACAATATCTACGGAACAAGTAAGTTATGAAATTTACTCAGTACTCTGTACATGGTTTCGTGTTCTGACGAGTCAGTGATGAGTACTGCTTCCCGCGTAGCCATGCAATCCCGTCGTCCCGATGTGAGGCCTTTGGTCATTACGCGCAGTACATATGCAGGTGCCGGCGCACATGTTGGGCACTGGTGAGTCTACCTATGATTTCTCAATGGTACAATGCTAAGTTCTGTAGGTTGGGCGACAACTTGAGCGACTGGGTCCACTACCGGATTTCCATCGCGCAAATCGTCGCATTTGCGTCCATGTTCCAGATCCCGATGGTCGGGGCTGATGTGTGTGGGTTTGGTAGTAACACGACCGAGGAACTCTGTGCTCGATGGGCGTCTCTCGGTGCCTTTTACACGTTCTATCGCGACCACAACGAATTAGGCAACATCCCGCAGGAGTTCTATCGCTGGCCTACGGTTGGCGAGTCTGCTCGCAAGGCCATTGACATCCGATACCGGCTCCTCGATTACATTTACACCGCTCTGCACCGGCAATCCCAGACCGGTGAACCATTCTTGCAGCCCTTGTTCTACTTGTATTCTCAGGATTCGAACACATTCGCGAACGATCTCCAGTTCTTCTACGGCGATGCCATTCTCGTCAGCCCCGTCACCAATGAGGGCTCCACCTCGGTGAATGCATACTTCCCGGACGATATCTTCTATGACTGGTACACGGGGGCCGTGGTGCGCGGCCGCGGGGCCAGCCTCACGCTCAGCAACGTTAACCTCACCCACATCCCCATCCATATCCGTGGCGGAAACATTGTGCCGGTCCGGTCGTCCAGCGCGATGACCACGACCGAGGTTCGCGAGAAGGGCTTCGAGCTTATTATCGCCCCCGGGCTCAACGGAACCGCATCGGGCAGACTGTATCTGGATGACGGGGACTCGCTGCAGCCGTCCACGGTGACCGAAATTGAGTTCGAGTACAGTAATGGCGTGTTGCACATCCAGGGTGAATTCGGGGGGAACACCCCTACGGTGGAGAAGTGTACCTTGCTGGGGGAGTCTGGGCGGGTTGAAGTCACTCAGAGCTTTGAACTTAGTGGCTCTAAGGAAGTCAAGTTGCAGTGACTGTTGAAGTAGCAATAGCTTACGACGCGCGAGAATTAATCTTCCTGGGTAGATCCTTGCTGCCTCAGCTCATGCACCTTCACTAAGCTTTGCGGTTATGCACTATGCAGAGTACAGAGTGGCAGGGTATGTATCAAGGGATGACCCGCCACCAGCTTGCCAGGTAGAGACCAGAAACAACCAGCTCGTTACTTTCAAGAAAGAGTAATTACATTGGCTATGTCTTTTCACCAACCACCCTGATACCCATAATCATTACCCATACCTCATACGGAGTAATCCCTCCGTACACTAAACCTGCTACATACACACATACCCATACCAACCCCTGATACCCACGCAAGGGACGCAAGCAATGAACCAACGCGTCCCAGACCCCGTACCTTACCGCGTCACGCATCCCTACAAGTCCTTCATACACGAGATTTATCCTCAAATACCCTCCCCAATCCATCCATCACCTCATCCCACCCTCAAATCTCACCACCATCTACACTCCACTCCACTACATCACACATCAACACCAAGCATACACTACTCCATATCATCCAAATCCAATTAAATAAGAAGAAAAAGATTGACATCATGTACTTCCAATCTCTCCTCCTCACCCTCGCCGCATCCATCACCCTCGTCTCAGCCGGCGACTACTACTGTCCCTTTGCGCAGGACAACTCGGGCCTGATTCAGCAGCCGTATTGCTGTGATTCGTTTACGGATTCGAAGGGGAGTTCGGTGGCGAAGGAGGGGCAGAATTGTATGTTCCCACCTTTTTTTTCTTTTTCTTGGGAGTGTTTGGTAAAGGGGCTAATGGTTGTGGATAGGCCAGTCGATGACATCTTGGGTGGATGAGTGTCCGCAGGGAGGGTCGGTGAAGTGTTGTTATACGATTGTGAGTATTCTCTTTGCTTTGGGTTGGGTTGGGGTTAGAATGAGTGGTGGGCTAACTAGCTGGGGATAGGGACCGGTGTATATCTGTACGGCGGAGGCGAAGCAGAGTGATGATTAGGATATACTATCAGATGAGCTATATATGATGGATGGATGAAGTGTCCTGGAGAAAGAGGTATGCTTATAGACGATATAAAATGATCAATGAAAATACCAACCCAATATCCCAACATATCATATCATACAGCACACACCATATAATACACTCACGACCGGCACAGTACAGTATAGCATAATACAAATGGAGGGTGCATCAAACACTAACCATCCTCACAAACCTCTCCCCCAACTCTTCCGCAGCGAGGGGATTCCCCCCCGTCAACAACTCCCTACACAGCGTCGTCCCCCCCGTCCCCTCCTTGACGCCCTGCACCATAACCGCCCCCTCCCTCCTCAACGCCCCCTCCACCTTCTCAATCTTCCCCCCCAACCACGTCTCCATCACCTTCTCCTCCGCATCACTCCAACACGTAATCTCATACCCCTTATACACGAACCCCTCATCCTCCCCCCCACCAAACCGAGTACTCAACAACGCATACGGCCCATGACAAATCGCCGCCGTGGGCTTATTCTCCCCATGAAAGTATCTCAATATCCTGCCCAATTCCTTATCACTCCCCAGATCAGTCAGCGGGGCATGACCACCGGGGATAAACACCGCCGCGAAGGTGGTTAATTCTTCATTGGTGATGGTGGAGAAGGGTCGCGGGGACGAGAAGCCGTTCTCGCGACGCATGCGCTCGATGAGGGCGGTTTCGCGGCGGCGTTCGTAGAAGTTGCCGGCGAAGGTGAGGAGGGATTCGCTGAGGGGGTCGGGGGTGGGGGGGTGGCCCTTGGGTGAGGCGAAGGTGATTTCGTGGCCGGCGGAGAGGAGTTTGGAGAGGGGTTTGGCGAGTTCGGGGAGGAAGAAGCCGGTGGGTTGGTCGTGGGTGGTCGTGGGGGAGGTGGAGGTTTTGAGGGGGAAGGAGTGCGCGTCGCTGAGGATGATGAGGACTTTTTTGGTGGGCATTTTGGTGGTGCTGTGGTGGTGGTGATATCTTTGCTGTTGTGGTGGTGGTTGTGAGGGTGGGTTGGGTGTAAGAAGTGATAATGTGTGAGTAGTGGTAGTACTTGGTGGATGGTATGGTGAAGTTGTTTGGTTTATAGTAGGGCTGGTGGTGACATCCGGATGACGTATCTGGTCAAGCAGGGATCGATTGTTGGCGTTGCATGGCGGGGGCGATCATTAGCATTGCTACACTCCTCATGATGATTTAATCTGATGCGTAAGTAGTACAATGAAAATGAATAATTGGGGCGAATATGCAGTCTGGGAGGAATACTATACCTTGACTGGGTATGCCCTTTCGGATAGCCGGAAGGTCACCGGAACAGTGCCTGGGGCCTCCCGTTTAGCCTTCAACATCTACCTCTTGAACAGATGATATCCATCAACATATGAAGTTCTTCTCTACACTCATCTGAATATTTGTCCTCTGCACGATGAAGCACGATTATCAATCTTCCCAGGGGGTAGCTGCACAGCATCAGGCATCAGTGCAGCCAACTCACTTGCCTGAAGCCAACAATGTCACTGATTTCACTAGAAGTACGATCCTTCCCAGCCTTGGACGGCATAATTATGTATTCCCACCTAATCCAAGACAAGCATGTATTGCCATGCCTTCATGTTGATCCCTATGGCTGTACTAAGGGCTGACTATTCACACAACTACCTATTGTACAGAGCTCTCTTATATACATACCTCCACAGCCCACCAGACAGCGCCTACAAGCTCCTCTCTGTGCATCCATCCCCATCAACATCCGAAATCATGATTCGTCGCAAATATCCCCATCAGATCTAAATCAACACCTGTTCTAGAACCCTACCCAGCACCAATTATATCCCAGCACCAATAGTATCTACTCATCGCCTACTATTTCCTCTCCCTCAGCCCCAACCTTAAATACGAGCACAAATATAACATAGAATCTAGACCCCATCCCATCAAGCCTCAGGCCTCCAACCCAACCCCGAACCCATCAAACCCAAAGGAATACCTTGTCTCCCTCTTCCCCTCTCATTGGCACAACCGCTCGGTGAATCCCGCGGATAACCGCTCCTCCCGATTGGAGGAAAACTCTCTTCACGGTTAGTTCACCTGGCACCCGCCCGTATACCTTAGTGGACAAACCCAACCCAAATCGGATCTGATAAACGAGGAGGGAATTTTTTTCCGAGGAAAAGTTCTTCTCCGTCAAACACACCTTGTCACATACAGAACGAACCGGGCTGGGCTGGACTGGGATGGAGTTGGTTGCGGTGTATCCGTACCGGACTTCGTCCGAAGCTACCACCTACTCAATACGGATATTTAGCCGCGCTTGTCGCCGGACTACCTTTTACTTCCTTTCCTTTCTGACAGATGGAGGAGGAATGATTGCTCACGTGAGATTTTACGTTTGGCATGTCTGTGCTCGAGGTAACGTTGCATGTGTCAATTCAGGGAGAGGGTAACTCTGTTCTAGTAATGTAGATGCCTGAAGAAATCAAGACTGACTCGTTTCGTTACCCCATTGCCGGGACGGGCTCCACCGCTGCCGACACGTCGTCGGCTAATCCCACCCTAACTCCGAACAAAGAGGTAAAATGTACGAGGCTCGGAACCTGCCCGAGTTGGACAGCTCAGTCGTTTCAGGATCTACAGGGTTTGTCTTTTCCCGCGTGCATTGAAGGATTGAAGGTGGAAAATTCTGATATTATATTTTTTAGTATGCTATGCTGGTCGTAACTCGTAATAGGGGTCGCTGATTAGGGGCTATGATTGAAGATGGTGTTATAGCCCATCTAGCATTTCTTCTGCATTGTGTCGAAAGACTCGCTCGGCCAACCCGGGCTCATTCGCACATATCCGTAGGCAGATCTCTGTAAAAGGTCCGATATTCACCCCCGAGAATCGTGTGTGTGGCCAGTCGGTTGCATATATCACGCGGTTGGGAGCGGCTTCGAGGAACTCGCGAGCCATCGCTTCGAGATCACGAAATTCCTCGTCCTTGCTGAGACGGTATGGGGCGGAAATTTTGACGTAGGTCTCTCCGGCACGGAGGAGCGAGATTAACGAGGAGAAGCCCGGCAGCGTATAGGGATCGAATGGTATTCCATCGTGGTCGACTGTCGACAAGTCCGGGCCTCCAAAATGGTCGATACACAGCTTAACCCCTAGTTGTGGGACGACGTGCTCCAGCATGGGCACCATATCCAGAGATACATAGACTTGAATGGTCCACCCGAAAGGCCGCACCACTTTTGCATGTTGCAGCAGCGTTTCTGTCAGCTCCTCCTCGCTGAGCACCTTTCCCACCGACTTCAGGTTCACCCGCACCCCGCGCACACCTAGGGCATGCCACTCCTCCAGGGTCTTGGTGTCTATGGTGGTCGGGTCGATCACCACCACCCCTCGCCCGCGAGAAGGTCCGACGTTTCTGAGTGCTTCGAGGAGACAAGAATTGTCCGTGCCGTAGATGGATGGCTGGACTAGGACGATGTTTCCGATGCCAAGGGAGGATTCGAATGTCATAGCTTCATCGACGGTGTGCTTCGGAGGCTGGTAGACAGCGTTGGCGGAAACTGGGAAACGCTGCGGTTCCACGACGTGCATGTGCGTATCCCATGTTCCTTGGGGGATTCGGTGCTTCAACGGGAGAGGCTGTGGGATGGTCGTTTCCTCCTTGTAGGCGCGCCGCTCTCCCTTTAGATGAGTGGTGTTGAACAAGGCCCGGGGCGTTTCATGCAGGCCAGGCCCGGGCTGGAAGGATGTAAGCATGGTGGGTACGGAGGACGAAAGCATGGTCGACATGTCAAGGCCGCAGGCTCGAGAAGAGGGTGACGCCGCTGGGAGAACCCGCCGGGTAAAACTCACGAAACGGTGGAAGCGCAACGTTCCCGCTGCTCCTCTTAAGAGATATTTTTGTAGAGTCATCGTGCTCTCTATTAGGCTAGGTGCCAGCCAAGGAATGACCCGTTCGGTCAAAAGTGTGGATAATGAAATTACGGCAGGCTTTCACTCGGCTTCCCGATTGTTTTACCGAAAGGATGCCAGCAACGCGAGGAATGAAACAGTCCCTGACCCACCGGGGAGGAGCGGGATCCTGTCGCTGAAGGGTGAAAACTGGATGATGAGGTCGGAATCTGGCCGCAAGGGGGGCCAGCCACGTGAGGCGACATTGGAATGATATGTCCAAACTCCAAAGGCCCGTACTGGCCGACAACCAATGAAGGCCCGCGACGTTGGACGTCGACCACGACAGAGATCGGACGTGTAAGCGAGATGCAGAACCACCGCCCCGGGGTTATTATTCAGGCGCACCGGAAGTGGTCCGGGTGGATTCAGGCGGATCGACCCGCCCGATCTATCTGACATGCAGCGGTGCAGGGCAGCCTCCGCGAGTCTCTCCTGTCGCAACGTCGTGGGCAGCACGACATGAGGTCGACCGTCGATACTCTATCAAGGACGATAGGAGCCCGTACTATGTAGCAGGATCAGCCGCTCGGAGCACCCATCAGTGCAGGGCTCTGCATTAGTGTCGCCAACTAGACCGAGTCAAGCAGGATCGGAGGGAGAAAAGGAGGAAAAGAGGGGAGGAAAGCAAAGGCAGCCGGAAGTTGACCGAGCGGCGAAGTCACGCCCCTCCGGGTCCCGTGCCTTCCCCCTTCCGGGTGGATTTTTGTCGCCTCGCTCGACTTCCGGCCACTCGTCTCGTCTGACTCGCGTGTGGCTTGCTCCTAATCATTCTCCCCCCGGGTCTCCGGATAGTAACAAGGCAGCAATCGGTCCCAACTGGAGCTTTCCCCAGATTCCTCATTCTAGCGCTTAATCCCTTCTGTTATCCCCCCTTTGCTTAAAATAGCCGTGTCCAGTGCCATCGCGGTTCCTTCCGCTTCGCCAGCATGGGATGGGCGGCGATTGACTGGTCACGGTGGACCACAAATCCTTATTATGCCTTAGTGATCTTTATTATAGCATGTGGAAGCATTCCCAAAGGTAACGTCATCTCTCGGTCTCATTTGGCAGGTCAGAATCTGACAGGTGGGGTGTCGCTGCAGGTTACGATGAAGGTGGCTACAGTGCCAGTGTCAAACTCGAATCGTTTATGGTCGACTTTAACCTCCTATCCTCCAACTGGACGCACGACGCCACCGGCCTGGCCAACCGTAAGGCGAATATCACATCATTCAACGTCTTGGGGGCGGCCTTCGGGGCCTTGTTTTCGTTAGACTTGAATGATCGCTTGGGGCGACTGTGGACGTGGCGTTTGTCTTGCCTGGTCTGGGCATCAGGCCTGTTTATCACAGTCTTCTCCTCGGGCATCTACGGTTTATTACTGTTTGCCAGGATCTGGAGTGGTCTAGGCGCTGGGGCGCTAACGGTCACGACGCCTTTGTATCTGTCAGAGATCGGTGAGTAAATTTGGACAGTGGCATGCATGCCCTAGATAGCTCGCTGAATTCGATTCTAGCGCCTGCCCGGACCAGAGGCTTGGTGGTTAGTGTTTATATGGTTATATTGCTGGCCATTCTATCTGTGGGTAAGCTTGCTCTCCAATAAGGACTAGTCTCATGTGTGGCGTTTTCTAACCTGCGGCTCCGATAGGGTTCTTTGTCAACTATGGGGCGGACTTGCACATGGCGCCGACGCGCGAACAATATCGCCTGGTCCAGTCCATCCCTTTGATCCCCACTGGGATTGCATTCTTTGCGTCTTATATTGTGCCTGAGACACCCCGCTATCTAGTGTCAGAAAATCGGCCCGATGAAGGCCGTGCTGTGCTGGCTCGGCTCCGCGGTAAAGACATTTCCGATCCCGATGTTGAGGATGAGTTCAACTCGATCGATGCTCAGGTTCGCGCAAAGGCAGCAGACCTGGCCTCGGTCAGCCACTGGCAAGCTTTCAAGGAAACCCAGTCGAACCCTAATTATCGGCAGCGGTTCTGGCTCTTGATGACCATGCAAACCATCGCCCAATGGACCGGAGGAAACGGCATCACCTACTATATCTCTAATATCTTCCAGTACGCTGGCATCACGGGAAATGCTCAGTCCCTTATCTCCTCCGGTGCATATGGCATCGTCAAGCTTGTTTTCACCATGGCTTTCACTTGGGGCCTAATTGATTACCTGGGCCGGCGTCGCTGCGCACTGACTGGCCTCGCCCTACAGCTGGCTGCCCACATCTACATGGGAGCTTACATGGGCCTACAGCCGGGCTCTTCTGATAACGAATCGGCTTCGAATGCCGCCATCGCCTCCGTATTTATCTACGCCGTTGGCTGGTCTATCGGTCTCTGTACCATTCCTTATCTCTATGGTACGGAGATTTTCCCCACTCGCATCCGCAACGTGGCCTACTCTCTCAGCATGACTTTGCATTGGTTTTTTCAATTTGCCGTCGTGCGGGTTACACCAAACATGTTTGCCTCCCTCGATGTTTGGGGTGCGTATGTCTTCTGGGCGAGCATCTGTACCATCGGCCTCATCGTCCTCGGTATCTGGATGCCCGAGACCAGCGGTGTCCCCATGGAGCGGATGGGCGATCTTTTCGATACCCCCTGGTACCTGCGCTGGCGTGCGAAGCCGAGGGATGTCGCCTCATCCTCAGCATCCACCGCTGGAGAAGGCACCGAGGTCGGTTCCAGCCTCGATGCCAAGCAGGTGGACAGCAGAAGTCTGCCTTTGTAAATTCTCCGGATCTTTGTCCGCATATATACCCGAGTTGTGCTTTACACTGTACTATTTATGGTTGGACTGATGGTCATGTCTTGGTTGTTTAAATGGGAACGAACTATGTACTTGAATACCCTCGTTTAGGAAAAGTGGCTGGTTTAGATCTTGTATTTAGTTTTGACAGTACATAAGGGATGGATCAATTATACAAGGTCATTTCGAAGGTTTACAGTTTCCCGTTCATGTATAGAGATAGATTGGATTATAGTCAAGAGGTGAATCACAAGTGTACATGCAAGAGTACAAAAATTGGTTGATTAGACATGTCCAACTGCTCTAACTTAATTACCAGACCGTTTCTCTGATAAGCGGACATCTAGAAGCCCATTGCTTGGTTTCTGTCCCGGAATTAATGCCGATCCCACCCGTAATCAACTGCAGGCGTCATGTTCGTCGTGATAGGCTCTGCATACGAGAACGCTTCAAACACTTCCGGCGTGATCTCGTAGGAACCCGGATTATCCAGCGTTAGCATGGCATTTGGCATCCCGCCTAAGAGATGTGCCGTGGTCATCGGCGGTACGTTCGTCTGCGAAAGCTCAAAGTCGGCAACTGGTTGTTGGAAGGTATACCCTGACATTATTGGAGCTGTGGAGGTCATGCCTGCAGTGTGCATGGAATTTATGGGGTGGTCGGTTTGTTGGGGTTGCTGCTGCACAGGGGAAACGCGACGGGAGGTATCGGCGAGGTTCACGGGGGATGATGCATGATGTTGGGAAGGAGAGTGGCTGTGATGGGTTCGTGACCGTTGGTGGAGTGGCGGTTGGGGTTGCGGCTGGGGCTGAGATTGTGGTTGTTGAGGTTGTTCGGATTCAGAAGTGGGAAGTACTATATGGAGATCGATTTGAAGTTTCTGCATTTCCTGGTAGACGAGGCTTAGAGCTGTGATTATCACTGTCGAAATTGTTAGTGGCGCGCCACACACCGGGTTCCGAACAGAATCATACCAGGATTTGACCCCTTCACCCTCTCCAGTGCATAGATGCAGTATTTGAGTTTGTCGAGAGTCCCCGGAGCAGCATATTTCAGGGCCTGGATTTCGAGCAAGAAGATAGATGCTGCAGTGTACACACTATAAGCGAGGGAGAGGACCACGTGACTGTCCCCGAAAGTACGACGATACAAATCGAACAGGGACAGGATAGTAGTCGCTGAAGTCATGCATTGGACTAAGTGACTTTTGTCGTAGGCTTCGCGGTTTGATTTGGAGCAGAGAACAGGGCGGTGGAGGAGGATGTTAATGGTGTGATAAAGGCAACTATAGAACAGAATGATTAGCATTCCATAGACGATATAGGCCAACAAGGCGGGTGGTACGCACTTCAGGGTCACAATGTGACTGGGCGGAGCATAGGGAGGAATGTCCATAGGCTGGAGCTTCAGATAATCGGGAAGCTCCTCCCACCAATCAGCTAGGTTTGCGGCCTGTTCCTGGATGCAGTTGTAGAACTCCATCTCCGACACTTGTCGGATAGGATCGTAGATGTGGATGAGGATTTGGTTGAGGATCTCTGCCAGTCCGCACATCTTCATGAAGCACGATGTAGAATGGGCCTGAGTGGGCGGATAGTGAGTTCCATCGGGGAAAACGACGCCATGAGGAGTCCAAATCTCAACCTCGGCCGTATCATCCAATATCATTCTTGGAGGGCTGACCCGAGAGTGCTGCATGGTCGGAGATCGGCCGAAGTATAATGAGATCAGCTTATCCCAGAAATAGCAACTCCAGAAGAGACGATTTCTGAGCTCAATATCCTCGTCACTGAGATGAGCACTGTCAGAATACTTGCGACTATCGATGGATATTCCAAGGTCATCCAGCATCCGAAAGGCCATTCCGCTGTACAACCACGCTTGAGTCCGGTTGCCTCTCCCGCACTCTTGCGCACTGAGAAGAAGTAGTGTCTGAATGGTTGGAATACCGACATAACCGGCTTTGAGCGAGTCGTATAGGCCTGATACGGCACGGTGGGAAAACTGTGCCCCGCCTTCGAACGAATCCAGAATGGGCCCAATCCTGGGCTCTGTCTTGCACCATCGTACGGAGTGGGAAAGAATCGCATTCAATAGGGCATCGGAGTAATAGGGGCCATTAATCTTCATATCACCTGTCTTATGTCAATGTCTGGGTAATACCAACTAGCGGGGTGAACGAACGAGTGAATGTAGGTCGATAGACGAAGCCGAAAAGTGGTTGAATCCAGCACCAGTGTGAATCGAGCAAATACTGGAATGGTTCCTGCAACATGATAAGGACTAGAGTTAACTCTGATGTTCTTTTTAACGTGGTGTTTCGTGGGTTGAGACTCACAGGCATAGTAGCCATCTGTTCAAAAGCCCGCTCCCGCCATGCATTGTTGATGAGCCTTTCTTTCCGTCCCTCCAGTTGCATAGCTAGAGGGGATGTCGACGAGGTTTCGCTTAGGAGGCCACTCGGGAGCTGAAATAAACTGGTCGGGCCATGGAAAGATATTCGACCGTCGTGTTCGACTTTGAGACCCTCGAAGTCTCTAGCGAGATCACTTTCGTTTTCTTCCTCTTCCTCTTTGATGCGAGTTCGGATGCCCGGGCTGGCGCTGGACGTACCCGGAGATGCCGGGGAAGCACCTTTCCGCAGTACCGGCTCCGGAGGTGATTGGTTTCGTAGCTTGGAAAGAGCATCTTCCAGCTGCGCGACGCGTGCTTCCAGCTGCTTGGTATAAGATAAGGTTGGAGCCCTAGAGAGCGAGGGTCAGTAATGATCGACAGTTTGCCGGTAGGCCCTGCAAAGCGGGTCGGATTGGTGGGGGAACAAAAGTCCCAGAAGCGAGGATGAGGGAAAGGAAAATCAGCCACACTCACAGACTATAGACGCACACCTCGCCGCGTGCCGCACATCGCGAGCATGACGGACTGGCTCCGTTGCATTTCACCTAGCAGATCGGGTCAGCATCATCAGCCAAGCGTGTGTGGTCATTCGACATATTAATCTCGGAAGTCATCCGAGTCAGGAACGTAAGGGGGGGGGTTGAACCCACCTTTCGCTTGCGACAAGCCTCACAGGAAAAGGCGCTTTTCCGGGGAAGGTTGGCCTTCAATGGCACGTCGGCCATGCCCGACTGATTGGATTCTACGACCATGGAATTGGACACACCAGGATGGCCGTGGGGGACGGGACAGATGTCGCGACAGCCTCCATGGAAGAGAAAATTCACGATCACGCGAAGGAAGGAAGAGGGGAGGGGGGGCGAGAGGAGAAGGGAAAGGGACGAGAGGGAGGGCGAGTGGGGGTGAAAGGGAACCAGAAAAGTGAGACGATGGCCACCAAGCTTAGGGGCGCACCTTAATCCAGCAGAGGGACCATTCCTTGGGTCGTGGGGAGGCGACGATGATCGGTGAGGGGAACCACACTGAGCTTCGCCGGGCACTTGTCACACACTGCTTGACTCTCGTTCTTGTCCGTGAGGAGTATCATCTGATCAGATGAGTGAATACCCCCCAGCCATCCGATACCGGTTGCTGGTTGTCAGCCCAGCAGCGCCCCCGATGGGACGATCTGAGGCGGGAGAGGCGGCGCCGGAGCAATGGGAAAGATTGGAACGCAACCGGCATGACGATATCTCGGGCGAGTGTGACCCTGTTGGACCAATCAGCGGCCCGATGCCGGAGGGGCTGGCCCTTCGCCGCCGCGGAATTCAGGCAGCACTGGCTGGCTGGGCGCTGGATGGATCAGGCAATCAATTAAGCTTAATCCGCCCCGATCACGTGGCGCCCATCCAGCAGTCCCTCAGTCCCTGTCGGTGGCTGATCATCCATCTCCCGGTCAACAACATCTTCTACAGCGATACGGAGTGGTGGTTTCAGACTCGTCCTGACTACCTCGGCTACTGTACATGATATCTCTACACCCCACTTTATTATACAAATTGCTTCTCCAACTGCACCAGCAGGCTGTGCACATCGTCTACAGCGAGCGGAACTGCCCGGGGATTCTTGAGAGCCTTGTCACCCAACCGCTGGGTCAGGATCTCTTGCAGCTTTTGCGCCCCGCGTTCGGGCTTGCTCTGCAGCTGGCCTGTGACATCCACCGTGATGCGAGAGGCAGCAACATCTTTGGGTCCCAGAATGAAAATGAGGTTGTACTTCATCTGCTTGGCCCGTTGGATCTTCTTGCTCAATGATTGACTGCTGGTGTCCACATCGATCAAAAACGTGGAGTCAATCGGAGATATAGGCTGGGGCGCAACACCCCCAGTCTGGTCAGGCTGGAGTGGTCGAACCCCAGAGATCTTCGCGGCGGCTTCGTGCGCCTGTTGCACGACGGCCTCGTCTTGGTTGACAGTAAGGACGATGCCCTGGCGCGGAGACAGCCAGAACGGCCAGCGACCGGCATATTCTTCGATGAGCAGTGCCAAAAACCGCTCCAAGGAGCCGAAATTCGCCCGGTGGATCATCACCGGCGTGGCCTTTCCTGGTGTTTCCGGATTATAATCCTCCTCTCCTTCGGCTACCTGGTATTCTAGCCCAAATCGCTGGGGCAGGTTCATATCGAGCTGGATGGTGGAGAGCTGGTGATATTTGCCTGCCTGATCTTGAAGTTGAATGTCGATCTTGGGGCCGTAGAAGGCGCCATCGCCCTCATTCATGGCCCATTCTCTGCCAGTGTTGTCGAGGGCCTCGCGCAACTGAGCCTCGGCACTGTTCCACAGCTCCAGACTTCCGATGAAGTCCTTCTCTGGCCTTGTAGAAAGAACCAAGCGGTATGGTCCTAGCCCGAAGGTTGTCATAACAAGATCCACGAACCCAAGTGCAGAAGCGATTTCTCCCTTGATCTGCTGTGGTCGACAGAAAATATGGCCATCATCTTGATGGAACCGACGGACACGAGTAAGTCCGCTTAGCGAGCCAGATATCTCATTTCGATGAAGAGGACTAAAGTCGGCGTAGCGGATGGGGAGCTCCCGGTAGGAATGGGTCTGCGATTTGAACAGCAAGCAGTGACCGGGGCAATTCATCGGCTTCAGGCCGTACGACTCGTCCTCGCCCGTCTCCCCGTCCGTGTCTCCAGTCGCTCCTCTACCGCGCACCTCGTACATATCATCCTTGTAGTTTTGCCAATGACCGGAAACTTCCCAGAGAGAACGTTTGTAGATCGTCGGGGTCAGGACTTCGCGGAAACCGTATTGGAGGTACTGTGTGCGGAGGAAGGTGATGAGTTTGTTGATGATATGGGTGCCATTTGGGAGGAAGAGAGGCGAACCGGGACTGTAGACCGACGTTGTGAAAAGATCCTGGGAGGTGCCCAGGGCGCGATAGTCGGCCGGGGTGGAAGACTGAGCTGGAGGCTGGCCGGGCTGCGGGTCAGAGCACGAACAAGGCCGCGACGACGTCGAGGAGAGCCATTGCGCTCTCACTGATGGCCAACGGGCTAGCCGTCCATTGATCGGGGGTTTTCGAGAAAGGACATGTTGCCGTAACAAGGGGGACAGTCGACGCATCGTGGAATAGGCGGACAGGGACATGGATCGGATGGTGAGACTGGAGGATTTTCCTGGCCGCCCGTGACCCGACGCGATCTGCCCGATGGGGAATCGCGTTCCCGTGATTGTCCCCCACCACCTCGTCGGGTCGTCGCCGTTGCGTCGTCCGATCTATACTCTCGGGCTAGATATCTGCCTTCCATCTCATGATCGGCATTCTGACTCTCCGTCGGCCAGTCATCCACATCTCAAAGCTGGGATACCGTCTAGTGTGATACTGTGTGTAAGCGTCCTTGCCTTTCATGAACCAGAGCAGTGCTCGACTCCCCGCTACTTGCCATTTCTACTACAGACTATAGCGGCAGCAAATCGATGTATTTCAGCTAATGTCCTTCATAGAGCTACGCTACATCTATATATTCACGACTTACGAGCTCTTCAATCTCGCTGCTACATCATATAAAGACTTGTTTTACAATCGCTTGCATCTTACGGCTCGCGCATTGTTTGCCTCGCCAACACCGTGTAGCGGCGCAGAGAGTCTCATCAATTAGAGCTTCCATAAAGCTGCCATAGGCCCAAATACATTCTTCATTACCAGGCTCCATGTCTGCATCCACATCTCGACCCCAGGATAGCTCAATTTTGGGCGAGTCCTGGGTGGTAGCTGCACCTCACGAGGGGAACGAGCAACAAGCCAAACATCAGCCATCTGAATCTGCAGGCCGGACACCTCGACCAGCTAGGAAGCGCGACTACGGATCCGAATCGATGGCTACCTCCACCTCGTCTACCTCAGGGCCAGAGCTAATCATGCCGTCGGTATACGAGGCTCCTATCTCAGAAGGTTCCTGGGTTGCGCCAACCACAAGGTCCAAGCGCGCTCTCAGACATAGACCCCAGAAGTCCTCCAAGCGATCAAAGCAGGAAGAAAAACAGCAATCTCCTTCGTCCACAAAAGTGGAAATGGCGCCAGCCTCAACTCAAAGTTCCCCTCAACCAAAAGCAAACCAGCACCGCGCATGGACGTTCTCAAACATACCATTCCAGTCAATTCTACGCACAATACTCAACGCTATTCTCATTGCAGCCATCTCTCATATGCTCATCCTCCCCGAAGTTGTCCAACAGTACCAGACCCTCTGCTCTTTAGAGACAATAGCAACCCTATACCCAGCTAGTTGCATCCCGCCTTACCCCCAACCCCGCCACCACCAACCAGCCGCCGGGGAGACCGTCGCATCCTCACAATCCCGCCTCGAGTCCCTCTTCAACACCACCCTTCAAGAAGCAGAACCTCTGGCCAGCACATTGAAGCAAAGCGAGTCCAAGCTGCGCGATGTCCACCAAGAACTCAGGAAAGCCTACCCAGGTACCAAACATGAACTCTACCTCGAGTTCACCGGCTGCTTACAAGCCACCCGCACCGCCGCAAGCAAATTCGACTCGCTCCGAGCCGACATCCGTTCAGCAGTGGATAGCCTGATCGCCAGCGGCGATGCCCAGGCGCTTTCTCACGACGCGCGTCTCTCCACCCAAATGGCCCGACGCGAACGGTACCTCGAACAACTCACCTCGCGCATGCAGTCCAAGGCCGACTCTCTCTCCAATGACCTTGCCACCCTAGACGACCACCTCGAATCGATCGAAAGCATCGTAGCCCGCGAATCGAAGCAATCTCCCACCGCGCCCGGTGCACCGCCCAATCCGGGAGGCAAGTCAGACCAGCCTCCTCGTTTGCGTACATTCGTCGACTCCCTCTTGGGCGTTAACCGCCCCCGTCCAATCAACGCAGAGGAAAGCGCCATTCCCAGCCACGAGACCTCACTAGTCACGATTTTCCGAGATGCGGCCACCAATCATCGCCCCGTGATCCGTGTAGTCCGAAACCTGTCGAATCAGCTCCAGTCTCTGCGACAAAGGAAGACTATTGCTATCTGAGCGTACGGGGTATACTATCGAAATTTGATGTGAGACATGCATATGGGACGACTGGACTGACCTTGGGACTTGGGAAGATAAGCATTCGGCGTTTAGGCGGGCTGTGTTTTACATGGCACGTGGGTTTAATGTTACACAATGTTTACTGTCAGGAACAGGCTACCCCATACCGAGCCAGACATGTGACAGCGCTAGGAACTGATCGATTGAATGGGTATTATTAAATTTATGAGCTAAATAAAGCCCTGGATTTTGTCCAGCAAATGAACGTCCGGGAACAGACAAAAGACCCTTTTCGTGATGATAATGGCGTGGGAAAGATGACAACGGGTTCATTTCCAAAGTAACAAACAACAATCGTAGCAAAGCGAGTCCGATTAATCTCCTGTCTGGTAGCAGTGTAAATGGCAGCAGACAACTCAACTCCTCTCAAGTATGTACTGACAACTACATTCCAAATGAGCTATGCAATGAAAGCAGCGAAAAGAGGGGGTGAATGTTTCCAAACGCCCGGAAAGGGAAGAGAAAGGTTTGATCAAGAGCAGATATAATCGGAGGATTATATCGGGGTTGATCGAGGGTCAATTTACAGAAGGGCAGCGAGGAGACCAGCGAAGAGAACGCTGGCCGAGGCGCCAACCTGAGTAGCAGCACCGGTGTAAACACTGGGAGAGGCGCTAGCAGAGGCGCTGGTAGAAACAGAGATAGAGCTCGAGGCGGCGGCGGGGGAGCTGCTGCTGGAGGAGCCAATGGTAGAGCCGGAGCCGATGACGGCGGCGGAGGAGCTGGCGGCAGCGGCACCGGAGGTGCTGGAGCCGGAGCCGGAGCCGGTGCCGGTGCTGGTGCTGGTGCTGGTGCTGGAGGTGCTGGAGGTGCTGGAGCTGGAGCTGGAGCTGGAGGTAATGTTGCAGGAGTCGGTGTTGACAACAATGCTGCTGTAGTCACCAGTCTCGTCGGAGTAGGTGTAGGTGCAGCCAGGGTTGTAGTTGGTGATAGTGACGGACGAGATGATCATGGTGAAGGGGCCATCAGCATAGTCGGTCTCACCACCAGCCCACTCAATGGTACCAGCGGGCTCAGAGGAGTCACCAGCAGCCCAGATACCGAGCTTCAGGCGCATGGGAGTCTGGGGGTAGCGAGTACCGCTCTGAGCATCAGCGTAGTTGAGGGTGCGCACGGCGGTGCCGTCGATGCTCCAGGTGGTCGACGACTCGGTCCACTCAACAGTGTAGGTGTGGAAGGTGTCCTGGGGGGTCGACACGGTTGCCCAGGTAGCACGGTCGTAGGAGGAAGTATCACCCTTGCCGAAGTAGTTGGTCTCAATCTGAGTAGTATCACCACCAAGAGCCTCCTATAAGTCTCAATGTGGTTAGTCTACTTTCCCCGTGCATACTGGTTGATTAAGGTGCAGGCGGGCGTGCATAGTAGGGATGGGTAGGGGTAACAGGTGAACAGGAAAGGGGGGCTGGAGGAACTTACCCAGTCGATCTCGTCGAGAACGTCCGACTCCAAGACGATAGCACTGCAGATACCGGTACCGGCGGCAGCCTTCATGACAACTTCAGCCTTTCCGAAGAAGAAGTAGAAGTCCGTCTCAATGGTGGGGGCTTGGCCCGACTCGGTGATGATGAACTCAGCACCCTCAGAAGTGAAGGTCACATTGTCGGCGGTAGTAGTCCAGCCGGACATAGAGCCAGAGGTAAAGTCGGTGGTGAAAGTGGTAGTGCTCAAGGCCGTATCAGCAGGGCATGTCTCTATGTGGTCGGTTAGATATGTGCGTGCATAGGTATACAAGAGGAACATACTGTTGAGAGGGTCGCAGTCCGTGTAGGTCTGCGCGGCGGTAAAGGGCAGCACTGCAGCCAGTGCAGCAGTAGCGAAGGTGCGATACATGGTGTGGTTGGTATGGGGGGTATGACAAGGCGACTTGAACGAGGGTGCAGCAAGAGTCCAAACGAAAGAAGACTCTTGCGTGTGTGTGACCTGGGGATGAGAAGGCGGGTAGAGTCGGGGGGGTTCTTAATCAATTAAATAGTGATGAAGTAACTAAGTGAATCTAGCACTCAAAGCGAACGACTGACCCAGGAACCCGGGCAACCAAATAGGGAAGAAGAGGGGAATATTAAACTTCCGTCACTATGGAACGGGGAAGTGGGAAAAGCGATGGTAATAATAAGGTCGCAGTGAATGATGCTAGCCAAGTGGGTGCCGCCATGGAGACAGGTTGTATGATATTAATACTTCCCCTGAGGGAGACTTCATCCGCTATGGAGCAGTCGAGTTGAGCCAACGAGACTAAGGATGGTAATTGGGGGCAAAAGGTGTATCCCCTGGTTCGGCCTTGCGAGGATTCTGGGCAGGCACTGGGCGAAGCCTGCGTCACGGCTGAGGTGGTCAGACACGGTGACTGAAGGAGGAACGAAGGACGACATCGATCCAGTGGAGTCTGGACTGGAGACGGCCCCAGTGAGCGAGCGACTGGCGGCCGCTGTGATAGGTGCAAATTCGTTCGTGAAGGCTGGTGTTATCCACTTTTCGACTCGGTCGGGAGGATCGTTCGCTGTGCTGACCGGCTGGGGAAAGCAATGAGGGCGTGCGTAGACTGCGTACACTGTATACGACGGCGGAGCAAGAGGCACAAAAGCTTGTGCCTGCCGCGTGTCTTGGATGATTTTCTTTGCTTTTCCTGTTTTCCCTGCGTCCCCTGCGCCTTTTTCGTCCTCCCTTCCATGGATGTTATTTTTTTTTTTTTTTTTGTTCTGCAGTGCGATAGCCCTTGTCTCCTAGTTCTCACCTCACGTCCTCCTCGAAACCGGGGCTCACCAACGGTTCAGCCAAGGGTTGAAAGGGGTCCAAGATGTCATTCGCTTAAATTGGACGAAGGAGTGGATTCTTCCTACATGGTGGTAGCGCCGCCGAGGACCGAGTCGGTGTTGGTCCTATTTAGGCAACGATGTAATTGTAGTCGTCCGAGGGCCAAGGGGGCCAAGTATTTAACCACCATTTGCCACGGTCGCATTATACGGACTCGCCGTCCACTAGCGGTCCAACTGTTGGTTTTCCCGCGTGCTGATTGTGTCAGAGATGTGTCGCAGCTTTGACGACGCGATGGAATTGCGGCCAATCGCTGCGATCCATGGATCTAACACATTGGACCTGTGGTTCAGCCATTTGAGCAGACAGCGGGAGTAGACACCACAGGTACAATCTAACGGTCATAGGGCAGTAAAATCAGTGGTCATGGTGGGCGGAATTATGATCAAATCAAAGTGCAATAATCATGACTCCGGCCGAGGGTCCGTTCCAAAAGCTTCCGCCGATATTGGATGACACCTAAGACAAAATAAAATTGGACCGTCTAAGCGCCGCCTCGGTTGGCCAAATGTTTTGCAGGTCAGAAGACAAACAAATGTCTCACCCGGATAATGTTATAACAAAGAGCTGAAGAAGATGGCTGGAGGACTCTGACCCAGAACGGAGATCGAGGGAAGCACCAGCTTACCCACTTGTTCGGTCCGTCAGCGATAAGGAGACGCATTCGGAATGAGGGTCCGAAGTGCCGCATGCTTCTGGTTTAATTTCTGGAGATGAGCCAGGAAGAATGCGCAAATAACGGTGCCTCCAACAGAAGTACGGTGGGGGGTCAGCAATAATCTCCCAGGGTGTCAGGCGCATCGTCCTTAATCTGAGACAAAAGGGGTGTTCATTTTAACTGATTTAAATTATCCGGCCCCTGAGGACAGGAGCTGTCATAAACCCTGACACTCTCATGCTTGGAGCGGATCGTGGATCGCGCGGAGGATGCTAATGCTAATGCTAATGCTACCTTGGCCGCCCTTCCGAACTCTAAGAAGCGACCTGATCACCTGCCGTAATTTTGCCCAGGCTGACCCTCCCGGGTACAATACGATACCGTCATCTATACGCCCGGTCACATGGGCTTTGCTGCCTGATGATGCCTGGCAACAGGTTGGGGAAGGCGTGCCTCAGGATGGCCTTCTTGTTGGGCGATCCAATCAATCCGGCGCCACGTTGGATGTTGATCATCACCCGACCCTCGTTTCCCCTCTTTTCCCCTTATCTTCCCTCTCCCACCTTCTCGACAAGACAACTACCCCCCAGTCCTGCAAGGCTCAAGCCCTTGACTTCTTACTATGGGCCAGAAACCCAGCAAATCTTTGCATCGCGCTAATTTGTCTCGTTCGCTCGCCGGCGCTGCGTCCTCGTCTTCTCCACTCGATCCAGACATGGACCGGAAAGTCTACATTCCGCTCTGTTTCTGCCTGATCTCCTTTGCGGTGATGGTTTATGTCAACTGATTCGAATCTCCGGAGGATCATTCTACCTTGATCTTTCACCGAACACACTTCCACACCAGATCGGCCACGGTGTCGTCTCAGCGCAAGTCGTAAAGCCATCGCATCTATCTCTACGATACCAACGATAACCGTTCCGTGCCCCACTCCAAACAAACACCTGGATATCGGCATCCCAACGCCCCATCCATACGACAAACCCACACTCAGTTGAGAGAGCCGCTCGGAACACTACCCTTTCGAGCTCAGAATCACCGTCAATCTCACCAGCCTCATGGAACGAGTAGAAGGACCGCACCGCCTGGAGCTACAACGGGAAAGGGTCGGTCGATCGACCACGCAAGCCGCAGAACACTACGTATCCCGCTAACGGGACTCCGGCCGCGCCACAGCGATCAATAACAGGTGCCAGCCAAACCACCTCGCAAATCCGTACCATATGCAGCTGCACCGATCTCACAATATCCCGAACAAAGCACGATAGAGCCGGTCTCAAAGCTCGGGGTTAAGGCTGCGCATTCGACGCTAAAGAACAATTGATATGCACAGTGACGTATGTACGTACGTACGCTGGGGCGCCACTATTGCTTGTTTGTTTTCTTCTCGGTGCTAAAAGGTTGCCCCGCATACGAGGAACAAACTAGCAACCAGCCTTTCATTCATCTTTCCCATGTGTCATTGCTACCACATGCATGTTGTTATCTATATACCCTATCTGTCTTACCAGATGAAGTGAAATCAATCCACCGTGCCAAAGGCAAACCGGACAAACTCAAGCTCTATAAATAACCACTTTTCCAGCCCAACCTCAGACACTGCGGAAAACGGTAAAGCTATCAGCCTGAAACTTGTGCTCACTGCTACCGTACCATAAAACCTATCCAAGCCTATCCAAGCTAGCCATGCATTAGAAGCATTTCGATACCGTAAATACCCCCACCAGAGATAAGACATCAACCCAAAAATAGCCCCGAACACGAACCTACCATCAGAGAAAAAGTCTCTGCAATCTGCCCATGGATGAATGACTTTTCACACGTACAGGCCCAAAATAGCACCCCTTGTGATAAATAATACGAAACTAGTCTCGAAAATTCTTCATATCCACTATGTAGTATGCGGAACCCTGATATGGAGAAGGAAATTTTATTCCAATCTTGATTGTAATTCAAGGATCATAATCTGCATCGCATACGTTATTCGTTACTTGCAACAGCATGTATGAATTATTCCAGTAGTATCTTGTCAATAAAATATCGACTAGTAGTACTGGATAGTATAACATCTGGATAAGTAGGGAGTTTTGTGAGAATACTAAACCACATACCTGGATGATACTATTACCTAGATGTAAGAGTGTAGCCGTGTTGTGAGGGTACGAGCGTACTTATTGACTACGCCATGTCAGGATGGCTTTGTGGTATTGTTATACTCCGTATTCTAGTGATGTATGTAGGGATGGGATTGATATTATTCTGTCTGGTACTTGTGTACGAGAGAGTAAAAGTGCAAGTACTAAACAAAAGAGTGTGATGAATGTTGCTTTCAACTATGTGCCGAAATTAAAGTGGTGAGATACTCTGAGAAATGAATAAGAGTCAGTCATTTACTCACATATCTGATCTAGAAGGACTGTAGCGGAATAATACTAAATTGCCTCTTTCTAATATTCCCTTGGTGCTGGTTAAAGGACTATCTAGATTTATATGACACGCTCTGCATTGTGAGTTACTTCCGTCTCGAGCCAGCTGCCGAATTAAAAACCAATTGTAGCTTACATCTGGTCATAGCACTCATCATAAATGGCCCAATAGATGCGGTCAACTCGCTCATCGGGATCTGACTCAAGGATGAGTTCAACCTGCTCCCGTATGGGCACTGCCATCCAGACCAAGTCCTTGAGTACAAGGTCATTAACAGCGAAGTCCCTATCAAGATCCCCTGGGCGAGGAATATTCTTGAGATGCCCCCTGAAAAGGCACACAATCAAGTAAGCCAGACGATGGAAACGCATCGTCCCGTATCGGCTAGGCTGAGAGCAGATTCGGACCACTGCATCTTGCAGGGCCTTTCGGGGCACTTCCTGGATCAGCAAAACCGCATATTCAACCAGAATATGGCCGAGTTTTGTCTCCCTCCCGTCCGTTCCGTGGGTCAACATCAAGAAGATACTCCCGACGATGCTTAGAATGTCGTCAACGGCGTTCTGGTCCTCAATTGAAGCATGCGAGTCTGCAGATCGGCAAAATTGAGCAGTATAGGAATCTAACAACGGGGTGAAAGAGGGATTTTCCACCATGTGTTCCAGCCCCTGGATTGACAACTGGGTGAGGGTCTGAACGATGCTTTCCGTGTCGGAAGTGAATGCCGCGTAGAAGAGCCATCTCATAACACAGGGCATGCCATCCGTATTGCCCTGCTTGAAGCGCTCCAGCCACTTGTTCGAGACGCTTCTGATAAACTGCCCTTCGTTCATCTCGACTGCCTTGCTCCAGAGCCCTATGGATTCTCTAGCTAATATACCACTCAGCTTGAAGTGGAAGCTTTTGGTGGTAGTCGTTTGGATCAGGACATGGACTGCGGAGTCACAGACCTGCTCGGCTCTTCTGTAGTCCTGTCGTTTCAGGTTAAATTCGACGTCGTCCACAATTGTTTGAAGCAGTTTTTTCAGTTGATAGCCATCCATGCGCTCGTCAAGTTCGTAAATTTCTTTCATGCAGGTGGCAAGCAATTTGGCCATACCGTCCACGACGGGCCGATACCCTGGAGGCAGTGAGACTGCCGTGGCTAGCAGCTGAACTCCCACTCTCGCCAATAGCTGCGGGTCTCCCTGCTCGGGATGCATGACCCGGATTCTTATATGCTCGATGTAATTGTCCAGGATGTTATCGAGCGCATCGGAGCCCACCTTATCGTATACATGAAGGAGAATATCTGTCCACCGCTTTGCGATGAGGTCAACTTCCTTCTTCCTCTTAGTCCGGATCATCTCAGCTAGTAACTCCACTCCGGCGAAGGTGAGAGTGTTCCAAATTTCATTCCCAAGCACCCGTTGGCCTTTTATGCTGGGCCCGGCTGACCTTTGGTTGAAGAATCCTTTGAACCCTCTCCAAAGACACGCGGGCAATTCAAGTTCGTCCTTTGCGGCGTCCTGATAAAGGGATGGGATAAACTTCTCGGTCTCCCGGCCTGTTACCCTCTTGACCGCTTCTGTGAAGACTTCTGTCGCAACATCCATCAGAAGGTCGAAAATCTCCGACTGATTCCTCTCAATCGCAGTGGTCGTGGCATGACGCCACGTGCCGATGAACCGGCTGATCCGGGTCTCCTCGCTGCTCTCAATGGCAGCCCATAACATGGAGACGGGCTTCTTTATCCTGGAATTCCGAGCCGTTGGGACCTGTGTATCTGAGCCGTTCTTATTAGTTTCACCGGAGAGCTGGGAATCCAGTGGCTGTCCTTTTGCCTGTAGGTACTGCACAATTTGCACATGTCCCATTTGATGCGCAACCTGCAATGCAGTTCCTGAGGGCCCTTGGATGCTTGGATCGGCACCTTTTTCGATGAGTACCTTCACCATGTCTTTGTGTCCATGCCATACAGACGCGATCAACGCGGTCCCAAACATGCCTCCCTGGGCGTTGATCTTGGCATTTGCCTTAAGAAGAAGTTCAATAACCTTGATGTACTCCGCGGTTGCGTCTTCGCGGATACAACCGGCCGCCGCGGCCTGCAGTGGAGTCCCGTAACTCTCGCTCCTTTTGTCGACCCCGAAGCCATGTTTCACAAGCTTCTCTACAACTTTTCCTTGACCATAGTACGCGGCCTCGTGTAAAGGCGTCCCCATCTCCCCTGCGATCACATCCAGGGATCGGAACCAGAAACCGAGACTTCGTCTTCCAACGATCAACTCCACACACTCCACGGACCCCGATGACGCGGCCGCGTGCAATGCCGTGCCGAGTTGGGTCTTGATAGCCACACTTGCTCGAACCGCGATCAATAGTCTCACGACCTCTTGCTGGCCTGCATATGCAGCGTCTATCAATGCGGTCCCGAGGTTCCTTCTGGTACATCTTCGTGTGAATTTCTTGTTTGTCGATAGCTCCTTGAAAACCTTCGTGATCCCCCGGACAGCCACATAGGATAAGGGGGTACGGCCGCCAACATCCTCAGCATTAATATCCGCACCAGCGTTAATCAATGCGTCCATGGTGGAAAATGTCCGGTCATCCCGCTCCTTACTCCATGATTTACCTTCCTCCTTTTTATCTTCACTTTCAAATCTCCTTCCATGGAACTCCGAGCCTTGTGCAGCCCAGTGTAAAGCCGTAAGGCCATTCCCATCAGTTTCATGAACCGAAAACCCTGGGAAGCTAACCGATTCGGGGAGAATTTGAACTAGCCCAAAGTAGCCGACGATGTGTGCTAGGTTGAGATGCCCGATGAGCTTTGATTGTGTGGGGAGCGTACCGCGAGTGGCACTGGATTGCCGGAGATGCATATACACCTTAAAGGCAAAAATGATGTTCTTAGGCTTCTTTTGAAACAGCCCAACAAGGAGCCTGTAAGGGCTGTTTGCCTGGATAGCATCCTGCTTAAAAGCGCGATAGTGCTCAAGGCTCTCCCGTGTATGGTAGGCCCAGCGGTCAGCGGTAATGATCATCAACGGATTCTCTCTCAGCCACTTGTTCATGGGACCGAGATCATGGAGGGAAATATTATTGTTTAGCTTGTCATCAACTTCCACATCGCGTATGTACTCGAGATAAATGTTGGCAAGAAGGGTGTGGTCAGTGATGGGCGGCGAAATGGAGGCCAAACTCTTGAATGCATCCGGTCGAAGTTTCAAGTACTCATAGATCGAAGAATGAGCGAAGCGAAAAGTAGACTTGTCGTAGTTCAGCTGGACAAGGTGTCCACAAATATGGACCAAACTCTCGGGACTGTAGTTGGTGTTGGTCTCTTTCCAGGTGGCTGCCCTCAACAACGCTCCGACAGGCATGGAACCGCTCATGGAGATGAGCAGTGTGAGAGCCCGCTTCGCTATCCCCCCATCGACAGGAGACCCATTGGCTATGGTTTGCAAGATCGTGTCATATACCTTTTCTAGTCCCCTCTGGGGTTGCAATTTTTGGACATGAGCCAACCGGCTTTCTTGAGTGTCAGGGAGATTTTGAATCTGTAACTTGGCCCAGAGGATCCTGAATCCGAATCAGTACATCATGATTGCAAGTCAAAATGCGGCAGGAATTGGCTGGCTTACATTCCATCCGACTTTTTTGCAATCAATTCTGCGATCTGGTCTCTTTCCTCTCTCAACGAATTCGCAAATAGCGTCCTTCCCATGCTCTGGGATTCGGTGATTTGAGCTCCATACAATTTGGCCACTTCCTGACCTACGAAGCTCTTGATATCTGGGTAGGTGTCGTTGGTCTCGATAGTTATTATCGGTCCGATGAACGTCAGGTCCCCACTTGGTCCATCTTTTGAAGTGACCAGGATCTTCACTCGGTATTCGTGGGACTGCGACTTGCCACTATTCTCCAGGGCTTTGAACAGCCATTTGCGGACGGATCGCGGAAGTTCATCGGCACCATCCAGAACTATGTAGACCGGTCGCTTGCACTGCTTCTCAATGTAGTCAAAGAACTTTTTTTGCATCGTCTGACAATCATCATTCGCGAAATCCACCATAGACACCGCTGCTGTTTGATCTGCATCCCGAATTCTTGCCACGAATGCCATGAGGATGTCTTTCTCAGAAGAGTTGTCTTTTTGAGTATAGTAGAAAAAGACGAGTGCTTGTTTGTCTTCCTCGAGCCAGTCAATAACGCGGGACCTACAGGAAGTCGGGAATAGTCAATAGTCGGTTCGATAATGTATGGAAGGTGTGAATGAACTGGCTTCGAGCACTCACGTCAGCGTGGATTTGCCGCATCCCACTATCAATTAGTCGGTTAGCCCGGGAGTCTTGAAGTGCTTCCAAGAGTATGAAGCCACGTACCTTTGCCCTGTATCCACAGTATTGTGAAGTCCTTACTTCTGTCCCAAAAGCTGAACTCCGGTCTGTTCAATAGCCATTCTCCAGTTCCATTCACCCGGGTTTGCTTCAACATCTGATGGCGCTCCAGGTAGTTGTAACCGAAGACATTGTTTCCAGAGATAACATTAATCTGTCCAATTTGAACACCATGGTTGACGCCCTTCTGGAAATTAGCCAACCCAACTGCGTCTCCCATGCTGCTATGAACCTGGAATGCAGATAGTCTGGGCCGGGAGGGATAGACGAGGTCACCTCTCCTCCGTTTCAGGGATCGATGATGACTTAGCAGCTTTCAAAGTGGGGGAGGAAGGAGTAATGGTGGAACAAAGTTGAAGAATCAAAGCTGTCCAAAGCTGTCTCCAAGTTGTATCTTGCGGTTAGGAATATAACAGATGAGAATCTGGTTATGATCGCAGACTATAACGTCGAGGCCTGGGCATGATAAGCTATATGTGCAACATGACCTGTAGATAGATTCGGTCAAATTTGAAGTAAAGACCGATGTTGGCCACTGTATTCGGGCCCTGTCATCTGGGTATCCAGCCTGGTCAATGGTGTGGTGGTGGTGTTTTTCGTGGTCGGCTTACGGGCCTCGATATCAACAGAAGCCGGCGACTCGGGCCTGGGCAGCCATTCTGTTGTCAAAGAGCCCGGGCAATGCGAAGACGCAGTCATGGGCAGACAGAGATGAAACACCGTCCACACCGGTCGGGCGTCCATATCGGTTCGGGGAACAGAAACATGGAGGAACTGAAGCCGTAGCTGGGAATCAGCACAGGCGCTAGATGCCAAGATCAAGACTGAAACGATCCACAGCACCAAGCCTGCAAAGCATGCGGCATGGGCCGTCAAAAGTGCCAGGCCAGACATCCCTCCGGGTGCATCGGCCATGGGGATGGATTCAGCTGACATGTATCCACAATGGAGTGGGCGCGGAAGTCCCCCGGGCGTATCGGAGAGTCCACTTCATCGGTACTTGCAGTAGTTAGCAATGGGCCTGGTCAGCATCGAGCTGACGTGGTTTCACCGCCTACTGAATTACAGACGCGCCACCAGAGTCATGGTTGCCTTGCTCTTCTCTTGTTCTTATCCACAGGAGGTAGCCTCGTTGTTGCTCTACTTTACACCAGATTGGCACGATACGGGTTAATCCCGAGCTCTCATCCTCCAGCTGAGATGAAAGTATTGGGAAGTAGACGGCCCACATTCCCCGATAAAGAGACAAGATTCGTTTGCCACTTACCGCAATCTCCCGATGGTGAGGCGGGCGTTTTCTTTACTTTCTTTTTTGCCTGTTTACTTTTTCCAAGCAAAAATCTGTCGCTCCCTCTGCCGCTTATCACTGGACGATGATTTATTTCTGAAACCATGATGGGAGGCGCAGAATATGAATCGAAGTGCATGTCAGCCTGATCATTTGGCTATCACCTGCGGCGTTGCAGCGATAACAACACCAACCAGCATGCAGCCATATCATCCGGAGATAACTCCTCGGACTTGGTAACAAGCCTTGGCCTCGCCTTCCCACTACCAAGCCCCACGATTTGTCCCAGGGTCAATGTGTGAAATAGGGCGTCAACCAAATGACGTGCCAGGACTCGGGGCCTGGGCAGTAGCCCCTCCCTACTTGGTGGGCAGACAATTTCTAGTAGTCTCCAGCAACTCTCGAGCACCTTTGACAGACTGAGTTGCCCAGTACTGCCACCCGATTCCCGACACACATCTCATCACTCCCAATACTGCTGTAGGATAGTGAGAACGCCAAAGCTATATTTTTTCATCCCCAATTCCCAGTATCTACAGACACGTCATGGCTGATAATTCATGCATTGAGCAACCCAGCTAGCAATCACTTTGTCTTCCCCGGTGAGAAATTGGATTCCTCCAATCTGAGGGGGCTACATTCCCGAGGGGCTATACTCATGCAGACCACACGCATGCTACCGTGGCCTCCAGCTTAGTAGAGCATCCCCTGGGTAGGGCATACCTCTTGCAAAATGAGTTGGCATACAAGTGAGTCGGTCATCGGGCTGGAGATCAATTTCAGGCGAATAGTCTGTCCTATCTGGTGAATGATGGTCAGGCAGAATTGGGCTAATCCCCGGAGTCGGTCCATTCCCGTATAAAAGAGATGTGCTTGGCTCATCAGAGTCCCGTACGTGCACACCTTGAATGATCTCTCCCCAACCAATTCCGCCATGTTGCTGAAAATACTCCGAGACCATGATGACGCTCGAGTGGAGTAAGCCTTTCCTCTTGTTACTCCATCATCAAACATTTGCCAATTGTATGGTTAACAACCGACTCCACAGCATCGTCTTCGTCCACGGCTGGAAAGCCGACGCCGACCATCCCAGCTGGACCTCTACTCGATTCATCTGCTGGCCAGAAAAATTCATACCCGCAAAGGTCCCCGAAGCGCGGATCTTATCTTACAATTATGAATGCCAGCTCAACGACTTCTGGACCGAAGATGACGATCTCATCACGGAGCTTTCCAACGACATGATGGACCAGCTTATGGATCAGCGCACTAAAGGGGATCAGGTAGCTGCTCCCTCCTTATGCCCTATCATCGATGTGTATCTCCCTGAGCTGACCCCTTCCACAGGGAAACCGGCCCGTGATCTTCGTCGCCCATTGCTTGGGAGGCTTGGTTGTGGAGAACGTAAGTGAAGACCCATTTTCTATCCCTCAGTCGACGAGGGGAAAGTGAAGCCATTCTAACAACGACTTTACCGCCAGGCCCTGGTCCACGGAAGACAACACGACGAGCGAAAGACTCTCGTCGACTGCGTTCGGGGTCTCATCCTCCTGGCCACTCCTCATTACCAGCCCTCAACGTTGAGTCAAGTGAACAAGTACTTTCAGCTAGCCGGCGAGACACCCCTCAGTAATGAGGAATTGATTCGACGATCGAAGTGGGTGTTGTCCATCCCACGAGACTTTGCACGGCTACGAAGTGGACAGTTGGAGATGGATTTTCTGGCTTTCTACGAGGGAACAGCCATGCTGGTTGATGGAGCGAATATCAAGATTGTGGACATGAGCTTGGCTAGGCTGCCGGGGGCACCGCCGGCGGAGCGGTTGGCGGCGGATCACCTACACATCACACATATCGAAGATGGAGAGGATAGGGACATTGGGAAGCTGGTGAGGGTGCTGAAGAGGTGGGTGGCGAAGATCCTGCCGCCGTCTGAGGATGGAAATGTAAACACGAAGGTGAGCAACGTGTCAAAAGCATCGTTTGATGGATCGCATAATTATGGGATTCAGCTGGGGCAGAATTCGGGGTCAATGAGCGGGATCAGGGTCGGGAAGTAGGTTGCAGGTTCTAGTATCTCGGTCCTAATATGGACCTGGGTCGATGGCGTGTTGTTATGAGGTTTTCCTTTGAAGTACAAGAAGATGACTGGATGGAGACCATGTGAGTGGTCGGGGGTCCAACTCAGGGCCCAATTATGCTGTCAATCGGTCATTTCCCATTAGCTGTCGATTGGTCCATGCCATCGCCTCCCCCTCACTACTAAGTGCCTTACCCGAAGAGCTGCAAGTGGTGCTGCGGTGTTAGTTGCCCAAAACCCCCGCCGATAGAGCTCTTCCTTGCCACCCCACCTTCCACCTCTCTTCCTCTCTTCCTTTCTACCTAAATTGTCTGTTCCACTTTTCCATCCGATGCACCTTAGTAGTGGCAATGGCCATCAAACCAGGAAGCCCCGTTATCGAGGAGAGAGAGACGAATTTAGCGCAACTATGGGCCGCAGCGGTAGCGGACTACGAGAAGCAGACGGGGAAGAGTCTCCGACTAGGAGCATTCAGGAGCATGGATGAGGCTATAAAGGAAACGGAAGGCCTAACTCAGAAGTTCAAAGACTTCCGGAACAATAAATCTAAGATTGCTAAAGTGCGGACGGCATTTCAGAACAACCTGTGGCTCATTCAGAGGATCGTGAATACCGCCCAGGTGGTCGGAACCAACATATCGTCGGTAAGCAATATTAAGTTGCACAGAAACCGACCGACTAATCGTTTATCTTCAGGCTTTCCCTGCCGCTATGCCAGCTAATATAGTCTTCGCTGCCTTGGGACAGGTGATGCAGGTATGTAGATCTTATACAGCCGAGGGTGTTGTCTGTTGACGTCTTCCAGTCCTTTGCCGACCAGTCTGCCGATTATGATAAAGTCATGGGGTTTTTTGAGCTCACGCACCGGTTTCTGGACCGCTTGTCGATCATCGAGAACATGTCCCCTGCCCTACCCCAGTTCGAACGCTGCGTGACGCGTGTGTTCTCAAGTATTCTGAGGATTTGCGCCGTCGCGCAGAGATATGTGGCAGAGAAACGACTCAGTAGGTTTTGAACTCAGTCTTTACTTTAGGAATATTGCTAACCGTGATGTAGAGAAATGGTTCGATAACATGCTGAAAGGAGAGGATGCCGACCTGGCCGCAGCCATGAAGGAGTTAGAGGAGGCTGTGAATGAGTTGAGCCAGGCCGTGGGTCTGAGTACATTGAAGCTTGTCGAAGTCCTGCAAGAGGTTACTCAGAGCATGGATGGAAAGCTGGACTTTCTCGTCGCAAAGACCACTGCTCTCGACGAGCGAACAGTGACCATCGAGACCAACACGGGTACGATAATGAACCAGAATCAAATCCTGGTATCCAAGCAGGATGAGATGGCTGAGATGCAACGGGCGACATTAGAGATGATTACTGAGCAAAACCGACAGTTCAATACAGTAATTGACTATTTTGGATCCATTCAGATGGGCAGGAATCTCAGCGAGGACTTTGAAGGCAGCCTGCTAAAGTTGGATGTGATCCGGCTGCGACTGTCCCGTTGGCGCCAGTCTGTGGGACTGGCAAATATCAATGATGTGAACTCCCTTGAAGAGGCAAACATCTGTCCCGAAGACCTTCCTCGAGTGGCCGACCTCCTGGCTGGAATTCTAGACCGCTTCTCAGACGCCGAAAGGCTGTCGAAGCGGTTCCAGCTCCGCCGTGGGAGTTCCACGGCCGTGCTAGATCCAAAAATGGAACTAGATGGCGCCTCGGCATTACTTCACCAGAAGATGAATGACCTTGTCGCCCGCCGGATTGATCAATTGCAGGCCGAGTCGAGAGCCAAGTTACCGTTACCGATCTACGAGGTGAAGACTTTCTCGCGCCTCATTGAAGACATTGGAGAGCTGGTGAACGACCTCATCGACTCATTTCCGGCTACTCACAACATACAACGCGGACTGGCGGAGCAGGAGGTATCAGAGATGAAAGCGATCAAGGGAGCGCTTCCACTCTTGAAGGAGGCGGCTGCCGACCAGGACAGTCTGCTCGCAGAAACTGTGGCCAAAGCCATCCGAGCTACGACGACTAGTACCTACAACCAAAGCGTTGTCTTTTCGGGTCCCAACAGCGGCTTCCAAATAGGGAACAACAGTGGGAAAATTAGCAATGTGCGGATTGCCTGATGTACTGATCTTCTCTCAATCAAGACTCGTCAACATATTAGGCCAGTAATAGAACACAGTTTTCCCTACGGGAGGGAACATATGGCACCCCTTCATCACCGTCGTTTCTTACGACTACTTACGCTCTAAGCCCATCTACAGCTAGCGCTGTCAAACCTGTCGATCCCACGGGCACTACTCCGGACTGAGAAGATAGGCCAATAGAGTCCTCGGGATCACCCAAATCTCCGAGCAGCCGACCGACAGACAAAACTTGGCCACAATGTGCAACACATCGCGTAACATCCAACCCGGACTTGCTCCGGGTTTATATGCATACGAACTGGATAGTGCAGCATTGCATCGGCGTAACAAAACATTAGATGTGTTGTAACGTATCATTGCAAGAATAAAATAAAATGCGACAAACGGACAGGTGACTGATAAATGAAAAGCAAAAAGGAAATCGAATCAGGTCGTGCCCGGGATCGAACCGGGATTGCTGGAATCAGAATCCAGAGTGATGACCATTACACTACACAACCGTCTTGTTGAGATGGCGCAAATAAAATACCCTTATAAGAAAGGTTTATTTTCTGATCTGATACGGAGGTAACTGGTATGTTGGCGGCGATGGTGCACTGAATATTGAATATTCTATGTGCTTGGAGGAGGATAGTAAGCAATGCATGAGGCAAATACACATCCTCATCAAGTGGAGTTTCATGTCAGAAGCTTTACACTCCGTCTTGCATTTGATTCATCAAAGAGGACAGCAGTCGTGTCATTGGTATGCAAGTAGTTGCCTTCTTTATGTTTGTCAGAACTATCCAGTCACAACCAAAGTAAACAGTCTTTACATCAAAATATAGAAAATCCTCGTAGTCTGCTTACCCATTTCTAGCCATACCCTATATGATTCCCTCTGCCTAGATGGGCCAAGGATGCTGATCAGGTAAGTGGTGGAATCGTACCCGCACATAGAATCAATGATTGGTATCAGTCATGGGAGTAAAAATGGTATATTTGGCCAGACCATGTCATTCAATAAGCTGGGTGTTCTTATCAAGAACGGCAGTCACCTTGTTCCAGTGCCAGAATTTATAATGTGTTTGATTGTCGGCGGATATACCTTCTCATATCTCCGTGTTGTCTATTTCACCGTACATGCTGGCCACAGGAGAAGAGCCAGTATGAGTGTAAGCTATTAGCATACCCACCAGCTTCAATCCACCATTGCCACAAGTCACAGGTCACGAGTCACAAGTCCACAATACCGGATTCCCTCCGGAAACAATACCAACTTCGGTTCATTCCAAGTGCCAGAAACCCAACCCAGCAGCGAGCTCAATCTCCCATCCCAATCTCCGAGGGCAAAGGGCAAAGGGCAAATACTCTCAACCCCAACCAGCCCTGTTAAAAAAAAGAGTATTTAGCCGAGTCTAGATCCCATCCATCTCCATGATCAAAACGGTCTCGACCAAGTCGCCTCTCTCTATTAAGAGTGATGTGGGGACGCCCTGGCCAGACACTTGGCTACCATCCCATAAAACCGGAGTAAAATAGCTAGATTATACTTTAGACACCCGTGGCAACGTGGAGCGACTGGCGGAGTTGAGAATAGCCGTTGGTCAGAGGGTCTAGACCTGATGCCGCTGGAAGGGTGTTGAGAATAGGGAAGTTCAAGGGTGTGGTATCTTGATTGTTTAGTATTTTGGGAGTTTTGTTTTTCAGATTTCTTGTATTTGCTGGGAGTTGGTAGAAAGGAGATGGGGTAGATATGCAAGGAAGGGGGCCGTCGCGGCGATAGCTATACTCAAGGCAAAAAGGGTTGAGCTAAACATCAACCATACGTGACGACCTGACATGCCCTGGCATTTTTAGGGCAATAGAACATGATACGGAGCATACAACACCAAGAAAAAGAAAACAAAAAGGTCGTGCCCGGGATCGAACCGGGATTGCTGGAATCAGAATCCAGAGTGATGACCATTACACTACACAACCGTGGTTTTTGGAATGGCATTCCTTATTTTGTCCTATAAAGTAAATTCTATTGTAGGTAAGCTTCATCTAGTTTACACATCGAACATGGATTGGCATAGGATTTCAGTATCTATAATCATACTAGCGTGTGCTGTGCACTAAAGTACAAGAAATGTGGCCAAGGAGTTATGAAGGTTGTCCGTTTATGAGCTTGCCGAAGCTATATATTCTGGCAATACGGTAGAACGGCATACGGGTGTATTCCCCAACAATAAAGATGAACGAAAATAGCAACAAGTCAGGTCTGGGCACCAAAAAATACAAGGCAAGTGAAAGAGATGACTAACGACCACAAGTGACTGCAAATGGCCCTCAACACAAAGCAGTGCGACTCATTGTTTCAACTAAGACCAGGGAAACAGACAAAGATGTATAACTCTCTCAGGAGGAAGCAGGCCGCTGTAATCATCTTGTTCAAATTCTGAATCCGGCAAACTCACGACATGTATGACTGTTCTGTACGAATCTTGCACTGCCCTCAGCATCTCCCTAACTTTCATCCACACTTCACGCTCTCTGCTCAACCTATATCGTCACCTCAACATACTTGCCCGAGAGATACCACGGGTTTCTACTCCAAATCGCACCAGGCAGGATTGTTTTGACCATTCCCAAGCCATCAACTTTAACTAGCGTACTATGTCTCTACATTCGTGATACATAAAGGCAAGGAGCATGAACAGCATCAGCAGCTGCAATTCATCGCTACCTGCCGAGAGATTGGACCCGGAAGAAACCAAGCTGCCAGATACCGGAAAGAGTGGTCCCCATGGGACAGCTTAAATAGATGGCGCCAGCGCCAGCGGTGCCATTCCCTCACGCAACACACGCATGACGGAAGTAGGACAATAGCACAGATCACAGGTGTGGACTCTGCAAAGCGCCATGAAATAATCAAGACTGAGCGGAAATGGTCGAAGGGTCGTCAAGGAGCGGACTTCCAGGAACGGCATCCAGAGCAACGGCGTGCAGCGCAGGTTTGTTTGCTTCCTGAAGCAGGCCGCGCTGGAGCCGGTCTAGCTTCTCTTTGACCCATGCCGCGACTTCCTCATCCTCGGTCACATCCTTCGCCGAGCCGTTAGGTGCATCCTCGCCGCTGGCCTCGGTAGGAGGCTGCATAAGCGATGAGAGCCAAGGATGTCGAAGCAACATGCTGTAAGTGGGGCGGTTGTTCGGATTCTTGTCCAAGCATGCGCGGATAAAGGCGTGCGCTTCTTCAGAGTAGCCGGTTTCCGGGAGCGTCGGTGCGTCCCCATGAACAATGGCCTTGGAAATGTCAGTATCTCGAGTGCCAAGGAAGCGGGAAGGAAGGACTCACGTGCAATTGGCTGAAGATGTTATTGAAAGTCTCCGGGGGATACGGGTACCGACCAATGGCACACTCAATGATGGACAGACCCAAGCTCCAGACATCACTCTGGACGCTATAGGTTCCACCCCCACTTGCTCCAGACTGCTGTACACCACCACCTGCAATGCGCTCGGGCGCCATGTAACTCTGACAGCCAATGTTTGTTTTCGCGATACTGGCCACCAGGTTCCCGCTCACACCAAAATCGCAGATCTTGACCTGTCCGCGCGTGTTGACAAGGATATTTGTGGGCTTCACGTCGCGATGAATGATATTGTGGTCGTCCTTGAGAGTCTTCAAGCCCATGACGGTGGATAATGCAACCTTGCGAAGGATGTTTTCGGGCATTCCCTCCTTGTAAATTTTGTCGATTGAGCCGCCATCCATGTATTCAACACAAATATAAACAGCACCTTCCTGGAAGAAGGCGCCATAGAAGTCGATGATAAATGGCGAGACGCAGCGATGAAGAATTTCCAATTCCATGATGATTTGTGCAAATTTGCTCTCATCCAGCTCCAAGCGAATCTCTTTCATCGCCATGACGACCCCGGAGAGCTGATCCTGCGACTTCACCACGGGGATAGCCATATCTCCGTCTTCGGTGCGACTGACTATACCTCGTAGTCCCATACCAGGTTTACGCATGTGAGGGCGGCTGTGGCGAACCTTGTAAACCGTTCCGTAATTACCCTTGCCCAACTCATCTAGACGATCGACCTCGTCTAAGGAAATGCTGAAACTGTGACCCGACGAAAATTCGATGCCGCCGCCGTGCAGGATAGCCTTGTTCTTGAAATTCAACGTGCCCGATTGTGTGTCGATGAATTCCGAGTATTTGCTGAATGCCGTCTCGGGCGCAGCCGGTGCACCAGTAGCAGACTGGGCTGGTGATGATGACCCGTTCGAGCCCGTGGCATCGGAGAGCTTCAGCCCCGGTTTCATACGTTTCGCGGCCAAGCCGCCAGGCTTGGGAGAGAGCCCCGGGGACGATCCATGAGGTACAGAGGGCGAGGAAACCCAATTTTTAGTAACCGGTCGGACGGCCGTCGGGGGTAAACGCCCCGAAAGAGCACCCGCCAATGGGCCGTTTGCGACGGATGAGGATTGTCCCGATATAGGACTCGCGCCCGACACCGACGGAGATGCCCTGGGCACCAGACCAGTGGTATTGGCATGCGCCAAAGCCGGGGGAGCACCCTGTCTGGACAAGGAGAACGCCTTCATCTTCGCCAAAATATCCTGATTCAATCCTCCGGGCTGCGCACCGCTCATTGAAGCTTGTGGACGAGGGGGGGTCCCCGCACCGTGTCGGGCTGCGTTGAGCTGACCCAGGTGCGTTGACGACGGGGTGATTCCGGTCTTGTCTAAAGTTGGACGTAGCGAGGGTACCGAGGCATACGATTGAGTGGTGGTAAGAGAGGGAGAGAGGTCGTCATCGGTGGTGTCGGACCGAGTGTCCAGATCCGACATGGGTCTGGACGAGATGTCCGTAATAGATTCCCCTTCTGTCGCCATTCTCGAAATCGGTGCGATCGAAACAATTGGCGTTAGCAGCTGGGGTGTACTAAACCGAGAGTGCCGTCAAAACAGTCTCACGGACGCAGGGGCACTCAGGGCATGAACGGGGAACCGGGGACGGGGGGCGGGGGAGGGAATGAGAGAGGTCGGAGCGGTCGGAAAAATGAGGCGACCAATTCGTGTGAAGGCAGACGTCTTGTGAATCGCAGCGAAGAAGAATTTTGATGTTGGTGGAGCCCGAACGCTTTCCAGAGGTGGAAGTGGAGGAGGAAAGCAAGTTTCGTCGACGCGGGGCACACCTCAGGTCATCCCAAGGAAGACTGATAACAAGGCACAGACACGAGGGATCAATTGAATGGCGCGATTCCTCGAGGGTAGATTGGTCAAACGGGATCTCTCCGTAGACGAATTAGGAGACAACAGAGAGGAGTGTGGACGGGATGCTGATAGTAGTCGGTAGCTGAGGGGGATGAGAGAGGGAGAGTTTCAGTGAGACGGAGGGGATGAATGGATGACGGCGGTGGTGGTGGTGGGGGGGGGAATAAAGAGAAATAAACGAGCTGGTAGGGAGGACTAGTTGAATACGGAACCGGGGGAAAAGCGGTGGATATGAGTGGAAAGGATGCGGCAGCAAAAGAAAAGAAGCAGCAGGTTAAAGAGCAACGACTGAGGGACCTCGGATGGAGTGAGGATAAGTACGGAGTAGATGAGAAAGTTATAAGAGCGTCTGATTAGTCGAGCGGGCGGAGGAGGAGGAAAACTGGATTGCCTCCCTGTTGCTGCTCGAACAAACCGGCCTCTCCGTCGCCTCAGGCTGCTAATCCCCGACCGCCCAATCACACGTGCCCCCGGCCGGCACCTCAGGCACAAAGTCAATGTCAGCGCACACTCTAATCTCGCACTCGCTCGACTCGCGCCCTCTGCTTCGCTGCGATCGTCTCATCCACCCTGCCCGTTAGGCTGGGCAGTGGAAATTGGCTCACGCAAGCATCCGTGGTCGTTGAATGAACGTGGCGACCAGCTGCCGTTTCTGCCTGACCGTCGCCACCCCCCTCGGCCGATGGATCACCGATCTAGTTCCCTAGCCTGGGGTGGTCGACTCCCTCGACAGGCCAATGCGACGGGATGGACGAGGAGCAAGCAGGTATCCAGCCGTTGCTGATATCAATCCGGACTTGACATTGGTCCGGGGATGCCAGAATCAGGATCTTGTGGCTTATGACACATAGCTACTCGTTTGCACCCCGTGTAACAAAGGACCCTAGTGTCGTCTATGGCGGCCACTAGATCACTGCAGTAGCAACCAATCTATACCGACCTTCCGAGCTTTACCATGAAAGGCTCACCCATAGCTCACACGATTGCTTTTGGCTCTCAGCCCCGAAGGTGACCAACAAAGAGCCAATGACAGACCCGCCAATATCAGGAGATCCGTGGTGACTAGTCTCCAACAAATAGTAGTCGACATCATCAGTGGGTGTAAGAGGCCCTATCGGATGTCTTCCCAATCTTCATGGAGGACCGAGGGGTTTTGCACTTTGCCGAGCCTGTCGCAATAAGTGGAATCATTGTGTCACCGCGGTGATTGCAGGACATGGCCACAAATTGACCAGTCAACCACATTTTCTCCTTCCCAGCCTTGACTTTGCCTCTTCCATTCCTTATCATGGGTTTCCCCAGTCTTGGCATCAAGTAGGGCTCTCATTGTTGGGCTCGCATCCGGCTTCCCTCCCTGCGGATCCCGGCCGTTTATGATGAATCAAGTCCTTCCCACGCCCCCCGAAATCCCCAACTATCGCGATCCTTGCTTCTACCCAGCAGCCCAATAAAGGTAGATGCCAAGGTGCACTATCGTGCAACTACCGGAATGGATCTACTGGCATGGGATGTATACGCGCCTTCTCAGGAAACGCTGGGATTTTCTGGCAGATAGCAGAGGGCATGGCCCGGGCTGATCCCTGATTGCTCATCCTTTGGATTCATTCCGCGATATCAACAAAAGCACCAAGTCTTCCCCGGACTCTATTAATAACCGGGACTACTGTAGAGTTTAAGCAAGATGGTCCAACACCGACCTACAGCCTGAAGCCAGTGCAGCAGCTAGCGGTGTCGATCCTCGGCACGGCTGGCAGAGGCAGTGGAGGTTTGCGCAATGGTGCATGGAGGAAACCAACCCGTCCTCACACCACTCCAATTAAGTTCCGGGATCTGGAGAAGTGGCAAGGTTTCGTGGAGATCAAACGACTGTTTCAGTTTTCAATGAGACTTCTAACAAGAAGCCATAAGGTTTTCCTTGAATGGAAACGGAAGACGACGGCGACCGAGAGACCGAGTGATATCAGCTCGCATTGCTATTGGCCGCCGATCATGACATAACCGATGCGGAGGGTTTCATCATCATGATTGCTGCGCCGCATCGAATGGGAAGGGATCATACTAGTCTGTCCCTTCGTAAACTGTCCTGGACTGCTGATATGGTCAGCCCAGTCTATAGAAGCTGAATAGTTACACAACTCCCATCTATTGTTCAACCCTGCGCCGAGAACCTGTGGGGAACGAGCAACACGTTCCTCCCCTTGCCGGACACGGTTTCACTCCAGCATCTGGGGATTCTCGCCAAGAGGAGGGCATGACCTCACCGCCGAAGGGGTTGAGACTGTCAATTCTCGTGTCGCGTTGCCAAGCAGATCGGAGGGCAGGGAGGGAACCATCCCGGGCGGTCATCAGGGAGGATCCTATCTCGCGGATCTCCCGCCGGCTTCCCCTGGGAGGGAGAAAAGTACCAGCCGGAGACGGGGAATTCGTGTTATTCGCTTCCGCGTTGGATAGAAATGAACAGTTTTCGATACCATCCATCTTCTACCTCCAAGGTACTCTGGGTATCTCCATAGAATATCTATCTATAGCATATCGAGAATGGCCCCTAGGCTTGGCGGGCCTGGGCGCAGTTGGACTGGCCGGGCGCCCGCCTATGGGAGGCCACGATGGGGCGCGTTGCCCTCCGAAGCGGCAATGGGATCCACGATCGATGATGCTGGGATTTCCTCCCTTGTCCTTTCGTCCCAGCCGGACTGCTGGAGATATCGTGTTTAAATCCCGTCGGCTTCCCGCTGCTAGTGCTGTGTTAGTGATTTAGTGAAGCGTATACTGAAGCAACTACTCCTGTACCTAAGCCACTGGGTGAAATTTTCTAGGCCAATCGTGCCTCCCGTGCAGAGCCAACTCTAATTCCGATTCGCCCACCGCCTGCGGCGTTATCTATCGGCGTCATCAACTTCTATCGTCGCCATCATTACCTGTGATTCCTCCCCGTTCGCGTCATCCCCCCGTCTATCCATCCCATCGACTCTCCTCCACCCTCATCGCCGACTCGACCATCTAAGCCCTGCCATTGCCTCTACCACTGTCTCTGACACGCTGGCTACCCTGTGTTCCTCTCCTGTCGATGGCCATTTTTACTGCTCCTAGATCCCTTCAGAATGCCTACTCGCCTGAGTTCATGACCCAGTCCCAGATGGGCGTCATGAATAGCGCCCCCCACTCCAGCCATCCCTCGTTCCTTCATCTGGTCCTCTTGGTCTTTGAAGCCGTCCTCGAGGTCATTTGCGTGAGTCTTCCGGGCTACATTGCCGCCAAACAAGGCTTGTTCGATGCAGACGCCCAGAAGCTCGTAGCAAACCTCAATGTCACGCTATTTACCCCCTGCCTGAGTATGCGTCTCTTCCGTCCCGTTTCCGCCAACCCCCACTGACGAGAATTAGTCTTCACCAAGCTTGGTTCTCAGCTTACAGCAGAGAAGCTCACCGATCTGGCCATCATTCCGGCCATTTTCGTTGTCCAGACTTTTGTCTCTTATTCATGTGCCTGGGCTGTCTCACGATGCCTCCGCCTCAAGAAACGACCCTCCAATTTCATAGCCGCCATGGCGGTAAGTGATCGATGCCTCCCTTGGGTGCTTTTTTTTCCCTATCGGAGCTTCTCTGACGCCTGTCGATCGTGCCTCTAGGTGTTTGGAAACTCGAATTCGCTGCCCATCTCCCTCGTGATGTCCCTTTCGCAGACCCTGCAAGGTCTTCACTGGAGTCGTGTGCCGAACGACAACGATGACGAAGTGGCCGCACGTGGCATTCTATATTTGCTTATCTTCCAGCAGCTGGGCCAGCTCGTGCGGTGGAGCTGGGGCTACCATGTGCTCCTCGCTCCCCGCGACCGGTACCTGGAAGAGGGAGATCAGGATGCCACTCGCATTGGACAAGGCCAGGAGCGATACACGGACAACCCGGAGCAGATCGATCCAGATGAGCCATTGGTGCGGACCAGAAGCTTCGATGAACGGACCCAGTCTTCTGGAGATTCTCAGCAGGACTCGGACGAATTTGCGTCTGGTCAAGAAACCCCTGTGACGGCCCGGGATTATACTTACGCCAAGCTGTCGCCCCGTAGCGGAGGAGGTGGTGATCTCGATCACCCAGCCCTGCTGGATGCGCCTCCCGCGCCGTTTATTCCTCGACAAAGCTCCACTGGCGATATGTTGTCTTTCCCCGATGTCCAAGAACGCTACGGGAAGAAGGGCTTCATCCCTCGCGTCAAGGTTTCCGCTTGTCGCTTCGGTAGTCGCGTTGCGAGCGGATGGGAGCGAGGAACCGGGTCTGTATTTCAACGGTTGCCATCTTGCGTCCAGACGGCGCTGACGGTGTGCTCGCGCTGGATCCGGAAGTTCTTCCACGGGCTGTGGGAGTTCATGAACCCGCCCCTCTGGGCCATGCTCGTCTCGATCGTGGTGGCCTCCGTCCCGTCACTGCAGAGTCTCTTCTTTGATGAAGGGACCTTTGTGCGCAACTCCGTGACTCGGGCCATCAGCCAGAATGGCCAGGTTGCGGTTCCCTTGATTTTGGTCGTGCTGGGAGCCAACCTGGAGCGCAACACTCTCCCGAAAGAGGCGCTTGAAGATGTCGAGCATCCCAAGGAAGAAAAGAAGCTGATCTTCGCTTCTCTGGTGGCCCGCATGGTCCTTCCCACCATCATCATGGCCCCTATCCTTGCGTTGCTGGCCAAGTACGTGCCAGTCAGCATTCTGGATGACCCGATTTTCATCATCGTCTGTTTCCTGCTCACTGGAGCCCCATCGGCACTCCAGCTGGCACAGATCTGTCAGATCAACAACGTCTACGTCAGCGCCATGTCCAAGCTCTTGTTCCAGAGCTATGTGGTGTGGTAAGTACCGCCAAGCTTGTCTCCCGAAAACCCTGACTAACTGAATCAGGATCCTCCCATCAACCCTGGTCCTCGTTATGTGTGCATTGGAGGTCGTCGAATGGGCCTCCGCCTCCTAAAATTCGATATGCATCAGTTCTGCATGGCTTATTATTATCGGTGTCTGGCGTTTGCGTGCTCTCCTTCATCTCTTTACTGTATTATTGGCAGCCGTCTCGATTAGGATGGATGGGAAGATACCAAATTGGAACGACCTAATGGTTGTGACGATATGTTAGTTCAATCAACGATTTCAATATCTAGCACATACCTCATCTCCGGATCCAATAACTTTACTACCATACCAAACAAACCACAAACAAACCCCCAAAGCAAAGCCGTACAAACCCGAAAAGAAAAAAAAAAAGCCACACAAACGGACTTATCTACCCCCTTCCCCCCTCTCTAACCCCCCTCACAGAACCCAAAACGCAAGGGGTGGGGGACAAGACAGGCCAGTCAGAAATGCGGGGACCGGATAAGCACTCGCTATGATTAATTGCTCATTGATCTACGGGGTGTAGTAAATCGCTCACTCACTTGGTCAGTCGATTGTTTGCTTGCTTACTTGATTACTTGAATGCTTACTCGATGGCTGGCTGGCTGGTAACATTAAGGTTTTAATCGGCGTTGGGGGGACTGCTTTTTGGTCGTGTGTGGGTAGGGTAAGTAGGTAGGTGGGTGTGTGGGTGGGTGGGTGGGTGGGTAGGTTTATCTTGGTTGCTGATCGCAGTGGATATCTAGGCTAGGTAGGTGGTTTGGTATGCTTTGTTGTGTAGATGGGTTTATGTGGGGAGCTAGCATTGGTGATATGTAGGAAATAGAGGTACATGCGTTGGAGGTTAGATTGGTTGAATTGGTCATTTGGTTGGTTGGTGGTTGATTGGTAGGATGGGATGTCTGGTGATGTGCCGAGTTGGAGTTGGAGGGGTAGCTTATATATCACACGACCGCTCTAGCATCTATATAATAATCGTTAATAATCTAGAGAGAATTATTGTTCAAAATACATACTATGTAATCCGTACTTTATTGGTTGTAGGACTATTTTGTGATACGGCATTCTGGGGGTTGCGGGAATAGAGTTTGTGATATCCGTGGGACTTGATTGCCGACCCGTGGATTGTGTACAGGATGAGGAGGTAAGAAAAACAGAGAGAGATGAGAATGAATGGGGAAAACAGAAGTGCTGGATCACTGTATGCATCAGAAAGAGATGTAAAAGAAATGCAAAAAGGTCGTGCCCGGGATCGAACCGGGATTGCTGGAATCAGAATCCAGAGTGATAACCATTACACTACACAACCTTGCTTGTTGAAAGTCTTTGAATAAATCATGCATTACAAGCAAAAGAAAACGTGGATGTGGTTGTTTAGTTTGTGTGCACGAGTGGGATCAATGGTACCAGCCATTTATCGAGTTGTTTATATACAGGGACATCTATATCAATATGGCTAGTCTATTTGTAAAAGCATCGCCATTCCGCTTGCCTGATGCCAGATTATATGGCAGTGAAATAGCCAAATCCCTGGGTTATCTGCTCGGAAGCGCAACACTGCGTACCCGCGGCTGGGGATGTAGACAGTATCTCGTAGCTGAGCGCGGGAGAGGTCGTAGGGGGTGCCTTTCCTCGGAGAGATGGTAGCCTGGGGTGCCAGTCCAGGCGGGCTGGCATCCACGAAAGGGTTATAGGCGCCCCAGCCTATGGGTGCCTTGTAGGTAGTTAGGATGTAGAAGTGGTGACCGTGCTATTTATCGTCAGCAAGGTAGGAACAAGAATAAGAGAAGGAGAAAGAAGACGCACGAGGTGGAATGGATGACCACTGTCGTCTAAGTTGTTGACGACTAGATCAATCCAGATGCCATTGTCGTGATCGGATGATAGTGGAGGCGTGCTTGCTCCTGTCGATATCACAAGTTGATTCTCATCCCATTCTTCGCGAGGAATATCGATAAGTGGTGTAGTGGTCGGAGGTTTCCATGAAGTGCGATTAAAGAACCCATAGGGGATGTTATGGTTTCTGGAGAGCTTCTCGATTTTGGTGTACAGCACGTGTGTCTGGTGGGCCTTTTCTGGAAGGGCCGAGAGGAGGGATTTTTTGGTGGCGACATCGGAGAGGGATATGGGGGTATTTCTTGGAGAGGCGACTGGGGATGAATTGTTCGGTGATTTCGATATCGGGAAGGTTTGGACAGATGTTAGAGCTGGATTGGGGTATCTGAAGCACCTGATCATCTGTTAGCGCGAGTGAATATATATGCAAAGAGTGAGACGTACTCATTGTCCAGGTTGATTGTCATTGAGCTTGGAGAGTTGTTGCTTGGACGGAGGATCACATCCATGCGTTGGCCTGGGTAGAGTATGCCAGCAGAATCGGATTCTTGTGGCTCAACATCAATGTTGTCCACTTGAATGAGCGTAAAGTCCCTGTTTTCGAACCGTAGTGTGAAGCCCGCCACAGAGCTAATTCCAAGTTAGGTTTGTCATCGGCACGAGTTCCTCTTACATACCCTGTGTTAATGACACGGACCCTGTAGGTAATATCACTGTTTGCATCCAGATATGAAAGGTTCATTTGTCGGTTGATACAATCCACCGGCCGTGCAGGGACGGCCATAGAGCAATCGAACCGACCCTCCCCGTTGATCAATAATGAATCTGGAACCGGCTGTTTGGTCAGCTAGCGTACAAACAGATATTTTCAGAGCTCACCTCGTTTCCAAATGACGCGGCACGCATATACCAAGAATAAACCTGATCCGCGAATCGGTGATACCAGTCTCCGACTAGGAGAAGAATATCCTTGCTGTAGCTGTCATGCCCATTGTCATCTGCATGGGCCAAAAGGCCCCGGACTGTGGATTTAGGAGAAGGAGCGTGCACAATCAACCCCCCGTATAGTCCATCCGCTCTGATGAGGCCAGAGTGAGCGTGGTACCAGAACGTCCCATTTTGATCGGCGGGAATGGTGAAATTGTAGGTAAATGTGGACCCCGGAAGAATAGGCCGCTGTGTCACTCCAACCGCTCCATCCATGGCATCTAATTAATTAGTTAGACATGACCAGTGTGCTCAGCATATTGGTGTGGGCTTACTCTCAATGTGCAAGCCATGCCAGTGGATCGAAATCGACTCATCCTTCAAAGAATTGGTGACATTGACTATAAGGCGATCACCAGAGCGTGCTTCAATTGTCGGACCAGGGAAGAGACCTATCCAATGTCAGTACATTGATCGAGGGGAATAGAGATGAGACGTACCATTAACCAGATACACCCGTTTCAACACCCCATCCGGGCGTCCGTAGTCCGCAGTCACTTCCCAGTCAAGATGTTGTGCCACAGAGTCGCGGTACACATGGTTCTCCGGATGAAGCTCAATCACTGGACGCGATGCATCCGGATCATGTCTCGTCGGGAGTGTCTCGTCAATGGCCTTCAATGGGATTAGGTCTTGCAGAGGGTTCGGTGTTGCGATTTGCATTAAGAAAACCAGAAAAATCAGCCCACACACAGTGGCCGGGTACAATACAATGCTCCATGACAGATATCGTACTTTAGTTGACGGCGACTGCTGAGCGTCTAATCGAAGGTATGACAGTTTCTCCATCTGTGACGGCTTTCAACAATTGTCTCCCTCTTTGCCGGCCAACCCCCGTATGTTTGTTTCCAACCCATGCCTCTTTGTATCCGGCCAGGAACCATGAGCGATTTTGAAGGCACGTGGAGAATAACAGTGGATACATCTGCTGAATACAATTGCCTGTCAGTTGAGCGAATATGGAAGTGATGTTCAGGGCCGCCACCGACCTGTGTTTCAGACCGGCTTCAACCACGGTTCGGTCAAATCATTAACTTTTCACTGGACTGCCACGCTGTCTGTAGCCGGGTATCCAAACTCAAACTGGACTCGAAGTTGGTACCTGGTCCATCAAATTCAGGAACAACAGCGATAGTCAGGGCATTCTGCCGTCGACGGTAGCCGAGAGGGGGTTCTTGCCATTGTGGATATATCAGAAAACCCACCACATCGACCGCCACCGATTAGAATTCCCCGATCAGCGAGAGAAAACCTCAGTGGCTGGATCGAGGAGGCGATGGAAGGGTTCTGGTGCTTCGAAGCAGCGCATGTGAGTGAAAAGCCTGCCGGACTGGTTCCCCCAAGCAGATGGCTCCGTTTGCCGCACGTGGCCGCCTTTCCAAGAGGCTCCGCTTGTCCTCAGGCATCTCTCCGATATAAACTGGCAGGCACATGTCATACGTGTCGTGAAACATCCGTCTCCATTAGCAGTGGGTCATTCTTCATCCGCCAACAGGGACGATCCGTCTTTCGCCCTAGCGGCATTCAGTGGCTCGTCGAATCCGATCTGTGAGATCCAGTGCTGTTCCATGTTACGCTCAACTTTGGCATGTGTCTTTCGATCTAGAATCTGGGAAGACTATGCGTCGTGAAACCCAGGATACCGATCTTGCGGGATAGTCGTCCTTTGTAGCCCCATACCGTACAGTCCCCACTTTTACCAATACCTTTCCTATATATAAAGCAACTGGAAGGCATTCTGATCTTCTCCTACAACAACACTTCAAGCGACTTCACCATGTTTTTGTTGAGTACTGCCTTGGCTCTGCTCCTGGGGAGCGGACCGGTTTCTGCTGGCTCACTCCGAGACATCAAGCATGTCGTGATCTTTATGCAAGAGAACCGGTCATGGAATAGTGTAAGTGCCTGTGTCGGACAATCCCAGACAAGCAACTAACCACGTACAGTATTTTGGCACCATGGCAGGCGTCCGAGGTTTCAACGACCCAAACGTGCAGGTGAACCCAGATGGGCTACCTGTTTGGTACCAGTTAGTACTTTTAGAATCTTGAGAGGTCTTGTACTGACAATAATAGACAAGTCGACCCTGACATGTCGAACGACACGACAACTCTTCTCCCCTGGTACCTCGGTTATCAAGGAGGGAACTCGACAGACGCTATCCAATGCATGGCGGCTGGAAACAATGGCTACGAAGAAAGTCAAGCATCACTCAACGGTGGTCTGAACAATCATTGGGCACGGAATAACACCCCTTGGAGTTGGGGCTATTTCAAGAGGGACGATATACCCATTCATTATGCGATTGCAGAGGGCTGGACGGCAGGTGATATGTATCAGGTAATTTTCCCTTTTATGCGCCCAAAGACATGTCTGACTCGCACAAGGAAGCTCAAATCACTTCCACAAATCCCAATCGTGTCACCTTGGTCAGCGGGTCCGTCAATGTGCCTGGTGGTCCTCAGACTCCGGACCAAGGTGGGGTTTATATCGATAACACCGTAACCCCAGGTATGTTCTTACACCCATTCAGTTTCGCAAGGCGATATTTTTAAGCTGACTGATTACTTCAGGCTGCGACAGCTATAATATCAACTGCTATCCTCTCAAGTGGAAAACAATTTTCGAAATCTATGAGGAGGCGGGTGTCTCTTGGCAGGTCTACCAGGACAAGGACAACTTCGACGATAATCCCCTGGCTCGGTTCGAACAGTTCCAGAATGCTTCATCTTCCTCACCACTGGCAGAGAAAGGCATGGCCTATGTAGGACTGGACAGCTTCTACGGAGCGGCTGCGAATGGGACCCTTCCGGAGATCAGCTTCATTGTCGGCCCCGCAGAGCTGTCGGAGCACCCACCTTATATGCCCAAAGATGGAGCCTGGCTGCAGAAGAAGGTTGTGGATGCCGTGACCAGTAGCCCCGAATATACCTCCACACTGCTTATGATTAGTTACGATGGTAAGTCTCTCGCTAAATTCCTTACTGCCGCATCTAATGCATGCCAGAATCCGGTGGCTATGGAGACCATGTGATCCCTTTCCATTCACCTGAAGGAACCCCTGGTGAGTGGATGGAGGACCCATACGGTATTTTTGGAAAGTTATATGTCGGACCTGGTAAGTTCAAATCATAACGTTTGGTGTCAGCCAAGCTGATTGCTGTAGGGCTTCGCGTTCCTTTCTACATGGTGTCTCCATGGACCCGCGGCAACCGTGTTTTTACTGAGCGAGCGGATCATAACTCTCAAATCTTGTTCCTGGAGCAATGGCTCACGGCCAGGGGCTACAAGAATGTGCAGACACCAGAAATGGTTCATTGGCGTCGGGAGCACATGTCCAACCTTGTCAACGCATTAGATCTGGACCACGTACGACTCCATCCATTTTCCTGCATCGGAACCAAGCTAACTGTTGTGTAATAGCCCGATACCAGTATTCCCAAACTACCAGAGGCAGAAGAGCCCGAAATGTCCTCAGGATCTTACGTGGGCACTGCCAATTGTGAAGCAACGTACACCGAGCCACGCCCTCCTGTACCCTACGGAAAGCAGAATGTCACCGATTCCTTGTTTTTCGAGGAAGGATACAAGGAGTGTGTGGGCTATTTGACTGAGGGACGGTACCTAGTCTTCGAGAAGTCTGGATATGCGCTTACCAACACCGGCAACACAACCCGGTTGAGCGGTACCGCAGCTCATAAGGACCACAGTGACAAGAAACAGCGATGGGTGGTTCATTACTCCAGTGGCGAAGAAAGCCAGATATTCAAACTTTCCAGTGCTCTGGATGGCAAGTGGCTTGGTCCACGCGGGACTCTGTTGCCAGCCGATCGCCGTAACAATGCTGCTGAGGTAAAGATCACTTTCCGTGGAAATGGCCATGGATATGATTTGCAATATGTCAACTCGACTACTATCGCACTGGACGATCAAGGGGAAGTGCGAATGAACGCCACCAAGGGCTCCGAGGATGGCTACAAGGTCTGGAGTGTCACTTACCACTAGGAAGTGAGTGTTGGGACACAATTTTGATTCAAGTTTGGGAGTGAGTAGCAGGTCTACTTAACGCCCTCAACAGCATAGCGTTTATTCCATACACTTTAGTGTTCCGTTGTTCAATATAGACTCATAGATAGCATATGCGCGGACGATAGCGGCCATCGGGCACTACAATATCTGCATTCAAATTCCAAAGCCTCACATCATAGAAGTACACTTTTAACTTCCATTTCATTCCATTACCATTATAAATAAAACACTGCTCAGGTTCACTATTCATACAAATATTCACTCATCAGCTGTACTTCCCAAGAAGTCAAAACGGATGTATGAACCTATAACCTTTTGATATGCTTATAAGAGCCTCTATATGCATAGCTCACTCAGAAAACAAATTACCATTCATATACTTCAGCCCCGTATCAACAGCCACCGTCACGACCGTCTTCCCAGGCCCAAGCCGCTTCGCCAACGCAATCGCCGCAACGACATTCAACCCAGTCGACGTCCCCACCAACCACCCCTCCTCCCTCGCAAGCCGACGACACATAACCCGCGCCTCCTCCTCCTCAACCGCACACGCCTCATCATACAGACTTCCATCCAAATGCGGCGGCACAAACCCAATCCCAATACCCTCAACCCCATGCCTCCCCGACCTCCCCTCCGTGATAACCGGCGACGCCGCCGGTTCCAGCACCGCAACATGAACCCCGGACCACTTCTCCTTCAACACCCTCGACACACCCATAACCATCCCCGCTCCACCCACCGCACCACAAAACGCATCAATCCCCCCCCGGAAACTGCTCGACAAGTTCCCGCCCAATCCCTTCATACCCCACCGCCGCATCCTTATTATTAAACTGATCGGCGAAATAATACCTCCCCTCTCCCTGCGCAACAAGTTCCTTCGCACGCTTCATCATGGTGGGGAATAAGTTCGGAGTGATCCCTTCCGCACTAGGGACAATATATACTGTCGCGCCAAGAGCTTCCATCGTGCGGAGTTTCTCGATAGCGAATGCGTTGGAGGATATCACGGTGAAGGGGTATTTCCTTGCTGCGCAGATGAAGGCCAGTGAGGAGCCGGTGCTGCCGCCTGTAGCTTCGATGATAGTCATTCCGGGTTTGAGATCGCCCCGGTGTTCGGCTTCTTCGATGATGGATTTCGCCATGCGGTCTTTGTAGGAGCCCGTTGGGTTGAGGGATTCGAGTTTGATGTAGATGGAGGCGCATTCTGGGGGGACCACGTGCGTGAGTTGGATTATCGGGGTGTGGCCTATTGCGTTGAGGATGTTGTTGGTCGGCGGGAGGGACATTTTGGTATTGGGTTTTGGGGAGAGTGCAAGTAAATGATGTAGTAGGATGTGATGGCGATGAGAGGTTGGAATTGAGTGGTATGAGAATGAGGTGAGTGAGTTTACCGAGTTAGGGGGAAAAGACATGACGTGAAAAGTTATAGTTGTGACTCCCGGGGTTCGATAATCCCGAACCACCGGCCGGGGCTTTCGGATCTTGGGCCTGCCGTAGATGTCGTGGACTTTACTTGGCGGAGGAGATCTGCGGAGGAAAGGAGCTGCTGGGTTACCTAATTGAATCCACAGACATAGTGCTGGAATTCCGCGGGGGTTGCGGACTATATCTGCTATGATGTGAGAGTATAAGAGTGCTTGTATACTATATTGCGTCTGTTATTGGCTGAGATCACTAGCTCGAGAGCATCATCATGTGGGAGGGGGAGGATGGCGCTACGCAGCTACCCCATAATGATTGACTCATCCCCACCTTGATCGTACCCAGCAGCACATCCATACCAATAGGTCAGTTTTATATTCCCTAACCTAAGGCGAGATCTAGATTATCATTTGCTAAATCGCCATAGATTCCATTAACAGTCCCAGAAACCCAGCATCACTCAGCACCAACTAGCTGCCCCAATGTCATCCAACATTCGACTCGCAACCCATGACGACCAACAAATCATCGAGGACATCATAAACGAGTCGTTCTCGATCTACATACCCCTCATCAACAGAAAACCCCAACCGATGCTCGACGACTATAGCGCGCTGATCAAGGACGGATATGTCTACGTGGCTGAGCGGGACGGAGAGATCCACGGCACCGTCGTGCTTGCTCCGAAGCAGGATTACATGCTAGTGGACAATATAGCTGTCGCTGAGTCCGCTCGAGGCACTGGGCTGGGTCGCAAGATGCTCGATTTCGCGGACGAAGCAGCCCGACGGGCAGGATATGATACCGTTCGGCTTCATACCAACGAGACGATGGTGAAGAATATTGCTATCTATAAGCGGTTGGGATATGTGGAGACGCATCGTGCTGATAATAGGGGGTTTCAACGGGTCTATATGGCGAAGATGTTGAGTTGATTGTTTTGATGCTGTGGCTGGTGCGATGGAGGTCATGTATCATTCCCTCGATGCGGTATCTGCATTGCTTGGACATATAAGGACTCTGATAGTCATTTCAAATTCATCTATTCTTGTGTGGCTACCGGCCTGCTATTATCTTGTCACTGAGCTTGGGTCTTGTCCTCATGGCTCAGATATGATGCCTTTATTCTTAGCACATATTAGAATTTTGGTGCACGTAGAGACAACGTAGACAAGAAGACAATTCACTGCAGATAGTATCATGACGAAAGTGTGTGGCATCGGCCCGTGACTTCGCATGCAGAGATGCCTGAGAATGAAGGCGCTAATGACCATCGCGTGTTTGGCCATTCCGAACATTCCCCTCTTTGCTGACCCCTCTTCTTTTTCACTTCCTCACACCCACCAGACCTGTCTGTGTGCGTGGATGAAATTCGACCAGAAAAGCGAACAATGCCCCTTGCGACCTCATATCAGTATGCACTCATAGCGTGACCCCTGTGCGACAAGGCTTCAGTCCGGCCCAATAACAGTGACGACAACGAGGTTAAGGACGAGGACAGACACGGATGTGGGCCTCAGTCCAGTTCACCATCCACAGTCGTATGAGGTATAGCAAATATCTCCGGTCAGATGGGCTCATCCCATCAAGATAGTTTGATCCGGCCTTCCCCATGCGACGCAATGCATTGTGCCTGATCGTACCAGACCAACGGGACCAGTGCCATCATCTGATGGGCTGCGACATGATTATGCTTACCGGATGGACCATCCATCCGGAGGTTGCGGTCAGTCAGTCTTATCTCTCAACGGACCAGCTTTCTCGGTCTCCGGGCGCGACCCATTCTTTGGTCCAACCAAGCCGCAGGATTGGTCCTGGTCGAAAGGCCAAATGGCGGGCAACGGCAGTGTCGTGTGCCACCAGGATGTTTGCAGGCATCACCCATGGAGTCTCTTAGCAGCCTGCGTCTGTGGCGTTTCTGATGGAGTTTGTATGGCCGGGCATGATGGTACTTTTTGCTGGTTGAATCATCCCGACGGAGTACATGGCAGCGACCCTGAATTGTGGGTTTGATGGGTGGAAACCGCCAAGTCACCTGAGACACACGTCGATTTTTGTTCTGCCCATCAACGGCCACCGTCGCGGCTCAATCTCAACGATCGTCTTCTGCCGATAAGACATCATCCTTCGCCACTCAACCATCCTCGCCCAGCTTCAGCGTCTCGCTCTCACCACGCTTTCTGCCTAATCGAGGCTGTCTGATTTCGTTCGGCTCCATCCTTCCCTACTCCGCTCAATCTCGATCTGGTTTCCATAACAAAGAGACTTCCGGGATCGGATTCCGACCGTGTTTTCTTTGCTGGACCGCTATTTATCGCGGTCCCCACTTGGTTGCTTTTTTTTCTCCCTGTGTGCCCCAAACCACACCCTCCAGTTCCGTTCACTGTGTCAACTCCATCCAGTCGTCCTCCAAAAGACCACCTCGGGCCCTCCCTGAGTCCCTGCGTGTCCCGAGTCCCGACTCCAGTTCTCCAGTTCTTCGATCCATCCTCGTCCCGGTGTCCCCGTGCGGGCCTGGCATATAGTCCGGAGGATCCCCCAGCACCAAATTCTCCGCCATTCTCCAGGAGTTGACTACGCCACACACAGTGACAAAGTGATCGGCCTGCCTCGCAGTCTTGAATGGAATTTTTGCGCACTACACACCTTGCTTTTCAAAGCTACACATTGGTTGCCATTGTCGGACATGCCTTCCATCACTGAGCAGACCGGTGATTCTGGCCTTGAATTCGATGGTAGGTCCTCTCCTTCGGTTAACTTCCCGTTAACCTTTCCTCCCCCTTGGCTCCAACCCGCGTAGTTGTCCACGTAGGTTCTCCGAGGCTCTGCTTTTGGACCGCATGATCTCATAGCCCACCGCGACTTCCGGTATTCAATCATTCGTCTTGATTTCCTCCCTTCGCGGTCATTTTCTCTTCCTCATCTCTCGTTGACAAACCAACTGTTGATGGATTCTGACCAATCATCTCAAGGACCGCAACCGATCCTGGGAACTGGTTTGAACGTCTCCCTTCAGGGCCGCCGCCAGACCAATGGACACGAAGATTCTGCGATTGCGTCAGACAATATCAAGCAACGTACCCCCGCGCCAAAGAAGGCACCAACGCGACCGCCTCTTCACCACCCGGCTTCGTTAAGTAGTCAAACGTCCAGCGTCGTTACTGAATTTGCGCATCGCAATGAAAGAGACGACAGTATGAAGCACGGCGAAGAAGACCCTCAGAATAGTCTTTTCACACAGGTCTATGAGTGGCTTCAGCGCGAGAAATCCAAACGGAGTTCTTATAAAGCGACAGACGGTGCTGCAAGTGACGGCGACGATGATGACGACGATGGCAGTAGCGTCCTCGTGGAAAGACCCGTGTCTCTTGGAGCTGATACCGCACTTGCTCTCGACAAGCTGGAAAAGATTCTCATTGAATATGCCGCTTCGCGACAGGCGGGAGGCTCTGTATACTTCGCCCGACGGTCCGGTCGCCGGCGCCAGCAGTCCAGGGGATTGCGTAGGGGTTCTGCTTCCGAGTCCGACTTTTCAGACTTCGAGGCCACCGCTCCCAGCGTGGATGCAGTGCTGGACAACTCCAAAACTCTCGCTTACAGCGGCGGTAGTGCAGAGGATGACGATAATGAAAACGGCGCCAACGCAGGACGCGCAAAGGACCGAGAAGCCTGGACGGTGTTTAAGAGTGAAATTCTCCGGCTTGCCCACACCATGCAATTGAAAGGATGGCGAAAGCTCCCAATGGATCTTGCTGCGGATATGGAGGTTGTTCGACTCAGCGGTGCCCTCACCAACGCCGTGTATGTAGTCACGCCGCCGCAGAACATCCCTGTGCAGAAGGCGGAAGATGGATCGTACTCCTTGGTGCCTAGAAAGCCGCCCCCGTAAGTGCTCCTCGTTTCCTTTCGGACCATATCTGACCTCTTGTAGGAAGCTTCTGCTGCGTATTTATGGCCCACAGGTGGATCATCTCATTGACCGTGATAACGAGCTACAAATACTTCGTCGGCTCGGCCGAAAGAACATCGGACCAAAGGTCTTGGGTACATTCAACAACGGACGGTTCGAAGAGTTCTTTGAAGCTCGCCCGCTGACGCCAAAGGAGCTCCGTGATCCTCCTACCATGAAGCAGATTGCGAAGCGAATGAGAGAACTTCACGATGGGGTCGATCTTCTTGAGGATGAGAGGGAGGGAGGACCCATGGTGTTCAAGAACTGGGACAAGTGGGTTGATCGTTGTGAGCAAGTCATAAATTGGCTGGACAAGGAGATTCAATCTGAGCACAACAAAAGCAAAGCTGCGTCAGAGGCTTGGCGCCGGCGAGGCTTTGTCTGCGGTGTCCCTTGGCTCTCGTTCCGGAAAGCAGTCGAAAGCTATCGAAAGTGGATGGTTTCCAGCTGTGGAGGGATCGAGGAGATCAAGCAACAGTTGGTGTTTGCGCATAACGATGTATGCCCCTTTCCCCAAGCCATCGTGACCCGCACTAATGACTTAGACTCAATATGGAAACCTGCTTCGCATGGAGCCCAGTCTTGAGTCACCGCTGCTCCGACCCGAGAATGTGCATAAGCAGCTCGTCGTGATTGACTTCGAGTATGCGTCCGCGAACACCCCCGGACAGGAGTTCGCAAATCATTTCGTAAGTCTCCAGATCTAATTGGCGGTTCTTGCTGACCTCAACAGACTGAATGGTGTTACAACTATCATGATCCGGAGCGGTCATGGGCGTGCGACAACACGCGCTATCCGACTCCGGAGCAGCAACATCAATTCATCAACGCATACCTCAGCCACCGGCCCGGATTACGCGAGCAGCCCTCCCCGTCTATCACTCCCCTGATGCGTGGTCTCTCTGCCAACACCTCTTCACTAGCTCCTCTGGACCTGGACGATGGCCCGGACGTGGACATGCCATCTCGCCTCGATATCGAAAAGACGCACGAGGACAGCACTAACGCCCGAATCCAGTTCTACATGCGCCAGACCCGGCTATGGCGGGTGTTGAACTCGGCACAGTGGGTCGCCTGGGGCATCGTGCAGGCCAAGGTACCTGGCATGGAGGAGGGTATCGCAGCGGACGAGGCCGCCCACGCCCACAATGGCCACCACGATGCCAATGGCAATGGTGCGCATACCACTCCGCCCGTGGATGCCGATATCGACGAGGCCGACGAATTCGACTACCTTGCCTATGCCCAAGACAGAGCACTGTTCTTCTGGTCGGACCTCCTGTCTATGAAGTTCATCCGGGAGGATGAGCTCCCCGAGTCGCTGGTAGAGCAGATCAGATCCCGGGTCATCGAGTACTAGCTTAATACTGTTGCTTTACGATTATGAATCGAATGAATGATGACGAAGCGAAGCGATTCTTCAACAGATGCCAGTGTTGCTACTGTACATAGCCATAGTTATGAATCGATCCCTACCTTTCATCTATATCATCATATACAGGGGAGGCGAGACCCCGAAGCAAACTCGTCTCATCTACCGCCTCCTCAAATTCTTCTGCGTCTCCCCCTTCGCCCTCTCCACCCACTCCTCAAACTGTCCCCCCCGATCCTTGACCCCCACCACCCCCTTCAACACCTCCCCAATAAACCCCACAAAATTCGACCGTCTCAGCGTATTCTCCCACGCCCACGCCCTCCTCTTCCTCTCCTCCCTCTCCAACCCCTCCACATCCCCAATCTCCCTCGCCCCGACCCTCAGATCCCTCACCACCGCCATCAAATTAAACATCGTCTCCCCCTCCGGATACCGTCCAATCCTCTCCCTCAACACCTCAATGACCTTCTCCGGGAACTCCTCCCTCGCACACTCCCCATGCGAAATCGGATGCGGCTGTAACCCATCCAACTCGTACAATTTCCCGTTAATCGGCGTGTACGCGATGAAGTGGTATACGTCCCCGCCCTCTTCGTCTTGGTTCTGGCGGATCGTTTCGTCCACGAAGGGTGAGGATCGCGCGAAGGCGTTGTGGGCGGTGCGGATGGGTTCGGAGTTCGAGAGCGCTTCGCCGAGGAGGTCCGGTGGGAAACCCGAGGTGAAGTCTTTGAAGGAGGTGAGGGCTGGGCCGAGGGGGATGGGGGCGGGGTTTGTGGGGGTGGGGGTGTCGTTGTTGAGGATTACGGAGAGGATGGCTTGCGTGCCGCAGGCGTTTTGGATCGTTTGGTTGGCGAAGAAGAGGGTGGGTGGGGGAGTCGTGTCGTAGGCTCCGGAGAGAGGGGTGGAGGAGGAGGAGGAGGAGGTGGTGGTGGTGGTGGTGGTGGGTTGGGTGGATTCGCGGAGCCATTTGAAGAGGAAGATGACGCCGTAGACGGGACTGTGTGGTGGGTGGGTTTGTTAGTGGGGTTTGGTTAGGGAGGGAGAGGGGAGGCTATGGGATGTACCTTAGGGAGCGGATGGAGTCGGCGTCTAGAGAGAGGAGTTCTTCGAATTGGACATCTTTGACGCCGAGGTTCTCGATTAGAGAGGTGAAGACGCCCTGCTGGTTGTTAGCTTGCTGCTATGGCCATGCTATGTATGGGTGGGTGGATGTTGGTGCGTACCGCGTCGGACTCGATTGTGCTCCAGCCTCCGCCGTCGGCCATGGTGTCTGTGAGATGAGGTGGTGTACAGGGGGTGTAGGTGTATTGTACAAGGCACCAGGGGAGTACAGGGATGGGAATGGTGGATGTAAGCTTGTGTCCCGTGGGCAGGATGTGATGTGATGTGATGGTGGAGCCTGGTGGAGCTGTGTTTGGTCAAGGTGCAAACAACACCCGCGCAACTCACGCTAGGCTAAATATAGATGAAAGCCCCATTGATCGTGGCCTGCGGTATCAGGTGTCGATTTGGTTCACGGGGTTATCGATATCGATTAGTACTACTGTGGATTTTCGAATTGAACAAGAGAAACGTGGGTGATTGTGCCGGAGCGATGCGGAGATCTCCGTGAGGTACATTCAGGCCTCCCGCTTGAAATCAGCTGTTAACTACACAGGTTCTTCACCTAAAAATATACAACGCGTACCAATCAATATGATGACAACGTCCGGATGTCCCGTGTACAAAGTGAATCGATGACGAAGCACTGCAGCAGTCTCTAACTGAAAGAGATACTATTGGGTATGATTCATCTCACCCAAGTCTGTTGGCCAAAGACTGGACGCCTTACGGCCGTGTATGTGGATCTCAGGTCAGACATGCAGATCATTCAGATTCAATCTCTCCACAGCCACAATCACCAGTTTAGAGACAGCATATAAAGCGTCTTGGCTCACCCAGTATGCTTCTCAGTTCAGACATACCAAACCAAGCCTACAAACCTGCCCTCATCTCCTTCATACCCTCAAAACCACCACCAAGAACCACACCATGCAACTCCTCACCTTCCTCCCCATTGCCGCTCTGGCTGCCACAACCCTCGCCGAAAACTGGAACATCACGGTCTACGCCGACACCAACTGCACCGAATGGAAGGGCGAGTTTACCGGAGACAAAGATTATGGATGCTACTCGCTTGAAGAATATGACCCAGCGATTCAGTCCATCAAGGCTGAGCTTCCCGACGGATGGACGTTTATGGGATCGAGTGGAGGTGCTTGTGATGACTTTCACACTTCTGGAGGCTCGGGATGCTGGACTCAGGGACAAGGATTCAAGTCGTTTGAGGTGCTGGTTACAGAGAGCTGAACTGTGGTAGGTATATCTTGGTTGATCTGAGAGGTATATGTGCTGATGATTGGGGATTAGAGATCTAGTATAGGAATTGTGGTGGATGGATTTTGGAAATGGTTGTAGCCGGCATATCTGTGAAGAACTTGGTGTATATATTGTTCTTGACAAGGACTTAGTTAATGATGGACATGCAAAACATTGGAATATGCCGTGATCAGGCCGGTAGACGTGTTATTGGAACTGCGCTCTATGCCTAGTCGTCCCAGGATAACAAGGACTGCAAAAGTGTATCTTCTTCCAACAGATTTAGCTTCCGGGTGGGAATAGAGCCTCTAAATCTTCCACCAATAATCCGAACAGAGTTACGATAGACCTCATGAGGAGGTACTTCACTTGTGTCAGGAGCGGAGGTGCTTCCATCTATCGTAAGGGCAATATGTCTTAGCAATAGAGCGAAGAGACCAGTACCAACCCAGCGCCTTGCTATATAGACCACGAGCCGAGGCGTTCTCGACAGCACTGATGGCTTTGGTATATGATCCAAGCAGACGCCGTCCAGGTAGCCAACTCGGGCGAGAATCAGAAATGACCCGACACTCGAAAAGACATAGGTATGATTAATGAGGTGGTGAGGTTAACACTGGAGATTGGCCGAGGGCTTATGACACAAATCGGGTTTTCAAAAACGATCCAGCCGTGAGATATAATCGAAAACCCGCGAACTGGCATAACATTAAGTGGAGAAACATCTTCATCGTGGATGACATGATCGATGTTCCTGTGATGAACCTGATGGTTGTCGAGGCAAACAATGGTACCAGCAGGCGCATTGCGCTTGGAGAGACAGCCTTGAAGATTTGGATTGAATCGAAGCCTGAGGTTCGCACATTTATTTTAGGCTAGATGAGTTAAGTTAAACTGGTCCTCAATGAAAATGACTTGCTAAACAGATGATGACTGCAATCATGGAAGGTTGCGCAATGTTAGCAGCAATCCGCTGACTATTACCACGGAAAATAATCAATTTGCTTCGATATATCACCATGGAGCTTGTGTCATCTGACACCATTGGCCTATTATATAGGAGAGCCATCCCGGCAATTTCAGAGCTATGGAGTTTAGTTTTCCAAAGGCTATCTCATGCTGCCTTTATCTACAGATTGTTGGTATCGCAGGATATAGCCAAGACAATGGACTAGGGTCAGGTGACCCCTTCGATTTCATCATCTTCCCCTTTGGTGTCCGCTTGTTTGACACCTCTCGAAATCCCGAACCACATATTTACCTCGGAGTGACTTCATGGCCAAATACTTGCCCTTTGATCCTTAATTGTCGATCTCTTGAAATCCATTCAATTCATAACGCTATCAATACAATATTTACAGCAACTAGGGAGCCGTCTAAGCCGACCCTGCCTTGGAAAGCAACCATCCACCGTTCTGCAGCTTCTGGAAAACACCTTCAGGATCATACTTTGCAGCAATGTCCTTGAGCTTTGCCACATTGTCAGCACCATAGCTTGACAGCGGATCTTGGTCGCGAGAAGCATAGTTGGAGTACCGATACGGAAGATAGGCGCCAGCCTGCTTGGCTGTCGCTTCGGCAACATCCACAATTTTACGAGTCGCCTCGCGGACACGGTCTTCATCCTCTGCATTCTTCCAATCGGCCATGGACAGAAACCCTATTATGTTAGCTTAGAGATCACAACTCATAAAAGAGAGCAACTTACATTGCTGACCCACTGGCTCTAATCCAAGCGGCGTTCCCCCGTTCTTCTGACTCTGCTTCATGGCCAAGGAGGACATGGGTTGGAACACATTGGTCAGGACAAGTCCTTCAACGTCGCTCAAAGCAGCCTCCTGTTCTTGGCGGACCCTCTCTGTCGCTTCGTACAATTCCAAGCATGGCCGACTGGACATGGTTCGGAACTCGTGACTATTGATCTGTTAGCATGTAGCCGGTCTTCAGGTCTCCTGACTTACTGCAGAGTCTCTGATGTGATGACGGAGGCAACCGCCTGGACAAGTTCATAGATGGATCGAGTGGCTGGGGGGACAAAGCTCATCGCGAACGGAATATCATAGAATGACTCAAATGCGGCAGGCTTCTCGACAGGGGCACAATAAAAGAAGACGAGGAGGATTGCTTGGCTGGTCCCGTGCCAGACGAGAGACGCCTTGTTGTCGGTTTCAATCACCTCGTGATACTTCATGAGGCCTTTGACGAGCTCAGGGTATGCCGTTGGAGGGTAGATCCGAGCTTCGGCCCAGGATGCGGTAGGAACGGTCGCCAGATCCATTTTGGTCACGATTCCTGGAGAACACGATTACTAGATGCTCGTCTGGGCCAAAGAAACAATTTAGCTTACCGAAATTAGGGCCGCCTCCTTTGAGAGCCCAGAACAAGTCGGTATTCTCTTGTGCATTGGCATTGACAATACTCGAGTCTGCGAGAACAACCTACGACGATCAGAAACGGCAAAGTGCACGAGTACATGCAAACCTACCTCATAATTTGTCACGCCCATTGCACCCACTCCATATTGGCTGTTTTGGAAGGAGATTCCTCCTCCCAGGAGCAGACCAGGAACCCCAACTGTCGGAATCCGACCCCCTGCCACTGCCAGACCATGAGGGTCAAGGGCCTTGTACACATCGAGCCATCTCAGCCCAAGTCCGACATCGGCGGTGGACTTGTCGTCAGAAAGCTTGACATGGTTGAATTTACTCAAAGAAATGACCACTCCGCCGCTGTTACTATTGAATCCCGGATTCTGTAGGTGGCCGCCACCGCGAACAGAGAAAGGAATGTTAAAAAATCGACAGAGGGCAAGAGCGGTTGCAACTTGTTTTGCGGATGTGGGGGTCACTAGGACAAGTGGCCGGAGCCAACAGTTTATTGACCTAAGCATTCAGCCACCTGGATCCTTCTTTGTACGAGATGTTCACTATTGACATACCATGGCACTTGCCGCTGATCTTCGTACTCGCCCGACGTTTCCAGGATGGCATTTTGGCCGAAGAACAAAGGGAATATTTGTGTCACGAACGACGCCCGCACACTGTCCCTCCCACTCTCCGATAGAGCGGCATAGTTGGACAGAAGGGTCTCGGCTTCCACCGTTCTCACAGCGTCGATCTTCGCGTCCTGAACGATCGCTGCGACGACCGGGGAACTCATTGTGGTTAGTACGCAAGCTAGTGCAAGGATGTGAAACCAGATATATCAAAAGTACGACAGCAGAAGAACAAGAAAAAAAGACAGGTCGAGAAAAAGCAAGTACGGAAACACCACGGCCAATAAATATTCACCCACCACGGGGCACGGGCCGGCGCACGGGACAAAGCGTCAAGAAGCTACTGTCATGGCAGGCGGGTCGAGAACAGCCCGAGGCTGTTAGTCCGCCACGCTATCTTCCGCCGGCTGTCCCTTGCGTCGCACTTTATCCACTAGGTTGCAGGGATCCAATTCCTTCACCAGGACGAGATTTGATTTATCAACCGACTAACTGCCGAGGAGAATGGTTTTAAGCAACGAGATGTTTCCTCTGCTGTGCTTCCGAGTCACGAATTTTGACATTTCGCACTCCGTCTTCCGTGGGCTACCTCCGCACTCTGTGGGTGGCGTGGAATAGTGAGCTGCGCTATGGAGTGGACGGTTCTATCGCGGGATGCCGGAGGGACGCCTCCGATGACCGTTACGGTCCGCGTCATTGTGCTCATCCTGGCTATTACGACTACGCTGGTCTGCGGTCTCCGGGTATGTTTTAATGAGTTCGCACGATCAGCTTGAAAGAACCCCGGCTCATGAAATGCGTGGATGGTAGCTGTATATGCGAAAATTTGTCCTGCAATCATGGGGACTAGACGACTGGGTGGTGATGCTTGCTCTCGTGAGTGTCTACTTTTCAAGCAGTCCTTGCGTCTTACTGAGATGACCAGATTCTGGTGAACGGTTTCTCGGCTATCGCATATACCATCACCTACTACGGTCTCGGGTATAGAACCAAGAATGTCCCGGAAGCGGATTTATTAATCTGGTGGAAGGTACGTCGGTTCGCTAAGGACATCCTGGACATTCACTAAGATCATGGGCGATGCTAGATCTACTACGCTGCTCTGTGTTGCTACCTTCCCGTCGCTGCGGCAGTCAAGACAAGTCTCACCTTTTTCATCATGCGCCTTTTTCCCACTCGCGGTATCACTATTGCCGGAAGATGTATTTTGGGGTTCGTGGCGGTCTTTACCATCTCCGGCACACTCGCTCTCGCGTTCCAGTGTCGCCCTTTCCGCGCCGGCTTTGACAAGACCATCACCGATGCCACATGTTATTCGGTGAATACTTCGTTCGCGATCCTCATGATGCAGGGAGTTATCATGTTTGTGGTTGACGTGATCATCCTCGCCCTTCCCATTCGGTGTGTCTGGCAGCTTCAGATGCCACGCGCACGAAGGGTGATGATTCTGGGGCTATTTTGTATAGGTACGCTGCATGTCACCTATGTAAAGCTAGTGCTGACCGTCGAACACAGGGTTTACTGCATGTATCGCCGCACTCGTCCGCTTCAGCACCTTAACCTATGCCAGGGATGAAACAGATTATACTTGTACGTGCTGATGCCTAGCTGTGCTGACAGATTATCCATTCAGCTGACCAATATCCGCATTACAGACGCAGCCGCCAATTCCCTCATCTGGATGGAAGTCGAGTTCAACCTTGGACTGATGTCCGGCTCGCTTTCCTCCCTCCGCAAGCTGATCAAGCTCCGACCGTCGGGGCTGTCGCGAAATACCTCTTCCTTCACGGGCAGTCGCTCCACCAACCTCGAACTAGGAATCCATAGAGGCTGGGGCAAGGGAATAACCAAGCAGACGGAAATTAAGCGGATCTTCGAGACGGCAAATAGCAGCCAAGAGCTCATGGCGCCGATCTACGGCCAAGGGGAATTGTGCACCACCACCAAGGCCTTTCCCGCTGCAACAACCCGGAGTGCATAGACCGGTACCTGACTTGATTATTTCCTCTGATTAAGATAAATTATTCTTCCAGATGTCATATACAATAAGGTTATTCAATCTAACGCCGCGCGGATGCCTGCAGAATATTGCGACCGACGGGTGTCACCTGTCAAGGCTGCTCCACTCCTCTCCGACGCTAAGGCCGACCGTTTTCCCAACGGCGCCAATCCTGGGGCCAAAAATCATGCCGGTTGCTTTGAAGGAGTGAGCTTGAAACACGCTGCATTTTCCTAATGGGTCCTAGATAGACGGTCCTCAGCGCTTCGTTTAGTCGACATCCGCGCTCCGGGCCCGGAATTCGGATGTTCGCCGCGATGTGTATCGTTATCCTATAAGAGGGTTATCACGGGGATGACTTTGCTGATCTGACTCATATTTCCTTTTTTCAAGAATCACCTCTCCTTCGTGACTTGTCGATTTCTATTTTTGTCTTTCCTATCGAATGTGCCGATCTTCGGGCGAGATTATCCAAAATCATCTATCGATAGGCGACTGTCGTCGAACAGGTCTCCACGAATTAGAAAAATAGAAACCTACATGAGATATTTCACAATGACATCCACAAACCATAGTCTATCGAACTAATTATATTGACGTGAAGCTTCGACCGTATAAGGGGTGGTCAATGCGCCAACGCTCTTTGTTATTAAGTTATTAGAGACCCGCCGTGGATGCGACATTCTTGGCGCCTATCCCTGACGAATTGGGGTATAATTATTGATGTATACCTGTCCTACCTCATGCATCTTATGGAATCTTCAAAACATGCAATGTTAGCATTGTAGTGAAGCAAGTCTCCGCTTGACTCACTCGTGAGGCCTCGATTGCAGAGTGAAGCTTTTTTGGATCTCAGGTGCTGATGAACTTCACAAATAAGCTGATATTAAGGTCAGGGATAAGGGAAGTGACTAAGGTTTTGGTGACGGTTGGTAGATGAATGACTCATTCGTGGTTGTCTATCTATATCCTGCCAGACGATCTCAAAACCTATAACGTGGTATCCACCGATGCAAGATCATCAGCCAGCCATGGCTATCAGGGCAATACACATAACTACTGTATCCTCACTCCATTTGTTCTAACCATCCCGCATGATCGCTTTTTCCCAGTCATTACCATGATATGACCGCCCCCGGCATGGTGGATATCAATCCCATTTCAAGCCAGGACGAATCCGGACAGTAACCTAAACCAAGCGATTGTTGTCGACATACACCAAAAAAACATTCAGTCATCGATATTGCGCCGGGAAGAAGTCGAACGAGTACGGCACTCACGATCGCCCGACTACCGAAGTTCCCTATTGATTCACCATGTGGGAGAGGAAAACACTCCTAAGACGCGTTGTATCTGTCATGATCGGGAAAACTGAGCCACTGTCCCATATCCCAGCGTCCATGGTACCATAGCCTACTCGAACCGGGTACACTCTAAATCAGTATATGACTGGAGGCTTTGGACCGATTATAAGCCAAAAAAGCTCGATTCGGAGGTTGAGACACACCACACTATGCAAAGTCCCAGCTCATATAGCCCCTCTCAGAGATGGCATCGAACACATAAACGATCGATACCGAAGAAAGCGGCCTTGCATATCCGCAGAGGGAACAAGTCAACTTTGGGAGAAGGCTGCCCTAGGCCCGACTATCGAAAACTTATCCTAACCTCGCGACACTAAGTGACTCATTATATACCTTAATGCATATCGTGGACAAACACTGGAGTCCGTTTATTGACTGCCGAGAAGAGGTGTCTTGATACTTTGACTGCGTGTGGGTTTAAGAAAGCGGGATAGTTTGTCACTATCAGAAAAGCAACAGCTCGTGCAAAGACAAGCATAATAATTGTCCCGCTCATATATGTCGACGAAGCGATCACTATCATAGCAAGGAGTATAAGTTTACGGTCTTCTGTGCTAGAGCGCTAGACAAAGGAGAAACGAACCTGGCATCAAGAGTGTAGGCGAGTACCTAGATCGAACACTGTATTCAAAGAACTCTAAAATACAGAGAGGTATACAATATTATGATACTAAATCAGACGCTGGAGTTTATGTCATGTGCCAGACGGAATGGATACGGTACAATTCCTATCCCTAGGCATGATGGATTGGAGACACCATGAATAGGTACCCCCTATAATGCTGGCGAGTATTGCTGAAGGTATGCCCTGATGATAAGCAGTGAAGCAGGGAAAACTGGGGCGTTGAGCTGAACTTACAGCTGGTACCTGTCATATTCCAAACTGAGGTATGGTGGAATAAGAATAGCGAATGTCAGACATATCATTTTAGTGATGTGATTGAGTCGAGCAACTTGATAACGTGAACATGTTTCAGTTGTTGAGGCTGATCAGACCAATCGACCAACGTGTACTAGGTACCTAGACTCATGTCGCCGCTGGTTTGGATGCCCGAGGAGTCACTGAAATCCCAGCCTGAGCCCAAAGAGGAAAATAAGGGGCTGTCGGTCGACACCCCCGCTAGGATCATCAAGCTAATAGAGTAACAATCAGGGCTGACATGTACTCAGAAGTTCTGTATCAGAACCGTCTCAAGTAGAGACGATTCTATTGAAGGAGGGTGAAATGTGTATTGCGAGTTGGTTTTTTGATTGGTGTTAGGAGAAAACTAAGGGTTTTTCATCATCGAGTAGCTTATGGCAACTGTCAGTAGAGGTAGTATCTCGTGTATATTTCAACTGCGCGTAGAATGTCTTATCACGATTTACCCCTGGCAAAAGTGCAACTATTAGAATTATCTAGAATACCCGAAACGGATGCGTACTCAGTTCACAAAGCATTACATGTCAAATCTATAAAGAAACTTGCTCCTCATAATCCAACCCGTTATGAAACACAGCAAGCTCATGTCGGACACAAATAATAACAGTTCCCTGTGATGTAATTGTCACAGGAGCGATTGCGACAGCACTGTGCCAAGGGAGAGGCACAAAGAAGTGCCTTGTGTAAAATTTGTCTGTGGCAGCAGTCTCAAGGCTGATTGAGCAGACCCATCCACTGTGCTGCAGGAAGATGAGTCGATCCCGGTGGACGCCCAAGAGGTATTTGTAGTCTGCCAAAGACCTTTCATAGGCTGTATGATGTGATGAGGATTCAGTCTCAGATGGACAGGGTTTGTACGCTAGGGTGTGAAAAGTAGGGGTCGCATTGGACTTAGAAATCATGTGTATGCCATGGCTGTGCAGCGGACAGAGAGCTTCAGAGATTGTATAGCCATCTTTGTTGGCACCAGATATCTCGTACGTAGACACCGATAAGCGCTCAAATGTTGTCCAGCTGAAGGTGTGCACGCTGCGCTCCTGAATGTGCATTAAACGCTCCCCTTGCGGATCGCTCACCCATTTCCCGGGTGGACTGGTCTTATCGCAGGGATACTCTTGGACCAGACGACCACTGTGCAAGTCCCAGACTGCATGGCTCTCAGTCATAGCAATTAGTAGCTTGCTGCCGTCAGAGTTCATCAGAAGTTGTAGTGGCCTTGACTTCACATCTTCGTTCAGGGATACGCCTTCAATCTCGAAGAGGCCTTGTTGTTGCTGAACAACCCTCCTGGCAGTAACCCGTCGACCTCTATCTATACAAGCAAGAACATTTTGAGCTGAATTCCAGGCCAGGAAGTCGATTGCGACATTCTGTGTCTGGATGAAAAGCTCCTGGGTTGGTTGCCCTGTCTTGATTCGATAGACGGCAACCTGGCCGTTCTCACGTCCACAGAATACATATTCACCCTTATGATGGGCGGCCATAGCCGAGATCTCGAGGTCATCAAGCCATGCAACGTCTTCCACCATTGTGGGATCTTGATCAGTTTCGCTGATATCAAAACCGGAATCGCCCAAAGAGGGTCGCTGCAGAAGGGCCGATGGCTGCCATACATTGCAATAATCACCCCGGACATCGAAAAGTCTCGTACCAGTGCTGTTGAAAGCCAAGGCCCGAATATTCTCTTGCTGCAGAAATACCTGCTTCAGAAAACTCAGGGTCTCAAAGTCATAGAGCTTGATGATGCCATTGCCAGTCCCCGCAGCCAGGATCGTGCCATCTGGGGAGACGCTGAGGACCGAAGCATCTGTATCTGCCGTGGCCTGCATGGTCAGGCTCACAGGATCGAAAACAATTGTCACACCGTCCTGAAAGCTAACGGCGGCCAACGGAATGTCAGGGTTCGGGTTAAAGACGAATGCGACAATTAGCGGCTCCGGATACAACAAGCGAGATCGATGGAATTGGCCTTCATATTCATATCCTTCTAGACCCCAGAAGCTGACGGGTCTCTGTCGGTAGGAAAGGCCGAGAAGGCCCTGGGCGGGGGAGAAGTCCGCATATATAGGAGGCCGTCGGTACCTATGCTCGCGAATTTCCTCTTCTTCCCAATCACAGAATTCGAACATGTCAAACTCTTCGCCACTCTTGACATCCAAAAGCAAGGCAGTATTAGCTTTAGTAGCGACATATAAGACGGTGTCATCTTCCCCAAAGCTCAATGCAATTGCCTCGTTCTGCATCGGAACAGACCATAGTTGTTCTCCGGTCATTGTGTTCCAGCAGCATATCTTTCTCCGACCAGCTGAGGCCAAGAATGTATCGACGGAAGCAAAGCTTAGACGGCGCACAGGTTCGCCGTGGTCAAGCTGGGCTTGCTCTTGGAACGTCGCCTCTTGGTAGATACATATCTTGCTGGTAGACAATCCTAGCGCGAGCTTTGCCCCTTGGCATGCAACAGAAAGGGTTCGTGAACCTGGAGTTACGATGCAACATAGCCTATCCTCCCACTGGTCTCGAGAGAGCCCAATCACCTGAAAGCGTCGATGGCTGGCCCTGGAAGCTCTTGAAATAGCTGATATTTTTGGGCAAACTGCAGGGAGGAGATAGTATATGGCACCAGGGCTAGAAAGCAGAGCGTGACCAAACATGGCAACCAAATGGACAATATCATTTGCCCATGTCGCGACATCTTGCACCTCGTTTCCGAGAAGACATTCAAATTCTGCTCGGTGCTCTAAAAACAGGTATATATTCTTTGCAGCCTGAATCAGTGGGTCGACATTCTGGGTCATTGCAACATGTTCAATCCACGCAAGTGAACTTTTCATTAATAATGTGCTCAAGATCGTCAAATGAGCCGGGTTGCTGGGCGAAGAACGCACAAGGTGATCGGAAAAATGTACAACTGCATATCTTGCTAACGGGGTTTGTTTTGCGCTGCTAGAGGGGGATGGTCGGGCACGACGAGAACGCGGTGACTTGAGTCCTTGACTAGACAGATAAGCCAAACATACTCCAAATATCTTTGCATGGTCCCTTGTCTCCATAATAGAAAACTGCGCGTTGTCGCCCTGTCGATAGAGATATTCCCGGACTGTCTGATGTGCTACCATGACGCGTGACTTAGCATCGACAGTGATCAAGTTACCGCAAATACTTCCTATCGTCTTTCCAAGCTGGTTGAGCGTCTTGCCAATATCTAGTTTAAGAGCCTCCTGTAACTCATCAACATGAAGAGGACGAAAGGCACAGAGTGTCCATCGCAATATCCCGCGAGCAATTTCTCCTGTCTCGGGAGTGGACATGACCTTCCGGAGAATCGATGCATACAGTTCGTTTATTTCGTCTGGACTGGAGACTAGGATGTCAGAGACCTGTTCTGCAGTGACTGCATCCAAGATTTTGTTGACCACGAGTTGTGTCCAAAGGAAGTTACCATTGGATCTCTCAATAATCTCTTTAATCAACTCATCACGTTCATGCTCACTCTCAGTCAAGAAGTGGATTGACTGGGCTTCAACAAAGAGTTTGATATCGCCCAAGGAGTCATCTCGTGTGATATCATCCGTCACTGTGAGTCTTCCACTTGAGATGAGGCGTTCTATACTTAGAGAAGGGCGACTGGTAAAGAAGACCCGTAGCGGAAAGCTTGCTTCCACGCTCGCAAGAAATGAAAAGAGGGGAGAACACGTTTCACACTCATCCATAGCATCAATCACCCAATATTGAGGCCTTGACAGTCGTGCTCGCAGGATTCTCGCAGTGAAAATGGCTCGCCAAATTGAACGCTCATCCTTGCGGTCAAACACGACATTGCTTTCACATAGTTCAATCAACCTTTCCCGGATCTCTTGGTTCGTTACTGCCATTTGATAGGCCAACGAACATAGAAGGCTGGCTATCTGAGACTTTCCTGCGCTACCATCTTTGAAGAAGAAGTAGGCACACTCTTTGCCTGATGCCTCAAGGTACTGGATGACGTATGCGGCAATTGTAGACTTGCCCGACGCCGGTTCTCCACGGAGCCAGTAGCATCTAGGGGACTGCTTCCCCTCCAGCCACCGTAGAAACAAGTCCTTGTCCGTCAGCCATGAACAAGAACCTTCCGTGCGATGCCCGATATTATTCTCGTAGTCGATCTCTGGGCTTTCCACAATTCCCAAAAAGCGCGATATAACCCCCATCTGGTCTTCCTGATCCTGGATTGCAGAGTAATTTTGAATGGCGAGCCGGGAGGCATTAATAGATCTTACAGCTGTCGCAAATGCATCTCTAAGTCGACAATAGTTACTGTCCGTCGGATCGTCGAATTTGCAAACGTTGGAATGGTCAGCGTCCAAGTGGCTGATCTGCTCGCCTGGAAGTTCCAAGATTGTCGACCACTTGTCCACGACCAGCCCAAGGATTGTTGGCTGTGTCTCGAAGAAAGACCACAGTTGGATGCCTTCATAGCTGTGACGGAACTGGTCGTTGATCGTCTGGATGACCTCCGAATATGGAAACAGACTCTCGACATACGGCTTCGACCCTTTACCCCGGACCAGTGACAACAGGGTGCTTAGCAATTTTGCCATGTCAGCTCCTCTGTGTGGAGTTGCCAGAAAGAACAGACTGTGAATCCGCGTCGCGATGTGGCTGTAGGTGGGATTGGTTTTCGCCAGGAGGAGGGCTTTCTTTATGACCAGGCCTCCCATACTATGACCTACTAAAACGATTGGTGTCTGATTGGCATTTTGACCCAACAAAGGTGAGGTGTGAATATCGCCTAGCAAGGCCTGGCCGAAATCATGGATGGTGAGGATACTGGTGCCTCGCTCGCGCCAGTTTGCATTGTACCCGAAGGAATGGATCCGAACATGCTCGAAGGAGGGCTCTCTTGGAAGCCATTCTTTGGGCCAGTAGTGACTCCTATTGGGCGTCTTGCTCCATGTTTTCCTTGACCCGCCTCCGAGACCGTGAACAAAAATGAAGTCTATTCGCGGCTCGGCAGGTTCGTGAAGAAGGCTCAGGCCAAAGGGTCCCCAGAAATCCTCCTTGAGATCCCCAATCTCAGTGTCGCTGGTGGTTGAGCTCGTAATCCGGCGGAATAAGGAACTTGCTCTTAGAGATGGTCGTTGACGGGGTGGTTGGTCCAACTTCTCAGGATAGAGGTCAATGCACGGATAGCTGTGACAGCGTGCTGGTGAAACTCACCATGACGAGCAAGTCACTGCGGACACCTCCTAGGGGTTTTACCAAGTTTCTTTAGTGAATATCGTAGCTAGTACTCCGTATGGTTGCTGGGGCTTACCACACGTCTAACCTCGCATGACACCATGTTGGGGGTGGACGTGCACAGCTCGAGCATGAGGCTGAAAAAGAGGGGTAGGCCATGGCTGCAGGCAATGGACAACTGGCACCCTTGACTGCAGCAAGAGGTGCGGTTTCGAGCAATAAGAAGAGGCATAGCCATTAAGACTAAAAGTTACCTAAACTATAGCGCAAATGGAGCCATGCCATTGGCGAAATTAGGCGCTTTCTAATCCCGGCCTCGAGTGGATGATGAAGCCGACTGTTCGCTTGGTTTCAGATGCCGCCCAGCCACATGACTGGCTAGCCGGTTCTACCTTTGCCAGTTGATTGCGCACATTGAGTGTACCTCACGTCAACGACAAAGACTCCGATGCGTTAAGCTGGTACAAAGGAAGATGACGTCCAGACACACCATAACTAACTTCTACCATCATATCACAACAAGAAAGTTGAACAGGGCCCAGACATGTCGACAGAGAAGTAAAGAGTCTGGACGCTTCTGATTTCGTGGTACCAAGAAATATCGCCAGGGTTCAACTATTATACTTTTCGACATTAATAGAATGCTGACCACCAGGACCCATTATGGTACTATACACATGTATACTTGTATCCGTAATCCTTATATTCTGGCCTCCTCCGGCTCCTGCCCAGCAGAACCATGCCGATCCATCTCCACATCATTACTCAAATTCGTGAAACCCTCCTGTCTGGGCTGCGCACTGCGAAGATTATACGTACTTGACATTCGCCCCACCTGGCCTCCACTATCGCTCCATGACCCGGAGGTATGGAACCGGATTACTTGTCGGAAACACGGAATGCAGGCTGTGACGATGACGAGACTTGCTTCGACGTTGCTGGAGAATATGTTAGTGGTCATGTATAGATGAGATAAATGAGGGGGGATGGAATGGATGGACATACATCCACAACACCATCTTCCCCAACAAATACGTCTCATCATCCTGCATCAACATGGGTATCGTTGCCGAGAGACGGAGAATACTCGTCACGAGTGATCTATTCCCACTATCAGCCAACCTCCCCCCCTCCCTCAACCCTCAGGAATAAAAGGAAAGGAATACATACAACCCCCCCAACCCAAACATACCCGCCAACCCGACCCTCTTCCTCGACGCCATTTTCAATTTCGCCACAATCGGCAACGGCATGCCCATAAGCACCACATCCGTAAAGATACTCGCCACCACGCCGGCCAAGAAAATCGGAGCGCGACTGAGACATGTTCCCTCGAGGGCCGGATGCCATGCTTTGGCGATGGGACGGCAGCTGAATAGGAAACAGCATTCCAGGACGAGCATGTAGGTGATCACGAAGGCGGTGATGGACCATAGGGTGAGACGCCATTTGCGTTGCATGTCGGAGAGCCGGTAGTAGAGGATTATTAGGGAGATTTTGGAGAACCCGAGGGCGGGGATGTAGGTTAGGGCGCCGGCGAGGAGGATCTATTCATTTTTGAAGCGTGTTAGTGAGGGTACTTGGTAGTGGAGGGGGGAGGGAGGGAGGGGGGTACTTGGAGGGTTTTGTGGTATTCGGGGAGTTCGAGGTTCCATTCGTGGACGCCGAGGCCGGCGTGGGAGTATCCATCTGGATGAGGTTGCTAGATTAGTGGGATGGCTTGATGATGTGATGAGGCAGGTATTCACATAAGAGTATTGATTGAGTGACAGCTGCAAAAATCTGTCCGAATTGATTAGATCGGCCTGCGGTCGAGTGTGCTGCATACTGACCCATGAAATCACAATGACGGCTAATCCCATTACCACCTCTGTCAGCCTGTGCTAGGCATCAAAAAACTTGCAAAACTTACCATCATCCAGGTACCATCTCCGCACAATCACCATCCGGGTGTATATCCTCACCAACAAACATAACGTACTGACCGTGACACCCACAATGACCACCACCAGATTCGCCAGATAGTAATGCTTGGCTGGATCGGTCAAATCCGGGAGTACCCCGGTTGGGGGTGCGATGACGCCCGTACCACTTTCCGTGGGGGCTGCAGTGCTGGTGGCGCTCATATCAGATCGATCATATTCCACCAGCAGAACCACAAACGAAAGAAAAAGCACAAACAACTAAACAAGCTTTTCTCCCGATTTCCCCCATCAAAAGAAAGAGAGGAACGGAGTAGGGAGAACGAATAATAAATACCATCGTCGGGGGGAGTCGCCTTAATCCCGAGCATCGGGATACTGGAACAAGCTAGGGATTAGGTCCTAGGGTCTAGTTCGTTAGCTTGATACTGGATTTTTTTGATGGATGCCCAATGAGAGATATAGATCGGTCGAGATGAATTTTGTGCCTGCGAATTGGCCATTTGTGCCTGATCTGCAGGAGCAATCGCAGTCTGGGTCGGTCAATCAGGATTCATCAATTCGCGCTTGGCATGGCAGAACTTCGGCGGAGAGCTTGAGATTAGTGGCATCCCGGCCGAAGGATTCGGGTTTGCCTGAAAAGGTGTTCAAGGAGATGCAGTGGTGGGGACGTTCCCGTCGAGGGTTGGATCTGCGGCGACGGAGGACTCCGATGACTCCTATTCTTTCTCTTAATGGTCCTTGTTACAGTTGACAGCGGGAAAGTGGAGAAATCACTCTTGTTCTTGTACATTACTACTCTGTATCCCTGTTTGCTTGTCTTAACTATCACATGAATTAAATCTCAAAAGCATCCCACTTCACCAGGCGAGACTCCCGTCGGCGCCGGCCAGACCGCAGTAATAGTTGAGTTCGTCGCCTCCAATATGTTGACCCTCGGACTTGCAATAGTACAGGAGACTCTGGTCGTTGAGTAGGGTGCAGTCCGGACACTGATCCCATTGTTTGCTGCCTGTGTTGCGGTTTTTGTAATATGTGCAGGCTGTTTCGGTGGCCGCCTTGTTGAAGACTTTCTATACATGATTCCGGTTAAGATGAGTGAGATACAGCGAGAATAGCTTGACTTACCACACCACTACCCGGTGAATCATAGCAGAGTCCAGTGTAATGGAGATCGGCCAGGGTGCTGAACGATGTTAGTGATGATGCTGGGAAGAGGAAGGTTATGTGTACCCGGTAGCCAAGGCTGTGATGAGAAAAGCTGCCAATTGCTTCATTGTGGTTCTGACTTGCTGGTGAGGCTAGTCAAGGGATTGACAGGACGGCCCTTTTAAATGATTCTGTTGTCAGGACTCCTGCCCCGACACTACTTCGTCCATCTCTATACAGCTTCAGCCATCTTCACGACCATCACCACATCCTGCCACGCCGTGTCTCCGAAAATACTCCGCATTAATTTTAACCACCATCAGCTGATCCAACAACGATGTCATTTTTGAGTTCTCCAAGACCAACCAGGCTGATCCCAACGGCCTGATGAAACGTCGCACAGCCTGTGCTCCAGTGTAACCTTGATTCCGGTTTCCTGATAGATCAGGTCTCAGCTTCCGTCATCTGCGCAACGGCCGAGATGTAGATCTAGCGGCGTGGTTGTCTCATCCTCCGCCAAGCCAGTCGATCCTTGGATATTCTGCTCGCATGCCAATGCGCCCCTGAACAAAGGAACAGGCGGGAGACAAATCATCTATTAAGGTTTGGAGGAATGCAACGGTGGGTTCAGCCCCGAGGCTGACTGGCCAACGGGTCGATCCGTGGCTGGGATTGTGGCCCGCTTTAGGGTTGTGGCGGGGCAGCGGATCGTGTCGACTACTCAATCCGGCCGATCTGTCTTGGGTTTCTTCGGCTATTTTTCGGAGACTCCCGAGATACCAACGTCCCTATCACTCCGTTCATGTCTTGGCTATAGTTACATGTCTTGGCGGTCTTCGCTGACAGTGTATTCAACAGAATAGTGATGCAGCTACATGGATATATAAACCTATCTTTGTGTCTCGGGAGTAATTTCCTCAACCCCAAACACCACTAGCTTTCTCCATATTGACTACCCAATTCACCATCATGAAGCTCCCACTTCTCCCCCTCCTCTTCACAACCCTCTCCTCCGCAGCCAATACCCTCTGTGGCCCAGACGAGGCAATCCTCATCCTCGACAACAACACCACCACCACCATCAAGAAAGCCGACATTGCCGCCTACCTCCCCAACGTCTCCTTCCTCCCCCCCAACACCACCTATCCCCCTCTCATCAACACCACCACCACCCCCTCCAACCACACCAAACGCAGCAGTTCCACCGAACTCATCATCGAGCTCCCCTCCCTCAGCTTCCTCGGCTGGGACATCGCCATGTCCACCGTCACCCACGCCAACCAAGCCGACGCCACCATCGCCATCGCGGCCGGCCAAATGCTCGCCGACAGCATCGCCATCGGCGAATCCGCCGACCTCACCCTCGTCAAGGATTTCCTCTCCACCAGTTACAGTCTGACGTACACGCACACCGTGACCAGCACGTTGACCGGCACGGTCACCATGACGATCCCGGCCAATAAGTGGGGTGCGATTGTGAGTAACCCGTTGACCCACCGGAAGCGGGGGTATGTGTTCACGGGGGAGCCGGGCAATGGTCAGTTTGAGTATTATCAGGCGGATTCGTTTGAGAGTGCGAGTTATAGTTATTCGGCAGGGACGTTGGCGTGGGTGAAGGGGGTTGTGACCACGTGTTTGGGGGATGGGTATCCGTTGCCGAGGTGTGAGGGGAGTGGGGTTTTGGAGTAAGATGATTCTATGATGTTGGGGGACTTCGCCTAGGATTGCTTATAGTGTAAGTAGTAGATGGTTATGTTTCATAGATGGCTGCACCTGCAATGTACCATTGAGATGTTTAGTATATAGCTGCATAGATGCGGATCCTAAACCCTATTCATTCCTCTCCGTTCTTACACTCTTGGCCACGACCCGCACATGCAGATAACCTTGGCGAGTGGGGAAGCTATCCCTGGATGGAGATCTTAGCTAATGAAATAGACACAGCTATACGGAGTATCTCGTATCTAAGCACGTGCTCAACTTTTCAAGACCTTGTGTTGATTCTTCATATGGCACCCCACTGGACTCTATGCTGATTTTCGAAGCCCCGCAATTGGTAAACTAAGTTCTTGCAGCTAAAAAAGTCAATGTGGGATCAGCTTGGACGGTGATAATGGTTTCAGAGGCATGGAATCAAAGCAGATGCATTATTATTGTTGGATATGGTAGTAGTCAACATCGCCCCAATAAGCAAATTAATGCCTGCAATTCAATGCCCCCTCTAGGTAATCATGCACTGTGAATAGTGAAGCTGTCGCTTCATCCATCTGGACAGGTAGTGCTGTTTCCCCTTCCCAATTCACATCGGCTATTCAAGTAGACATTCCTCCCACGCCTTTTATGTTCCACATAAACCCTACCCTCCTCCGTTCCCACCTCATCGTTCAACCCCCCATCCAAGAAAAGCATACATATATACCAAAAATACTTCAGAACCCTGATCGGTGGCCGACAGCCAGCTCAAAAGCCCTAACCAGCCATACCCTCATATCTCAGTCAGCACCATCCCACTAGGTTCCTATACGGAGCATGATCTCCGGCGGAGACCTATCCTTTTCTTTCCCTCGTTCTCTCCCCCAGCAACAACCTCTCTACCGAAACAATCCTGGTACCTACGTTATATCGGTCTACCTCCGTGCGTACAAGCCTGCCATGTTCGAATCTACCATCATGAAATTCGACCGAGGATGTACGCCTTGTTGTGGATAGTTTCAGATGCGGGAAATCTATTGACGGCTTTTACAAGGGTCTTTTATGGTAATGGTATCAGTTATTCCGATAGGGGAGGTACAGCTCGCTAGAGGGATTGATAAGTCATACCTGGCTGCACAGCACTGCGGAGAATATCAACGTTTGGCTGAGATATGTGGACTACCGCAATATTTGCCCAGGGGTTCCCCCCCGAAGTGGATATTCTGGACCGTGTCGACGAGCGAAATATACCACCAGCGGGGTACATATACGGGATATTATACAACACAAGACGGAGATTTCTGCCGATCATCTGAATTAGCGATACTCCATATCGACGGACGTTTTCTCATTCATCGAACGGCTAAATGCATCTTCATGCCCAACTCAACCAACCCTTGATTATTTAACCGAGGGGGGGGGGGGGGGGTATTATGCATCATGCTGGATACTTACTACAATTAGTGCCGAATACTCTCGACGCTAGAATTACGATTGAGAATATAAAGGAGAACTGGAATAACATTGTTTGGAGTTAAATACAAGGGGACTCCAAGTCGCCTAGATATAAAGGAATGTCCAGTGGCGTCTACCCTTCTGTTGAAAGGTCTATTCTAGAGAAATTCCGGACTTACGGGGTAGGGTTAGATTGTGCATACTCCATCGTTTCTATTACGGGCAAGATCTGGGACCTAGCCAAAAAGGAGTTGGCTTCCCTGCGCGGTGTATGGACTGGAAGTTCCAGTAGGCAACCTTTCTTTTTCTTTTTTTTTTTTCCTGTATATGTTTGATGACTAACATAAATGGTAGTGTCCTTGGCTGTTCCTCTGCAGACGACAGGTCTTGAGAATACCAAGTGTACTGTATACCTGCGGTCTAGAAACTTCCTGGATAAGGGTCATGGGCGGAAGAGATCAGCTTTTTTTTTCAAAGCAAACATATTAATGAATATGGGTTTATGCTGTATCAACATGAGGACATTCAAATAGTCCTTGCTAGAATTTCGCGAGATAATTACACTACCTGACAAATAATGTGTGATTGTTTTCCAGTGGCTATTCTACACTGCACGATTAACCCGAGTACTTTGTTTTATAATGACCCCTATACCATACACCCGTCTCCATTGCCTCCACGAATGTCCTTGAGAAAGGCAACAAGCAAAGATTATTGGTACCCCGAAATCGTAGTGTTTAGTTTGCATCATACATATTGAACAGTATGATTTTACCCCGTTCCCAATTTCCCCTGAACGATAGCGGAGCCATCAGGTTGCTAAGGTTCTATTTTGGAACCACCGGCCTTGGTGTATGCGGCACGGGAAGTGTACACGGCCCGAGATGCGCACTAATCATACGAAATATCGGGGTATTTTCGGGGAAAGCAATTCATCTTAGAGACATATACTCCGATGGCGGCGATGGTGCTCTGTGCAGGGAAGGTGAATGGTTACGTATTGGCTACAAGGTTCGCTGGGTAGATGTCCTCGGTAATCTAGATGACTGATGCAATATTGAGGTCCGAGAGGTTAGCTAATTTGCGAAATACAAGGTTTGCAGTGTTTATTGGCTAGGAGAGAGTGAGTGAAAATAAAGAAAGACACACTCGGTTTTTGAGCGCGGTAGGCCTCTATGTACAAACATAACCTGAGAACTAGAAAAAAAAGATCATGACAAGAAGGGGATTCGAACCCCTGCCTCTTTCGAGACTGCAGTGCGACCCAGATTGAAATCCGGATAAGCGAGGACACTTGAATGCAGCACCTTAGACCGCTCGGTCATCTTGCCTTGTATGGAATATAATTCTACGTATAATAGATTCAGGAGCGAATTAGATGGTTAAGAATTACATGCAGGACGCGATTCACTCCGTAGCCATTGCCGCATGTCAGGCACATCGATCCATGAAAGCAGACCCAGGTCATCTTGCAACGTGCCAAAACCATAGTCGGAGTCTGTCCAATACGATGAGTCTAATGCGAGTGGGCTGGTACGGGGGACGGTCGTAGGCTCATCCGGTGTAGAGTGTACACCGGAGTTCGGAACGTCTCCTGGAGCGGGCCGGGAAGAAAGCCGGCTGTGTGCCGTTTGATGGAAGGCGGCTTGTAAGAAGCGGAGCGAAGTCCGTGCCGACTGGCTAAATGTAGCCATGTGGGCGAGGACGGTTTCACTCTTCTTCCAGGATTCTTCGATTACTGTGGGATTGACCGAGTTTGATAGCGATGGGACCGAGGAGGCCAAAATAAGGACCAGGGCGCATGTGGACGCATCTGTTGTCATTAGTGTCTGTCACGTCTCGCCTTATAGCAAGGTCCTGAAGATTCTAGAAGGCGTGTCTAGGTATGTAAATGCATGGTATGTACTTACAAAACCCATTATACCACCAACCATCGGTAAATGGCGTCGAGTACGTCTCATATGTCAACTGAACCAAATCAATTGCCGTTGAAACACAGGTAGCTGCGCACTTGTCAACAATGCAGGATTGAAGAGAACTCTTTGCATCTCCCCAGGCTGGACACCTGCCTTGCCGGCTCGGAGCAGGTGAACTCTTATCTGAGCAGACTTGTGTGAAAAATGGCCGGTATAGTAAGAGGCGGATATAATAGTACCTAACACACTCAGTATTGATGATGACAGAGGCAGTCTGGTCATACCGTGAGCGAATAATGTTTCGTTGTCGAGCGAGAATAGCCGACTCGACAGGGTGCTCTCGCTCAGGGGTGACCCAGTTCAGGTCCAAAGGTAGACTGTCTTGAAAAGACTGTAGTTGTCGTTCCAAATCTAGCAGAGGATCGAAACTGCCCTCCGACCAAGACGTACATGTGTTCACACCCTCATTGGACCGGCCGCGCCACATGTTATACACATCTGACAGAACTCTATCCAAAATCCGATACAGCTCGATTGTTGCCACATAGAAGTGCAAAGGAGCATCTGCATCTGAAGCATCAGGCAACGGGATTGGGGCTAGATGGCTGGTCATGCTCGGTCGGCCGTGGGTCATGCTCACGGATCTAGGGAAATAGGTCAAAGGATGACTAGAATAAAGGTGGAAACACCTACACGTCTAACATCACGCAGCCATGCCATGTCCGCCGGCGAACTTCTGTTTCTAGAAACGTCATCGAGGATGGGGTCTTGGCTTCATGCAAGCCCAGGCCCTGGGCGAGACGGCAGGCCAGTCCGATTGCATTCCAGCATCTACTCGGGTAGGGGCTACTCTGCAGATATAGCGCCACCATGAGCAAGGCCTGAACGACCCCGACCGTATGGATCTCGAGCAGATCTAGGCCTACGAAGCGCTTCGAGCGTAGGAAAAAGGAGTGTGCGGTTGCCTCCCGCTCGTGGAGCGAAATGTCCGAAAAATGACAGCCAAGCGCAAACATCACATTAAGAGCGCAATGAAACACGATCGACTTGGGTGTGGAGTCAAACTGTCCACCAAGACCGATGTGCATGTCAGGTAGCTCATTCATCTCTTCCTTCCTCGATTTCCACAGATTTTCATATGCTTTCTCAAAGCTGGCTCGGTCAAAGAAGGGATAGATGCAGGCTATACGGTCCCAAAAACAGTCCAGGAGGTGATCTGCTACCGAGCGTGGGGGCAATGTGAAGTCATTAAGCTGAAACTGCGTGTTGGGCGATTCACGGAATTGATAGTGGCCTGAGTCAGGGCCAGCGCTGGCCGACGTGGATGACTGCCAAGGGATGGAAACGCGCGCGAACCTCATCAGGGACGCGGTCGAGGAGGATCCGTAAAATTCTCTGACCGGGGTCGGAGATGCCAATGCATGATCCGGTGCAGAAATTTGCCCCATGGCTGTGACATGGCCCGGAGTATCAAAATGTGGCGATACTGAGCTCGGTTCAGAGGGGATGTACATATGCCTTCTCCCTCGAGGAACATTAGAATCTGAGTTGCCTCGGATGGTGGAACTGGGAGTTGGACCCGCGTGGAAGGAACGTGACGAGCTCTGCTGATGGCTATGGCCTGCTTCTGACATTACGGGCTCCTGGACGGCCACATGCTGCTCAACGTCGGGAAGTGTGGTGATTGTTCGACGCACTTGATCATCGGCGACGGTTTGAGGACTTGACTGTTGATGTGGGCTTCCTGATTGTACTGTGTCCATACGAGAGTCTTTTTGGTATGCATCCTCACGGAGGGTTGGTGACGAAACTCCTGCTTGCAGACAGATCTCTTCTAGTTCAGTGATCCGCGAGCGCAGAACCCGGATATACCTGGACCTTTCGTCAGCAATGGCGAACACATTTTGAAACAGAACTTACTCATCTTGACTAGCCGTTCTGGGGTTTTCCATGCTGTATACACATTGCGCAATGCCATGGGAACGTCTCAGACACGACCCACAGATCGGTTTCTCACCATCGCAGCGGATCTTCTTCTCTCGGCATGCATCGCACGCTAAGGCAACCTTCCGGCGCGGAGTACGTTGCTTGGTAACACCATTCGATTTGGGGGGCATTTTACCCGGGTGAACTGAACTCCAAGTTCGATGCGATACCGAAGGGTTGCTCATGATGCAGTCGGTTGGTGTTGGCCGGTCAGGTGACCGGTACAAGCTTCGGAACGACCCGAGAATCTCGTCTTCCTTGCCGGTGGATCCGTGACAATGGGACTACGGTCCGCACCTTATTTCACCACGTGAAGCTTTTTCCTGCTTGCACTTGGGCGGTAAAACTGAGCGTATGTGTATATTACGTATCCTTTAGGTTGGAAATGACGGCTTTCACATATTCACCTCTAACCGGATAAAACGGCACTGCGAACGACTTTGGATCACATCCGGGGGTGCTCTGTTTGGCCGAATTTGGCCATCTTTCTCTTATAAAGATGGCTGTCCTCTACAGAGCTCACTCCTTCGACTCATCTCAATTATTCTGCGTCGTATACTATCTACTATCATGTCAAAAATCGATACACATCACCACTTTGTGCCGACGTTCTACGCCCAAGGTAAGCCGCAACAAGTTCCCTTCAACTTTTCTGAGGCTAGGTCACGCTAACCCAAATCTTGATCAAGCGGTCGATAATGCAGGAGGTGATCCATCGGGCTGGCCAACTCCCCAGTGGAGCCCCGAAGCATCGTTGGCATCAATGGAAAGGAATGGGACCCAGAGAGCCATACTGTCTCTGACTGCCCCCGGAGCTGTCATCGCCCCGGACACCATCAGCAGGCGCAACCTGGCCCGACAAGCCAACGAATATGTGGCTGGCTTGCGAGATGCGAAGCCGGATCGATTCGGCTTCTTTGCCGCACTGCCGTGCCTGTTGGACACCGAGGGGACTCTGGAAGAGATTCGGTACAGCTTAGACGTCCTAAAGGCCGAGGGCGTGACACTGTTTACTCGATACGGCTCTGGGAACCATTATCTTGGCCATCCAGACTTTCGGCCCATCTGGGAGGAGCTCAACCATCGTAAAGCTGTTGTATTCATTCACCCTACACACCCCGCCGATACCAACCGGGTCAACCCCAGTCTGCCTCAACCGGCGATTGACTATCCCCACGAAACTACCCGGACAGCCGTTGATCTCCTCACCACCGGCACCAAGCGGGAATTTCCCGACTGCAAGGTCATTCTATCTCACGCCGGCGGCACTCTTCCTTACCTGATTGCCCGCTTGACTACGGTCACCAAGTCCCCGGAGGCAACATACAACCCCTACAAGACTAGTCCAGTTGATATGATTGAAGACTTCAAGTCATTCTATTTTGATCTGGCTCTGTCTAGCTCCCCTGCAGTGTTGAATCTTTTGTTGAGCCTTGTGCCTCACGATCATATTTTCTACGGTAAGAAACCACCAAATGGTGATGGTATCAAAAGCTGACGTGAATGCTACAGGATCGGACTTTCCATACGCTCCCAACGAGAAAATCGCTGGGTTCAAGGAGACTTTGGACGAGCATCCACTGGACCAAGAATTGAGAGATCAAATCTACTTTAAGAATGCCCAGGTACTGCTCTCTCGTCTTTGAACGACGCACTTGCCGGTCTTCATTAGTGAAGAAATGAATGGGATATACGAAACCACACTTTTGGTAGCATGAAAAATATATCTAGCTGTAAAGGAGAACCTGAGCTGAGTGAAGAAACAGCCAGAGGAGAAACTCGTAGGGGACAAGCCATAGATTGCCGACAACACAGGCGGTCCTCATTAGGTTTAGTGCCTGTCAATTGGAGGTCTTCACCTTCGCCGGCTGATTCTCTTCCCAGCCACACACCATCAGAACATGAGCAGCCGTCCATACGAGTTGGTACTTTCGCATGATATCGTGGAGCAGATACTGAAGTAGCTTTCAGGCACTCTCTTGAATGTGGCACCATACATCAGACCACCCAAAAGACCACCTCCAAGCAGGAGAATAGAAAGAGGCCTGAACCACATCCGTGTCCTCTTCGTACCCTTCGCTCGCTTCAATAATTGATCAGTTGAACGGTATTCTCTTTCTGTGCAGGCACTAACCTTGAAGTCCCAATCCGACCAAGTGGGAAAGAGGCTGCGCCACCAGTAGTGGCCTTGGGTCCATGGATAAGTCATCGAGTTCCATCCTCTGTCATTCTTATACCACTGTATACCCCATCATATCCGGTCAGACCAATAATTGGCTGCCACACGAGGCGGTAATGAGATAAAGTTATAAATGAATACTCACTGACACACAGCCTACGCTCCAGACCTGCTTGCTTAATGCCTCCTGCACCTGATGAACATACACCTGCTCGGCCTCCTCCTTGATCTCCACGGCAGATACTGTGCCTTCCAATACGGGTTTTAAGATACGGAGAGCATAATTCACGGAGCTGTTGAGCACGTCTTGTTAGGGATTACGTGGAAAGGTGGAAACGTGATTCTTTTGACAGGAGGGAAATATACTTCTCTATTGCCATCAACGCAGACGTATGGCCGGTTGCTGCGTTCGGACCCGACAGCATAAAGAAATTGGGAAAGCGGTTGACGGCGGAACAGTTATACGCCGCCGGTCCTCCATATTGAGACCAGTGCTCGGTGAGGGTTCTTCCATCGCGACCAATGACATCGATAGACGAGACGAATTGGTTGGTCCGAAACCCAGTTGCCAGGACTATCACGTCTGCTGGGATGAGTCCTTGATCTGTCTCTATCCCCTCTGGGAGGATTCGCTCGATCTTCGCATTGGTCAGGGCGACATTGTCGTTGTTTAAAGACTGGAGATATCCACAGTCGAATACACGCCGCTGCTCTGATGTCATTACCTGAAGTATAATTGGTCTATGGATGGAGTTTTGAACCTTGCAGCCAACATCAAAGTCAGGTATGAGAATACCATGGTATTTGCCAGGCGCAACCGCCCGCATGTAACCATCCACTTGAATCCGACACTCCTGTCTCAGTTCTGCTGCAGCTTTAGTCATCGGAAACAGGCGAAGGTCCTTTTCAGCACGAATAAAAAGTCGCAAACGATACAGCCTCATAGCGAACGGAACGTGGCGAAAGGCCCATTGAAGGAACGGTCCATATTCAAAGTTTGCGGCCGGGAAAACCCATTGTTGCGATCGGATGATCTGGGTCAACGACTTGACTTTTCCTACAATGGCGGGGACGATTTGTGTAGCGGAACCTGCGGGAGTCAATGGAAGGACGACATAACTGCACTGATAAGAGTGGAGAGTCAAACACACATCCATTCCCTATAACAATCACGTCCTTGCCCTCTAGTTCGACACCATGATTCCATCGCGCAGAATGGAAGATCGAACCATGGAATGTTTCCGCCCCAACAATCTCACAAGGACGAGGTTCGACCAGGCGGCCAGTGGCAGCAAAGAGAATCTGACATTCATGTGTATAGAGTTCGGTAGTGTTCACATCCCGCATGTAGAGAACCCATCGGTCGGCTTCCTCCATCCATATACACTTGATGACTTCCACCGAATGTCTGATTTTGTCCCTCAAGCAATACTTGTTCAGAACGTCATGATGATATTGCTTGATTTCATCCCTTGACGGCATCACCTTGGTCCAGTTGGGGTTCAACTCGAAAGAGTAACTGTATAGAGCACCGGGAACATCACACGCACAGCCTGTTCCGTACAGTTCACTTAGTGAGGCGCACGGGTTCTAGGGAGGTAATTCATCTAGAGAGGGCAATCTGACAGGTGTTTGCCTGGCTGACTGACCTGGATACGAGTTGATGTGCCATGTCCCACCACTTTCCGAGTGCCGATCAAAGAAGCAGATGTCGTCAAACTTGTACCATCTCTGCAGAGTTGCACCAAGGGCAATCGCCGATAGGCCTGTGCCAATACAGGCGATTTGACTGTATGTTGGGGTTTCCGGAGGGTAAGACATTGTCAAACTGATCTGACTCTGAAGCGAATGCGCCACTGGTGTGTGGCAGCGGACTCCGCTTTCTATCTTATACTCATATAGCCCAGTTGCCTGTACTACTGACTGCGGTCGATCATCGGCTTTGGTTCAAGTGTGACCAGAATCCTACCGGCATCCGAACTGGGATAGGCTGGTTGTGGTTGCTTTTTAGATATGAGATCGACTCTGGCCACAAAATGCCCGATTACAACAAAAGTCGTGATATCATTAATATGGCCCGGAAATATCAATGAGTCACGCTCATCCTCCAACAGATCTTTATGGCCATGCAGGATATCCTGTCGCACAAGCACTGGAAGAAACATCTTGGCCTGATTCACTACTACAGCGAGATCTTTTGAAGTATGGCAGCGTTACACAAATTGCTTTTCAGGCGGGGATTCATCTGCTCGATAATTTGAAATTGCCAAACCTTATCCCATTAAGAAGCAATAAACACGAGCATTTGGAATTGCGTGTTTCAACAACATGGCTTAAAGGGAAACCGTATGGAGGGCCCGGAATGCACCCGTGCGATCCGATGGACCGTCTCGGAACCTCCCGCGGTAGTGGGTCGGTCCGCCCATGATGTGACGATCCCCGGGTGCGTTCCGAAGGTCCACATACTATGTAAATCTTCCACTTGCCCCAAGACACGCTGTGCCAAGTTTCGCCATGATTCTTCCTATCATTGCTTCTATCATTCATTGGATCTATCACAGAATTGACGAGATGACGGACCACGGACACGACTGGCTGCAGGGTAACCTTCTCCCGTGGTCTCATCGACCGACGGTCAACAAGATTGATACGCACCATCACTTCGTGCCATCCTTCTACCGCAAGGGTTAGTCCTCCCATCCATCACAACATCCAGACTCCAAACTAACCAAATCACCATTGCAGCCGTCGAAGATGCAGGAGGTATATACCCGACAACCACCCCCCAAGAACCCCACTAACCCTACCCCAGGCGACCCCAGCGGCTGGCCCACTCCCCACTGGAGTCCCCTCCGCTCCGAACTCCTCATGAAACGCCTGGGCATCCAAACCGCCATCCTCTCCGCCACTGCCCCAGGTGCCTGCATTCTCCACGGCCAAGCCTCCTACACCCTCGCCCGTCAACTCAACGAACATGCCGCCGAACTCCGCGACACGAACCCCGATAAATTCGGCTTCTTCGCCGCTCTGCCCGACATCCTCGATACCGACGCCGCCCTCGCCGAAATCCACTACGCCATGGACACCCTCCACGCCGACGGCGTCACCCTCTTCACCCGCTACGGATCGGACCACACTTACCTCGGCCACCCCCTCATCGAACCCATCTGGGCGGAACTGCATCGCCGGAAATGCGTGGTCTTCATCCATCCCACCCACCCCGTCGACACCACCAAAGTCAATGACAAAATGCCCCAGCCGGTGATCGATTACCCGCATGAGACAAGTCGCACGGCCATGGACATGATCCTCATGGGCACGCGGTCCAAATATCCCGACTGCAAGGTCATCCTGTCCCACGCGGGCGGGGCCGTGCCGTATCTGATAAGTCGATTAGCGACGCCGCTGCGGAAAGCGCCGAGCTTTGCGTCCGAGTGGGTCATGGGGACGTCGCATGAGAAGGTCATGGAGGATTTTCGAAGCTTTCACTATGATCTGGCACTGTCGTCGTCGCCGCAGGTTCTGGATATGTTGTTGAAATTGGTCCCGGAGGATCATATTCTTTATGGGGTGAGTTCCTTTCCTCTTTTTTTTTAGATCTATTGCGTGTTCTTTGTTGTTGAGACGGAAGGACCGTGTCTAACCGGTGATTTAGAGCGACTTCCCCTACGCACCTATCCCAGCATACCCTGCCTTCCTCGAAGATCTAGAGGGGTATGAAATGCCGGCCGAGTTGCGCGATAAGATCAATTTCGGGAATGCGTGCAAGTTAATTCCACGACTTGCCAGGAATCAGGGATAAGTGACAGACAATGGAGCCTATGCTGTATTTAGTTAGGAAAACACGTCATGATTTTGCAAGACATTGTCGATCCGACATCAGCAAGAACATTCATATCGATACAGTGATGTTAAGTTGAACGTTCTATTCTACCGTAAAGTCTAAAAAGAACCCTGACATACATTGGGAGATCCCCAAGCGAATCCAGCTGAATGAGACCAGAAAAACACCAACAATCAAGACAGTCTCTGATAATCGATAACCGACCACGGCATTGCCCTCCGCTATAATCTGAGAAAGAAATGAAAAAGAAAAAAGAAATCTTTTCTTTGTCCCCAACCGCCACTAATGGAGACCCAATATGAAAATACCACCAACTAGAGACACAAATCCACCAGGTAAGCCTAGTACGGCTAGTGTACGACTTTGCAGCATGTCGTTAGGTAGATCCCCTTGGGATGTGGTCTGCTCGACTGAGGAGAGAGGGAGATTGTCTACCTGACCAGGAATCAAGATCCGAACGTGCTCGATCCCTGATAGTTGCCATCACAAAGGTTTCACGATAGCAAGGCAAAGCAAGATGTCATTAGAAGATAGTAAAATAGAGTACACCCTGTAGCTCACAGCTAGCTAGATACCCCAAACCCAGGGGCAATACAGCCCATCAGTACTTCGAGCGAACACTGCCGTAGGACACTCCGTTAAACTCTAGTTCAAACAACAAGGAGGCCGATGTAGGAATCAAGACCAAAGTAAAATCAATCTTATAGTATTCTACTCCCTTGGAGTTGCATCGTTTTTCAAACAGATCGCGGGGAATTTTGCGGAGATCCGCTTCTAAGCAGCAGAGTCGGATTGTTTCTATCTTTTGTAAGTATCAGGCTACATCTTCAGACGTGATGAATTGTACCTCTGTCTCTCTCGTCTGGTGGGTTATCAGAGTTACAGAACATAAGCTGTTCCGTGAAGAGTAGTCCCCTGGTATCCGTTATTCCGACTGTACGGAAAAATGGCACTCTGATCGGATCATTTTCGGATATTTTCGAGAACTAGATTATTCAGTTTAGTCAGCCCAAGAGGTAGAAATGAGGTAATACGATTGGTTGGCAAGCACCTTCTTAATGTACCATTCCATTTGGCCCGTAGCCGCGTACCTCTCCAGATGATTGTCCCAGGTCATGGTTTCCGGGCTATGCTTGCCCTCGATATAGTGGGTATTGTACTTGATGCCGTAACTGCGACGGGCAATGCGACTCTCTACCTGATTGCCGTCAAGCCCACGATAGACTGCGCCACTGGTTCTTATTAGCGGGTGAAATGCCTGAGCACAAGCAATCAAGCCGGACCTTACGACTGCGGACCACCTGCATAGCTGAATTAGTCGTCTCCCTTCCAGTAGAGTCGACCACTTACGCGTCAGGGGGCTGCAAGACAGTCACACCAGGGTTCATTTCCCGCAAACGGTGAAAAAGAAATTGGGAAGAGCCAAAGCCCCCGACGAGAATGATTGCCTGAGGAATTGCAGTTAGCCATGAACTTCCTCCCCTATCGAGAACTTTCAACAACCTTGGGAGTGAGCTTTGACTTCTTGATTCCCTCAACTTGCTCGGCAACAAGCGATTCTACATCCCGAAGAATGGGCTCAAAGATGTTTGCGATGCCATCACTGGATACTCTGAGAAACCCCATCCCTCGCAAATTTTGGAGGTTATTCACATACCTAGTGAGTTGGAAAAATCCATCTTCTATTGGAATCAATGGGTCATCGCGCGCTCCTGGGACGGGGATAAAGTAGTCAATGTCCGCATAATCATCATCATACTTGCCCACGTAATTAGGCTTCACTCGATCTTGCCAGTAGGACAACACGGATTCTCTGGCATTGTCGGATAGAGTGGCGTAGCCACCGAGTCCCGTTCTTTCTTTAAGCAATGCGTCAAATCGTTGATCCAACAACATTGACCCACAAATGCGGCCTAAGCAGTCGTCAACATCCAACCTCCAAATATTCACGGGTGAGTAACATATGAGCATCACATACCTGCTCCCTTCACTACCTCCTTAAGCGCCAGAGGCTCTAGTTCTGTAATCTGGTACGAGATAAGATCCTATGCGAATCAGCAACAAGACAGCTGTAAAGTAGTGTGATTCAGGCTCACCACGGTCCCACCACCGGCATCGCATACGATGAATACGTCATTTTTCTGCAAAGGTTAGACACCCGGCGATAGAGCATGTTGTAATATACCAAAGGCCCTTACCGAGATTGAGTTCGGTTGGGTGGCGCGCAACGAGTAAAGAGCAGCAGCCTCTGGTTCCGACACAAGAGAAACATCCTCCGCGGGGATTCCTGCCTTCTCCGCAGCCCGCAAGGTATTGTGCTTGGCCTTGTCACCCCAAACCGCTGGGACTGTCAGGACGAAACGCATATCCATGGTCTTTGCGGCAACTCCAAGTCGTCGCTCAAGGGTCTCTTGGGCATGTCGAACCAGATGTCGGATATAGTCCGCTGTCACCTGGACAGCATCTGTATCGTACTTCTGGAGCAGCTCCTTAGAGACCAGAGAGGGGGTGTACTTTGTTTCCTGGTCTTCGTCAAGAAGGAGCTTGATGCCATGGAATGCCTCGGTGAACGTTCGAACTTGGTAGCCCCAGGTGGAGGGTTGGGTTTTGTAGGATACGACTGAGGGGACTTTCACGGATGTTCCTTTGTCCCGTCAGCAGGATATTTGTCTTATTGTGACTTGAACATGTACATACTGTTGCCTCCCCCGGGCCAGGTGGACATCACTTCAATGTTGTCTGTGGATCCTTTGAAGGCCCATGCAATCCTAGTCCCGTCAATATGTATAGTAGAAGCTTTTTGAACGTGTGCAGACCCGCTGAAGGTCGTCCCAAAGTCCAGACCAACGACAATGGAGGGCCCTTCTTCCGACATGTTGACTGTGTCTCTGGTGGAATAGTTGGGTAGTGAGCACTATCGAATCCTTGTGTTGTATATTTTGCAGCTTGGTCACACCTTGCTTCGCTGCCACGGGTCTTTTCCTTTCCTAGAATGAATCAAGTTGGAGAAAACACTGCCGGGGGCTCATGGGGGAAGGTTTCGTAGCGAAAATCGTGAGAAGATTCTATGACCCGGCGTGGCCAGGGTAGGTCGGAACCAGTTGGGTCCGGAAAGAATGGCGTAAGTTGACCGAATCAACAGGGTCAACATGCCCTAGGTGACAGGTATTGAATATAATAGACGGAAAGGTGGCCAGAAGATCACTCAAATCAGTGAAGGGATTGTGTATCTATGCGAACCATGGTCAGGAGGAAACTGTTGGGACCCACGTGCTTGGCATCATTCAATATGGTCCTCCACTCAACCGGTCAAGAGTACATGACGTAACAAAGACTCGATGTCTCGGTGGTTCCTCCCTTTGCCTAGTGATAATAGGGTGACGGTGACTCCATTTAACCATGGCAGGCTGAAAGCTGTCGTGTTGCTTCGCAATTATTTCCAACAACCTACAACGAGTTGCATGTGCGCTCTTGATAGGGAAAGGCTATACTGTTGAGAATGGTCTTTCTCAACCTGCGGTCCTGGGGACGCCGAGGACTGTTGTCCCCAGGTAAGGAGCAGAGGCAGCCTCGTGCCAGGAATGAGTCGCTTCTCCCTCCATCCTGGATCGGCGAAAGGCCTGCCAGACTGTCAGGCGTTGCAATTAAGGCGCCCAATCGCTTACCTATTGATGAGAATGCATTTGTTGACGAGACAGCCCCAGAGGTGCAAGCGGGAGAAGAGGTCAATGATAAGAATCGCGCGCCATCGGATAACGCTGAGGACTTATACGATGAGCATGAGCAGATGACCGAGGTATGTAAAACGGATCAATCCCTATGACAATGATATTGAGATAGATAGGAAATTCTCTCTCTTCGACAGCGAGTCAAAGGGCTGAATAAGCATATAAAAGCAGCGACTGCTGAAATCAAGCAACAGAATCGGCTACTACTGGAAACACGTCGGGAGCTAGAAGAGCAGCATTCAGCAGCCACGGAAAAGATCCAACAATTGACTCGCCAGCTGGAAGAATCCCACAAGGAGCATACCAGGAAGCAACTAGCAGACAGAGAAAAGTCCGAACAGCAAGATTACCTCCTGCGCCAATCGCGTGAGGAAGCGTCAGCAAGTGCCAACCGCCACCAGGAGGAGCTGAATAAGCTATATCACAAGCTCAATGCACTGCAGAGTGGGCAGCAGAGTTGGGGAGATGATCAAATTGTTGAGGCTATGCGCAATTTGAACCAGAATCTAGATCGTTGGGTCAAAGCCAACTTCAAAGATGCTACTAAGTTGGAGTCGTGGTATGAGTCCGATGGTTGCGGGTTCCTGCACCGCTCTTCCCAGCGACGGGCCTATATCCAGTCATTCATCTGCAGCTTGATCTACACCTAAATATTCTTGCCCTACCAATTTGGCCTAGACAATGACCCATGCGGCCAGTTTCTCTGCCAGGTGGAATCTTGTGTTAGGCAACACTGTACGTGCTCTTCGAACATTATCCTGTCTATCAGCCCGCTCAATAGCTCCAGGTTCCGAGACAGCGTTCCACACCTGGAGGATTGCTACTAGCATGGCCATAGAAGGGGGCACAAAAGAGAAGTGCGAGACTGCATTCGCCGATATCATCCAGACTGTCGAGGGTCGATTCGGTGTCTTTTGCTCAACTGACTCTGAACCAAGAAAGCGACAGCTCGAAAAATTGTTGCGCAAATGTGCAGATTTCAAGGTTACTTTGAGCCGGCAGAAACAGGCCTTCTTCTTCCACTGCAGCCCCGCTGGGGTGGAATTTTCCCTTCCGTTCATGACTTTCGGTGGAGGAGACGGACAGCCAGCCGGCAAAGTGAGATGGTCACTGTGGCCGGCCATCATGAAGTGGCATGACGATACTGGCAGAGATGTTCTAGAAACCGAGCTGGTCTGGACTATGGAGTAGCTTCAGCCAGCTACAAGCTTGTCAATCATCTCCTTCTATCACGCCGAACCACTCTGTAATATGTTGTGAAAGAGAAAGGGAAATTTTCATGTGTTTAATATTGACAGCCACGCAATCTCATCCTAATTTAGGGCTTCTAATCTCAATGTGACCATATCTCATTATACAGCCTCCAGATATTGGTAATTGACCCCCAAAAGTTTGATATGGAAGAATACATACAAGCTTAATATCATACCATGCATTCACACGTGCTCGAGTAAGCCTCTCTCTATATCCAGTTAACCCACTCTTCCCCTTGACCATTTCCAAGAGTGCGTCGGGGCTGAAGTGAAAGTCTCGACAGGTCTTTGTTTGACATCAAGCAGCAACCAAGTTTCATCCTGTGGGATTCACCGTTTCCTTTATACGTACGGCTGTTCTTCCAATCACTTACATCAAACCTGGCCACTCACCCACTTCACTAGCACTTTTGTGAGGAACGGACTCCTCCCATAAATCTCTGCCGTGAACAAATTTAGATGCGATGCGCGTTCTAAGCCACTGGGCTTGGAATTCTGTCCTTTGCTAGATAGCTGAATTGGTAAGCCCTCTTATCGGCTCCCGCAGCTGGTATTTTTCACATTAACGGCGCAGTTATTTATCTAGTGGTTCGTAGCAACGGGCTTCGCATATATAGTCCAAGGCTCAAATTTTTAGCGACGCTATCAAGTGATATTGATCTAAACTATGAGTCAGTCTAACATACTTTCTCTTTTCACATATTCTTGTTGGTATGGAATAAAATCGAATAATCAGCTGCATGAAGAAGCCACCATGCCCTGAAGTTTGATTAATCATCTCCGTAATTACGTGACAGCGGGGGTGGGAAGAGGCGTCGTGAGGCCTACATAACATGTGAGGTGGGAGGTCAATGAATTTAGAGGTGTTCGACAGTAGAAGAACCAGAGTAGTTGAAGCAGAGGTCTACTAACTATCGTAATCTTGTTCTATTAGTCACTCTTCCCCACGATCGACAGAAGGGGGTCTCCAATACCTGACGGGACTAGTACGCCGTTTACACCGATACGGGCGTGATATGGCCATCCGCATCATCCTGCTGATCTGACCAACTTACACTGTCAGCTTCTTGCCTCTCTGGATGTATTGGCATTCGTTGAACCAGGCTACACAGTCAGAATAATTATCGGTACAATTGGTGTGCTATCAATGTCCTTTAACACCGACCAAGGATCCTTGCGTCCCCGACCACCTCCCAGTCGCCGCCGTGATAAGCCCCAGCTATCATGCAACACCTGTCGACGTCGCAAGTAAGTCTCCTTATGCTCACCATTTAGTAACTTCGTCCATACTAATGATATATGCTAGGTCCCGCTGCGATCGTCAGCATCCCTGCTCAAGTTGTGCATCGCGAGGAGACCTGTGCGTCTATGCGGACAACCAGCGGTCGGCCCGCTCCCATGCAGCCCGCCAGGCAGCCGTCCCGGAGATGCAGGATCGGCTGGCGCAACTCGAACGCCTCGTGCACTCGTTAATGCCTGACTCCGCATTGCCCCCCGACACTGCGCAAGAGTCACTCTTGCTCAATGGTCAATCCGAAAGCGGCAGTATGCGCGTGAGCGCCTCCGAGTTGCGCTACGTCGGTGGGGACCACTGGGCGGCCATTCTCGAAAATATCGCAGAACTCAAGGATCATTTCGATCGCGAGGAAGAGCTGCAACTTACGACCAGTCCTGATGATCCCCCTGATCCGACGCATGCGCTTCTCCTGTATGGATGTCGGCGGGCGACATCGCGGGAGGAGTTGCTGGAGGCGCTCCCTCCCCGGAATGTCGTGGACCGCTACCTGTCGCGCTACTTCAACCGCATGGATCTGGTTTCCTCTAGTATGTTCCCCTGCATGACTGCGACACTCATGCACTGACCCTTTCCTCGATAGGCGCAGTCCATGGCCCTACCTTTCAGCGCGAGGCAAGTTGGCTTGATTCGATCCTTGAATGTAGACGCAATGCTAACAGACTCAGTACGAAGCCTTCTGGGCGGATCCGCTCAATGTACCTATCATGTGGCTGGGCCTGCTGTTTAGTATGATATGCTTGGGTGTGCAAGCCTCGGATGCATCTGCCGCCCTTAGGGAGCTTGAGGCCAAACAACAGACGCTCCAGATCGAAACATATCGCGAAAAGGTCGTCCAGTGCCTGTTAATGGGCGAGTATACGAAATGCGGCCCCTATGTGCTTGAGACAGTTATCCACTATGTGTACATTGAATTCTGTCTTCACCGGGATGCTGATCAAGACATTTGGTTTCTGCTCGCACTCGAGGTAAATCTGGCAATGCGAATGGGCTACCATCGGGATCCCAGCCACTTTCCCGATCTCACCCCTTTACAGGGGGAAATGCGGCGTCGGCTATGGGCAACAGTGCTTCTCGGCGACATTCTCATATCCAGTCAGATGGGCCTGCCACGCATGGTCCCGGACTCAAAGTGTGACACTGCTGAGCCACGCAACCTCAATGACGATGATCTAGACCAGGATCTCGGATCAGAACTTCCCCCTCCCCGACCGGAGACTGAGCACACGATAGCGATGGGTATTATCGCGCGGCGCCGCATGCTGATCGCTCTAGGTGAAATCAGCGATGCAGCAGCTGCTGTGCAGCTGTGTCCGTACGCGGAAGTCATGCGGCTTGACCGCATCCTACACGACGCCGCCTCTAGCCTCCCGCCGCCGCTGCGGATCGAGTCAATGGCAGTAGAGTTAAGCTTCACCGACAGTCCGCAGGTGATTATGTCTCGCCTATTTCTCCGCCATCTGTTCTACAAGGGTCAGCTAATGCTGCATCGCCGTTTCCTCTTCGCGGCCAAGCCAGGAGGGCAGATGGACGCGTTTGCCTACTCGCGTGAGGCATGTATCAGTGCTTCGCTCGGTGCCCTGGAGCTCCAGCGCGTGCTGGATGAAGAGACCTCCCCGGGCGGACAATTGCAGTCAATGCAATGGCGGGTGACATCCATTATAAACCACCAGTTTCTGACAGCAACGATGATCTTGTGTTCCCTTCTGCACCGCGGTATACCCCTATCGCAGGGCGAAGAAATTCAGGGAGCGCTGCGACGTGCACGTACGAGCTGGATGCGCCGTAGTGCAGCCTCGCGCGAGGCCAGCGTGGCGGCAGAAACTGTGAGTATTCTGTTGTCGAAGAATGCCGGCGGACTACATGCAACTGGGCCTCTCGATGAGTCCTCGGTGAGGGTGCTTCTAGAGGAAGAACCGGCAGTCCCAACTAGTGATGGCGATGCCAACGCGACCGGGGACCGTAGTTCCGCGATGGCTCTGGACTCGAGGGCTTTGGTTCCACAAGATCTCCCCTGGCTGACTGACTATGCAACGGCTGAATCTGACCCTTCCTCCTCATTCCTAGAGGCACTGCGAGGGAGCCGACCGGATGCCTTCCCGTTCGAGATCAACGCATCATATGGGGAGGTGGAGGGGGAAGATGAGTGGATAGAGATGGTTTGGCCGGGGATTGGCCGGTGATTCAGTCCTTGTCATGCGAGTTAGTCTGTAGATGAGAGGGGCGGAGCTTCGAATGCATATATATCATCCCAGCGGGATAGTTATTGCGGCTGACAAAGTGATAGTGGTTCTATTTAGAGTGACATCAATGGGTTAGCATGATATCAGGAGAGGCAAATTATACATAGCCTTAGACTACATACGATACCGCAGACTTGAGATAGCGGAGCAGAAAGGTACGAAAAAAGCAGATCTGTGGCGGCTATGGAAAGAGATGTGATAAAAGTACAGCTGGATTTGATGATTGTCGATAAATGCAACAAGAAGAGGCGGAGGTAGAGTGACCGGCAAACAAGAAGTGAATCCAGCACCTGACCGACAACGAAATTCGATCTCCTTATGCGCTACGGATCTATGTGTGCCTGACTGCCTGTCCCTGACGCTGGAAAGGGTGGGTCCGGGCAGACCATTCTTTTTGTGACTAGATTTTCCTTGGTTGGCATTGCGCGGAGTGGCTACCTCCTGGTGGATGCATTTCCTACACATAAGGCCCAATGCTCACATTTAAGCTTTCACATCCACCCGAACATGGGAGTTGTTCCTGTCCGATGCACTTCATCCATGGGGCATAAGGGGCCACCCGCACACCATCTCCCTCATCATCGTCCACGCCATACCTGTTCCAGTAAATCAGGGTTCTGGTCTTTTCTCAAGTGTCCTATCCTGGTCCTCGGAGTCGCCTCCTCCCGAAGCAGCATAATGGCGAGTACAGCGATCCTTTCCATAATCCCGTCAGGTGCGATCTGGTTTTATAACCAAGATGACTACCTCAACTCTCATCATCAATCCATTCAAACCTCCATCTGCGATTTTCTAGTTTTCTTATTCTTTCGTACACTCTCCAGCCGAACCACAGGACAATCCCAGCCATGAGCAATGCTCTAGAAATGATCCCCAGCGGAGGGCCTCCTGGTTCTGCACCAGAGAGTCGCCCAGGTAAACAGCAGCAGACCGAAGAATACCCCCCAATGGCAAAAATACTCCTTATCTTGCTGGCGATATACATTGCCATGTTCCTGGTCGCTCTGGTGAGCGATGAACAACCGCTTTCTGACTAATAGGGCCAACAGACTGACTTGAACTCCGAACCAAACAGGATCGCTTGATCGTGGCGACAGCAACTCCTCAGATCACCGACCACTTCCATAGCACCAACGACATCGGTTGGTATGGAAGTGCCTACATGTTGACATCATCCGCCGCCCAGCTCGTTTACGCCCGCAACTACACCTTCTACCCGACAAAATGGGCTTTTCTTTTCTCCATCGTGATCTTCGAGATTGGTTCCGCTATCTGTGGTTCTGCTCCTACCTCCCTCGCGCTCATCCTGGGCCGCGCTATCGCAGGCTTGGGGACTGGAGGTATCTCCTCCGGAGCTGTCATCATCATCGCACTTACGGTACCTCTGCACCTGCGGCCGGCATTCCAAGGATTTGCGGGTGCTATATTCGGTATTGCCTCCGTACCCGGGCCAATCTTGGGGGGTGTCTTCACTACAGAGGTCAGCTGGAGATGGTGCTTCTACATCAATTTGCCTTGTGGTGGGGCCGCACTGGTTGTCATCTTTTTCCTGCTGGATGTTCCGCCGCCTAAGAATGGAAACTGGACTCTAAAGCAGAAGATCGATCAGCTCGACCCAATCGGGAACCTCTTTATGGCTCCTGCTGTGGTCTGTCTGCTTCTGGCCCTCGAGTTGGGTGGTTCCAGCTATAGCTGGAGCAACTGGCGCATCGTCTTCCTCTTCATAATGTTCGGCGTTCTGTTCTCGATTTTCATCTTCGTCGAGCACCGCCTTCAGGAAAGGGCAATGGTGCCTCCCCGTATCTTCAAACAGCGCTCCGTCCTTGCAGGGACCGTTTGGACCATGTGCTCCAGTTCAGGAATGATGGTCATGCTTTACTATCTTCCCGTCTGGTTCCAAGCGATTAAAACCGTCGATGCTGAAGAATCCGGGATCATGAACCTGCCCCTTGTTCTATCCATGGTGGTCGGCTCCATCGGTTCCGGCATCCTCGTCACCCTGCTCGGCTACTACAACCCATTCATGTTCGCCGGGGCCTTCTTCATGGCCATCGGATCCGGGCTGCTGACCACATTCCATCCGGATACCGGCCACTCAAAATGGATCGGATATCAGATTATCTTCGGGCTGGGCCTGGGTCTCGGTGTCCAGCAGGCCAACATTGCCGTGCAGACCTGTTTAGCGCCAGCCGATATTCCACTCGGTGCATCGCTCCTCATGTTCTCGCAGCAGCTGAATGGGGCTATCTTTCTGGCGGTTGCGCAGACTCTCTTCTCAAACTTTCTCGGCTCCAATTTGGGTAGCATCGAGGAAATAGATGCGGCGCAGGTCATTGCCGGTGGTGTGACTGCCATCCCAGAATTGGTGCCTGCTGCCAAGCTGGCAGAGGCCCTTGATGGGTACAGCAACGCTATCACGAAAACGTTCATCCTGGCTGTCGCCATGTCTTGTCTGGCTCTGCTCCCGGCCCTCGCGATGGAATGGAGAAATGTCAAGCGCCCTACGCAAGCCCATGAGATTTTGGAAGAAGAGATGCAAAAGAGTGCAAACAAGGGATAATTTTCTGGATATCAATCTTGTCTGTTCGTCCAACGTCAGGAGCTGGCAGAACCCTTCCTATGCTCTAGAATTTAGTGTACATACATCATCTACCATATAGAACATCAGTATAGAACCCATAACCGAAGATCTTCTCATTTCCACTAAGATCGTTCCATAATGAGGTGCAAATCGGTGTAGGTCAGGTGATATAGAACCGGCCGTAAGTACCTCTTCTTACACGGCGTCCTGTTCCTTCGTCCCATCACCTTCAGTCGCAATGTCATCGCTCCATGAACTCTTCCAAGCCAACAGCCATACTTTATTCGATACAAAGCACAGGCTACGATATCGCTCACGACGGACTCTATGGGCTTGAACTTTCATTCTCGTAAGTGTACTTTTGCTCAGCCTTGTTATGCATCTTGCCTCTTCCCGGTGCGCACAAGCCTTATGAGTGGACTACGGAGACCGCTAGCCCCGCCTCTCCCAAATCCCACCACAGTGGTTGCAACGAGGTTGAACTATGATTCAGTGTGCCTTGCAATCGGCGCTTTTTGCCTAACTGTGAATGAGTTACTGAATGGACTCGAAGTTTTGTTCACATGAGAGGCTGACCCTTGCGAAATCACTAGGACATCCCTCTTCCAGCTCTCGATTATTCCGACTTAAACTCCTCTCAGATATTAAAATAACAGTAGTCGTGCGAGAGTAGGGATGGTGACCGAGGTGATGGAGAGAATTCCCTAGGCGCAAGGCTCTCGATAGTTCACGGATGACAGGGTATCGCTTGTGAGGCCCGAGGTTGTCGCATATACTACCAAACGATAATTCATGGGCGTCTTAGGCGGCATGAGGGATTAATTGCAGATCGAGCGTCCAAAAGATCATGTGAACGAAAAGGACGTCCCCAAATGAGCGCATCAAGCTTTGGAGAAAGGCAGGGCATGCAGGGTATTCCATAGCCACGGCTGAGAGAGTGCCGGCTTAGCAGACAGTCTGAATGGTCGGTCAGCCTAACACAATTGTCTACCTTGTTGCTGGTATCGATGAGCGCACTGCTGACCATGTAATCTATCACATGGTCGATGATGGGCGTTTACATGCGTCCAAATTCACGCTACCGACTGAGACATCGAAGGAGAAAGTATCTCAAAAGCGAAGCGTAAGCGCCGTCCGGGAGGATCTCGTTAAATTCAGCGTGATGAGTGGACCGGACGCAGGGCGTTGGCTCCGGGGAACTTCCAACAGCAAAGTTCCAGGTTTTTTGGAGCTAAGCGGCCGAGGGATCGTCGGGGCTGAACCCCGCCCACCCACGCAGCGAATGTGCTGCCCCCAAAGTAGCCGAGATAACGCTGGTGGGCGTTACGCCAGAACGCCCCAGCCAGCCGGTGCGGGGTTTTGGGCGGTTAAACCGTATCACCATGCATAAGGCGATGCATCGGAATGGTCCCATTGATCGTCGGTGTTCCGAAGTTTGCTTTTAGCTGCAGTAGCGTCTCCTAGTTCTGAGCAGTTGGCGCTAAAGTCTGGCTGTCAAGTCCAAGCAGCATGTGGCACAGTGAACTCGCAGACAGGGATGAAGACGCGATAGTATCATCGGATTGATTTGTTGTCCGGCCCACCCGCTTTCCATCCAGTGTCTCCCGCGAAGGCTATCAGCTTATAAAAGCGGAAGCTGCCCCCATTGCCGACTTCTCTGTCCACATTGCTCAACACACTGATAGTCCAAGTGAACAATCTCTTTCTCTCAAAGGTTAATACTTTCGTGATTAGCATTTCTCAAGCTCTCCCAACGGACCTCTTCACGTTATGTTTGGTGCTTTTCGCTGTACCAGCGGTGCGCAGAACAACTCTGAATACATTGACATGTCGACAAAGGCTGGTATGGAGACTCGAAAGTCATCTGTCATTGTATGTTACCTCCCCTGACGGTAGACCGCTCGCCAAATAGAGACCATGAATACTAACAGTTGTCATCAGGCGTGTGATCAGTGCAAAGCTCAAAAGGTTCGTGATTTACGAGAGAATCGAAATCGAAAGTTACTGATCAGACATTGTCAAGATTAAATGCAATGGTGATCTCTACGGCTGCGAAAGATGTCAAGAAAAATCAGCCAATTGCACCTACCGCACGCCTACACGCACGCCTACCCCGGCAGGGCCCTCACGCTCGAAACGCCCGTCTCCGGATACGTCGGCGCCAGCCAGCAAGAGGCAGCGGGCAGAAAGTGTTAGCGATGCCCTTTCGTCGCCAGTGGATCCTCATATCAAGGTCCAAACACCTATGACTCGCTCCTCGCCCGTCTTTGTGAATTCCTACCAAGAGTGGGACGAATTTTGCGACGCGAACGTGACCGACCACCAGGGGCTAAACCTGAGCCTGGAGGAAAGCGTGCCTTGTTTACCTATGATGTCTTCGGGGTCAGAGTTTCACAGTACACCCCCCTCGCTGGCGTCGCCGAGTACATCCTATACAAGTCATGGCGGTCGCAACTTCTACCTTATGACTCCACCGACGGCCACGATTGGCCAAGGCTCATATGATTACCGAAGGCGGCGCTGTACCTGCGTCCAATCCCTTGCCAACACTCTTGAGGAGGTCGCTGGAGACAACACCCGCAGCAGGACCGACAACAGTGATCGCAGCGATTACCTACTCATGTCCATGCACCACGGGGTCGGTGCATGCAATCGTGTACTCGCATGCACTGACTGCACTGTCTGTACCAGCAACTCAATTCTCCTGGTGACCGTCGCCCAACAGCTTGCTACCAGGTCAATGGATCTCTGTGACCTTCTCCTTGCGCTCCAGGACAAACCCAAGCCCGTGATACCAGATGAATTGCCAGATCTCAAGATTGGGGGGGTGTTTGTTGGGAGGTATCAGGTTCAAATCGCGGCTGTGTGTCGCGAGCTCGTACATACAGTTGCGGAGATCCATTTCAGAGATTTGCGGCAACTCCTGGAATGCCTTTCTGATCGCATTGTGAAGAAATCCAAGGCAGCTCGGATGTTGGCTGACGCCACGGAGGAGGCGAAGAAAGCTTATTGTATCCTGGAAGGGATTATGATCAAGCGAGCGGCAGAGAAATCGAAGCGTGATTCGAACGCAGCTTAATTACAGATATTTTGGTGTTATTCATTGTTTATGATTGAGGTGAGTGGAAGCACATTCCATCGTACGTGTACTTGCTAACTATTTCTGTAGAATGTCACATATCATTCGTTCAGCCTTCACCTAGGAAAACACTGTCGCCAGTTCAACCCGCCATCTGAATCCCGTGCGCGCACTCTGCGAGATGATCAGTAAAGTTCTTGGACTAGAACGGCGACGTCGACCGAAACACGACTTCATTTGCGGGTATTCCTGATCAGATTTGGGAAGGGCTGCTGGACTCACTTATATCTGTGTTGTATATTTTCGCGCGAGTCCCTTGAGTGGTTTTCTAGTCGAGTTTGGAGGGGTCGCTTTTAACGGGGATCCTGATAGAGCCATCGTCGCGTTTATCTGGGTCTCCTTTCACAGGAATTCTAATGGAACCATCCTCTCGTTTCGCTGGATCTCCCTTCACGGGAATTCTGATGGAGCCATCGTCGCGCTTATCGGGGTCGCCCTTGACCGGGATCCTGATTGTACCGTCTTCGCTTTTTGCTGGAGCGCCCTTCACGGGGATTCGAATGGAGCCATCATCAGGCGCAGGGATGGGAGTTGCCCATGCGACGGCCACAAGGAGGGCGATGCCGTGGAGGAGAGTAGTGGAGAGCTTCATAGTTGGTTCCGAGGTATTGCTAGTTTGATCAAGAATGCGTTCAAGTTATCAGGAAATAAATAGTGGGCTACTAGTAACTAGTGTCTTTGAATAATTTCTCTTTCATATTCCCAGTATCCGACCATTCCCCATGCCCTGACGCCATCGAAAGACGACGAAAACCAACCCCGCTGCTTGCTAATCATGATCGTATGACCGAACAGAGCCGGACATCACTGTGAGCCTCTTAGACTTCCTCTCATGGCCACGAGGGGTGAATTTAATCCCAAAAGGAAATTCCGCCCAGAGTTTCCAGCAGTCCCGAAAAGGAACCTCGCCAAATTGGGCTTAGTTGCATCCTGCAAGTGTCCCCAAATGGACCGTGCAGCTGCCCCATTGGGAGTCATCCGAAAAGGGAATATGCCATTGTATCGAATAGGCAGCTGGTTTGTGAGGTTGAGATCGAGGCTCCTCTAGACCCTCATAGTTCTTGTTCCGACGAATATCATTAAGGCCAGATAGGCTAGATATATGGGATATGTCTCGGGAAGAAGACCGAGGGCGATAAAAGTGAGGATAGAACTAGCTAGAAGAATTAGTTCATCGTGTCTCGCTATTCCAGGATAATACAAGCCTCGATATAGCGCAATTTATCAAAATCCTATGTCTTGGGTATCAGGCCATTGATGGTCAACTGAGTAAGTACTAAAGCTATTCAGTCGCTGCAGGTGTCTATCCTACAATCTCCAAGGACCGCCCCTCACTCTGCCACAGTTGTAATACACAAACATGGGCTTCACATACGAACGGTAACTTCTTCCCCTTCACCCTTATCAGCGCACACCACTCACTCCAAGTCAGAGTCGCCGACAACCCGTCAGACCCAGAACTTGTCTCCCCCTCCGACACCCCCGAAGACGAGACTCTACTGTCCCAGCCGCCATCCACGCGCCATTCCCTCCTCAAAAGAACAATAACTTACCTGCAATCAACCTCCAAGCCCCTCCTCTTCCTTCAAACCCTCACCATCCTCCTCGCCCTCTGGGGCCTCACCAACCTCACCACCACCCTCTTCCACACCGTCCACTCCCCTCCCCAAACCAAAACCTGCTACTGCGGCACCTCCACCACCGAAGCCCTCACCCTAAACTGCAAGTTCGACTCCCTGGCCGCCGCCTGGCTTCCCCCACACTGCCGGGACGACGAACTCACCGCCGAATTCGACCACGCGGGGCCCGGTCCCAACGGGACCTGGACGTACTACGCCGATGACTATCACACGATTCCTATGAGTATTGACGAGGTGGCATTACTGGCGGATAACCAGTCGGCACGGGTACAAATGACGAGGGAGTGGCATGTCGTGCATTGTTTGTTCTATTGGAGGAAGATGATACGGGTGAGGGATCGGGCGGCGGAGGGGGTGATGATGGAGCCTAGCTTTGATAATGAAGAGCATGTCAGGCATTGTATTGGGGTGGTGCTGGGGGAGAGTTGGGGGACGGAGGCGCGGGTTGCGTTGGATACGTGATTTTTGTTTAGTGTCTTTACGAGCGTACGAGGAGGAGCCGACTGAGTTGGAGAATTGACCAGCTTGTGGTACCGAGTGACAGCGGACCGAAGCGCCGGGCGGACGTCCGTCGGAGGAGACATCAGCCGCTATAAAGTACCTTCTGTATTCAGTCTAGCTCGATGCATGATTGCTGCGCCGTTTAAGCGCCAGTTGCCCCGATGGAAAGGCAACCAACCCAACAGGGAGTACATCTAGGCACCCGGTGCGGGGAAATCGCAAACACGGCGGGAAATGTTGGACTAGGTGGACTTGGATAAATGTTCCTCACTTGTCTTACAGTTAGCGGTTTACTGACACAACCTGGGCTTGTGATCACTCTTCAACCATGACTTTCGAGTCTATCGCGAAACACCAATGCATGGGGGTTGGATGTGGCAAGGAGGGCAGCACCCTGCAATGCCCCACCTGTCTCAAGCTGGGAATCAAAGGCGGCTTCTTCTGTTCACAAGATTGTTTTAAGAGAAATTGGGTGTGTGCTTCCGTTACCTACCTTTGCAGCAGTATACCTTTTTCCAAATTCAAATATCAACTTCATCCAAGCTGACCTTAGCCAGAGCAATCATAAAGCCTTACACGGAACACCTAGTATCTCCACCTTTCCCCCCATACAATGGACACCCCATAACCATCCTCTCCAGCTCTATACAACCCCTTCCCCACATTCACCTTCACCGGCTCTCTCCGCCCCGTCTATCCCCTCTCCGAGCGCCGCGCTGTCCCCAAATCCATCAACCCCCCAGACTACTGGCAAACCGGCATTCCGCGCAACCCCGCCCCCCTCTTCGACCGACGCGTCAAATTCACCATCCTCGACCAGGCAGGCCAAGATGCGATGCGCAAGGTATGTCGTCTCGCACGCGAGGTCCTTGACATAGCAGCAGCTGCCATCCGACCGGGCGTCACCACCGACTACATCGACGAGATTGTGCACAAGGCGTGTTTAGAGCGTGATGTATCTCCAACCCCTCCCTCTCGATCTTCCCCCCAATCGGAACCTCTTACTGAAAAAGACAGTCCTACCCCAGTCCTCTCAACTACAACCACTTCCCCAAATCCGTCTGCACATCCCTCAATGAAGTCATCTGCCACGGCATCCCGGACCAACGCCCCCTCCGCGACGGCGACATCCTCAACATCGACGTCACCCTCTACCACGGTGGCTATCACGGCGACCTGAACGAGACCTACTACGTCGGACCCTCCGCCAGTGCGGACCCTGACTCCGTTCGCGTCGTGGAGACCGCGCGAGAATGTCTGGATAAAGCCATCGAGCTGGTCAAGCCGGGGACGTTATTCCGTGCCTACGGGGATGTGATTGAGGCGCATGCCAAGAGCAGGGATTGTAGTGTGATTCGGTCATTCTGCGGCCATGGCATCCATGAGGTGTTTCATTGTTTGCCGAATGTGCCGCATTATGCGAATAATAAGGCTGTGGGGGCGGCCAAGGAAGGCATGTGTTTTACTATTGAACCGATGGTGGCGCTAGGGTCGTGGAGGGAGAGGATTTGGCCAGATAATTGGACTGCCGTGACTGTGGATGGAGGGAGGTCGGCGCAATTTGGTAAGTCTACTGCTGTGGTCCTTGAGTGGTATATACAGTGGGTGCTAATGTTGGTCCTTGGTAGAGCATACACTTTTGGTGACCAAGGATGGGGTGGAGGTGTTGACGGCCAGGTTGCCGGATTCGCCGGGGATTGCGGTTCCTTTTCCTGTTCCTTCAGGATCTGTATAGCTGTATCTGCTCTTTTCATACCAAAAGCCAAGTCATTGTTATCTCCAACCCATACAATTAATTCCACATATCCACATCTCTGATTGGCCAAGAGCCACTACTATGCATTGACGGAATAATGGTTCCTCCGACATTCACTCCCCGGCCCGATTCCGCGGGCGGCCAAGAGCGGGGCCTGTTGGAGTCAAGATAGCTTTCTTTCTCCTCAGCTCTGCTTACTTCCAACCTCATCAGAAATCTCAGCAAATTGATGCCAGTCTTGCACCTGGAAACTTCACCATGGGATCAAAGAGCCCCGAAGGCCACTGGCAGACTCCTGATGGTATGATAACACCCCCCAGCCCGATGATCGCTACTGACCAGCCCACCAAGCCTCCAACTCCCAGGAGCTCAAGCCTGCCAACCCAAACCCCAAGCCCTCTCAGAGTGGCTCGCAGTCGGCCGACCTGGACCGCGGAATTGTCGATGGCGATGATGATGACGACGAAGCGAACGAAGAAACGGGGCTAAACCCCCCGGTTGCCAATGCTGGTACGTTCCAATGCCCTCAAACGATCCAATCCATCCGATTGACGCATCGCCTAACTCCACCCCGTCTACAGAAAAGAAAAAGAAACGAAAGAAATCTAAGAAGAAGTCCAAATCCGCAACTGCCCATCCGAAGGAACAATCCAACCCACCCCGCGTGCTGGTCTCGACTCTCTTCCCATCCGGATACCCCATCGGAGAACTTGTGCCCTACGAGAATCTCTCCCGCACTACCGACGAAGAGCTCCGCTACAACTCCCGTCTCTGGGACGACGATTTCCTCACCGATTACCGTCAAGCCGCGGAGATCCATCGGCAGGTGCGCCAGTATGCTCAGAAGGAGCTCATCAAGCCCGGAGCAAGTCTCACTGCGATTGCGGAGGGTATTGAGGATGGGGTTCGCGCGTTGTCTGGCCACCAGGGCCTTCAACCCGGAGATGGGTTCAAGGCGGGAATGGGATTTCCTACTGGTCTGTGCTTGAATAACGTGGCGGCTCATTGGACGCCGAATCCGGGGGCAAAGGATGTGATTCTGAATAAGAGTGACGTGCTTAAGGTGGATTTTGGTGTCCATGTCAATGGCCGTATTGTCGACTCGGCTTTCACCGTCGCATTTGATCATACGTACGATAATTTGCTGGCGTCGGTGAAGGATGCGACTAATACGGGTATCAAGGTATGTCTGCTTGGTGCTGATGACGATGCTAGTATGAGCTAATGTGTGTAGCACGCTGGTATCGACGCTAGGGTGAGTGAAATCGGCGCTGCAATCCAGGAAGTCATGGAAAGTTATGAAGTCGAAATTGCCGGGAAGACTCGCCCTGTGAAAGCCATCCGGAACATCACAGGCCATGATATTCTTCGGTACAATATCCACGGGGGCAAACAGGTCCCGTTCGTGAAGAACGACCGACCGGACAAGATGGAAGAGGGAGAAGTCTTTGCCATTGAGACTTTTGGAAGTACCGGCAAGGGATTCCTTACTGATGATGTAGGCCTTTTCATCCATTTCATTGTCTTGTTACTGTTGCTAACCCTATTAGGTGGGAATCTACGGCTACGGAAGAAACACCGACGTCTCCGGTGCTCACCTACGTCTTGCCTCTGCCAAGAGTCTCCTCAAGACTATCGATGAGAACTTTGGAAGCCTTGTCTTCTGTCGTCGGTATCTTGAACGTCTTGGTGTGGAGAAATATCATCTCGGAGTATGTATTCGTTGGCTTGCTGTTGTACAGGTACTGACTGGCACAGATGAAAAATCTGATTGATAATGGAATCGTCGAATATTATGAGCCACTTGCTGATGTCAAGGGTTCATACACAGCTCAGTTTGAACATGTACGAGCCCCAGCCCTTATAGTAACACCTGCCAGTACAAGGCTAATCTTTATCAGACGATCCTCCTCCACAGTGGTGGCAAAGAAATCATCAGTCCTGGTGACGACTATTAACATTGATCTCTATTCAAAGGTCTTGTTCGAATGCGCCCACATCACGGGCAGCGCCGTTCATTCAAGGTTGTGAGCTCCACACCTTAGTTTCTGTTGGTCAATCGTTGATATTGCCACGTCCAGTCATTTCTGTCTCACTTCCAGTCTGTAGTATGCATCAGGCTGAAGACAAATTACGTTCTTTTTATTTCAGGGTACCCTCTTTCGGGTCGAATTGGAGGTACATGTACGCCAATCGGCGCGCATCTCTTCTCCATAGGCTCTAACCCTGAATGAAACATCTTGATGCAAATTCATACCAACAAAATACTTCGAGTATGATAGCTCTCACACCCGTAGGCACGTCTAGCAGATCAAAAACAACGGCGCACAACCGGCATCGAGCATTTCCCCAACCACCACACGGTCCCTTTTACAATATTGGCCACGTGACCATAGGCCATGGGACGCGCCGGATCAATCACCCACCCATGCTCAACAACGCACCGCCAGACGCCTAGGTAGCGTCCTCCATCCAAACTCCCAATCAAACCGACCTAATCTTGTCATCCTGGCCACAGACTGGATCGTGTTAATTAGCGTTTAATTCGTAATTATACCCGGCTTTGATTTGATCCCCCATTTGGGACGAAAAATGAATCCCTTCCATCGACTAGCTCGCTTCTTTCGACGGCCGCCGTCTCTACGAATCCCCCCAACCCCTAACATTCCTATCCTAGACCCCTCCACAAAGACTGAAGAGCAGCGAATGCCCGCGTATGAACGAGGCCTATTCTACCCAGTCAAATACGGAGAGGTGTTTCATTCCAAGTACCAGGTTCTCAGTAAGTTGGGGTTTGGTACTAATTCTACGGTGTGGCTTTGTCGGGTTCTTTAGTAATCATACCCACATTGCATGAGATATACTCTACGAAGCTGATCCAATATCCAGTGGTCATCGCTATATCGCACTGAAAGTATACATCCGCGGGCCGGAGGCGAATCAGGAAGTCCGCATCCTGAGGCATCTTGCGGCTGTGAAGACAGATCATCCTGGTAGAGATTTAGTTCGTACCATGATTGACGAGTTTCAGGTCCCAGGGCCGGGAGGTAGTCATCAGTGTATTGTGTATGAGCCGCTTTTGACCAGTCTTTTGCATTTGCAAGCGACGTTGAATCCGAAGAGCCTTCCCGAGGATCTATTAAAGGGGGCACTACAGCAATTGTTACTTGCTCTGGACTTTTTGCACTCCGAGGCACGGGTCATACATACTGGTTTGTTACTATTTCCGAGGGCAGCGTATGGTTGGGTGTCGCTGATTTGGGGTTGGTTCTGTTTTAGATATCCAGGCCAAGAATATCATTATCGGCTCAAAGGATGATGGAATTTTCCGTGAGTGGGATGAGACTGAGCAACGTGAACCTAGTCCGCGAAAGATAGATGGGAGTTATACCGTCTATAAGAGTCGCTTGTTTCAGCGGAATAAAGGATGGAGTGGCTTTGGGATGCCACTTCTCTCGGACTTTGGCGAGGCCAGGTTAGGCGATGATGCACATGAGGGGCTGGTTCAGCCGGATCTTTATCGCGCACCCGAGGTGGTTCTTGGAATGAGATGGACGGAAAAGGTTGATATCTGGAATGTTGGAGTCCTGGTACGTGAATCCCCGTTGTTTGTTGCTTTGTCGCGGGATGAAAAGGTCATGGTGACGTGAATGGACTGATGAGTCATGTAGATTTGGGATTTGTTCGAGGACCATCATTTGTTTGATAGCAGAGGGCCCGATGGGCTTCACTCAGATGCACATCTTCTCGCTGACATGGTAGCCGTGTTGGGTCCGCCGCCGGTTAATTTTCTTCGCAAGTCACCTCAGAGTCAGATGTATTGGGACTCGTTAGGTAAGGTGCCCACTATTGGACGGGGCTTCTAGAATTGGCTAATACAGCAAATAGGACAATGGAAGTCAGCAGTCCAGATACCCGAAAATTCGTTAGAGGACTCGGAGGAGTACCTCGAAGGAGAAAACAAGGAGATGTTTCTGGTGTTCGTGAGAAAGATGTTGTGTTGGAATCCAGAGGAGAGGCAGAGCGCTCGAGAACTTTTGACTGATCCTTGGTTAACGAGCCCGTAGGGTTATTCCTTGTCGGTAGTCTGGAGCGATGACGTAGTCGCTGGGTCTGCCGATAGAGAAACACAGTCTCGTCTAGGGTGAGGCCTCTGTGCTTGACTTGGCTATGTGTGTCCAGGAGATATAGTCCGCTTGTGGTAGACTGTCTAGGAGAACAAGGCCGCCCACTGAAAGTCTGAGTTAAGGATGTGTTGGGGAGAACGCTTGGGCCGGGTTGCGATTTCTGCAGTCAGGATCGGCCTTGATGGAAAAAGCAACCGATTGACACAACACGAGGTCGGTGGGGATTGAGGGGCTTGTGCAATGGGGCTAGATAGCTAGGACTTCGACTCAAGGCTGAGGGATTTCCCCTCTTCTGTGCAATCCAGGCTCTTTCCCTAGCTAGCGAGTTTGATTCTGATTCGGAGTTAGGCTGTCGGGGAGATGTTCCGGTTGCCCTTATGAACGTCTCGCGTCCACTGCCATGCGTAGTGGTCAAACTTCGTAATTAATCCGAGTCCATTATGCCTTTGCACGGCTGGTAGCCTCGTGCCTAGGCTCATAGTGGAACTGGCGGCTCCACATGCCGCTGTCACGGCCATTGTTTCTCCACAGCAGACGATTCAATTCTTCTTCTGATAGGCGTGGTTGTGTGAGCCGGTAGACCGTTGTGTAACCGAGAAGCACTAGAAACTAGCTGCATTAATTTCAGTCGAGCTCACTGGTCGCTCGGGCTCTGCTTCCATGCCTTGGAGGTGAGACATGAGACGGCGGAAAAGAGGGGAATAAATACGGGGCCACTGCCGGTTGAGATCTGAGACTCACACCCCATTCCGACCGTAAAACATTTGCTCAAAAATGGCGCGCTCAGTTGACAGAATGGCTCAGCCAGCAGACAAGAAGAAAATGCGGCTTGTTGTGGTCAGCTGTAGCAGGTGAGGTTTTTTGACGGCGAACTGTGGCTATCCGTTCGCCCAGGCAATACGGCTGCTGATAAAGGCTCCAGAACAGGCACGCTAGGCCTCCATGAAGCCTTGGAAATGCTCGGTTATACTCCATACCACATGATTGACCTGATGACCAAAGGTGGGAGGCCTCACATCAAGGCCTTCACAGAGGGTATCATTGCGCAGAATAATCGACTCGCAGCGATCAAGAGATACGAGACGCCTGATCTTGATAGATGGGTGGGCAGTTATGATGTGAGTACCAGTGTCTTCAAGGTACTTTGCAATTGCGGAAGCTGACGATGTAACAGTGCTTGATGGAGATCCCAAGTTATGTTGGACTTCGGTCCCTGGAAACCTACATGGAAGACCCCGAAGTCAAGTTCATCCTGACCGAGCGCTCGCCTGACAAATGGGTCAAGTCATTCAACAACACAATTGGTGAGGCAATCAAGGCAGCGGACCAGCTCCCAATAAGCATTCTGAAGCATTTTGATGCGGAGATGGGCGAATTCTTCCACCTCGCCCAAGTGATGTACTGGGCTTATTCAGATGGCACAAACCCTGGACACCCGGACAATGAGGCGGCTCTCCGCAAGAACTATGTAGAATAGTGAGAGCAACTCCCCAGTCTTCATCCTAAAGATAGGTCAAACTGACCGCTGCATATAGCATTCGAACTGTCAAGCAGACGCTGCCAGAGGATAGGCTTCTCGTCGTTAGGCTTGAGGATGGTCTTGGCTGGGAGCAGATATGCCCATTCCTAGACGTACCAATCCCAGAGCAGAAGTATCCTCGTGGAAATGAGCCCAATGTGTTTCATAAGATTGTGGAGAAATATTTGGACCCCAGGGTCAAGGCGGCAATGATAAATCTGGGCACCACGGTTGCGGCGGTCGCTGGGATAGGGGGATACCTGGCATGGAAGGTTTGTCGGGCGCACTAGACTCAGCAGCTGCCTTTCCATAGTATATAAAACCAGACTGTCTCATCGGGGTGGATTTAAAGTAGTTTACGAACGGTGGGGGATAGTTTATGTCCGTTAATGTTGCTTTAGCGCGATGGCGTGATTTTGCTTATTTTTGACTCATCGACCGGATTGAGTGGAGCAATTCCGAGCTACCACTCCGTAGGAGGACATAAATAGGGTGTTCTAGTTTAATTTATTAATCCATGTAAGTTAGCTTGGTGACTGGCAATAGAGTAAGGTGATTATGAAGATACAGACGCGGCAGGAAACAGTCCGACCATTCTGAATAGCCTCATCCGTTATCCACGATCGCTTTCTTGCCATCAATATACAGCATTGGAGAGTCGTTGACTGGACAGTGGACGTCGTTCCTTTATTTTTGTGTAAATAACTGATTGCTATTGATAGAAGAGACGATAGGCGTAGCTTGGAGGGGAGAGAGTCAGGAGAGTGAAGTTGCGGCTGTCCAAGTCACGCAGTCGCTCGCGTCAGGTGATTCATTCGGTAGCAGAGGTTCTTCTAAAGTGGGAGCCCATCTGTGCTTCCTTCATTCGTACGGGTTTTGTCTCCTCAGTACTCAGCCCTTACTATGTATCATTCCACGGTAGCTCTGCTTGTCATGTTACCTACTAGGATTTGATAGTAGAGTTATCCTCGGTGACACTCTATAAAATTAGTAAAAAGACATTCTGCACACTGATCAGCTGTAGCTGCTGCAAATTATTGCGCTCATCATCTTTATGGGATCCGATACAGTTCGCACTGCTGCAGGTGACGAGATAAGGGATATTGGTTGCTCCATCCACAAGCCACGCGCGCTTATCGGAGACGGCATGTAGAAAAACAGGCTGTCTAGCAATATATCGAACTGATTCAAGTCAACATTGGAGCCGGCTGTAAGCGCACAATTTTACAGGGTGTATTCATGCCGACTCTATGAGCAAATGCCGTCGATACTGCAGAAGGGGCTCTAGGGGGATCTATTGAGACATCGTCCGCTATCTAGATGCCAGGAATCCTCTTTAGTAGCACATCGGCAGGTCCTCTTGCTCATTACACCAATATAGATTCCTTAGGCAAGGCATAGAAGGTACATTCGCATTGGTCCATTTGCATGGGCCTCAGCGCAGTGTACCAGGGTCATAAGCGGATTCCTCTTCATTGAGTAGCATGATCAGCTTCAGCCTTGAGAACGAATGCAATTGGCATACCTGTCGACACTTTGTACATGCAGTCAACCTAAACGCCTGCATACCGGACCTTATTATAAGTAGACCGTCTCTGCCAAGGATTCGGTCCCAATGAGCTGCCACTCCACGTCTTGTCTCTCCTATCCCGGCGAGGGTGGAATCTATGGGTATTTTTTCGATCACCACTGGCAAGCCTTTGCCTTAGAAGCGCTTTTCAATCTTCGGATGGCTTTCATCAACAATGCGGCGTAAACTCTTTATTTGGCCTGTGCTTGTTTATTTGTGACACTGGAGCAAGTATAACCTTAGCTAATTCTTGACAGGACGAATACACTGGTAGATCTTGTCGCACGCAATCCTCAAGCCGAGTCACCTTGAACAAACAGTGTTTGGGCCGTAGATAGACAGCAGTATTCTATCTGGAAAAGTTGGAGTATTAGTGGTTGCTGGCTAGTCTGTTCCCGAACCTTTCGGTACAAAACACCTGGTCATCGATAACGGTCATCGATAACACAATCAAACCTGACAGGTATAACCAGTAAGCAGTAACTCCTTGTCTCATCAGCTATGGCCTCAGTCACCAGTCCATCAGAATTGGATAGTTGACTAAAGGTATTGACCAAACCAAATTCAAGGCATGGAAGATGGCTTATCCCCGACCGAGCCGTGACATCATCCCGCTGGTTCCTGGCCGACCGGTGGATCCGCAACGCCATCAACTGGCAATCCACAGGCAGTGTCTATCCGCGGCAAGCCGACCCGATCCTCCTCTCCATCCCATATAAACCTCTGCATTACACAGCACCCCGCTTATCCTTACTTTCATGGCCATTCTTCTCCTTCCCCGCGCTCTTGGAAACCCACGGTAACTCGAGCAACAAAGGGATAACCATGTCCACCTTCACCCCGGCTCACCACACTCCCCACCTCATCATTCAGCCCGCCGACGCCGCACTCTCACCACCCGAAAGCTATCTCTTCGTCCAGGATGGCCTCATTATTGCCTGTGGGGTTCTCTACGCCTTTTGCTACATCTTTTGCATGATCCGCACCTACAGCGACCGCACATATCCATCTGCCTCGGTACAAGGAATCCAGTTCATGAGTCTGACGCTCGCTTATGAGTTGTACTATGCCGTGGTGATCACAACGACGACTTTCGAGCTTCTCGCCTTTCTGGCCTGGTTTCTGCTTGATCTGGGGTTTGTCACAGTAGCAATCTGGCGAGCGCATGGAAATAACGATCGGTGGGGCATTGTACGAAGGATGATGAGTTTTGTGGTGGCAGGCGTGGCTGTATTGAAAGGCCTGGCGATGCTGTGGCCGGATGAGAGGGAACAGATTACAGCGTACTGGACCGGGATTCTGCTGCAGCTGCCGATCGGGTGGATTTGCTTGTGGACATTATGGAAGGGTCGGAATACCCAGGGGCACTCTCTCGAAATCTGGTAAGTAATTCCATCTGTCAGTGGTTGATGGGCGGTTCTGATGGGATAGGCTGATGCGATACCTGGGCTGCTGCACGGCTTATGGGGTGTTCTTCTGGCGGTACTGGAATGTGCCGCAGAACTGGAGCTATGTGGCTTCGGCATGGAGTGTGGCGGTGATTGTGTGGACGCTGCTCCCGGAGACGGTCTACCCGTTTGTCTACATCTGGGTTTATCGGACATCCAAGGTGAAGGGGGAGTAAATCATTGATTGGCAGGCTGCACCTACAGACATGCGTATAACCTTAGACTTATTCTTATTATAGTATCTATAGTTCACGGCGCTTATCCCACAAACCTTAAGGAATCGACCATCGGTCAGCGGCGCACGGGTACGGGCGCTACCCGGCCAAGCCGTCACGGCCCACAGTCGGTGTGGCCCGAGGCGCTCCACCATGGGCACCGGTCATGATGCCTGACCTCCGTTTCACCTGCAATTGACTTTGCCTTCAACGCAGATTCGCAAATCCCTCACGCCTGCCCTGTGTACCATGCCGGCTCGTGACGCCTTGGCTGGCGACGGGCTGATGACGAGGCTCACTTGTCAGGCAGGTCCTGACATCGGTCGAATCAAATGATCGCATTTGACGAGGCTTCACGGCAGAATAGATCAGAATCAGATCCAGGGCAGAATCTCACCACGATTGATTGATCGTCCTCCAGCACACCGGCTACGAGGGTTTTTATTTGTGATCGTGGTCGCCAACCTTGCCAGCTCAGACCACCTCATTTCCGGAACAGCACATCCCAATCAGAAGCACCCAGCTTTCATGCATGTCAAAACACGTTACGAGACAACCTTGCATATGCGCCTGCTAATGACGTGGTTCGTGGGTGTTAGTTGAGCGGCTCTGAGTTGGCTCGAGGTGCAGTCCCACTCATCCACCCCTTCATCCCTTCAAAAGACATCCCGGCAGGACCGATTTCTCGCTTGAAATCACTATCTGTCTGATATCAGTTCCTCTAATACATCTCCCCAAATCACTCCATACAAAATGGGTCAGAAGAACTACAAGCGGTTGTACTACAACCTTCTCCGCTCCCAGGAGAACGAGGAACATGCCCAGGAACACCCAATTACAGAGTACCCTCAGCCAGAGATCAGGTCAGTGCGATCGCTCTTTGGATGCAATCCAACTAATCGAGATGATAGCTCCTACACAACTCCTATCGTTACCATCATCATCGGCAAGAGCCACTTCAAGATCGCCGATTACCACCTGCGCCCATATTCGACCCTCGAGCCTCACTCATCAGAGCTCAAAATCAATGACATCAACGAAGACATCGGACACACCTTTGTCCACTTTCTCAGCACGGGCGCCTACGAGACCTTGAAGCCGACGGATCTGGAACCCGAATCTTGCCCATGGGCTCGCGAGTTCGAGCGAAGTGTGCATGCGTATCATGCTGCGAGGCGATACAACATCTTCGGACTTGAGGAGCATGCCAAGCGTTATATGGTCACCTTCAGTGAAGAGGTCTCGACGCGGCAGCTCCTGAAAACGGTCAGCAAGGTGTACTCGGAACTCCCTGGTCATGATTCATGGTTTGAGGGATTTGTTCGGGACAAGCTCGCGTCTGCCTTTGCCAAGGATGAGTACAGCTTCAGGTACCGGGTTGTGCGCGATGGACTGGGATCCGATGATGATTTCAACCGATTCCTGATGTATACGACTTTGGAAATCTACGCTGAGAAGCTAGCTTCCTTGCGGGAAGTTGGGCCGCAACTCAACGGACACCACGCCAATGCACACCACGCCAATGGCCACACGGACATTCCTTTTGATGACAAGGGATCAGTTGATGAGAAGCGACCGGACGATTCCCGTGAGAAAGAGGATAGCTCACAGCCTTATCCGGACGCGCCGCTTTCTGCGGATGACACACCGACCGTTGTCAATGCTGTCCACTCACGACCCGCATCGCCGGCCCCGCTCTCATCCGCCTTCCAAAGCTCTCCCGCCCAGAATGGGTTCAACTGGGCTTCGTCGTGCAGTGATTCTGCACCAATCGACTTTCCGACATTCGCACCTTCTCCGCCTTTGATTAGGCGACCGAGTACAGCGTGGGCCGATCCAGAGCCAGAGCATGAGGCGGAACCGGAACCGGAGCTGAAACCCGAGGCCAAGCCAGAGCCCGAGCCCGAGCTGCAAGAGCAGCCGGAGCAGGAGCCAGAGCCAGAGCCAGAGTGGAAGCCGGTGACGGTGAAGCCGGAGCCTGAGCCGGAGCCTGAGCACGCGTTGAAGTCGGAATTACAGTTGGAGCCGGAGCCAGCACCAGCACCAGCACTAGAAACAGTGTTGAATCTGGGGCCCGAGCCAGTGCGAATCCCCAAGGCGGTGCCAATTCATTTTCCCAAGACCGAGTCAGTTCTCCCAAAGTCAGAGCCAGCCCTCCCAAAGTTAGAGTCAGTCCTCCCAAAGTCCGAGCCAGTTCAGGGGCAGGGGCAGCCCACGGAGCAAGCCCCCAAAAAAAAGAACAAGCCCAACTCGCATCGCAGAAAGCGAAAGCAGGCGGCCGCGGCCGCACAAAAGTCCGGACCACAAGTCAACGGTTCGGCAAAGCCATCTCCTTGATGGGGAAGACGCTCCAACGCAGTCTCCATTACTGCTGTGTATTACCAACTCGCACCCTCACACTCACTTGGAATCTCCTTACCTCTCTGTTTCGCCCGATTACTCGACTGCAACGTGAGGTCGCAGGGCTCCTTCACTCTTTCGTGTCCTTTCTTATGTTAGTCTATTATTCTTTGTTTGTCTTTTGGTATGGAATCATTCGCTTATGATGTTGCGCCTGTCTATACCAGCAGATGTCATAGGATAACAGAACTACATAGATCATGTGATTGTTATTTTCCCCTTACGTATCATATAAGTAGTTGTGCGAGATGTCATTCAAGACTTGCCATAAACATGTCATGCATTGGCCCAGCTGGAGCAGCTTAATATCTGATGTATCACTTCTAGGCTCGATGTACATAACAAGATACAGCCAGTACAATCTTCCAAATTACTACTGTAGAAGAGACCTTAAACAACTTTTTAGGATTGCCACAAGGATATGCACTAAGATTGATAAGAAATCTAATCAGTCATTACATCAGTACATATAAAATAAGCCATATTAACCAGGTATACCCGTGACTGCTCGTATTCGCTAACAGCATCACCCGTATCCAGACCAATCACATCCAGCTCTGACACAGCCTGTCATCATTGCCCCACCGGATACAAGGCTGAGTACATCTTCAGGGTATTTATATCGGCATGGCATGCACTCAACATTCACCATCCACATAAATCTCCATCTAATTACCTCTCCATCCTCATAACACAAAACATGGCAACCACCCGAACCTTCAACGTCGACTTCACCAGCTGGACCGGCAAACACCTGCAAGTAACTGAAAGCGATGCCCAAAATACACTCGTCTACGCCGCCGACCTCAACTTCCGCAAACCCCAGATGGTCTTCCAAGCCACCGGCAGTGCCAGACTTCCAGCCACCGTGACCTTTCACACATTCAGTCGCACCATCGACATCGACATCAACGGGTATCACATCCCGTTCAAACCACGTGGGAGCTTCAAGTATCAAGTCCCGTTTGCGTCTCCGGCCCTCGGCAAGGTGCTCACTTGGCGAAATCCCTATTCTATGAGGCCGTGGGAGCTGGAGTGTCGGGATGAGCAGAATACCCTCATTGCACGGTTCATTCCGAGTAACTCGTGGAGCTGCACCAAGGCGGGGCGACTGGAACTGGGGCCGTTGGAGAGCGGGCCGTCGACGGATGAAGTGGTCGTGACGGGGCTGGCGTTGGCGTATTATCTCATTTCGCAGACTTTGGGTAGTGCATAATCCTTCTTTCATGATTTGATTCGCGAGATGAAGCTTTCTGTCTATATCTCACTCATATACATATGTACACACCCTTGCGGTAATCAATGCACCGGAATATCCCCAATCTCCAACATGGTCTCCTCCAACAACCGCGTCAACTCCACCACCACATCCTTATACTTCGGATCCTGATACACATTAAACAGTTCCAATGGATCCTCCACACAATCAAACAACTCCCATTCCCTCGGCTGGCCGCCCTCCTGCGTCCCGGGCAGATCAAACCCTTCCGCATACCAATAAATCAACTTATACCGCTGATTGCGGACCCCATAATGCGCATACGCATTGTGGATGGTATCCCGATGCATCCAATACCGATGATACGCGACCTGCTTCCATCCAGCTGGCGTGCGGCCCTCCAACAACGGCACAAACGAGACCCCCTGCATATACGACGGCACGCGCAGCCCGGCCAACTCCAACCACGTCCTCGCGAAATCCACATTGGAGATAATATCCTCACAGACCGACCCCGGCTGAATCAACCTCGGATAGCGAATGAGAAACGGCATCTGGAACGACTCCTCGTACATGAACCGCTTATCGAACCATCCATGTTCTCCTAGAAAAAACCCCTGATCGGAGGTATACATCACGACGGTATTCTCCGTCAATCCCTCCTCATCCAGATAATCCAACAATCGGCCGACATTCTCATCAATCGAATGGATGGTTCGTAAATACCGTTTCAAATACCGCTGGTACTTGAACTTCTTCAACTCCGCAGCACTGGCGAAGGTAAACACCTCCGCGGTATCTTTATCCACCAACTTGAACCCAGCAATCTCCTCATCCCTCACATCGGGGATCTTCCGATCGCCACCAAGGAATAACTCCCCCACCTCCTCCCCCCCCTCGGGCTGCACCAACCCCAGATCAAAATACGTAATATCACTCTGTATCCGCATCTTCGCGGCCCCCGCCGCTTTCGCCCGATTCTTATACTCATCATTGAACGTATCCGGCAATGCCACATCCTCCGTATACAGCCCCCGATGATCCGGTCGACATTCCCACGACCGATGCGGCGCCTTGTGATGACACATGAGGAAGAACGGCTTCTTGACATCCCGTTCGTTGAGCCATTGGAGACTTTTCTCCGTGATGATATCCGTCGCGTACCCTTTTTCCACACTCTTAATCCCCCCACCATTCCCCTTCTCATTCCTAGGGTTTGGGGGGATACTGATAAACTCCGGATCAAAATACCTTCCCTGCCCGGGCAAGACACTCCAATAATCGAACCCCGTCGGTAGATTCTCCCGTCCCTCCCCGAGATGCCACTTCCCAATCATCGCCGTCTGATACCCGCCACTCTGTAAATGTTTCGCGACATTCGGTAGCCGGTTATTTATCTTATCGGCTAGGGTCAAGACCCCATTGACGTGGTTATGTGTCCCAGTGAGAATGGTCGCGCGACTCGGCGTGCAGATCGAATTGGTCACGTAGCAGTGGTTGAATTTCATCCCTTCGTGGGAGAGACGGTCGATGTGGGGGGTGCTGTTGAGGGGGGGGTGTTGCGGGGGGGTGTATGCGGAGATGGCTTTTGAGGCGTGGTCGTCCGCCATGAGGAAGAGGATGTTTGGTTGGGTCATGTTTTTGGTTTTGGGGTCTGGTAGGAGGGGTGGTTGGGTAGGGTTTCGTGGATTGGAAGAGTAGAGGGGTAGGGATAGAGGTGTGGTTTTATTTTATTTATTGTGAGGGGCAGTTACTATATCATACGTGGGATATTCATTTGGTTTTCTGGGGTTTTATTGGTCAATGGTATTGAGGCGGCCGCGTGGTTTCTTACGCTACGGTTGCGAGATATAGCTCGGTGCTGACGCCATCGCGGGATTCATTGCGCTAGATACGGACGATTACAGGGGATAAACGTATGATGTGGTAGATCTGCATGTTAGTTGAGTAATTATCCTTGGTAATACTTTGTAGATCGATAAGATTGGGTTTAGGCTGTGTGGTGCATGATTGATTTCTAGGATAGATTATCTTCAGGTAGAGAGGGGGGTCTGTAGGAGCTGAGGTTGGGTATATTCTGCACTACAGCACATCGTTTGTATTTAGATTTGGTGTCTATGGGAGAGTCCTGTGGCCATTAACAGAGTCTGTGAGGGTCATTACTAGTTGTTATTAGAGAATAGTGAATGGAGGGAATTTGAAGAAACCCTGACAAAGCTGGATATATATTCCGCGGGTGAATAATATGATTCAACCCAGAACATGCAAGGCAAGTCCTGAAGAATATATGCCGCTTAGGGAAAGAAAAGGTGTTCTAATAGGAAGTTATGAGTAACAAGATAAAAAAAGGATCATAAAAAGAAGAACAGAACAATGGCTGACTGCAATGTCTGTTGATGGAGGGGCAAAAAAGGGCCGAACGCGGATCGAACGCGTGACCTCGGGATCTGCAATCCTACGCTCTACCACTGAGCTACCGACCCAGGTTGAATGGTGCGTTTTAGATACGGTATATACGGTACAATCATGACCCTTCTGACCCCTACAATGAATGTACATGATGAGTTTAATCTGGTATGTAGGGTAAATGACTCACATGAGATTCAATATCCTACAAAGGTCAATTGTAGCATATCGCAATAGCCTCGTATTAGTGTCATAGTCAAACCCTCCGGATCGGTTGCCCAGATGCGATGTTATTGCATCAGACGGCATCACGGATTATGAAGTTAGTGTTACTATTCATTCGATATAAAGTTATAACCCTGATTGGACGATATATCCCTCCAGTAATTGAATCGAAATAATACTTTAGGCTTGCCCTCATTCTTCCTACTGATACAGCATCTTGCATTGCTGATATATACGCAGGTACATCATAATCAAGCACATGCACACCGTGTCGGCATTGAAGACCGGTCCCGCGTTGCCGTCACCAGTCATCTCACTTCCTCTCCTCTAACCAAGCAAGCACACAGCATGTTCTATCACATCCTCCTCCTCGGGTTCCTAACCCAGACGTCCATCCAAACCATCCACTATGACTACGTCATTATTGGCGGCGGCACCTGTGGCCTCACCGTCGCGAACCGACTTTCCTCGCATCCTGACACCACCGTGGCTGTTATCGAGCCGGGGAAAGACGAACATGACAATCCTAACGTGACCTCCATCTTAGGTCTCGGTCTTGCATTCAACACGTCGGTCGACTGGCAGTATATGTCCACAAACCAGATATACGCTGCAAACCAGCAAGTGGAATACCATTCCGGCAAGGCATGGGGAGGATCAAGTGCCATAAACGGTACTCACATTTACCTAATACCTCATCGTATACCTGATTGATGAATGTGATACCAGGATTGACCTACATCCGCGCACAAAACGCCCACATCGACGCGTGGGAAACCCTCGGCAACGAGGGCTGGAACTGGAGTACTTTATTCCCCTACTATCGCAAAAGCGAAGCGTTTCAGATTCCTACCCCTGCCCAGACAGATGCCGGTGCTTCTTATATTCCGGATTACCACGGATATACCGGGCCCGTGAATGTCGGATATCCTCTTGAGATGCCCAACGGGTCATTGGCGTCGTTGGTGAATATTACCTGGCGGAATCTGGGGTACGAATTCAACCCGGACCCGAATGGGGGGTATGTCGACGGGTTTTCGGTGTGGCCAATGACTGTCGACAGGGATAAGGATGTTCGGGCGGATGCTGCAAGAGCGTATTATTATCCGGTACGGGAGAGAACAAACCTGGTGATGATCCAGGGGTTGGTCAATAGAATCATCTGGAAGGAAGATACCATGGAAGATGCCCTCGCCGAAGGAGTGGAATTCACAGCCCCAGACGGGACGGTGCAGCGTCTGTACGCCAACAAAGAGGTCATTCTCTCCGCCGGGGCGATCAGATCCCCTGCCATATTGGAATTATCAGGCGTTGGCAATCCAGAGTAATCCCCCCTACCCTTCTCTCCAACACCACTAACAAACCCAGCATCCTCACCCAAAACAACATCCCCATCCGCATCCCCCTCCCCGCCGTCGGCGAAAACGCCCAAGACCAACCCAACAACGTGATTCTCTACGCCCCTCGCACCCCCAACCTCACCGACGGCATCCTTCCTTATGCCACCTTCATCACGGCCTCTGACCTCTTCGGCCCTAACCTGTCCACCATCGCCAATACCACTCTCGCTGCCATCCCAGAATGGGCCACCACGCTCTCCCTCGCCAGCAACTCCACCGTCTCGATCCCATCCCTCACAACGCAACTCCTCCTCCAACACTCCCTCATCTTCACGGACCAAGTTCCCTGCGCCGAGATCTTCACCACCCGGATTGAATCCTCCCTCGCGTCGTCCGTGTGGCCGTTGATGCCGTTTTCGCGGGGCAGCGTGCATATCACATCCTCGAATCCGGAAGAGTATCCGGCTCTGGATCCGAGGTTCTTTATTATTGATTGGGATGTTACTTTTGCATTGAAAGTCGCGGAGTTGGCGGGGCTGTTTTGGGCTACGGAACCGGCGAGATGGATGGTGGGGGAGAGGGTATTCCCCTCGGCGGGGGTGGAGTTGGATGCGGAGTGGGTGAGGGGTAGTTGTATGCCTCATATTCCGCTTTTTCTGTTCCGACTAGATATGGTTTGAAAGTGGGAAGCTGATAAAGTGTAGTCTACGCAAACCACCACCTCGTCGGCACGGCCATCATGCTACCCCGCGAACTAGGCGGGGTAGTCGGTACAAACCTTCGGGTCTATGGCACTAGAAATGTCCGGGTAATTGATGCAAGTGTGCTTCCCATGCACCTGAGCGGGCATTTGACGAGTACGTTGTATGCTGTTGCAGAACGAGCAGCAGACTTGATCATGGATGACTGGTGACTCCTTGTTATGAGATTGGCAATTTATATAGTTGATGCGTTCCTGTGATAGTACTCTATCATATAATTGATAATCACATGCATGACATCTTATACTCCCCCCAGCACACAAACCAAAGATACACACTGATACTAGTGTGCAAACCTAAAATCCAACCTCTTACTCCCTGTATCCGTCGACGTGCGTAAATACTCCTGTCGTTGCTACCCCCAAGCCCATTAGTCGAACCCTTTCTTCCCAGACCACCCCCCCAAATGAAAACGAGCAAGAGGGAGAGAGGTTAAAAGAGAAACTTACCTCCTCCGTCATCCCATTCCACACGCGATCGCGCTGCCTATTCCGATACACATAATACACCTTCGTCAAGAGAAACAAGACAATCGCGAGCAGATTAATCCCCAACAGGGCGGAGTTTCCTCGACGATATTTCGGTTTATCATCCGCGCGGTAGATATTGTTCCCTATTATGGCGCCGAGTTGGACGAACACTATCCCCCCCCCCCCATCATACCCCGTTAATATCACATCCAGTACCTCTCCACATAAAAATCCAAAGTTTAGAGGAGAGGTTTTTGGGGGAAGAAGGGCTTACTATTATACAACGCTGCTGAAATCGTCCTCGTCCCCACATTATTCGAATTCTTCGAACACCAGCCCACCAGAATAGCATGACAGTAGGGATAGCAAAGCAGGACAGTGACGATGGCATATGTTCCCCACGCGTTGGTCATGGTGCCGGACCAGAAACGTAACGCGATGATGCAGGGAAGGGTCCAGATGGGTTGGATCATGGCGACGAGGGAGCGTTCGTTGAGGTATTCGCTGAGACGGGTGAGGGTGAGAAGGCAGATGATGTGGCCGATGCTGTAGGGGATCGTGAGGAGGTTTGTGGTGAACTGTGTTTTTTTTATTCCTTTGGTGTTAGTGGGTATGGTGGTGGGAACGGGAAAGGGGAATCTGGGGAGGGAGGGATGGGGGGGGTACCGTGCTGAAGCCGACGGATTTCAGGGTCAATGTGATGTACGATGTCACTGGGGTTTGGGGGATGTAGACGATGAGACCGAGGAGGTAGATTGGCCAGAGGTCGTAGTCGCGGAGGGAGTTCCAGAGTCGACGCGGGGTGATGGGTTGGCGGTTGTGCATGTCTCCTGTGGATTGTTATTATGATTATGTGGTAGGGTAGGGTTGAGGGCTGGCGGGGGGGGGACCTTTGGAGGGATCATCGCGGAGGACGCGGTTCACTACGATGCTGACCTCTCGGTCCGTGAACCAGCCTTTCGGGCGGAACCATTTCTTCGTGTCCACGGCCGAGGCGGGCATGCGGAAGTAGGAGACGAGGCCGATGACCAAGGTGATGAGGCCTTCGATGAGGAAGAGCCATCTGCACGGATTAGATGGGGTAGTGGGTAGGTAGGGCTAGGTAGGGACGGACCTCCAGCCGGCTAGGCCTTGGACATCGCGCATGTGGAGGATGCCGAATGCCAGGAAGGATGTGATGATGGTGGTGACCGAGAGAGCGGTCCAGAAGAGACTGATGGTCAGTTTTAATCCATGGTATAGGTGAAGGTAATTACCTTAGGCGAGTAGGGAGTTCTCGGCTGGTATAAAAGTAGGACAGCCAGAGGACAATGTCGGGGATGAAGCCGCCCTATACAAGTTAGAAGATCGACACGGATGGTGGATGGGTGAACTTACCTCGAGTATTCCCAGCATGGCTCTCGTAGCGTAGAATGATCGCTTTCCAGCCAGACCAGCCTGCGCGGTAGCAACAATTGACCATAAGGTCATCTGCGTGGGAATCCATCGATCAGGGCCAATCTGCTTGGACACCAATTGCGATGGAAGCTCAGCTAGAAGGAAAGCGACCAGAAAGATGGTATTGCCAGTGTTGTAGTCTGTCCATTAGCACTCAACTGCAACATTAATCTAAGGGATGCTCACCATTCGTGGTCAGACCGAGGTCATTCAGCATATTATCCGACACAGCCTGCACGAGATTCCCTCGATCGACCTGAAGCCCGAAAAACATGACACACTACAGAGTCAGTATAGTTTAGCATCGAGGCAGGTATACGTACAGCCCACAGACAAACCCGCCAGTCCAATTTCCGGACGAGCGCCTTCTCCTCTTCCGCAGTCCACGTCAAGGTCGGATCAAACACATGTCGACACTCATACTGCGCTTTCTCATAGATGAGAGCATAACGCTCTGCGACCTCGGGGTCTGCAAACGGATTATTCGAATGCTCATCCGATACATCCTCATACCGTGTCTGAACCTGAGTCTTATCCTTGGAAGGGGTTTGCGTAATCGACTCGTAATTCCGACCTTGATCAGTTGCCCGTGGGCTGATTTCCTTCTGATCGGCCATGTTTAAACTGAAGATGAGTATAGTTGTCTCAAGCAGGCCGCGATCGGAGCTTTAAACACAAGATGCGTCAGGCACGCCATTTACCAGACAGGTCGCGTCGTAGATAACGGCCATCAGATCAAGGTTATCAGGGTTCGCTGACCATTGATGTTGATCGATTGGAGCAGATGGCTGATCTTGGTAAGGGCCTGTGCATGATTAGTTGGGGGTGCAGCTGCATTGTCGGTTTCGCAATCCTGGGCATGGATGAAGCCATCCATGCACTTTGCTAGAGAACTTTTGTTTTCTGTTTCTGTGAACAACAATTAATCTTCCTAGATTTGTTCCCGATTGTAGATTTGAATTGTAATATTATTCGAGATTTCTGGAATTCTCTGTTTCATCTGGGGTAATGTTGAGTCCGCATACATGTATCGAGGGGTTGTTGCGTGATGCCGGTGCCGCCTTGCGAGATCGCCGCGATAAGAGCATCACCCATCATTCGCCATGCATCACTAATTCTATTCATGGATGAGGATAGGCAGCGATGCCGACCGGGTATTTTGCTCAGCCCTACTGAGATGTAACTGTCTACAAACGACATCCGAGTCACTCATGTTTCCATCCCAGGATCCGATTCGCCTTTTCCGCCGTAAAGAACGACTGGTTCCCTGCAAACTCGCCCCGAATCTCGGTATCCGGATAATACTTCTGGGCTAGTTCGCGCGACGGCGTATCCTGCGTCGTCGTCGGAGCCACCACATTGAAGATCTCACAGCCCGAGAAGCTGTCATTCTTTTCCACCGTCAACAAACATGCGCGCGCTGTTGCTTCTGGGCTCACCCAGCCCCATAAGCTCTTGACGGCTGAGTCTTCCCATCTCTCGCTGTGGCCTTGCTGCGCTTCTTCGCGAGATGCCACGGCGTGGATGCGCATGCACGCGATGTTCATCCCGGGATACCATCTTGCGAACGCTCTCGCTTGCGCTTCGGCTTCCTCTTTGGCCAGTGCGTAGGAGTCGGTCGGCGTGGTTGGTGCTTCCTCGTCGATAGGGAAGTATTCGAACTTGAGCGGCTGCGTGGCGTATTCCAAACCGATGGCATTGACCGAGGATGCATAGCAGAATCGTTTGATGCCCAATTGGGCAGCGGCGTAAAAGCCATTGAATGCCGAGGTCACGTTGTTGTTATGCACATACTCATCGTCTTTTCCAAGAGGATCGGGAATCGCAGCCAGATGAATGACGGCGTCGCAGCCTTTGAAGGCTTCCAGGGTGGCTTTGTAGTCATTGGCCGTGTCGGCCGTCTTCATCTCCGAATTGGGGGTTCCGTCATATTTGGTATCAGTGCGATCGACCTGCACGGTGGAATGACCAGCCTCCGAGGCCTGTTTGACGACCGCGCGGCCAACGGTGCCGCGGGCACCAGTGATAGCGATTCTCATGTTGTTTCCGTGGCTGAGTGAATAGGGTCTGCGGAGTCGAATTTGACACGAAATCTGGCGTGACAAGACGCCAATAGAAGGAATACGCGCCAGGCGCATTGGGAGCTGCAGAGGCATCGACATATTTATTGGGGGTGAAGATGCAGGGGTGCTGTTGAACCTGTTAAGAGAGGGTGGAATCCATGACGTGCGTATGATGGGAGGGTGCAGCGGTTCTCCCACGATGACGCCAACATGACAGCCCACATTCTTGCTCGTCTGAAATTAGAAGAAGAGTGCCATTTTGTGCATTTGCAGTTAATTGCATCTCACAACACAGGCACAAAAAGGATACGAGGGAAATACCGATGACGTCACGTGCAGCGGCAGCCAGTTGCGGCCTGAGGCAGCCAGGTCAGTGACCAGCACATCTAAAGAGTACTCGGTACTCAACAGTTGCTGAACTGCTCTCGACCTGGCTCGTCAAGAATTACTCAGCTTATTGTTCGAGTCCACTGCATAAGAATCCTCGGCTCGCACACAGCTGTCCATACCCCCTAGCTGGCACCCATTTAACCCCTCATTGAGGTTACATCGGCCAACTGCGTTTACTCTACGGAGTATACGGAGTATACGGAGTCACTATCTGGCAACGGACCTCACTCCTTGCCAGCTTATAAGCCCCGGACCAAGACAAGTTAAGCTTGTCTTGGCCAAGACTGAGCTCCCGGGGAGATCTTGGCATCAAGTGGATGTCTCCAGCGTCGTCATTGTCTCATTATGGATCCAGTAGATACTCCGTACGAGTGCTCCGTACTTTACCCACTCGACCACTTTGTTTAACCTCAATCATACTCAGGAGATCTCCTGCTTCAGGGAAGACAATTGCTGACAGGCGCCAGCTAGAGAGTCTTTCACAGGCTCTGTCAGTCACATTTATCCTGAACAATGAAGAACTCACAAGTGACGAGGCTGCATAATGCATGCTGCATGCTGCCTCCGAGAAATCACGCTCGGCAACGTGCATATATTAGCCTCTGGAAGGATCATTCAATCAATTGATGGTGCCGTTTAGAGTGTGTTGCCTGTCGGCTGTCTTGGCAGCAGTCTAGACTGAGGCCTCGTAACGAGATACGGACAATTAAGTGATATGGATACGCATGCAGGATCTGGCGGTATCAGTACTGGCATGAAACAGGTTGAGTGTTGCAAGTCGCAGTGCACCTTGGATGAACTTCTAGATATGTCGGTTATGACCCACTGTGGGCCCTGATGAAAATTGAAGTGAGGCTTGCCACACTGCCACCATCCACACACTGTCCAGTATTCCATAATACATGTATCGAGATATGAAGCCTGCTGTCAGCGGCTGCCTGTTCATTGACCTTCTCGGATAAATACACTCCTGCAGCGTCCCTGGAGTGATCCCGATGATCAGCCGAAACTAGTCGAACCCCTGAACTAATCTTGCCGGAAGGGATCAATCACATTATTTCCGCCTCCAGATTATTCAAGGGTCCTTCGGATTCCCGATAGTGGGATCGGCAGTCGTGTTTCTAGTCTTGACATGCGGCCTGTTCCGACCGATCCGCTGCGGGTCGATATCACCACGGATTTGACCACCGTATGATAATACCACAGTACCATCATCCCATGAGACGGCTCTGCTTTGCCGAGTTAATCTACTAAGGAGTCCCAGGCAAAGTTCTGGCGGCAAGTGAAACAGCTGGACACCGACATGGCAAACCAGACACGGCAGCAGTGGGGATGCCGAGACTGCCGAGAGCCGCCAATGCTTCGACCCTAAGCCAAGGCGTCAATCCATGCCTTCTTCGGCGGGGGTTCGTCACCGCGAGCCCATCAGCGTCGCGGATGACTCGGATGACACGGACCTGGATGCCATGCCGATGCTGGACGCCCCATCGCCGTTAGAGATTGATATCCTCGGTGGACCGGAGGTCCTTCTCTTTCCACCAATAACGGGACCATCGAATGCCATGCTCAGGAACGAAGCTTAGCATGAGTCCAGATATAAAGTCTCAACAACCTGCCGTGGTTGTACTGCATCCCAACACACTTCACTCCTTGCTTTCTTCTGTTGATCAGACTCATTCATTCTTTACATCCGTTCTGTTGACCAGAATCATCATGCACTCCATCCAGCTCCTTGGTTTGGCCGCTGTCGGCTCTCTCGTCTCTGCGGCCCCCGCTCCTTCTCGCGTCTCTGAGCTCGTCAAGAAGTCCTCTTCGACTTGCACTTTCACCTCTGCCTCCGAGGCCAGCGAGAGCATCTCCAAGTGCTCCAACGTGGTCCTGAGCAACATTGAGGTTCCCGCTGGTGAGACCCTCGACCTGTCCGATGCCGCCGATGGCGCTACCGTATGCCCCCCCCTTGCTTCTCCCCCCCTCTCTGAATCTTGTCTAACGGTAGTAGATCACCTTCGAGGGTACCACCACCTTCGGTTACGAGGAATGGAAGGGTCCCCTGATCCGCTTCGGCGGCAAGGGCCTCACCGTTACTCAGTCCTCCGGTGCCGTCATCAACGGTGACGGCTCCCGCTGGTGGGACAGCAAGGGCACCAACGGTGGCAAGACCAAGCCCAAGTTCATGTACATCCACGATGTCGAGGACTCGACCTTCAAGGGTCTCCAGATCAAGAACACCCCCGTCCAGGCCATCAGTGTCCAGGCCACCAACGTCTACATCGAGGACTTCACCATCGACAACTCCGACGGTGATGACAACGGCGGCCACAACACCGACGGCTTCGACATCAGCGAGAGTACCGGTGTCTACATCAGCGGTGCCACCGTCAAGAACCAGGATGACTGCATTGCCATCAACTCTGGCGAGGTATGCCCATCCCCCTCCCCCTCTCTCCCTCTATCACAATACTAACTGCAGCAGAGCATCTCCTTCACCGGCGGTACCTGCTCCGGCGGCCACGGTCTCTCCATCGGCTCCATCGGTGGCCGTGACGACAACACCGTCAAGAACGTCACCATCGCTGACTCCACCGTCAGCGACTCCGCCAACGGTGTCCGCATCAAGACCATCTACAAGGAGACCGGTGATGTCAGCGAGGTGACCTACTCCAACATCCAGCTCTCCGGTATCAGCGACTACGGTATCGTTATCGAGCAGGACTACGAGAACGGTAGCCCGACCGGTACTCCCTCCAACGGCATTCCCATCACTGATGTGACTGTTGATGGTGTGACTGGTTCCATTGATGATGATGCTGTTCAAGTTTACATCCTCTGCGGTGACGGTAGCTGCTCGGACTGGACCTGGAGCGGTGTCGACATCACTGGTGGTAAGACTAGTGATGACTGTGAGAATGTTCCTTCGGGTGCTTCTTGCTAGATGCGTCGTCCTTCGCATATGTGTATATTAGTGTAGTGACACTACTTATTCAATAATAGAAGCTTGCTTCACTGGATGATGGAGTAGATACCCCTGTTGTAGTTAATCCTGCCTTGGGAATGATGGAATTAGACGGGTGAATTAGGGCATCAGCGTATTTAAATCCCACCTGACTCCAACTCCCGACTCTCCTGACCATCCTGCAAATCACTGTGAAACTATTTCACGGACCCATCTGGACGAGAGCCACTCCTTGTATACCTCCCCATGCTACGGAGTACATAACCAACACATCTATACCATGATACCCAGATAACATCTCCACATCCCATCTTCTACCCAGGACAACCGCAAAGACCTCGAAGAAGACATCCACTGAACAAAGGTTTCCACCACGCCGATTATCAACCGTCCCCATACAAATATCCGCAGGAAGTATATGCCCAGCTAGGAAACTTGAACTCGATATACTCTTATCCTGTCGCATAAACCCACTTCAGGAATTAAGTTACATTCTCGAGCTAACTCTCTGAGCAATAAAATTCTAGAGAGCTGCTCTGGATAAAAGGCAGAGTGACTCCACCCACGTCTACAACCCGCGGGCTTGGGTATGGAATACAACATTCGTGTAATAAATTTGATTAATGAGTCCTGAATAATTGGGAGAATCTGAGCGGTGGGTGGCTGCATGTATCACAGGAAAGGAGGGAGTTGACATGACAATTCCCCACGCTGAGTGAATAATCCGTCACTGCAATCAACAGATTGCATCGGATTCAGCTAGTTTCGGAATCTCTTCGGGGAGTTGATGCATCGATGCTGCTCCAATGCCTAGAGTAATTTCGGCGGACACTCAAGGTACAGGCTATGGAAATATGTGCAGATCTGAACGGATGAAACCGGATATACTGCATGATGGCGGATTATGGAGCTCTGCACGGATACTTCCGAATGTCAGCTCTGTGTGCTCGGTACACGTCTTTGTTTATGCTTTGAGCCGTTACATTACTTATCCATGGCCTGTCAACAGTTTCATATAAATCAGGGCATTGCGGGAAGGTATAGAAGGACAAAGGGTCGTATATACCAACATACTACGACTTCGATGATGCTCACAAGTACTAAGGATATACCATACAACTGATTCTCGGTAATGAACCGGAGTCCAAGGAAGATAATCAGCACATAAGGCAGGCTAACTACCTTCCACAATGAACAGAATATGGTTGGACGTCAAATCCTGTGTTTTGACAGAACCGACCATCTCTCGGTACCAGATATGCCCAGAATATGGGCTAGAAGTGAACTAGGCTGGTGTTTATGTCAGTCCAGTTAAGATACAGGTATGGATAACCTCCACACGATATTGAATGACGAAACGAACGCGTATAGCCTGATGCTCGTCGCAAAGACAGATGGGGAGAGATGGACAGGATGCATTATGTTGCATAGGTACATACTTCCGGAACAGCACCTCCAAGGCAGGTGAGATACAACGGCGGGCAAAAAGTCCAGAGGATTGGGTTACAGACCTGTACTCTCCATACTCGATTGCCGAGGGACCAAAGTGATGGAATTCAGAGAAATACGAATATGGCAGGTGATGTTGATTGCGCACCAGCTGGGAAGTGGGAACTACTTCGCATCTCTTGAATCAAGTGACCCTAAGGAAAGGGGCCGTGAAAACCGAACGCTGCCCATATGATATTAATATGGCCGCCAAAGGCGATTAATAAGCCCTAAAAAAGGGTAAGGCCAGAGGATTTCCTGCTGGGTGTCTTTGATGAAACCTTGGTTACAGGTGCAGTCTTGGAGGTATACCCAGCGCTTAAAGAACCCGGTATCGAAGCGATGGGTGGCTCTAGTCGAAATCTGCTATACGTGGGAATGAGCCAAAAGATATAATTA